CCTTGGAGGAACGACTCCATGTATGCCAAGGTGGTTTCCGACTTCATGGAGACGGAAAACAGAATTCCCATCTGCCACCGGTATGATTCGGTCAAGTTCTACGGACGCAAGGTGGACGAGCTCAAGATGAACCGTGACTACTGGGCGCCTTGGATCAAGGAGCAGTTTATGTACCATGCTATCCCCACGGTGATGAACCATCCGTTCCTCTATATTGTTGGAGCACAACATAATCCAAATCTGGCTATCCCCAACACATTCTGGAGGCGATCCTCTGAACTGGCTTTACTTCATTCTACCTGGATTGTCCGCTTCATCGACATGGTGGTTGATAAACAAGTCCCCTTGGTTGATCCTTTCTTCGGGCACGTGGCTGCCATAGCTGCCACAGTTCATCTTTACTACTGTTGCTCAGCGGCCTCAAGGCTGAAGCACAAGTCAAATACGGACTTTGCCAAGTGCAGGAGGTTTTTAAAGGGGTTTTTACCGCACTCTGCAGCCTGTCAAGCACTTGTGAGTAGTCTCATTCTTCAACTCTTTTACTTTTGCCAAACTAACTGTTACAGGATCGGAGTCTGGACAGGATGACACGGATCGCTGCTGGATCAGAAAGCATGGACGTAGAAGACTGGATGCCATCCAAGATATATCTAAGCGTTCCCCTGATGTGGGAGATCCTCCAGTTTGACTTCATGTCTGACTCCAACGGACGCGGGATCCCCACAACCGGCCTTCTCGACAAAACTCTCACACCAGCCCCGTTACACCGGGACATGGGAGAGAGCTCAACGCTGGAGATCATCGTCGCCACGTCCCCTGAGATCACAATAGACACAGCCGACGGCGGCCAGGAAGCGCCAACTCTACCATTCAAGTCGTCTAACATGCCTACTGTGAACACAAACTCCCCACAAACGTCCTCTGTAGGGGACAAGATGTCTGTAGAACAGACGGATGCTCTGACCTTCACCACAACGCCATGGCTGTACGCAGACCCATCGCAGTTTGTGAATGTCGGGGACATGGGCTACAGCGGAGACTCTCAGCAAATGATAGGTGATAACAGATCGGGAGGCATGGCCTGGTGGGAGGATGAAAATTTTAGCAACATCATGTTTAATCAATTCTAGTTGGGTGGCGGGCGCATGAGATTTGGTACTCTCTTTACTTTTCGGATGTATGACTCTGCGTCTGGTCTATAATTTTGTTGAATTGGGCGGTAAAAGGGGTGATTTTGGTACACAGGATTGGTTATTTGCTAGACAGGTTCAGATTGGAGCGCTCATTTCTTCATTTCAGGTGCGACATCTCTCTCTATATGTTCACCTCTTATCAAACATTCCTTCTGAGAGAACCAATGGATGGGTGATACTGAAAAACGATGCGGGGACGGTGTATGAGAATGAACATCCGTGTTGGGATGAAACGCCGTGATATTATCATGTTAGGCCGACGGGCATATTCTCAAGACGACATGAGTTTGCGTTACGCATAGAATCCAACGGGCTTAGCCCCGACACACCCCGGGCAGGAACCGAAATGTCACCGCCCTGCCATTGTTGAAATCTAAAGGACTATCTCGATTCTTCCTAGGGGCCGTGTGGGGGAGCAGCCTCGTGATCCCACCGACACCTCTCGCTTGTCAAATGTAGCTTATCTTGCCGGCGCGCAGGGATGGCCTCCTACGGAGACAAACCGGACCTTCTGCCCTCCCACTTTTGGGGTAAGCTTTTGATAAATGCACTTCTCGAAGAGCACGTGGCGGTTTCGGGCTGGAGGGGTGCTCTTATCAGGCCGGCACGGCCACGGCGTTCATACACCGATCACGTGTCGGGTTCCCCGGATCTGGTGATAGTCGTAGCGCGCGTTGAGGAGCCGGACTATCATTGACTTGGGCATTATCATGTTGCATTATCGTAGGCTATTCCGATATCGTTGACAAGCGTTTCCAGCCAAGGGCTATGTAGTCTGAAGTATCTCATCCCCGTAATGGCGGGATTGCTATTAAATGAAGACACCGCAACGCCTTCAGGTCGACCGATCTTTTGGATCAAGTCTTCCAAACTCTAATCACCATTCCCCCCTTGTCCCTTCCTGTCTCTGCTCCCATTCAGTGAGACACATAGCCCATAGATCATGGCTTCCACTCCTCCCCGCGTTGTGATCATTGGAGCCGGCATCGTTGGCGTCAATGTCGCCGACGAGCTGATCAAGAGAGGATGGACCAATATCACAGTGGTTGAGCAGGGTCCTCTGGACATGCCCGGAGGGTCAACCTCCCACGCGCCTGGATTGGTTTTCCAGACCACTCCGTCCAAGACCATGTCCCTCTTTGCCAAATACACGATAGAAAAATTACTATCCATTGTCGAGGACGGCCAGAGCTGCTTCAACCAGGTCGGTGGTCTCGAGATCGCCACTACCCCAGAAAGACTCGAGGAACTCAAGAGGAAACGCGGCTTTGCCTCGTCTTGGGGCATTGACGCCCGAGTCATCACCCCGGATGAGTGTGTCAAGCTGTACCCCCATCTCAACAAGCAGCTGCTGTACGGAGGTCTTCACATCCCCACTGACGGTCTCGCGCTGGCCGCCAGATCAGTTCAGATCCTCATTGAGCGCACACGCAAGTCTGGCACTCGATACCTCGGAAACACAGCCGTCACCGGCATCAAGCAGACCGGTGGCCGCGTGACTGGCGTCGAGACATCAAACGGCGTCATCGAGGCTGACATTGTCATTGCCTGTGCCGGTCTCTGGAGTGTCGAGGTTGGTGCCATGGTTGGCCTTTCTATCCCATTGCAGCCAATGGCTCACCAGTATGCCAAAACCACACCCGTGCCAGCTTCGGCTGGCCGAAACCCCCTGCCAAACGGTGCCAACCTTCCCATCTTGAGACACCAGGACCAGGATCTATACTACCGTGAGCACGGCGACCAGTATGGCATTGGTTTCTACGGCCACCGTCCCATGCCTGTCGTTGCCGCCTCTCTTGGCCCTACAGCCAAGAAGGTCACCGAGCACAACATGCCCTCCCGGCTAGAATTCACACCCAAGGATTTCGAACCGGCATGGAAACTATCACAGGAGATTCTCCCCGTTCTGAAAGAGAGTGAGATCGCCGATGGCTTCAATGGCATCATGTCATTCACCCCCGACGGCGGCCCTCTCGTCGGCCAAGCCCCAAACCTCGATAACTTCTACGTGGCAGAGGGCGTCTGGGTCACCCACTCCGGCGGTGTCGCCCGCGCGCTCGCCCAGCTGCTCGTCAACGGCAAGTCCGAGATCGACCTCACCGACTGCGAGCTCAGCCGCTTCGAGGACATCCAGCTCACCCCCTCGTACGTCAACGAGACGTGCTCGCAGCAGTTCGTCGAGGTCTACGACATCATCCATCCCCTCCAGCCCAAGGAGTCCCCCCGCAACGTCCGGGTGACCCCCTTCCACGCCCGCCACAAGGAGCTGGGCGCCGTCTTCCTCGAGACCGGAGGCTGGGAGCGCCCCCACTGGTACGAGAGCAACGCAAAGCTGCTCGACGAGATGCCGGCCAAGTTCAAGCCTGCTGAGCGGGACCCTTGGGCCGCTAAGTTCTACTCGCCCATTGTCGCTGCCGAGGCGTGGAGGACGCGGACCGCTGCCGCCATGTTCGACACGACGGCGTTCCGTCGGTTGGAAATTGCAGGACCCGGCGCGGTCGACCTGTTGGACGGGTTGACGACGGGGAATGTATCCAGGAAGCCTGGCGTCGCCACCTACTCGCTCCTTCTCGACCAAGAGGGGGGCGTCCGTAGCGAGATGACCATCTCGCGAGTCCTCGACGACTTATTCCTGCTGGGCGTCAACGGCCCGACCGACTTCACATTCTTCTCCCGCGAGGCCCGCAAGCAGAACAAGCTGGGCGACGGTAAATTCGTGCAGGTTCGCGACATCACCGGCGGCACCTGCGGCATTGGTCTCTGGGGCCCCAACGCGCACAAGATCCTCTCCGCCGTGTCGGCGGATGACTTCTCGGACAGTGCTCTGCCTCACCTCCACCTAAAGCTCGCTCACATCGCCGGTCTGCCTGCCAAGGTCATCAGGATGTCTTATGTCGGACAGCCTGGCTGGGAGATTGTCACGAGTGCCGAGAACGGCCTCAAATTATGGGACTCTCTGTGGAAGGCCGGTCAGGCTCACGGTGTAATCGCAGGAGGCCGGAGCGCCCTTGCGTCCATGAGGCTGGAGGCTGGCTTCCCGTCATTTGGCTCCGACCTGACACCCGAGCACGATCCTTACGAGTCTGGTCTTGAGTTCCTTCTACACCCCGGAAAGGAGGGATACCTCGGCCACGCTGCCCTCCAAGGCCGGTCTAAAGATGCAGTGTCCAAGCGCCTCCGACGCCTTGTCATCAACGACGGCAGATCCGTTGTTCTCGGCAAGGAGCCAGTGTTCCACAAGGGCACGGCCGTAGGCTACGTCACCAGCTCGGGCGTCGGCTACGAGATTGGCAAGCCGCTTGCCTACACCTACCTCCCCATCAGCCTGGGCGAGGGCACTGTGGTCGAGATTGAGTACTTTGGACGTCGGATCAGCGCGACCGTCGTGCCTGAGCCGGTTCATCCGATGAAGAGTGACGAGGGGCGGGTCGCGAGGAGAGCTCACAAGCTGTAGTTTGGGTGTGGAAGGAGTTATGTGGGATTTATGTTTAAATGAATGACGATTCACTCCCTTGATCGCATCTTGAGCGTTTGATATTAGCCTATTGATGGGGACATCTTGAGTATTCTGCACTGGGGCTTGTGGTGGCCGTGGTCGGCGCCTACATAGCAACCCTCTACTAAGAAAAATTCAATTTGGATTCTGAGGATTTTAATAATGATTCCAAAGATGGCAGTGAATGCAACCCGAGACTTTCCGGTATAAAGAAACTTCTCCAGAGTCTCTCCCCTCGTAAACACAAATCTCACCAACCTTACTTGGGGAGGGCCGTCGCAATATTTGAGGATGACTACTTATGATATAGCTTAGGACCAAAGCTCTCGGAAAATTGTATCAACCCATACAAAATGGTTAGGATACTCATCCAGCACTCGTGAGATCCAAATATACCAATCGTCCCTCCAATCACAGGCAAAATGAGCAACAGCATACTCCCAAAATGCCGGATACCACCCAGCTGCCTCCCAGTCAATCAATACAGCAACCCCATCCTCACGAATGATAACATTCTTCCGCTGAAAGTCTGAATGACTGAATACCGGGGCGCTATCTCCAACAATCTCTGGAAAGTGTCGCTTATAGAACCCACACTTTCGAAACTCAGGATAGGCCAGATGATATTTGGATAAAATGGCCTCTATCATCTGCTGCTCTGATTCAAAGGGGCCAGAAGACTGCTTGTGGTTAGTATCGTTGCTCTCAGTATCGTCGAGTTGCCAAAACATTCCATCCTCAAATGGCCGTTTTCCAACCACACCAAAGTAGCCCTGATGAGGGATACGACGTAGTTGTGTAAAGTAACCTCGGAGCTGATCAGTGATCTTATTTTTTGCTTCACTGCCAAGAGTACACCAGCAGGATTGAAGGCTTTCTCCAGGCACGTTCTCCATTATAATATAATTTGTTGGCATGTGAACATTCTCTGTTGGGGTTGAATATAGGGCGTAAACCTCTGGGATCGGTACTGTTGAGTGTTGTTTAAGAAAACGCATTGTATGGCCCTCATTTAATGACACATAAAAGCCATACTTGATGACGAATTCTCCAATACGAACGATGCGCCGACCCGGGTATTCCTTGAGGACATCTTCAGACAAGGCAATGGCTTCGGTGGTGGGGAGTGGGCTGGGCAAAAGCGCTGCGTCAGCGATGAAGGGAACCATATCGATGCGTGTCTCTGTCCCTGATCTCGTGCGGCTCATTTCCTCTCTGATAGGCCAGAATGGACTGGAGTTGATTCGGTGCCAAGTGGAAGTCGGTAACAATATTAAGGGGAACCTTGAATTGCTAGCGGACACTGACAGGAGCAGATAATTAGGCTGCGATCAGCTGTAATATTAATATAATTACTTTAATTAATAAATAATAATATATGAATAATTTTGTTAAAGTCTTTATTAACTAAAGATTATAATTTTAAATATATACAACCACATAATTAATAAGAGATCTTTAATATCTTTAATAATATAATAAATTTAATATTTAAAGAAATATAATTAATTATTTAGCTACTTAATATTAATATAAGATCTATAAAAAAGTATTTATTTACTGAAGTTTATATAAAAAGTATACTAGCTAATTATAGCCTATATAGGGTAAGAGCTGATAAATGTGTAACGTTGCCCACTAGAAAATTCCTGCTTGTATTTCATGCCGCATACCATCAGCTCATTCACCAAGATTCACCAAGATTCAACTGCACCTTTTCCCCCTCGACAAAATTAAGAGCACTTCAACATGTCATATCGCGCAAGTAACCATTGGAATGGATTTGGGGATCAGGGCCCTAGACCTAGTCCTCTTGATCAGCAAGTCCTTAACGTCCTGACGATTGCCAACTTTCAGTATCTCCAACAAGTGGCATTGCGAGCCCGCCAAGCTGGAGCAAAGTCTTGCAGTCCTGATGTCTGTTGTACTATTGACCCGAAAAGGTTTACGTATGGCTCTCATCATGTCGTAATAGAGGTGGCCTTTTCAGACCAGGTATATTGGCTTGCGAGAATACGACATTCTCCAATCGACGACGCCCAGAGTGGAGGGCAAGCCAGGGACATCTTAAGCGAAATCGCAACAATGAAGACGCTTAAATCCCGCACAACAATACCAGTCCCATGTGTATTTGCATTTTCTATTTCATCACGAAATGAATTTGGGTTCCCATACACCCTCATGGAAGCACTTCCAGGCCAAACTCTTGGGGGGCCATTAGCAAAAACTATCCCACCTCATTTCCGGCCCAAAGTTGCATCTCAGTTCGCCAAGGTATTATTTCAGCTGGAAACCCTGTCGTTTGATACCCTTGGTCGAATATCTTGCGGTCAAAATTGCGATCAGTCGCTTGAGATTATTCCTGTTGACCCAAAAGCATATCGGCAACCGTCAACATCCCTAGAATGGTTTTATAGCGCAAGGCAACAGGAAAACAGGTTAGCCATGGCCCACCACGTTGGTGAGAATCAATGGATATCAGCATGTTGGATTCTCAAGGCTGCTATATCGCATATAATCTCCGAGGATAGAGTGTATGGCCCATTTCCCCTGTGCCACCCTGACCTCCATTACGGTAATATTCTTTTCGATCAAGAGTACAACATTACTGGGATTGTTGACTGGGATAAAGCCCAAACTGTTCTCCTAGAGCGCCTAGCTGTCTCTCCTGAATTTATTACTTTCCCTGGTCTATCTCTTGAGGAAAATCAAGATATAATCGATTTTAGGAAGCTTGTTACTGCACATTTACGAGATTTGGAATCCCCGATTAGGACGAATTCGGAGAATGACATCTTCTTATCTGACATTTTGGGAACGAAAGCAGCTGAAATCACTCATCGCTGTACATACAGCTTTCCACACCGCGCAATCTTCGATGCCCGATTGGTATCAGCATTAGTGTATGGCCCTAGTATCTCATGGGAGCAATTAGTTGATGCCTACGGGCAGATGGACCTTACTTAGCTTTCTGACTCTCCAAAAGGTGGTTATGCTTCAGAGGTTAGAGCCTACTATTCTAGGGCACAAATAGAATAGTAGGAGGGCTGTAATTGGAAATCCTGTGGCTGACTGGATATTTTTTAATGTAGTTATTCCAATCCTCACAATCTCTAAAATCTTCAGGGGGGACGCAGAAACCGTGGTGACCGTGAGTAGTTCTTTCTTATTAGTATTATTTAAACTCTATTTATTATTTGGTTGAAATATTTCGACAATATCCAAGTAAAACCATCTATCAATAAACATTGTTTATATAATCAATGTCCAGGTTGCAAAGCCTGCGATAATGCTGGCTACCAGATACTGCATCGATACATGAGCAGCAGCCGAGACCGGTGCCGAAGTCGAGATGGTCGATGGAACGCCTGACGCAACGGATACAGCTGTGTTCTGGGCAAGAACTGGCTGAGTAGCACCACTGAGACTAACGCTGCTGTTTCTAGCATCGTTTACAACCCCGCTGGGTTGAGAAACCTGGGTGGACTTATCACCGTTTCCTTGTCCGGCTCCCTCCGAGGCCTTGGCTGAGCTGATGGACATCAAGGTGGAAAAGGCGCTGGGGCGGGCAAGGATACCAGGCCCCCAGGGTCCTCCTGAAATGGTGACGTGCGGAATCAAGTTGGGCACCTGGGACGCTGAACTGGGAACACGGAAGCCGTCGACCTTGTCTGAAGTAGGCGGAGCGGCAGGCTGAGTGTAAGTGATGGTGACGGGGTGGTCAGCGCACCGAGTGCAGACAGATGTGATGGTTGTGACCTCGGTCTGCCCGCTGGTGGCGCAGGGCACAGTAATTGTGACCGTGACGGGGGCTGTCCAGCTCGGGTCCGAACACACCGAGGTGAAGACGGTGACAGTTTGTGTCTCGGTGGGAGCAAGACCCTGGTTGGCAGATGTGGTGGTCACCACAGAGGGCCCGGCGGTTGGGTGAGAGCTGCCACCTGAAGAGTGAGGCTTGCCAGATTGACTGGCAGGTCCGCGAGACGAAGACGAAGTGACGACGTTAGATGCAGAAGTAGAGACTATTGTGCCCGACAAAGGAGAAGAGAGGCTTGAGATGGAGCTGGCCGGAACAGAATTTGAGATTTCTACTGACGAAGAAGATTCTGTTACAGAAACTGTCGAGGAAAATGCTGTAGAGTCATGAGCAGTCGTAGAAGTAGATGAGATTGCTGTGCCAGGTGTCGTCTGCGAGATAGAAAGCGAAACTGAAGCTGAAGCGTCTGTTGTAGAAGAGCCAGCATTTGTCGAAGACATGGGAGTAGTCGAAGGGACAGTCGTTGTCTGAGAGCTAAGAATGATCGAAGACGAAACATGTGAGGAAATGGGGGCAGTGGAAGAGCCAGACGTCGTCTGGGTGCCGGAGACAGCTGACGAGGGACCCTTTGTAGAAGAGATCAGAGTGGTGGACGAAACAGGCGTAGAGGATGCAGGTACAGACGACGAAACGGGTGTGTCAGAAGAGACTGGTGTAGTTGAAGAAACGATTGCGCTGGACGCAGGCGTTGTGGATGAAACGGCTGTACTGGACACTGGTGTAGTAGAAGAGACCGGGGTTGGTGTTTCAACCGCTGAGCTGGATGATCTGATGGGAGTGCCAGAGCTGACAATACTTGAATGAGGTGTAGACGACGACATTTGTGTGGAAGTACCTGGTATGATCGCGGTGCTGCTGCTTACCGGGGTTGATGCTGGCGTGGACACCGGGGTAGAGATTGTAGGAATTAGACTGGTCGTCGAGATGATGGGGCCTATGGGACCGTCTCTATCAACAACGGCGCTAATCCAGTTGTCGGGGCGGCTGCGAGAATTCTTCTCATATGTCATCTGGCGAGAGTTCCATCCGATTGTGATTCCATTCTTCAGCTCAATGGCGAGGTCATAAGTCATGGTGATTGACCAGTTATCTCGTACACCCATGAGAGTGGCAACGTTAAAAACGAGAGCCTCTCCTGCTGCGATGGTATCGGTAACAATGGCCTTGAATCTCTTAACCTCGCATCGCTTCACAGATGCTGCCGTAATATCCCTGGACTGTGAAACTTGGTTCAGGGCGTTGAACTCGGTACCAACAGACACAGTAGTCTCGGTGCAGAGGAAACCGTCATTTTCGTTGTACACGGACGTGAAAGTAACAGAATTCCAAGGACCTAGCTGACCAGGTACCTCGACCTTGAATAGATACGCGTCAAGATTGTCAACCTTCTTGACGGCCATGTGCTCGTACACGCGCGTGCGATCAACAGTAGTGTAGATAACGGGGGTATAGATGGATTTTCCGGCGGTGAGAATCTCGAGGTAATAGGAGCCTGCCTGCATCTGTGGTCGATAATCCTCGCTGAATCGACAGAAGAGATAAAAGTCTCCCACAAACTGGCTATGCCAGGTCACGTACTCGCTGAAATTGATGGTATAGAGCCTGGTACTCTTGTCAAAGCTGGCAGACCCCACCAAGTTGGACGACTGGTCCATCACGTAATTGCTCTCGGCCACGTCGACAACCTGAGGAGGGAGAGCAAAAGAGACGGAACTGTCAAGCGGCAGACGGGTAGGGATCTCCATGCGAACGTGGAGCTCCAGCCAAACACCTGGGTCGTTGATCAGGTTGGTGGAAGCACCCTGCTTGGCAACGGAGACGTCGACAATGGCGTTGGGCACTCCTGTTGGGGTGGCAATAGCCCGCAAGGTAGTTGTGATACCTGGAACGGCTGTCGTGGATGCGACGGCGCTGCTCGAGGGTGTCTCGATAACCTGGGATGACGTAGTAGCCATGCTCTGGGAGGTTGGAGTGCCCGTGGGGACCGGAGTTGACACTGCCATGGTCGAGCTGATGGGGGTCGAGGGGAGAGGCTCATCTCCGAGCTGGACAGTGAAGGCGTCAGACAGGGTGAACTGCCAGTCCTTGGGGTTCGTGGCATCACCAAACATGCGGAGAGCTCGAGCCAAAACCCTATATCGGCCAGTCCTGACCTCGGTCCCGTTGGCGAAGCTCTGGAACCTGGTGAAACCGACATTGCTGAACCGAAGGGGGAACTTGGCAGGGAACTCGACGTAAGAGCCAAACACATCGGCTGCCGATCGCAAGCTGCCATGCCATTGGGCAGACCCGGCTCCAGAGACCAGAGGGTACGAAAAATCTTCAACCTTCCAGTCAGGGCCTACCAGATCTAGCGAGAACTCGTAGGTGCCGTAACGAAGTGCATAGTAGACTTCAGGTGAGTCAGATTCAGCTAGCTTATAAGGCTTGCTCTGCCAGTCAATGGGGTACAGGTATCCAGACCCGGAGTCGTAGCGGAAGAAGAGAGGGGAGCCTTCAAGAGGTGTCCAATTGTAGGTGGAAACCTCAACGCCCATGTAGGGGACGGAGACGAATTCGCCATTGGTGCCCTCGAACACGACCTTGCCGCTCCAGACGGTGCCGCTGTTCTCCTGGTCGTTGGCGGGTTTGTTGAAAGTGACCTCAACCTCTTGTGTAGAGCCGGGAGCAATAGTGATGCTGTCAGGCGCACTGATGGAGCCAGAAGCGGCAGTAAGAGGAGGCATGTACGTATACGCGTACAGGTATTCGTCTCTGGACTTTACACTGGCTGCAGCGACATGTGATACTTTGTACGTGACCTGAGAAGAGCCCGTGTTGGCCAGACGAATCTTATGTGTGGATACTCGGTTGTCGGTATCATTGAGTGAGATGTGGGAATCAGACAAGAGGATAGTCTGATAATCCATGACCTTGACTGCGTCAACGAGACCAGATCCCTGCTGTGCGAGAGGCGCGATGTCGGCTCGGACCGACTTTTCTGTCTCGTCCCAGGCTGGTAGAGTTGCGGCGGTGGCGGAGATTCTGCGCGTAAACTCTTTGTTGTCCTTCTTGACATGGGCGTAGAAGAGAGCAGCCACACCTGCGATGTAGGGAGTTGAGAAGGAGGTTCCCGATTGCACGACGTAGCTGTTGTCAGGGTGAGCTCCGTAGACAAAGCCACCAGGAGCTGCAATCTTGGGGCTGAAGTCGTTTTCAAAGGTAGGACCCCACGAGGAAAAGTAGGAGACTTGTCCTGCGCCAGGGAAGTCGTTGAACGTATTAGCTGGATCAGATGCCGCTGGGTCGTCATCTGGTTTGATGACGAGGGTCAGGTTATGGCCCGCGGCAGTCTCTTCCTTGACCCAGGCGCCGACGGAAGCGGCAGTGAGTCCGAAGAGGTGGATAGAAGGATTGGAGTTGGTGGCATCTGACGGGTAGAACACTCCTTGATTGTACGAGTCAAAGATGAGATAGTAACCGAAGCCGTTGTACATCAGGGTATTGTATGCCTTGGCCCACATGCAGACTCCACGTTGGATGACGAGTGCCTGGGACTCATCACCATAGGACTGGGGATTGCAGGCATCTCCCGCGTCAACTGTGATGTGAGCATTGACAGTTCCATTGACCTTGGTTCCGTCACGGGTGATGTAGCTGATGGCCAAGTCTTGTCCGCTGGAGGACCGTACGGTAGCTGGCCAGCGCAGAACCTGCCTTGCGTTCACAGATGCTACGGAGAGAACGCCGCGGCCTGAGGCTGGGGAGCTGGCGTAGAAGATACCCTGCTCTCCAGAGTTTCCAGCAGCAACGACAACGAGGCGGTCTTGCGCAATGCTGCTTGCGACCGTGGATAATGCAGAGCCATGGTATCCACTGTCGCTACCTAGAGAGAGGGAGATAATATCGCAATTGTCTGCATCAGCAGCTAGCAGGCCCTTGAGGATAATGTCGTTGGTGGTGCTGTCTGAGCAAGGGAAGACCTTATACATATACACCTCAGCCTGGGGGGCAACACCACGGAAATCCTTAGTCTCTCCAACAATAACGGATGAGACGAATGTACCGTGACCGATACAGTCCTGAACGTCGTTATTATCATCCAGCATGTTCTTGCCGCCAACGATCCTGCCAGCCAAGGCCGGGTGAGCAGCATCAACACCGCTATCGACGACACAGACGCGCTGACCCTGGCCCTTGAAGCCTCGCTTGTGAAGCTCATCAACGCGGGTGACAATGTGAGGGTTCCATGCTCGCTTGGAACCGTCACCCTCAGCAATGGGATTGAGTTTGACCGTGTATACTGGCCAGGCATCGGCAACGCCAGAGACCTTCTTGAGCTGGTCGAGGGTGCCCTCTTTGCTGTTCTTGATTTCAATCGACAGACCACTAAAGCGCGTCGATATGGCAGAGTAGTCGTCCTTCACATCGACTTCTAGGCCAACGTTGGACAAGCTCGACAAAACGGCATCGGCACGACGCTGAATGTCGCGCTGGTGCAGTCCAGCTTCTGTCTCGAGCTCTACGATGTACCTTCCCGGTACCTGACCAGATCCCAGAGAATTGGAGGGTCTTCCAGCTGCCATGATGGACTCCTTGTTCCAGGCATTGGCGCCCGACATCAGTGCCGCTGCACCAATGGCAACAGCACGGAGAATATCGGACCACTGCACCATGATGGCGATTGGGGAGGATCAATGTTGAAACTGGATGAAGAATAACGAAAGAAATTGGCCTTTGAAGTTGGCCGGAACGAATGACTGGGGTTAAAACCGCCTTGCAGATTCAAGAGGCCAAAGTACGTAGCATGCCTTGTCTTCTTCATCACGAATGAGCTGGCGAGGGAGCAAAGGCTTTATATTTATAATACAACCATGAATCTCATCGTACCTATTAACACATTGCGGCATTTTGCTCTTGTCTCCATCGGCAGAAGTGGGAGCGGTCCATGTCGAAAGGGACTTTCCACATTGAGCTTGTGTTTCTTCATCTTGGCAATTCATCGCAAGCCTCTGTCCACCCGAGAATCCGTAGAACCATGACTCTTTTCGAGCAAGGGTTCATGCACCACCCGGGGCCCAATGACTAGTTCAAAGGTTCATACAGCAGCAAACCACGACGGCGATGGGACCAGATTTGGCAAAGCCGATGAACAACATCCGACTTTGCTTGATGTGGAGTCGCGCGTTCGATGACCGAAATGAGCTCTTGAAAGGATGACATTTAGGACTGTCACTTGGGAGGAACCTCGAGCTCAACGGGTTGGATTGAAGACCAATTAGGGCTGGGCCCGGTAGATGAGACCCCCGAGCCGATTAATAGTTCCAGTGCCAAGAGCAGTGCATATCTTATCTGATCATCTGATAAAAAAGAGATTCCACTCTGTCCCTGTCCTCGTATTTGGCCATCTCCCGGTATGATTGGTCAACTGTCACTATACGCCGGTGGTTCTCTTGGCCGTGGATCCTGCTACTCTGATCTTTTCTTCCCTGTATCTGGCTAGCCATCTCATTGGACCTGCAAAAAGCGTTGTGTCGGCGAGATCGGAAGCATCCGTCCATAAAAGAACGAACAACTGCCTTACCGACCAGGTAGTTACCCTTAATACCTCATCAGCCGCTAGCCCATTTATTCTCTTCCACTTTCAAAGTCAACAGGGGTTTGTAGTGGCCCCTCGCCAAACTTCCTAGTCTTCGGACACCGAGCGTATTCCCAGCTGTACAAAATTGGTCCCTCCTGGCGTGTAGGCAAGTTGTGTGGCACTGGCCCAGGCCGAGTATGGAAATTGTAAATTGTGCCGGGAAGCCCTACATGTCCAGTCTTCTGTAACTTACATGTCTTCATCAAGAACCAGATCCGGCTCCAGTCTGTTAGAATACAGAATCAATCGAATATATAGAGCATTTGACATAACACTGTCACATACGACCATACCCAGAAGAGAACTCGGGATCCCGTCCGCTCTCCCATAGATAAGCTTCTGAGGGGTGGATTAGTAGTTGGGTCGGTGACGACCAGCGAATACCCGCTGTTGTATGTCTTTTTGGCTAGAACGCTTTGTGTTTTTATCATTTTGTGTTGTGGTGGGGTCGGGGGCTTATAGCTCCCACGATAGCTTCAACTCCCACATACGACCATACCCATTCGAAAGCACGCGATCCCGTCCGCTCTCGCCTAGTTAAACGGATGAGGGGCCGATTAGTAGTTGGGTCGGTGACGACCAGCGAATACCGGCTGTTGTATGTTTCTTTTTGTCTTTTGCTGAGCTTTTGCCCGGCTGTTTGTCGCACACCACACCAAAGTATGAAAATGCCGTGATCTGCCATTGAATGAAACAAATCATCCAGGCGGCAGATCCTGCTACAGGCAGTGCGGCAGGATGCCCGTCGACCGGGACCTGCGGGTAACAACGGGGCGTTGCCAAACGATCATCCACCAGTCTGTGCTTTGGTGAGGTCATCTCGATCTACGGCGTCGGTTTTCGTACATGTCGCCGGTCCTACATCTATTTCATCACGAGACAGTGTCTAGCAAGGGCCATTTTGTGCATTCAATTATCATTCAATTCGTGAAATGTTCTACTTTTTGCAAATGAAATCTCCCTGGTCCTTGCTCTCTTGGACACGTAGCTGCTCTGCCCCAGCCAATTGCTCAGGCTGTAGAGCACTTGCCACTCCCGCCCGCTTACCGGACAGTGTAGCCACCGTCAATGACGATATCAGCCCCCGTAGTATAGGTCGACGCGTCGCTGAGCAGGTAGACGTAAGCCCCCTTGAGCTCCTTGGCGTCGCCGTTGCGGCCGAGGGGGATGAAGCTCCTCCACAGGTCCTGGGTCTTCTGGTCGATGAAGTCGGACAGCCCGGTGTCGATGTACCCGGGGGAGATGCTGTTGACGCGGGCAAAGTCGCGCCACTCGTTGGCGAGCGACTTGGCCAGGTGGATGCAGCCGGCCTTGGCCACGTTGTACGAGGTCTGCTCCTGGGGGTAGTTGGCGATGTGGCCGGACATGGACGCGGTGATGACGAAGGAGCCCTTGCCCTGCTTCTTGAAGTGGGCGCCCACGGCCTTGGCGCAGTACGCCGTGCCGGTGAGGTCTGTACGGATCACTCGGTCCCACTCCTCGGGAGTGCCGTCGACGACGCCGCTGTTGGCTGTGGCACCAGCGCTGGAGGAGATGGATGTTAGCTGGCTCAATGGCAATGGTAGGGATGGGGGGGTCTGTTCACGTACTTGGCGACGAAGCCGTCAATCTTGCCAAACTCGGCAACGATATCGCCGACGACGCGCTCAACATCGGCGTAGTCGTTGACGTTGAGCTTGTAGGCCTTGGCCTTGACGCCGTACTTCTCGACAATCTCCTGGACGTTCTTCTCGGCGCCCTCCTTGCGGGAGGAGTAGGTGATGGCGACGTCAGCGCCCATCTCGGCGGAGCCGCGGGCGGCCTCAATGCCCATTCCTCGGGGGCCTGAAGCGCCGGTGACGACGATGACCTTGCCCTTGAGGCTGAAAAGGTCCTTCAGGCTGCTGGACTCTGGGATTCCGACGGGCATGGTGGGCGAATTGGGCGAGAGGGTAAGGTCTAGTAGGTGTTCTTGGGTGAATTGATTGGCGGGGTGGAATGAACTGAGCAAGAGAGGACGAAGCTGCGAAGGAGGAGAGGTGGTCTGTCTATTTATCCATCACGCCAGCGACAGTCGACTCCATCCTTTCTCGGCCCAGCAGAGTCAATTGATGACGAAGGAGGGGGAGGGCGCCGAGAGTACCGGCGCCGGCAATACCCCCCACCAAGACAAGGCAAGACGAGAGGTTCATCCCAGAACTTTTTAGGCGAGAATCACATCCCTAGTCCACGGGAGTCGGCTTATGCAGTTCTTACACAATACGAGCCAGGAGCTATGGGCCTGGGCTGGGAAGCTGGGCGCAACGGTTGGGCGCGGAGGCAGCCGTGCCTGGATTTGGGGTTACATCACAGGACGCTGGAGAGTTCAGAGACCAGCTCCAGACGCTCTGCCCAGAGCCTTTGATGTCATTCCTCGGCCTTGGTGTGCAGCCCCCGGAAATATCTGCGGCGACGCCATTGGCTGGGAGGCAGTTGGCAAGATGTGCCACGCTGTATCCGGCTGGAATGGTGGTGTGACCGACCAGCAGCTTTATTCTTATTCTGGATCTGCACCTACACAGTCAAGGCTTGATTCATTGCTGGAAAGGCCGAGAGGGCAGTTTGTGCTTGACACGTGATGGCGATGGCACGCCACTGTTTGCTGGGCTTCTGATGAGGCGGCGCGACCGAGGAATGAGAGAAGACCGTGATGAAGCTTCTACGTGTCGATGACGCGCACTTGAGGCCACAAACGGGACCACAGAAATGCCAATTGGCCCCATGTCAGTTCCCAATCACCATTCGCTTCGCCGGTGGAAACTGGAGACTGGGCGGGCAACGCGACGAGCGAGAGAGATAATTATGGAGGGCGGGGCAATCGGATTGTCGGATATCGAGAGCCAAGATCCATCCATGTCACTCTCAGCTGCAACGCGCCCAAAAACTGCTCAGAGACGCATTGGAAATACACCGAGCAAAGACGCCCGTTGCCTGGACGGGGATGGAGGGTGTGACTAAGCGCTGAGCTCGCTGACCAAACCATGCGATAATCCAGCTGCGACGCGTTGATTTGCGAGCCTCATGTAAGGGATTTGAATTTTGAGACAGGCAGACTTGGCATGAAAAGAACATGGTCTGAAACGGGCAACCAAAGCCGAACAAATCGTGGAGTTGCGGAACGACAGTGTTGATGAATGTTTTTGTCCCCGATTCTGAGGGGTCGTGATGCTTCATGGCGGGGTAATTGACAGCTACTCCCGGTATGTGAGGATTGAGGGCTTGTCGACTTAGGTATCGACTTGTTTTGGAGCCCTGTTTTACTATTCATGGGAGGAGCGATTTAGAATGTATATGAGTAAAATATAATTACATTGAACTTGACTTCGTTTACCTTGGATGTGAAATTGAAGATAGCATCATGACATCACAGAGGTCTAGGGTAGGTTATCACGTGACGTGGCGGAGGGGAGACTCAATTGATGAGGCATTTGGGGGAACAAGTTCCATTCGCTAGACATCTAATTTTCTTTACATTACGCTTGCTTCCTTCATTAACCCATATCTCATGCTCAAACACCGCTTACAGCAGGTCCATGATCTTCTCTCCGGCGTAGCTAGCGTTGTACGCCCATTTCTTGGGGCTGGTCTGTTGCAATTGGTCAGTCTCAGTCTTGCTGGGGTGAAGAGGGGTAATGATTGAACATTGGAATGGAACAATTGTGACAAAAGAACGCGTACCTGGATGTAAAGAATGCCGCCCTCAATGACAACCTCGTGGTAGGATGCCTTGATCTCGTCGAGCACACGGATCTCGATCTTCTTGGCGCTGACCTCCTCGAGGAGTCCCTCCTGGAGCATGTCGTCGGATCCAAACTTGTTGTACTCCAGCTGCGAGTAGAGACCCTCAAAGTAGGAGTAGAGGGTGCGGCCGTAGCCCTGGTCCCAGTCGGCGTCGATCCCCTCAGCGCCGTTGAGCTTGGCAAAGTTGGCCTCGTCGTTGCTGTTCAGGGTAATCTCCGTGCCCAGCAGCTTGCCGTACTTGGCCTGGAGCTCGGCAATCTTGGGCGCGTAGTCCTCGGCGATGCTGAGGCGGGCGTGGAAGTTGAGTGGCTTGGTGGAGGGGGCGTTCTGAAGCGCCTTCTTGAGCTTACCCTCCTCGAGGGCGCTGCTGATGTTGGTGCCGAGGGCATTCTCTCTGAACACGATGACGAGCTGGCCCTGCTCGTTGACGACAGCGCCATTGTAGTAGATGGTCGAGTCATCGGTGTAGTCAAAGGTGATGACATGAGCGGGGGCGAGATCATTCAGGTCGTTCTTGTAGATCTCACCACCGGTCCTTCCGATAATGTACGAGAGCTGGCTTTGAGCGCCTTCGATGTACTCGGTGATCAAGTTTCCGGGGCTGTGGTTGCCGTATGAGCCCTCCTCAGCATAGGGGAACAGAGCCTTGGGGTCGACTTCGACAGTCCAGGCCACTCCGAGGAGGTCAGAGAGCTTCTTCTCGAGCTCCTCCTTCTTGCTGTCCCACTCATCACGGACTAAAAGAGAGATGTTAGTTCACCAATTGCCGAGGGAATATAAGATGAGGTTTCAATGGAGTGTCTCACGGTTCTTGCGGGCAGCAAGGGGAAGCTTCTCGGCGGGAGGAAGACGAGGCATTGTGTATGAGCTGGTTGTGGAAAGTGAGGTTGAGTAAAGGTATTGTTGATGATGGAGATTGAGCAAAGCCGAGATTGAGGGAGGACGGACGAGGACTTATATATCCCTTCCAGGCTTTACAGGCAATAGGTTGCCTGGGAACAGAAAGCCGCCGCCATAGGGAACCTTGCGCTCGTCAGTTCAAACAATAATTCAGCCTCCATCATTTCAACATCTCTCCTCTTGGGCTAGCTGGCCCCGTTAGGCTGGTTGAGCTCAATGAACGGCCCTGTGAAACGGACTTCTGCGCTAACAACCATCATAGCATCTAGCTGACCTGCCCCCTTTCCCCTCTCCTCCACCGTAACGGATCGCTTGGCTTCTCCGAAGCGAGCAAAGAGGTGCCTAGTTGAGCTTGGATCCGCGTACCTGCATTTCAGCTCATCTATTCACCTCTCTGTGAAGGATGCGTGCACAGCGTCAGCTCCTCCTCTTGGCGGGACCGGCGCAGGCAACAGGGCAGCGGCATGGCGGGACTGGGCAAATCGTAATCGGATTAACCATACAAGTTGGTGGGAAAAAGCCTAGGCCGACCCTTAAATTGTCATTCCCCACACAAGGCTGTCTTGGTGGTGGGAAATGCTACGCCACGTTTGCCCGCAGACGGTCGAGCTGAACATTTAGCGTTGTTTGGCGGCACCAGGAACCGAGCATGTCACAGCGCGGCTCACCTCCGCACTCCCTTTCCGTGATCTTGACACCGTTTCATTTCCTGTCCTGTGGTTTTTGTTGAGCCTGAGCTCTGGTTCCCACTCCCGGGAGCGGAGAGTGGTCATCAGCCCTGCCGGTGAATGGAGACCTGCCCCCCCCACGCTGCGATTTCTTGGCTTGACATTGCGCCAAGGCACCCTTATGGGCAAATGCCGCCATTGAGTCAGCCGGCGTGAGGGGTCAGATGTGATACAATGTTGAACTTGAAGCTAAGATGCCATGACTCGTGGGCCCAAGACTTGGGAGGTCGGGAAGGGGAATGAAGCTATCAGCCGCTTCACTCGCCGAGCCCGAAGAGCACTAGCTTTCCTTTCTCCTCGAGGGGCTCCATGATGGAAGAGCGCCACACTTTGTAATAGTATTGTTCCTCAGAGCAACGTGTGTTGCTGACTGGAAGTTGAGAAGCGTTGGAGCTAGCCCACTTTCGCCTTTCGAACGGGTCGTTTCGAAAAAGCAATTCATCGAGGGGTTTTCTTGAGGGCGTATTAGTTGGCGTTACTGAACATTGGCCTCTTTTGTAGGTGCTAGAACATTCTAGCATTAATGGCAATCTGACCTAAAACACGATCAAACGTGCCAGCTTATCAAGTATAGTTGCTTATGTGGAGAGGAATATACCACCTTCTCATAACTAGTCTGTAAGTTGCTCAAAATATACGCCGCCAAAAGCTTACGGAGCGATGCTCCAACAGCATTCGCGGGACTCATGACGCGATATCGCTTAAACGCGTTGCTTGGCGATATGGTGTCACTTCTACCAGAGAAGACCTTGTGCGTGATTGACCGCTTCCATTGGTTAGACAACCTACTGCGTTCCATTATTCGAAGGATCTGGTGACGGCATTGAGGTCACCGAAGCTGAAAGTTCTCTTAACCACGACAGGGAGACCAACAACTTTGGTGGAAGAGTTGAGGGAGGATTCGAGTTCTAGCATCTCTGACGGCTCTCTGGCGGAAGGGCGCGAGAACTTGGACTCACTAAAGCAATGAATTGAATATTACGAAGGGAATTGGGGAAATGAACACCCTCACGGCCATGAGAAATCAATACCGTTCGCTCCACGGTAATCGTTGAAACCAAGATGAACGTTTTGGATATGCGTCTTTTTCCCATGTAGGCCGTGGGTATCCTCTTCTAAGATACACACACTTGAAGAGAAACTTGTTTTGATTCTTTCAGCTATTCCCGAGGATTGAATCCCAAGGCAGTGAAGGCTTGATAACCAAGATGCTTTCTCCAGTCGATTATCCCCCGCACTTTAGACAAAAGGTTGCAGCGGCTTCCCTCATGCCTGATTATGCCTCTCTCGGATCATGGGCATGAGGGCTTCTAACTTTCTTAGTTGCATGTATAACTTTGACAGAGTTTTTCGGCGAGTGATGGCAGGGCAATGAGGCAAATTTATGACTGCAGATTGCAAGATCCGGGCGCAAAGCTCGAACCTTGAGCCGATTAAGCTTTTGGGATAAACGTTGATTTTCATCGCGTTTAACGTGTCTATCTCGCGTGTAACCTAAAGTCTGGTGTTTCCTTATAGCCGTTTGGGTTGACCCAGCCCTTTTTTTTTTTTTTCCCCTCAACTCACACATATCTACCAGCTAAGGCCATGTCGATTGACCACAGGCAGTGTGCTCTTGAGTCTCATCGCCGACAACCTCAACCATCCCGGTCTATCTGATCGAAGGCAGAAGACACAGTGGTCTTTATTTGGTCTTGGCTGGGACTTTGATGGTGGTAAAACCGGCAGGAATGAAGTAGGATTGGCTCGCTCTTGCTTCAAAAGCCCATCGTGCGCAATTCTCACCGCCTTGGCAGAAGAAGCAGGAGACACTCCAACCTCAGGCAACAGTCATTCAGCCCAAAGACGTCAATCTCCAACTCGGCTTCACTTGTTGAAATTCCCCCGTCGTGAAACAGACTCCTCCCTCGCACCCTGCCTGATTCTTTCTCCGAGAACACGCCTTTCCAGTGCCTCGCGAGCCTTTCTACCCGAAATCAACTCCCGGAAGTTTCTGGCATGGCTTCGACGCAGGAAGAGGGCGAGAAGCCCTTGAATCAATCCGAGAAGGAATTCTTGAGGGATAATTTCGGCGACGAATTCCATTTCCTGCGCGACCATGGTCTCAGCATCTACAAAGAGGAGGATCGTCACGAGGGCCGAGCGATCCTGCGAGCTTTCCAGAAGTATGACTTCCTCCCCGAGGAGGATCACTCCCCTCATCGTGTCAACGAGGCGGCTCCTGAGTTCCGCCACGACAACTATTTCCGCGCGGACGGCCGAGCTGAAGAGACCCAGTATCAGCAACAGATGCCGAGAGCCTTCGCCCCCGCGCACGGATCCGATTTTGCTGGATTGTCAATCTTCGAGCCGGCTCAAGCCCCTGCTCTGGTATCTGCGCCTGACGGCGGTGAACAGCACCAGGGACCGGCACGCGAGTATGGTATGAACCCTTATGAGCTTGGGTATCATCATGAACAGAATGGCGCTCGCGATGGGGGATACCAGGGCGGGTACCAGAACGGATACCAGAACGGATACCAGAACGGATACAATGCTGGGTGTGATAATGGGTACGTTGAGGGATACAATTCTGGGCAAATTGATGGTTGCGATAATCCGCATGATGCTGGTCCCGATTGTCATCATGGAATCCATGATGAGTGCAATAATGGGTACGCTGAGGGATACAGTTCTGGGGAAGATTATGTTTGCGATAATCCGCACGATGCCGGTTCCGATTGTGGATATGATGATGGCTACTATGAGGGATTCGATGAAATGTACGAATATGGGTACTAAGATGGGTATGAGGATGATGGTTAGAATATTCAGGAGATCTTTGTGAGATTACGGTTTTCAAGCAAGGGACCGAGCCCACGAGTCCTTCTCCAGACTGGAGGCTATTCTGGGGGGAAGCATGGAATGTGCTTGTGGACAGCAGTGTGGCTTCATTTGAGGGAATGCGGAGTTATTCTTGGGAGGTTGAGGCTTTTTGGAGGGCGTGAAGAGATGAGTGTTGTAATGGAAACCTGTATGGTTTGTGGTTAATATTTTTCTTGTCGATCGCGACAAGGCCCTATTGGAAGAATATGCAAGCTATTCACTAGGGGAATAGAATGTATCAATAGCATAGATGATTCATTTGCTATGAAATTAGAGAATGATGACACAGCTCTAACATAGTCCTTCCGGTGACACGCGTTGACGTTTAATAAAAATGTTGCACAGGCACAGGCAAGACACAGTATTGCGTGGCAGGGGCGCTCGATGCTGTCTGAGTTCGATTTTGGAAATTCGGATAAGGTCAGAGGGAGTTATTTACTCTTAGAGAAGCTAATCGTAACTACCAACAACCCTATGGAATGATCAATCCGGCCTCAAACATTTCATGAAGTCCAGTATAAAAGCAAATGCGCCATATCTTTTGAACCACCTGCTATCAAAGCAGAATCCCCAAAGGATCGCTCCGCTTTTTTCAACTCTAAAGTAGTGGGCTCATAGTCAAAGTAACCCGGAGTGCGTTGTCTCTTGTGGCTAACCGACTTCCCGGGTCAGCACAGAGCTAGACGTCTACTCTACCCCCTCAGTGTTGGGAGTGTTATTCGTCCTAGTCCTAGTAGTCAAACCCTTCATCCTCATGGTCAAACCCTTCATCCTCGTACTCATATCCTCCGTCCTCGTGGGTATCCTCTTCCTCCGTGCAGGTATCCTCGCCCTCTTCGTAGAGATTTTCTTCCTCTACCGCCTCGACAATGCTCTCCAAGCCGTTCCCAAAGCTACGGCTATTGTCGGGAACATTGGACTCAGCCTCCTCAGCCTTGTACTGAAACTTTTGCATCATGTTGAAAGACATGTCAGGGTGGTCCGAAAGCTCATCAAACACGGTTCGGGGCCTTTCCACACATATCATGGCGAGAAAGGGGTGAGCGTGGATGAATTCGGAGAATCGAAAAAACGGACGAGCATGTACCCCGGCTAGGGAAAGATAGTGCTTCAACGAGGGAACGTAGGGCTCCTTGCACAGGAGGCGGACGTTGATGCACCATCGAGCGGTTTTGATGGCGATTAGTAAGTTGGAATTGCAGATGTACCTGAACACCTTGTTTCTTGCTACTCTGATGAGCTGTGACATCCACTGGGTAGGGTCCTCGTATTTGAACTGAACATCGTTTGGGGATATCGTCGTTAGCTGCCCATCACGCCAGACATCACCGCATAAACTGAGAGAATAACGCATTTCGCTGCCTCCGATAAAATCAAGATGCCCGTATACTCGTTCTTTTTTTGGTCAGCACTGGTATTAGGGATTAACTAGCGGTGGATGGTCTACCTCGACTGTTTTTGATGACTCCAACTACCTCCGTGACATTAGGTTCGAAGTTTTGGTCCCAGGGTGTGGATGTCACCCCGTGTTGAAGACGAACTTTAACGTGATCGAGGACAAGCCTGAGGAAGCTCTCAATCTGATCGTCGGTAGGAATAGGGTTTGGCTGACCGCTCGCTTTCATCGCAGCGTGGAGAACGTCGAACACGTCCTTACACTGCGGGATTGAAAGATCGTCGACGCGGGTAGACGCAGAGAGCTCAACATGCTCATGCCACGAATCCCTATTGTCGGTATTGGTGGCGGCCAGTTGCTCCCGGCAGGCCGTGAAGATGCCTGACCGATGGATTTTGCCTCTTTCAACCATCATGGCAAAATGTTCGATTAATGGTCGGTCTGATCAAGAAATGCTGTTGAAAAGCACCAACGAGGGCCCTTTGGAGAACTCGTGGGCAGAAATCGGCGGAGGGGTGAAAGGATCGAGAGAGGTTAAGGATGAAAAGAGGAAAGAGATGAAGAGGAGGAGGAGGATGGGCAAAGCTTAGAATTTGGAGCGAGGTGAGAAATGGGTGAGGTGAGCCTCAGGCACACTCCACCAAGAGACAATGAATTTGCCTCCACTACAAGGAACCTCTCAGAGGTACCTGATTGAGTGTGTATCCTGTGTAGAGAAGTTTGGTCACTTTGTGTGTTTGCAGAGAGATTCAATTCTGATAGAGCCCCGTCCCCCTTCGCACTGTTTCACATGCTCAGACTGTAGTTTTCCAATCCATTTCTGGCTGTAGCATCATAATCTCTCCTGCCACTCTTGGAAACCAGATATCCCACTGCCTGAACTTGAGCTCTATATTTCCAGAGAACTAACAAAAAGGCTGAAGACTGACACATGCACTGATAACCGTGCCTCCGTAATTCCAGGCAGCCTCCCGACCATCTTCCAATTTACCATGATGTGCTCGTCGGCTGGAGGAATCTCTCTGCACATCCCTCTGCTACTTCTTTTTTACCGCGCTCGCGCTGTGATACCGTGAAGCGCTCTTGTGTTTGTGGTACTCCACATGTACTAACAGCACGGCTCGCCGTCGGCTTGGAAGTCTTGACGCTTGGCTTGCGCTTTTTCTTTCAGTTCAAAGCTGACCGTGATTCCCGTCCTTGAACCTGTCTTGAATGTTTCCCATGACTCGATACTGTCTAAGGAGTCGCGTCTGGTTTGTGCAGAGGCTGACCTTGAGCCATCGGAATTTACCCCATGCTCCTTTGTATCGGCTGTGCCATTAGATTTACCGTCGCTTGATGGGTACTTTAAGCCACCAAGGGTCTCTCGCGGTGCATTTTCAATAGCAAAATATGTGAAATCTGCAGCAGAGAGATCGAAGAGATTGGATACCCACGTTTGGACTTGATCAAGCGGATCAGGTTTGTCCTGGTCGCCCTCATCGACCGAAAATGATGATTTCATGTCTGATTCTGAGCCAACCCTCAACAGTACGTCTCATCTAGTCAATTATCTCTAAGCCTACGTTGATGAATGAAACAAAAATATTACCTTCTTCCAAAGCAATTTTGCTTTGCTTCGGAACTCGCGTGACGCGCTCCAGGACAGCATTATTTGCCTGCAGACGCCTCTCAGCGACTGTCGTGACGTCGGTTGATGGTACCTTCCATTCTGACCAACCCACAGGGAGAATCTGTTGAGTATTTTTAGCTCCCTCGAGCCTGACGTTTGATGATGACAGGGCTACTTGATGAGCCTGATCTCGGAAGGTTGGACACCACGTCGCCAATTGTTTTGCCGATAGATGAGCACAGGCCCGAGGGAGAAGTGTTCATGGCGACCTTTTTAAAGGCGATTTTTAATTAATTTGGTCGTCAATCGCGTGATATTTTGTCTACTGATGTGAAACGGCCCTTGGAGATATGTGTGGTGTGCACTTATGCGAGCAACATTACTGCAAGGGAGCCTGGCCGTGTAAAGAAAGGGCTGGCATAAACTGAGGTGTTATCTGGTCGAGTTGCGCGATGAATCATATTCGTGCTTTGGATCAAATCAGCAGGATATTGTGTTGTATCCCCTTGTGCCAGGATCGAGGGCATTGGAACTATCAGTCTGCAGGAAGTATCAGTCATCTGGGGTCTTTCTTCTACGGTTATTTGTCATTCACATAGGAGCCGGGTGATGGAATAGCCCGAACTTGGGCTGGCTGCGGGCAAATCTGTCCTGCATTGTAACCCACAGCATAACATCCCAAGTTCCAATAATAATCGGACATCTGGAAGCCGGGGGCACGTTGCCTAATTGGTCTAGTGTAAGCGCGGTCGCTTATTGCATCACGATCTCATCGGGATCCATTGAAACACCAAGAGTGTTTGAGTTGAGTATAAGTACATGCCCCCGAGCTGTTCATTTCTGTGTTTCCAATAAAATTCATACCAAATACCAATATTTCAACATACCCTTGCTACTCCCTCAATAACAGAAAGATTCCCGAAGCTTCATCCTGCAACAATAAATTGCCCAAACACCACATACTAATATGGCCCCTTCTGTCCTTGGCATCGGCATCCCTGCCACCTCTACTATCGTCCCCTGGATCGCAAGAGGTCGGCTACAGAAAATCCTTACTGCCATGGAGGCTGACATGAATGCTTCCCCGTACGACTGGGAAATGCTATACATCACTCCGGAGACGTCATTTGATGTCTGCCTAACGAAGCTTCGTGAGAGGCAGTGGGACGTCGTCATGGTTGGAAGTACGTGTGCCTTTCTGTAACCTCTAGCATACTCTCTTCGAACATGTGGACTAACAATTGTCGCGATAGGAGGTTTACGGGCAACCGATTCACTTGTGCCATTCTTCGAGCGAATCGTCAATGCTGTACATCAGGAGCTCCCGCAAACAAAAATAGCTTTCAATGCGACTATTGAAAAGACACGGGAAGCTGTCGATCGAGTGCTGTCTAGTCAAGACAAGCCGTGATGCTGAAATAATAAGAAATTTTTCTCATTTGTTCAATAATCCTAGCCATGTTCAAATAATAATCTGTTCCTTCCTGCTACACCCAACCGACCGATCATATGTGAGGAATCCAAATGCATGACTTCCTGCTACTGCCCTTAGGCGAGTAAAACTTGACTACCGAGGCTTTTCATAGCCATCCTCCAATCGCAATTATCATTCAATTCGGGCTGACACTTTCTTAGACGCCAGCATTCTTCCATGACCATCAGCCCTTTCCATGTCATTCCCAAAGGCCGTTTGTGTTCCATGAGACTCCTTATTAATCTTCGAAAACGCTCATGCAGGTTTTCATGTGCAAAGCACCCTATCATTGTAAACGCCCAGTTGGCACGGATTATCGATCCGAAGGGGAGAGCCTCCAGTCTTTCCAAGCCCTGGCGCACTAGACGGACAAGTTCAGGATGATCTATGTCAAACCCATGCAGGAGAACGTGCAGGTACACCTGTGAAGCGCAGGCGAATTGCAGAGTTATCAAACTGCTTCGGGATTCCAAATCATCCAAGTTAACTATAGGTTGTGTGTCTAGCTCGTGCACTTGCTCCATCAGTTGCAACGATATGGCTGCAGCACGTGAGGAAAGCTCCTCTGCGTCCAGTGAGCTGCTCTGAATTTGAGCATTCTTCCAATCAGCAAGATGTGTGATCTCAGCAATGCTTGCCATGACTGTTGAGTGGCAACCCATTATACCTTGCGTTTTAATTGTATTGGCACGAAGGTATGGTATGTAGTCGAAACGCCGGACATCACGCGAGGGATAACCAAATGTTGCGGTGGCAATGACATCAATCCAGACGACGCAAGTGACGTGAAATTCAAGCGTCCTCTGGGTATCTGGGCATGAGAAGTCCCCGAGCGCTATATCAAGTGGTGATGAATGTGGGGAAGCCCTCTCTTTGTCGAGTGAGCCCGCAGCGTTGTAGTTCTGGACGGCTTCTAGTAGAGTCATTGTCGCTTGGTGATGCAGCAGCCAGGTCCCCTCCAGCATGCTGAAAACTTCAAGGCTGAGTAGTTGATGCATGACTTCCAACATCTGAATAGCTACTCTGATCATGTCCTTAGGGACAACTCGCTGCTGATGGAAGCGTGTGACCAGCGTCTGTAGTCCCTGTACAGCGACAGCCTTCCGCTGCGCCACCTCTACACTTAGGCCAATTCCATCTATCCTCTGTGGTTCTTTAAGCGAGGCATCGAAGCAGGCGCTAACACTCAAAGCACCTTGATACCGGGCAGAGTTACTACACAGGCCACTCATAAGCCAGCGATGATCCGCCGGTCCAGACAACGAGCAGAACGTGAACTGAACTGGGAAGACAAACTCAAGGTAAATTTTGAGTAGACGTGCGTCTTCGCGAGGGCTCTTTTGGCTAGGCAGAGAGGAACAGACCCCTCCATCCCACCAAATGGGCTCTGGTACAGAAGGCGGTTTGCCTCCAATCACAAGCTGGCCAGCCTTGGGCCTGCTCACAGTCTGCCCGGAGCGCCGGCGAGCTTTGTATTGCGCCTCTGCAATGGATTGGAGATGTCGGGCTTCAGAAGTAGCCATGACCTCCTTCCAGTTCTGCTTGCCTTGCATCCAGTCGGGAGGAGGGGTATTGAAGCCATAGCATTCTAGATCCCGGATGGTGCAGCTACCGCAGCGGGGATGCTGCTCGTCGCACTTCTTCTTGCGCACGCGGCAGGTGTAGCAGCCGTTTCTGCTACGCGAGCCGCCTGATGCCATTTTGATTATTGGTCCCCGTAGTGAAGACAAGTTGGTGTGGATAGTGGCTGTGGTCTCTCTTGGCTCTCGAGTGGGAACATTCGTTGACAAGAGCTAGGCTCGGTCATGAAAATGCGCCAGATACCCGACCATCTGCGGCCCCCAAGTTTCGTCGCTGATTCTATTCCAAAGAGGGTTAGGTTAGGCGCGGTCAAAATCTTGGTGGTCAGATCCATGTAACTATCCATGATGATAGGAACAAGGAGCCCAATCATTGCTCCGTCTTGATGCATGACACTACTTAGCGCATTAAGCCAGCATTGCTCGTCTCGGTTATCGTTAATGCGTCAAATGAGACTAGAGACGCCGTTGAATGTCACAAAACCACACCCTCAAATACCGTCATGCGGGTTGATAATTGGCTATTTCCAGAAATGGTCAAGTCAGCCGCAGCCATTTTCAGTCCAGTTTCAAAGGAATGTGATTGATACTGCTTGTAAATCCACGCTCGGGTGCATGGAAATGACCGATGTTGAAAGAAAACGTGTCTCGGGGATGGCTCACTACCGTCGCTTCTCGTGGTTAAAAATGAATTATAAATCTTTAGCCAGAGCCGAAACAGCCGCTTGGCTTATATATAAGGTCCTGGTGTTCCTACTATGAACTCGTTTCTTTATTAACCATCATCAACATCTTCTTACAATACTCCTATCTTCTTACAGTACTTCTATCTTCTTAAAATACTTTTATCCTCAAAAGACCCTTCATATTCACCAAGATGACGGAAGTCGCCACTCTTGAGCCTCTCCTCCCCTCTCGGGTAATTCACCAGTTCCCGATGCCTTCATGGATTGAGAATCTTGCGGTGCGGTCAAACGGACAGGTTCTTGTGACTTTCTGCTCCGCACCTGAAGTCTACCTTGTCGACCCATCTGAGCCCTCAAAGACTGTCCTCATCCACAAGTTCTCAAATGTCACCGCCATGAGTGGGATCATTGAAGTAGAGCATGATAAGTTCTATGTCGCAGGAGGTGTCTGCGATCTCCAAACAATGACCAGCGAAGCAGGATCCTACAAACTGTGGGAGATAGACATGGCCACATTCGACAAGAGTGGAGAGGCTACAGTGAAGGAGGTATTAAAGCTTGACAAGATCGGTTGTCCGAATGGGCTGGAGTTGCTGTCACGATCTGAGAAGATCATCCTTGCGGCCGACTGTGAGCACGGGGCCCTCTTCAGGATTGACATTGCGAATGGGGCGCACGAGATAGCTCTAGAGGTTGATGAGATGCGAAACCCCGAGAATCCTTTCATCCCTGTTGCCATCAACGGTATCAAGGTCCGGAAGGAATACCTCTATTGGACGAACACTTCCAAAGCACTATTTTGCCGCGCGAAAATTCTTGAAAATGGCAAGAGTTTTGGCAGTGTTGAAGTCCTACGCCAGGGCTTCATAGGCGATGACTTCTACTTCGACTCCGATGATAATGCTTGGGTCACTCAGAACCCCTTCAACACAATCACCGTGGCCAGGTCAGCGGGTGAACTTGTGACGGTTGCAGGAAGGATAGATCGAATGGACGTTGCAGGTGCGACTGCATGCCAGTTTGACAGAAGAGAGGGCAAAGAACATTTGCTGTACGTTGTCACTAATGGTGGTCTGGCTGGACCTGTCAATGGGCAGCAGGTGGAGGGTGGTAAGGTTTTAGTTATTGATACAACAGCGTTCAAAACTGGATGAACGAGTCTGTGCAATTGAATATTATATTTTTACTTAGTACCGAATTGATGAATTAAAGTTTCTATCTCTCAATCATAGAGCATCTTGCCTTCTGAAGATCCCCTTTTCTCATATGAGCTACCACTTTTCCGATGTCCTTGCCATTGAAGTCATAAAGTGTCTATCAAGTCCTGCCACGGAAGCACCACTCTGAAGTTGTTTCAATAGATATCCAATTCGAGTTCCATTAGCTACTAGCGGTACATTGTTACATTCCCTCCGGACTCTCAGGGAGGGCCACACGGCCTGTTACTAGCTTTGAGTGGTAGACGATGGTCTTTTCCAACTCGTCTCTGTCGACCGGGAATCTTCTCTTGTAGCGGTCAGTCTCCGCGAAGAAATCCAGCAGACGTTCCTTCTCAGCCCTTGTCGCAAACTCGAAGGTCGAATACAACCCGAAATGGAATATCGAGGCAATGAAAGTCTCGAGCCGGAGTAGGTACGGAATGTATTTCCAAAGATGAATACAGAGGCTTCTAGTTTTCTCATACAGCGCCGCTTTATTTGGTAGTTGGTATATGTCACTCCAGTCATATCGCATGCGTAGAATAGTAAGCTTCATGTAGCACAAGGCCATGAGGATCCTGGGGACAAAAATGTTGGGGAAGTCGTAGCTGGTCCCGGTGAGGCCATTGGGGTCCGGCCTTTCTATCATTTGTTTGGCCCGGACGCAATCCTGGATTGCTTGCGGCAAGGCCTTGTCTGCCTCGTCATCCATTTGCTGGAGCTCCGCTATGGTCAACATCGCGCGGTCAAATGTCTCTGGGTTAAACGGATCTTGCCGAAGAACAGGACACTCGTGGAGTATCTTGGGTATCCTGTCGCCAATCGAGCAGTGGACAAGTAAAGGCAGTAGTAGATGCGTCCCCTTCGCTTTTTCGATTATGCAACCCTTGATTATATCACCCCAGGGTGGATGATTCATGAAATTGGTCTCGCCTGTCATGATAAAATATGGGAGCTAGATGGATATCAGCACTAGAAGCTCATGCCTGCATTTCACAATCATCGATACGTACCAGTATTCCAAATGCTTCAACCATAAGAAACCTATGAAGGTGATCATCAGGCTTTGGAGCGCCGAGTTGCATTATCATGTGAGCCAACCCCTTCTCATGTATAGACTGTCCCAGGTTCAGGCCTGGATCGAAGAACTCCCCAGCACGACCTAGTATTACCATTGAAGCCAGTGTCTGCAAGGTAATGGCCTTGTCGCTTTGCAATGTTCGGCGCAGGCTACGGAGGGCTTTGCCGTATGCAGGCATATCAATGAATTTGCCCGCCTCTTGGCCACGACGGTAGGAAGCCCACGCAGTACAGAAGAGATCAACCGAGTCTCGAAGGCTCGGATTGTAGTTCATGTGTTGTGGAAGATCGCGTAGGTACTCTAATAGAGTCAGGATGCCTTGACTTGACGCGCTGTTTAGATGCGTTATCAGCCGCGCAGAAACACGCTCCGCTGCAGTGGTCAGGTTCGGGGTAGGTTTCGCCGCATGTAGGCGAAAGGTGTAATAATACGCCTGGTCCTCATCTTGGCCGGCGACACGGAATTTGATCTTCTTCCGTGCTGTTGGTTGCAGCTCAGCGCCTCGTGCCGCCTGATAGGCAGAGGGTTGACCATCCGTGACCTTGTCCGGGGTGAACGGATGAGATGACTTGGGATCGAAATTCACAAACTTGGTCAACACTGACGGTCCAGGGCAATTGAAATTCTTTACTCTACAGGGCGTGCATGTTGGCCAAGTTTGGTCACACTATTAGGCACATATCAATCAGCTTGTCCTGGACACGTGGGCCGAAGCCAACCGCATAATGCCGTAGCTGCTGACCTACCTTGATCCTGCGGGCCTTGCAAACCTGGCATGCCTTTGATCTGGGTGCACTGGGCATATTTCTGGCTGGGAGCCTGACTGAACAAACAATCCGATCGGGCACTGGCTCGCCATGGGATGATCTTGCCAGGTTGCATTGCCAATGGAGTTGAGGGAAGCTTGTTTACATATCAGAAGTGGATCATCAGGGGAAAAGGAGGATGACGGCTAAAGTTCCACACTTCTTGGCTCTTCACCCAGTCACGAGACCATGAAATCCATCAGCATCACCACTCGGCCACCCAAACACCATCACACTCCCTTATAGATCGGCCTGTTTCTCCTCCTCGCACCTAAAAATCAGCGCTGTTGGCCTACTCTAAGCCAGCTTGGCAGCCTCTCTCATGAGTCGAGCTTCCCAAGCATGGTGCATCATTAAAGGGGCTGAGCTATCAGCCAGGAGCGACGCGCTTAGCGCAGACAGGGGTTGGGAATTTTTTCCGTCGTTTCGGAGGTCTTCTATCCATCCTCGTGAATCTCGGAGCATAAAACTCGCAATGTATGAAGATTACTATGACGATGCCGGATCATTTTTGAGGGCTGACGGGACGGGCCAGGACCAAGTGCATACGCCGAGAGCAACCCACCACCAGCACTGCTTTCTTGGCCCACTGTGGGACAATATATTACCTGCTTGGACACGGAGAATTTGTCGGCGGTCCTTCTCTTTTCTCGTATCTGTCGGTAGCTGTCGCGGGGGTCTTTACAACCTTCTGGCGAATGAATGAAGTGGGTGGCTAGCCAATAGGAATTTCAAGAGGGAGAGTCAAGCCCTTCCATGGAAGAGGCAACGTAGTTTTCTCTCAGCTGGCCAGCGGGCTGGAAACCGAAATGGGACGGCAGTGCGGCGATGATACAGTGCTCCAACGATGAGAGTTACATAGCAGCGAAGCATTCGACGCAGTAATCATGCCATCCACACTGTAAATACGCTCGAGCCCAGCGAAACCCACCTACAAGGCAACGTATTTATTGGCTAGAATTCCTCGTCGCAATATTTGGTAGTAGCCAGCTTGGAAGTTGCCTATTTCAGCGTTGTGTTGCAGGATGGAGACCACATATTATGCATTCTCGACAGCGCAGAACTGAGCTTCGCTTGGCTTTGGTTCTGCTTCATTGCTGCATGAGTACTAAGGGGACAAGATGAACGTCTCAAAGTCTGCTAGAATTCAATCAATTACGCGGGCTGATCTAAGATCGATACTGATGTAACATGGTCAATCGGAGGCGCAGGCATAAGGTCCCTGCGTGTCGTCAACCACATTTCCGCCAATTAATTCCCCGCTGTCAGTTTGGATAGGGCAGAATCACACCGCGTGACAAGCGATGTAGTATTGCTACTAATGCCATAGACCTATCATATAAACACCTCCCGGTCTGGCAGAGTGCCTTCGCCCAGCACCTCGCTCATGGCACAGTTTTTTCGAACTATCCTCAACCAAGATGAAGGATGACGATGTCCTCACTATTGTTGGGGCCATTGGCGCCATCTTAGGTATCATTGTCGTTGCAATCCGCTTTTATGCCAGGCATATGACGAACAATAAACTTGGTTGGGATGATTGGTGCATTCTCATCTCGACTATCACAGTGATAGGAGGGGATGTTCTTGTCATCGTCGGTTTGTCAACCCTGTAATTTTCCCAAGTTCGAAGCACAACTATTGATACAAAAACAGCAAACTCTATGTATCCGAATAGTGCCGAAGCAGCCTCACACAAAGATCCGAGTTACGAATATACCGAAGATGACATCCATTATACGAAGCTGAGCTTTGGTGCGACTAGTATATATTTCTCAACAGTTTCGGCAACAAAGCTTTCGATACTTCTTATGTACAATCGCATATTTTCTATCAGCAATTCATTTCGGCGTCAAATTCTTCTTCTTATTTTTCTTACGGTTGGATTTTGGATAGCAACAACGATCAGCAACTGCCTCAACTGCATCCCTCTCAAATATGTCTGGATTAATGCCAAGGCCGACCCACGATACTGTATTAACTACAATATATACTGGATGGGATGTGGCTTGACTGAGTGTGCAATTGATATGCTCATTCTTCTGGTGCCTATACGGACAATATCTGGCTTGAAATTGAGCCGGTCCAAGAAGATTGCCGTGGCAGGTGTCTTCATGTTAGGTACCTTGTAAGCATGCTCGGGGTTTCACTTTGTTTTACTCTGAGGTAGCATCAGTTACTCACACATTATAGCGTTATTATATCTGGGATCGTCAAGGTAGCACTCAGCTACGTCCCTGGAAGCCGACAGCCAAATTTCGGGCAGACTTCATTGTGGTCATCCATCCACATATCTACTGGGATCATCGGGGCGTGTCTTCCGATTTGCTGGCCCGTCTTCATCCGCCTCGGAGGCATTTTGTCCTCCAAAGCGCCTGCTGTCTCATCCGTTCGAGGGCAGTGGTACGGTTCCAGCCGTGGATCAACTCGTGGCACTTCTAAAATAATACGCTCACAAGAGCATCCAGCCTATGGCCTTCACGATCCATCGACCGGCCAGTCTGACGTTCATGAGCTGCTGCAGCATAAAGAGAATGTGCGCACGTCAGTGCCTTCCATCGGCAATAATACTAATCCAGAATCAGATACTTAATTAGTAGGTCTGATCAAAGCCTATAATATCATATGGCCGGCAATAGAGGACCAATATGTTCTCAACGACTGGTGCTATACACCAGCCTATCTAGAAAGTCGTCCATATCCTATACAGCTGATGGGTTGGGCATTGCAGCCAATTAGTACATTCTACCCACGAATATAAATGAAACAAATTTGTAATTGGAAAGAGAAGATGATCAGATGTTCTGGTGAGGCAAAGGAAGAGTTGTGAAAAGATTGTTGGAGCTAGCTCAACATCATTGACGAAGAGCGCCAGAGACTTTGGACACGCATGAATGAAGCTTCTAAGAAAATGAGCCCCGAAGACTCATTGAACAAATTGAATGCATGTATCCAATTTCTTTTTGTTTAACGAAGTCATACCACGAAGAGAGAAACAAGACTCCGGTTCCATATCACTCCTCAACTAAACTGACTGTGAGAAAGTCTCACTCAACTGGCCGAGCCAACTCTACTAGCTTCTGTGTCGTTCCTACAAAATGAACCAAGTGACTGGACAGGGTGAAATCAAGTGATTACATTTCTGATCGGTAATCTCATTGGAATTTCCTAAAAGAGCCATTTTGCGAGGGCTCGGAAGTGCTCCCGATGATATCATTCCCGGCTTTCCTTTCCCGCCCAAGATTTGAATCTTCCCCTCATCTTATCTCTACATACATGCTTCATCAAGGCGCACAATTCAATATCTCATTCAGCGCGACCAGCTCCGATACAAGTGTTTGCATGATAAAACATGGCCAAGAGACATGCTCAAGCTGCCGCGCAGAAGTACTATCTTCCCCCGACCAAATTAATCCCGAACTCGCAATATCCACTTCTCTATTATCCCGGCATATTGTCCCCGGATTCAAAGTCGATCGCTTCTCAGTTCTACGACCTTCTATCTAGCAATGGTTGGGAGGCACAGTGGATCTTCCGCTATGGCCAGACACAAGATTCTCACTACCATTCCTCATGCCACGAGTGCATGGTTGTGCTCACAGGCAACGCGACCATCCGGCTCGGCGTTGCCGATACAAGCGAAGACATGAACGAGAATACCTATGGCTCGGGCAAAGAGGATGGAGGCATCGAGCTCAAGGTCAAGGCGGGTGACGTGATTCTCATCCCCGCTGGCGTCGCCCACAAGACCTATGACGCGAAGCCCGATGACGAGTTCAAGCTGATGTCTCCTGGCAACGGCCACGGCCTACCTCCAGGCTCACGAGAGAAGCTGGACGAAATCAATCTAACTGGGTTCACGATGATGGGATCCTACCCGGCGGAAGCAAAGGAATGGGATTTTGCAGTTGGGGGTGAGGGAGCTTCAGCTTACGCGAAAGTATGGTCTGTTCCCCCTCCCAAGCTTGATCCGGTGCTGGGACGTTCGGATGATGGATTGGTTGGCCTTTGGAAACAGACATCATCTCATGTGCCAGCACAAGGAAAGGTTCCATCCAAGCTATGAGATGTGCTCAACTATAGTACATCAATATTCAGATTGTTCCATCACCAAGGGTAAACTAAAGCAATGTGATGTAAGGGTACGATCTGTGATCATTGTGCCGATCTGTTTCTCAAACATTGAAATTATTGATCACTCCGCCACTACCTAGGTGGTCAATGTCTCCCTACACTGCTAGGGTGTTGCACGAACATTGAACGTTGCTTTTCAAGACTAGGGATTAAAAGTCTACAATTACCTGGTTTTGAATGCCCCAAACTATTTTCACAATGAGCAAACTTATTTATTGCACGTGTTTTAATATATTTAGCTGCATAATTAGCGAGAAAACCGAACGATTTTTTCAATAGATAGCTATTTCAATGGTGATTTGTAAAAATCTACCCTTTTAGGGAGCATTTAACGCAACTCTAGGGTAGGCTCACGTCAGATCTAACGTAGCGCTAAGTAAAAGAACTTTGCTCATTCATGCGGTAAATATTGATATTCGTATGTATATATACCCGACCAGAACACCTGTTCCTGTTGATCTAAATGGGCTGATTTTTTGCCATTTAATCTGCCCAGTGATCAGAAGCTGGACGCAAGTGTACAACTACATCACCCCATGGATAGCCGGATATAGTGACGTCTAGCCTTCTATTTTTTTTTTTTTTTTTTTCAAAAGGTGGCACCGAGGCAAGAGAGGAAGAACAAGCATCGCCTCTGTGAGCGCAATATTCCTGACCACATCAACCAGGAGAGACCATGGGACAGTTACTATCAACAGCTTGGGCGTTCCTCGCCGCCCTGCGGGGGACGAGCAACAAGCGACTCACCAGCCGAGACGTGCCTGATGCCGACTTTTCTGGCAGGTGGATCATCATCTCAGGCGCGAACAGTGGCGTGGGATTAGAGGCGGCCAAGCAGTTTGCCAGGATGGGAGCAAACCTCATCCTCGCCTGCCGTGACCCTCCATCGAGGGAGACGCACCCGATGGCCGCAGTAGAGGAATGCCGGTCGATAGCGACCGCGGCAGGTCATTCCAACTCGACGATAGAATGGTGGAAGCTCGAGATGAGCAAGATCAGCAGTGTTGAGGCATTTGCTCAGCGATGGCTCGATACTGGGCGTCCGCTGGACGTGCTTTGCAACAACGCTGGGATGAACTCGTTGGCCAGGAAGAAATTCACGGGGGATGGGTTCGAGCGCGTCCACCAGGTCAACTTCCTGTCGCATGTGTTGCTCACGCTGCGTCTTCTGCCCTCCATCGCCCGGAGCGATTATGCACGCATCACCTGCTCTACGTCATGCCTTCACTACATCGCCCCGTTCGACCTAGAGCACTTCAATGGAGAAAGGGGGATTAAAGGGGATATGTACGCCATCAACAAGCTGTATTTCCAGATGTGGCTTGTTGAGCTTCAGCAAAGACTCCTGCAACATCCCGAGTACGAGCATATTACCATCAACGGCGTTCACCCTGGGTTTGTCAACAGCAGCATATGGGCTGCACCCGAGGGTGACACAAAGTTTTGGTTTCGACTACTTGTTTTCTCAATCGTTGTCAGCGTGATTGGTGTGACCAGTGAGCAAGGCGGCCTTTGCATTGTGAACCTTGCCACCAATCCCAAATTCAGCAAAGAAAACGGTGGAGGGAAGTATATAAATCGCGTCTGGGAAGATTCTCAAGCTGGTCTTTGCGCCGACAAGGATGCCAGACTAAGACTATGGAACAAATTGGCTGATGATATGGCACTCCGTGAGAAGGGGCTTCTGAAGCTACTGGGGAATTAGCTTCGTTCCTGAGGTGATTCGAAGCTGGTTCTGTGATCTGGATGACGACTGGAGCCAATACTTCTTTAGGTTGGATGATATTGAGCAATGGTAATAAACACAAGGGATGGAATAATGCCAATTTTCATATGTACGGAGAGTGAAGATGGATGTGCCAATGGGGTATCCCAAGAGACAGGCCTCATGTAGTCTCATCGTGATGATTAGTCCAGGCACGTTTAAGCGAAGCGTCGATGGTCGTTTGATGCCTTCGGCTATGGCCAAGTCGAGATTAGCTATTCTAGCAAGCGGGAGATGTGCTCAAGAGTGCCCACAAGGTTGCCGTCCAACCCCAGTGATCCCCCTCAGACCCCTTGCGAACTTATTTCCGCATTCTCATGGTATACGAGCCGCGTTTGGCGAATCTCTAGCGCGTTGGCCAAGGCTGGCTTGCCCTTTTGGGACAGCCTTCAAATACGCATGATCGTGAACGCTTAGTTCGATGTGGATGTAACAAGTCAACCTTGCGAGGCCCTGGAATGAGCCGATACGCCGTGGCCTTAGGCCGGCGCCTGGTGTTGGTTCGGCTCTCACAATGGTGCGGCGAGGACTGTATTATATGTGGAGGGGGAGTTGGTACCGCTCGGGGCGGAGCCACTGCGGATCAGGAGGTAGATCAAGAGACAGTCCCGTCTGGATCGGTTTCCATTTGCGAGGCTGCGGTAGTATAGTGTGCTTTCTACCGGCATGACCTGACTGCCGACATCTGTGATTCCAGGGTTGTACTTACTTGCCGTTGACAGTCGGCCCGTTGGTTTAGTTGTTGAATCTCCCTCAGGTCGAAGGTTGCACCGCCTCAGCTAAAGAGCATGGAACGGTCTCGGCACTGGGGTTTATGTCAATATTCTGCCTCTGATATTAAACATTAAGAATTGAACAGCTTAGTCTGTATTACTAAATACGCGTGCCAGGTGTGGAAAAAAGCAAGCTGATGGTTCATGGGCCGGGCCCGCTGTTATCCCCTGCGGCTTAAATTACAGAATGCCACAGAGGGGAACTCGCATGCAGACAGATACGCATACGCAATGTGATGCGACCTGACGAACTGTCGCGTGTGCCCAGAGTTGGTAATTCGTAGTCCAATGCGTAGATACCAGATAACATGTGCTGCGTAGGCAGTGGTGGGCATCATTGATATCTCTCTCGACTGTAATTCTCCGACTGACTGCAGTTGTTCTTGACCCAGCAGGACAGAACTTTGTGCTGAGCATCATGTTGGTTGGGGTAGCATCACCAATGCCCATGATCCTGGATGCTTCTTTACCGCTACTCTGAGCTCTCTGATTCATCAGACTCGCTTCCTGTCACACCAACGGCTACCAACGACTCACATACCACGTAGCGTGAGGAGGAACTGCGACGAAGATGGCGCCGTTGGTGGCCTTGGCCAGACCTTCTAGAAGTGGCATAGCGATATTATCTCCCCCGGATCCTACCGTGCCTGTGCAAGGTTCTACCATGTGAAATGTCATGCTGCCCACACAGAAGCAATGTAATTGATAGGACTTGGCCACTGGCAAAAGATCAATTGGTTGGATGATGGATCCCCCCTCCAATCTAACTCATTCTGGACCCTTCCCCGGGTACTACCTGAACAAATACCACGCAGTCACGAGGAGAGGCACCACTCCCACGCAGCCTGTATTCTGAAACATGTTAGGGTCCCACCCCTGCGTCAATGCAGATCTGCCCTAAAGGATAGCAAGTTTTCTTCCTCCCGAGGTCGTAGAAATCCTCCTCTCATTTCTGGTAAAATGAACAGATCCAGAAGTTCTACACCGGCGTCCCGGTCTGTTTATCCCTGGTCACTCAGCCGTAGCTTGATCTGATTTGACGACGGCCACCATCAACGGCGGTCACCGTGTTCCTGCGTCTTGGCTTACCTTGTAGGGCGGCTCTGGCGCCGGGAAGGTTAGGGCTTTTCCTCCGGTTGTTGTAGATTGCCAGCTTGAAACACCCGCTTGGTCTAGTAGCTGACACGTCGTTGGCCCACACGCATACGATAAATGCCCTCAGTCACTGTTTGTCTGCTGAGTCGTACACCAGGGATATGGATGTGGTGTCTACCACTTATGTAAAGGAAGGCGACTGTTGGATCTGGAGGTGGACCGAGAAGTTTTTTTTTATACATACTACGCCGTTCCCATGCCCCCGGCTCAGCTTCTTTGACAGCCCTGCAAGCTCGGTGCTGCTGTTTAATTTGCATCATCTTGGTCGACGTCCAGGGCATTCATCCATCGCGAAATGCCTGCGAGATTATCGATGGCTACTGGGCTTATGATATTACTATACATACTGCAACCCCACCGACCGTGATCCAAGGAATATCACTGTTTGTCTGTTTGACTCTTCCCCTCGTTTCCCTTCACTTCCGCCCGTCGGCTGGTCTGCCACCTAAGGAAAGATTTCCCCAGCAAGACATTCTGGAAATATCTTGCCGTCCATTCATTTGAAGATCCATATCAATATTCTCCGGCACTCCGTCCGACAGGTATTGACCAAACCAACCTCGGCTACACTCATTCGCCGAGAGGAATTGTTTCATAAACGACCTGGTCCAATCTCGCCCATCTGGAACTTGGTCGTCCACCCAACATGAGCGAGACCGTCGTCGAGAACGCGGTCACCATCGTCAACGCAGCAATATGGCCCCTAGTGGGCATCGCCACATTCTTTTTCGCCCTCCGACTATACTGCCGCATCGCCAAGTCCCGGGAAACAGGATGGGACGACTACGCCCTGGCGGCCGGCTGGATGCTCCTCCTCGCTGCGGGAGGAACCCTCGCCACCACGACCATTGAATGGAACTACTTTGGCACCTCGCTGGATTCGCAGTCTAGCCCCACGGTGCCGCTGCTGGTCAGCCTCACGCATACGTTACACGTCCTCTCTCTGGCCCTCGCGAAGACGGCGTTCGCCGCCACGCTGCTGCACTACTCCTCCAGGGCGGAGAAGGTCGTCGTCTGGACCATCATCGGGTCCATCAACGCTCTTTTTGTCTTTCATGTGTTTGCGCAGTGGAAGAGCGTCTGCGGCGACGAGTCGCAGGCCTACAGGCTCCCGGGGGACTGCTGGGTGGTCCGCAATCCCGGCATCGTCAACATTGTCAGCTCTAGTACGTTGTTGCCTGGCCATGAGGGAAATCCATGTCCTAACCATCTTTCTAGTGTATTCTGCCGCGACTGATTTCCTTCTTGCCTTCCTCCCGTGGCGCGTGTTTCGCCGCCTGCAGATGAACAAGACCGAAAGGATCGTCGTTGGCGTTTCAATGACTTTTGCTCTTATGTAAGTCTGCCACGCGCGGTTCCTCCAGGATCATCCGTCTCAGATGGTTTTACCCGCTGCCTGATCCATCAACCAAAGGCCGTATATCCTGACTAACCTTTTGTCTTCTTAGTGCTGGGGTGACAGGCATATTGAAAGGCATCCAAAGCATCAAGACGCTCGACAGGTCAGACCCGCAATGTAAGAACATGAACCCGACTCTCACCGCCGCAGCACTGCGCCTCAGCCCACACGTGCTGTCCATGCACGGGATCATGGATTGATGTAACTGACACGTGGTGACCCCTCTAGTCATGCGGAATCTGCTGTTATTTTGGATCTTTGCCTTGGCCGAGCCCAGCGCCACCATCATCGCCGCCTCCATCCCGTCCTTCCGCGTGCTCGACAACGCCACGGGAGATTCCGACTTCAGGATCTCGCGCAGCCCGGCGGCCTTCCTCGCCGAAATCGAGCAGGGCCAGAAACGCAAGCCGAGGGCCGAGGAGCCCGTCGAGCACCTGCTGGAGGACTCGGACAGCGACAGGAGCATGCTGACCACCCACCGCGACGAGGGGAGGCGGACGCGTGCTGTTGCCGCCGGCGGGGGCATCACGCTGAAGACGGAGGTGTCGATCGAGTTTAACCGCAACAGCGGGCGGACGTTCAAGAAGGGGGAGGCGTACGAGATGCAGCCTGGGGTTCAGCGCTCGAATTCGATAAAGGTGAAGGGGAAGGAGCAGGTTCTTCCATATACCCCTGGGAAAGGGACTTTTACGAATGAATGAAGATTTGATTTGCTCGCTGCTAAGATATCCTTCCACTTCTGCAGTCTGTAAGTCTGGTGTTTTGTGTGGCTGCATTTAACGGGAACGATAGAAGAGTAAAAGGCTGGACTTAGCCCATCAACGTGAAATGTGGTTTGTGAAAGAAAAGAGCTGGGACAACACAAACAGCTAGAAGCGAACCATTTTTGAGCCACATGCCACTTGGCAACCTGGCACAGTTGTAAAGCTTAAGAAAAAAAGGTACGTTCGAAAGCTACTTAGATGTGGCCTGGAGTAGAATAAAGGACAACTGGAACGCGGTTTTAACACATGAAGACGATGCCTCCAGGAAAGGCGCCTCTGAGTTTACATCTAGACAACGTGGTTAGCATGCCTGCAAGTTAAATGCTCCAACTAAAAACCGGGATAAAGGGTAGAAGGGGTCTGTATCCCTTGTAGCTAGACTGGCTGTTATTGAGGCTAGATCACAATGAAAGGCCATATTTTGTCAACCGCCGATCGTGAATGGAGCCAAAGCTTTCGGCATGTCCCGCAAGATACCACCAGCCCAGTGAGCTAGTGAGTCGTATTGATAAGTGAAAAACCAGGTTATTTCCTTTCCAAGTTAGAATGCCTCGCCAATTGTGCCAAAAGAGGTGTACAGCTTACCGTGCGAAGGTCGCACCATGTGAAATGAGGTTTGGCCCCGTCGGAATTTTGGAGGGTGATGTTTTCAACATATCTGTTTTCATCATCTCCATCCGAAAAGACAAAGGTAATTGCATCCAGCGGACCGCTCTGCTTTTCGTAGAGAGTTGATATGCTTTCCTCGCGACTCGGGTCCCATTGGCCGAGAATTATTCTGCTGCCATCTTGCATCTCGGCTAAAATGCCAATGCATCGACGCCCGCAGTTTTGAATTTGCAACGTACTTGCGCCGTAGAAGGCAGCTTTGCTTAGAAAGGGATCCTGTGGGTGCCTCCCTAAGAGAAACTTTTCCGGCTCGTATCTTCTAAGGGCAGGGATGGCGGGAACAGGAGCATCATCCAAAGAATCCAGTGGGATTGGCTGCCACGTCATACCTAAAAGTTGAAGCTTACTCTCTGCCTTCATGACATCACAAAAGAGACCAGAAACGGAGTGGGTTGTCTCTAAACCACAAGTTGATATAAACCCCGTCGTCACGCTCTTGAAAGGCATGATGAAAATACCACTATATAGAGATCGGGCTCTGCTCGTGGTCATCTAGCTCACGTCAACGTCAACGGCACTTGGAGATATGATCTGGAGGCTTCAATTTACCAGGAGGAAAGGCCCCTCGGCGAAGAAGGGATCTTCTGAGCGACGAATGACTACATGTATTGATCTAATCGTCTCATGGGGCTCGAGTTCGAAAGTAACCGGGCAAGAATCAGTTGATGGTCTCCCCAACCTTTTCTTGGGATTTCCATCAACTTGAATACATGTCATGGAGAGCGATGTGGAATAGACGGTCAGGCTGTGTCGATTCCCGTCATCGAAGTCGAGAGGAAGATATTGTACATAGCGTGAATTCGGGTTCCCTCGGATAGGTAATGCATTGTATCCAGCAACACTGATATCGATGAGTGACCATGTCGAGCCGGGCAAAATTGGCATTTGCTCGTCCCAAAGCAGATATTCGGTCTTGGATGTGGGCGCTGCATTTTTAAAAGCTAACGATAGAATCTTGAAGCCCTGCAAACGGAATTGGTAAAAATGAAGAGAGAAGTGACAAAGACATGGTTTTACTCACATCTGACTGGGTTTTGATTTGTTGTAAGTTATTACATTCAACAAACCCCATCCACTTCGACGAATGCTGGCCTAGTCAAGATGAATACGTCCCATCTTGGTATTGGAGCCTTAAGCCAGTTACCCCAAACCTCCCTAAGATGACATATATTCCGCGAATCTCTTTTCTTTCGGACAGCGGAATGAATTTGTCGTACGTGACTGTTGAATCGGCGCCAATCTCTGTCAAGCAGTATTCTCCCATGATACAGCAGAACTTTGCACCTAGCTTCTCAATTTTGCGTGCTCTGGACAGTGGAGCATCAAGGAATAACCGTGAGCTGTATGTTTTTAGAGATTGAATATTGCACTCAGAGAGACAGCCAACAGTGTGCAAGCAGCTCACCAGGGTTGAGAAATAACCAGGAGATGTGTAATCATAGATCATTTTGATTATTTCACTCGGGAATCGGGACCGGACTTTTTGAATGAGTAAACCCAGATCTGTTGGTGAAATGCCCTGGTTGGGGAGTGATGCTAATGACTTAGGAGGAATAGAAAGCTGAGCGAGATTCTGCCAAGCCACGACGGGTTGCAAGTATTTGCTGATTTGGCAGAGTAACTTGATGGTTACGTGACCAAATGTGTGATTCATGAGCTGGAGACATGGCAGATGCACGAGATTAGCAGTGAGTTGCAGAGAGCAGCATCCGTGTACGGCCCCGGTGCAGAGGCTTCTCCTTGCTTCAGTCAGTTCTTGCCGAATGTCGTCGGGGGTTAAGAAATAAGGATGAGAAGCGAGAGGCACTCTGATTCGCTACAAAAATCCGCGATGGCGGGATGGATCAGCGGAGGCTGGTACGTGGGTAACTAAGAGATTGGGAAAACAAGTCTCGACTATAGCCGAGAGCTATGTGCAGCTTACAGCACAAAACCTCCTCCTCCCATGGCTCAACTTTCGAGCTTTTTTGCCCTCAAAGGGCATTGTATTCCGGCACAGGATGCAATATGGTTCGAAAAGAATATGTGTTGGTAGAACCGCTGTTGCATTCATGTTTAACTGTTATTAATTTAACGATTGTATATACAACGATAGAGCGACAGGAAGTACTCCGTACCCTGGTGGTTAAATGAGAAGGAGAAAAGCCACGATGTCTAAAGCCAACCCCATAGCGAATGGAAGGACACGTGATCACGTATCACGTGCCACCCACGAACCAGAGAGATGGACTTATCTAAGGCATAACAAAAGGTTTCCATTTACTTTAATTCGTATTTACGAGTAATGGATTTGTGCCTTGAATACATTCCGTTCGGGCACCTAATTGATGTGGATGTATAATTACCCTTGGTAGGTGCATGTATTCCGCAGCCGCTTCATTAGCGACCGTCACCTTGTTCAGTGCATTCATTTACACTGACAATGATCGCATGTTAATGTCAATGGAACACATTGAGTAAACTTCCATTGCAAAAGGCTGTAAGTTTAAGGTTATTTTACGTTTTGTGCGCGTCAGGCTTCTGACAAAGGAGAGCAGAGTACATGAATAACACGACCATCGGCTTGTTCAGCCATGTACAACCATGTACAACCTGCAGCTCACCTTGCGGTCACTCCGATTGTGCAACCTCCCGCCCTAAACACGAAACAAGTGAAAAATTTTCGCATTGTGCGTAGAACAATAGCTGTTAGGTCGTAGTTAGCACCGTTAATCAATTGGCAGAATAAAGGCGGTCGGTCGCCAAAGTCACTTTCTTTCTTCTCGACTCACTCTTGCATCTGCGAGCCTTGCTCCTTCCTTCGATAAAACCCGCTTCCTGCAGTCACCGATTTTTTTCTTGCTCTTTCCTTCCTTCTTTCCTTCCTTCTTCCACAACACCTTTTCCTCCTTGTCTCTGGAATCTGGCCTTCTCCTCAGATCACTCAACAACTTGTCCTTGCCAATCATTCGAAGTTGAGAGTGTGATCGCTGAAGTCTTGCCTGATTTTCTCCATCTACGTTCGACAGGCTATCGCGCTGCTCTGTTCATCTCAACGAACAATCGATTCATCAAGCTTTGCGTTAGCCGTGAGTGGTCCATCCCCTTCTGCCCTCGCCAAGCTCTATCATCAACCCCATCGTATCAAAGACAATTGCTTCCAGCATGTCTTCATCAAAGGGAAGGGGTGCTGGTGGGAACCAGGTTTGCCGACAGTTCCAGAGGGGAGCATGCCGATATGGCTCGCGGTGTAAATTCTCCCACGACCCGAGCACCGCACGGTCTCGCTCCTCTCGAGCTTCACGCCCAGCCCAAGTCTCCGTCACACGAGCATACTTTCCGGATGATTGCGATATAGACCGGTCGTCCCAGCTGAAAGACCACCTAGAGTCCGCTTTGACAGATCACACTTATCTTGACCAAGTCTGGGGCACAACGCTAGAACTCTTCTCTCGATTGGATGAGCAGATCAACCATCGTACAGTTCAAACTCTTGTGGTCGAAGGGCTCAAAGCTATTACGGCCACGGTCCAGCTTTCACAAAAGGCAACCCCGGATCACGTCAAGATGGTGGAGAAGTTTCTGCGATCACTCAGCCACCCTGAGCTTGTGAACTCTCTGAGTCTTTCCACCCGAGTCGATAAGATGTACGGTGCATTTTCTGGTCAAAACGGAGAGGAGGGCCTTGCATTCATCCAAGGTTACTGTGACCTTCTTTCGAAAGACTTTTCGCTCGTCCAGTCACTCCAGGAAGAGAAGGGCCTCAAGGCGACCATGAACGACACGCTACTTGTGACTTCTCAACTGTTCGCGAGAGTTCCCCAGCGTCGACAGAATGGCCAACTTGCTGCCGTTTTCGAATCGTTTGAAGGGTTGATTGCGGTGGGTCAAAAGAACAAGGAAGTATCGGAAATTGATTACGATTCGTTTATGGCTAGGGTCTCTGCCATGAGAGGTGCTGCTATCAGGGATAGATCCGATACCCAGAACCGGGCGAAAGACGGCAAGATTGAAGCTCCAGGAGGGCGCCACGACAATGATTTCGACAGCATTTCTGATATCGAGATCTTCCCAACCCTTGGCGAGATAATGAGCGACAAGCCCGAGTATCTTCCAAGCACCTTGTTGACCGCCCCGAACGTTGTGGAAGATCCGCTGCAGCGATACCTCGACACCACCTTTCGCCTCATGCGACACGATATCTTTGGTCCGATGAAGACAGTTCTGAAAACCCTTCTTGAGCAGGCCTCAGACTCTCGAACCCCCACGCTGTCTAATAACGATGCCCGAGCGAACGTCTACCAAAAGGCTAATATTCGTAGCATCTTCGTCAATGATCGGAATGAACTGGAGGCTGTCGTCTCTTTTCAGGGACTTCCCCATATTTTGACAAGGTCCTTACCTGATCAAACAGATTGGTGGAAAAATTCTTCGCGGCTTGAGGAAGGCTCGATGATCGCTTTTCTGTCCCGCGCAGACGGCAAGAACAGAATGTTGTTTTTGCAAGTGACAGTCAAGAATCCTTCGCAGGCTGATTACGGTCTCAAATGGTCCCGATATCCCAGTACGCTAGTATCCAAGAACAAGATCTCGAGTTTCACTGTTAAGCTTGTGAACTCGTCTTCGAAAGACTTGGATCATCTCTGTGATCTCTTCCAACAAAAAGCACAAGGGTTCCTTGTAGACTTTCCCGGGTTGATTCCTGCAACCTTCCACCCGGTTCTTGTCAACTTGCAGCGAGTTCAGCGTGAAGGTGACCTGGCCTTCCGTCAGTGGATCTTGCCCAGTGCTCATGGTAACTTGAAGGACATCCCGCCGCCAGCATACTCTAGGCACCCGGAGTTTGTGTTCAACCTCGATCGTATTGCAAAGGGTGAAATGAGGCTGGATACAAAGAAGCCAACCGAATCCTTCAGTTTGCCTGAGCTTGAAGAGAGGTCCGGCTTAGACCATGGTCAATGCCGGGGGCTTGTGGATGCACTCACCAAGGAGTATTCACTTATCCAAGGTCCACCTGGCACAGGAAAATCGTTTCTCGGACAGAAGATCATCGAAGTTCTCACGGCCCCTACGACTGCGGTGAACATGGGCCCAATCTTGATTGTGTAAGTGCTTCCATTTCCATTAAGCATATTCATGATGTTTGCTAACTTGCCTTGTTTTCTTAATAGATGCTACACTAATCACGCACTCGACCAATTCCTGAAGCACATTCTTGATAGTGGGATCACCAACCTGGTTCGTATTGGAAGTCGCAGCGAGGCCCCAGAGCTTGAGGACAAGAACATCCTGGTGGTCAGCAAAACCACCAAGAAAACCAACTCCGAGGCCAAATCGCTCTTTAATACTGGAAAGGCCCTGGATGAGGCCATGGAGAAAGTCTCGTCCACTCTATCTACCCTCGACAACCGCAGCACGCAACCCACCTGGGCTGATTTGGACGAGTTCCTGCTGAAGCACCATGCGTTGATTCATAGCCAACTGAAAGCCGGCAGCCTACGCCGATATGACAACGCTAAGACTAAGGATCCGCTTGTGAATTGGCTGGGAAGGAGACCTGCGACTAATGGCTCCCGAAATGGAAGCCAAGGAGACCTGGCAAAGCTCATCACTAAAGCGGAGTGGGATGTTAGAGCTCTTTCGAATCAGGAACGCTGGGAGTTGGCGGACAGTTGGCTTAGTGGAGCAAACGTCTCAGACAACTCTGCACTCCACGATGCTCTAAAAGAAGCCGATGATCACCGGGCGACGATGAATAGTGTTCGGGAGGAAGTGCGCCGACGCACTTTGATGAATTCGAAGATCATTGGCATGACCACGACCTCGCTTGCGAAGAACATTGACACCCTCCGCAAAGTTGGGATCCGAGTTGTTATCTGTGAAGAGGCAGCAGAGGTAACCGAAGCCCATATGTTGTCTGCATTGATGCCAGGTGTCGAGCACTTTATCCAGATCGGCGACCACAAGCAGCTGAGGCCTCAAATCAATGATTACAACCTCAGTCTTGAGTCTTCGTCCAAGACGAAATGGCAGCTTGATCGCAGCCAGTTTGAGAGGCGAGCCATGGGTGAGCCTGGCCTTGAACCGGTGCCAGTGGCCCAGCTTAGGGTTCAGCGACGGATGAGGCCCGGCATCTCAAGGCTGATTCGACGAGTATACCCTTCGCTGGAAGATCACAAGTCGGTTGGAGCTTTCCCAAATGTGGTTGGAATGCGCCAGGATCTTTTCTGGCTTGATCATCGGCATTTGGAGGACGGTCAATATGCCACTGGCTCGACCAGGTCCCACAGCAACAGGTGGGAAGTCTCAATGGCCACGGCCTTGGTCCGTCACTTGGTTCGGCAAGGAGCTTACGACAGCTCTGATATTGCCCTTCTCACGCCTTACGCCGGGCAACTCAAGCAACTAAAGGCCGCCTTGAGCAACGAGTTTGAGATCCGCCTCAACGAGGCTGATAAGAAGAAGATGACTGAAGAAGAGGCATGGTTGGCCAGCCTGAGGGGGCCTGTGGCAATGCCTGAAAAGTTCGTCAAGAAGCCACTGCTTCAGACCCTCCGTGTTGCAACCGTCGACAACTTCCAAGGAGAGGAGGCCAAGGTGATTGTGGTCTCGCTCGTGAGGAGCAACAATTCTCGCCAGGTTGGATTTTTGGCTACAGAGAATCGAATCAACGTGCTTCTGAGCCGAGCGCAGCACGGCATGTACCTCATCGGAAATGCAAACACCTACCAGAACGTGCCGATGTGGGCTGATGTTCATCAGCAGATCTCCGATGCTGGGAACGTTGGTACTGACCTGGAAATCTGCTGCCCGCGACACCCAGAGACACCCATTGTGTGCTCCGAGCCCCGAGATTTCAAGGACAAGAGTCCCGATGGAGGTTGCACCGAACTTTGCGGAAAACCATTGGAGTGTGGGCACATGTGCAAGTCCAAGTGCCATTCCGACATGATGCATCAAAATACCCCTTGCAACGAACCATGTGATCGCCTCAGGGATGACTGCGACCACCCATGCCGAAAGCTGTGCAAGGAGGATTGTGGTCCCTGTGAAGCCAATATGGGCGGCCTGAAGCTGTCCTGCGGCCACGTCAAGAAGAACGCCATCTGCAAAGAGCGAGGGTGGGCTGGCGATATCATCTGCCAGACCAAAGTTCAAAAGCGGATCTTCTTCTGCAAGCATCTTGTTCCCACGGAATGCCTCGGACGTCCCGATGAGCTTCGGCATGATGACAAATTCGAGTGTATCTCTCGTTGTGGTCAGAAATTGGCGTGTGGGCACGTTTGCAGCGCAATGTGCTCGGAGTGTACTGTTGAGGACGGCTGGGGGCATGTGTACGAGCACAAGCCATGCACATCATGCAAATAAGATGGATAGATAGAAAGTAATTAGGTAGTCGAGTAGCCTCGAACCGATAATGAATCCAGAGTCACTATTTCTCACGATTGTGTCCCTACCGTTCCCTGCCACTCTTTTTGTTCTTTAAGAAACTCCTCTTTCCGTTGTTTATACCCTTCGTGCTGTTTACACCTCTCCCAGTAACCCTTGAAAATCCGGCTCGCCTCCTCCTTCTCTTGGCTACCCGCGTGGTCTCTACTCTTTGGAAGCTCTTCTCTTGTACCTCTCTTGTATTTACGCCCTCCTTCGTGGTTGGCATACCGTTTGGCGCGGGTCATGCCCATCTGGATGAACTTGCGCGCCATGTCCATCCCGACGAAATCTCCTTCGTTATCGAACTGCTTGAACCTGTGCCAGAGGTCCTGTGCGCTTTTCCGGGCAATCAGTGCCGTTTTGAACCGCCAGAGGGGGAGGAGAGCGGACTTGTAGGGTTCGTAGGTCAAGACGCCTTGCTCGCCGCGGCCGATTCGGTATGCCATTCGTGTGGCTTGGGGGGTTGATTGTATCAACGGCACAGAAGTTACGCCTGAATTTGACATGTTGTACGAAGCTGCTCGTTATGAGATGATGTAAGAAGTATGTTCAAAGGCGAGGTTGCCAGGCGCTGATAACTGCGTCTGTGGTCAATTTATCTGATGAATGATGTCATTGATTCTGGCTACCAACCGAATATCAGATCAAGGCCCCAACCACTTACTCCAGCTGTCTCTAGATGAGAAATTCTGACTTTCTAAATGTAGTTATTGGCCTGCATTGATCTCTTCGTGAGTTATGTGCACATCCCCTGCTCGAAACGAGTTGTGTAGTGGAAGGTTTATGTGAGACATAGGGTTGCAAGCAAGATGAACCTTGGACTCGCGTCGATAGTAGTGCTAAACTTAAAGCTGAGAGTAACAAATTATGTAAACAACCCAGCGAAAAAATGACTGTTTCAGAGAAGCGATTTAAGCTTTGAATACGAAGATTTACTTATGTCCCTGTTTGAAAAGGCTTTGTATCGTTTTTTACTTTTGAACGCTTTCCCGAAACGCGCAACGGTTTACTTGCTAGCCTTTTCTCAGAAGAGAGTTCAAAAGGAGGCTGTCGCTCCAGAGATTCTAAACCAACTTCACAAGATAGCTCAGAGTTTTGTTGTTCAACTGTTGCCTAGATATCTAGATATCGGTGACGCGGTACAGGGTAGCTCACAATGCAGGCGCCGATACACGAAGAGCAAAACAAACAAAATGAGAATTGCGGCTGGAGTTTGCGCTATTAATAAAATGAGACCCAGCCACTATCAGCCCAAGATTGCGGTCAACAGTGCCGCGATTCCGGATGCCTTTTGGGCCTATTGTGTATGCACACGACTGACTCTTTGAACACGAGGCGATATCCTGGATATTCCTACCTGGAGCCAGTCTCTGCGGGTGAATTTTTTCTTGCTGCATCATCACCCCGTGAAACTTCGCGCTCGCCGCACGCTCATCCATGTCTTGGATTTGTCGCGAGAGGCCGCCAGCGATTCAATCCACCAGACACAAGCGCCATCTCCCCTGAGCTGAATCACGATGAAGCGCTTCGGCTCGCTCGTGTCCAAGGCTGGCGATGCCGTCCAGCAGGCCAACCAGGAGTATCAGCGACTGAGGCAGGAGGCGAAGCAACAATATAAGCAGCAGCAGCAGGACGTGCAGACGTATCAGGCCCAATACCAGGCTCAGCAGTACGGGCAAACCACCCAGCAACCACAGGGCTACCCAGGCCAGCAACCACAGCAGCAGGCTCAACAGTATCAGTATCCAGGCGCCTACCAGCCAACTCCTACTCCCGCCGCCTCAACAGCCTGGTCACCACCGGCATCTACGTTTGACCCCTCGACAACCGCTACTCCGGTACCAGGATTCTCCAGTACAGACGTCCCGGCAACCCCGGCCCAGTATCAGACCGGATATGCCACGCCAGGGCAGCCAGCAGCAGCAGTAGCAGCAAATGTACCGCAATATGGCGACGCCAACCAGCAGATGCTTGCTGTGCAGAACCAGATCCAACAGGCCCAGCAGCAGGCTCAACAACAAGCGCAGGCCAACTACGAACTCCAGCTCAAGCAGGCCGAGCAGCAGCTGGGCAACATTCGGCTGGAGCAGGAACAGGCCGTCCAGCAGGCAACGTCACAGTTGCAGCAAGAACAGCAAGTTTTGCAGCAGCAGATAGCACAGAGTCTCTCGCAACCAGCGGTCCCGCAGCAGCAGAGCTTCCCTGGCCCATCACCATCAGCACCTACACCGGCCCCTCCTCAAGACACATACAGCACGAATACCCAAGGAGCTCATGCTGATAGCTTCGAACCTCCTCCTGGACCTCCTCCCGGGCCTCCACCAGGCATGAGCCAAGCAGCTCCATCGGGGCCACCACCAGGCGCACCTCCAGCGGCCCAGAGTCAATCGCCAGTTGTCGCCCAGCAGCCTACGTCGTATGGAATCCATGTAGGCGCTGCGCCAACTCCGTTCCCCCAAGTCCAAGGCTTCCCCCCACCAGTGCTGCCTTCAGGTGGAACGCCTGTTCAGCCCTCGCCAGCTCACCCTGCTTTCGTCAGCCCCTCACAGACACCAACACCCCAAAACTATGCTCAGCCACCGACCCCTGCGTCAAATGTCGCCCCAGGCTATCCGCAAGGCTTTCCTGCGTACGGGAACCCTTCACAGCCAGCTGCTGCATATGCATCTCCAATTACTCCGGCTCCCGCAGGAAACCCTTACCAATTCCCACCGCAGCCAATTGCTGAACCCCCTCTCCCTGTGGAATTGCCTACGGCCAGCCGGTTGGAGCAAGATGGACCGTGTGAACTCGCTGCTCCCCTGGGTGATTTGCAGCTCCAATCTGACAAGGGCACAGAGCCACCAGCGAATGGCTCCAGGCCTACAAAGACTAGAAAACCCCAGATAAAGCGTTTAGGGACCCCAGAGCCAGCGACGATGGATGAGTCGGGTGTAACTCCTCTATGGGAGTGCGCTTTAGACCCCGTCACATACGAGATGGACTGGCTGTATAATTCAGCTGCACCGGATTTCCTTATTTGTGGCCGTTGTTATGTTGATCATATTTGCGACACCCAGTTCAAGCAGAGTTTCACCAAGATCTCTTTCAAGGACAAGAAGCCGCGGAGATGTCTTTTTGGAACTGATCGCGTCAAGGAGAAATTGTGGCCCGAAGCCTTATCATCGAATAACCTGGAGTCGCTTACAGCATATATGATCAGGCGGGTAGCGATACCGGAATGCTCCAAGGAAACTGTCAAGGAGGGTGAGAGCTGGTACACAAATGAGAAGATTCCCGGAATGACAATCTGCAAGGCTTGTTATGAAGACAATATCGATTGCACATCGTTTGCCTCACACTTCAAGCTAGAACTAAAAGAAGGACAGTGTTTCTGTGATTCCACTGTCTGGTATTTCAATCGGCTGCTTGAAAAGCACACCGAGACTGAGAACTGGGTGGCAGTCATTGAACAGATGAATATCAGGGAGACACTCCCCTTGTGTCCTAAGCAGACCATTGTCCAAGCCAACGATCGAGCCTGGTACACTTCTACCCGGGGACCTCAAAACCTCACACTTTGTGTGGCATGTTACTACGATTACTTCCATGACACTGGGGACGAGCAGTATTTCCAAACAATTCCACCCAGCCAAACAAATGTAAGGTGCATCATGGCGTACCTCAACTTGTTGATACCAACGAAGCAAGCACTGGTCAAGAAGGATCGTGAAGTCTTCTGGAAAGCCCTGCAAGCCGTGGACGAACAGCCCTTTTGCAATCCAGACGGAACGACGGACGCATTGTGGTATACACTGATTGACGAGCCCCAGGAATTTGCCATCTGCGGGGGCTGCTATGGAGGAATCGTCGGCAGCTCGGGCGGCAGGAGATTCTTTAAACCACACCGCACCTTGACGACGCAGGATAGTTGGATCTGCTGCTTTAGCGAGAACCACATCCGCGGGCCCGCGTATCTCGCCAAATACTCCGAGTGCCTGGCCAAGGGACATGCGCGCCCCCTGGCCGAGTTTGTCGGCACTTACGGCGATGTGCCGCTGTGCAGTGGGAAGGAGCTCACTGCGGACCAGAAGTTTTACGGATGGGATGACCTGGCCATATGCGAGGAGTGCTACTTGACATGCGCTAGGGGAACAGTTTTGGAGCCTCGGTTCACCCTCAAAGGCGAGACTGGTCCTAAGGAGCGTGTCTGTGGTCTTTATTCACCCAGGATGCGCGGGATATACGTGGAAGCGTGCGAGAAGAATGATCTCAACGGCTTGCTTACTGTTGGCAGGCATCGACAGGAGGTTTGGGCCAAGACCGTCCCTGTCTGCAAACAGATCTTGCAGCAGCACAAGATGGCAGCTGAGCGGGCTATGACACTCTCCATGGCGGGGACCATGTTCCATGCGGCCGGTGCACTGACGGATGTCTCCCAGGGGCACACGCATACAGTGGGAAACTCCCAGGTCGGGTATGGGTATGCAAATTCTATGGAGATGGAAGCGGCGGTCTTGTCCCAGCAGTCCGGAGAGATAGCGGCTGGCGTGAATAATTCGTCATTGTTTGTTCGTGCTGGCATACTTGATCAGGAGTGGGCGGCAGTGGAATAAGCATGTTCCAAGCGGTGTTATCTTTCCCCGCATAGCGATGTATTTCATCATGTGGCCGACAGATATATGCATAGAAAACAACGACTTACGTAGCTGGTATGACAAATTTATGATAGTAATTTTGATGTTTAGGAAGAGTGCTGGTTTGTGTCTTATAACCAAGTGCTTGCATTCTCTCTCGAAATTCAATATTCCTCCCCTGACGTCTATCCCGACATTTATCGCTCCTTGGCATTTGGAACTTGCTGAGAGACGTGTCGAGATACTCAAGTCTTACGATGTCGTCACGATCTCCAATGTCGTGTTGGACAGCCTGCCACCTGCGCTTCCGCCTTGGTTTATGACTTGCTATTCGGTCTAAGTTATGGCACCTCCGAGACGGGGAATGGAAGAAGAGAGGTTGGAAAGCAGAACAATCAGCTGGTACGATATACCCAATTCAATTCGAATGATGAAAACAATTCAACATTGTAAGTTTATTCACTTCCACTGCTACCTAGCCCGTGATGCCAACAACAATGTCCACAATCTCCTCGGGGTGTTTGGCGTAAGGCGAGTGGGCACAGTGCATGACCTTGATGTCGATGGGAACACCCGCGTCCTTGGCGTTGGCGACGCAAATGTCCTGGTACGGAGGAGGAACACAACGATCCTCAGTTGTGCGAACGTAGGTGAGCGGGCTGTTCCTCCAGCACTCGTGGGACGGGCCCTCGTAGATGCACTTGAGGCTGTGCGGCACTACGAGAGTCTTCTGCTCCTCCTGGTCGTCGGGGCTCAAATCGTGATACATGGCCATGACAGGGTCTTTGAGCATCCAGGTCCCATCTTCGTGGATGTCGAAGTGAGGCGTCACGTCCTGCTCCATCCCGGACTTCTCAATAACGTTCCAAACGCTCTGGCCCTTGGCGAGGAGGTAAGCGCAGAGGTAGACAAGGTGCACCACGCCGCCCGGTAGGTTATTGGCTTCTCTCTCCTTCCGGGATAAGCCCTCAGTCGCGTCGGTGCCGACAGCACCGCCGTAAGAATGCATCACCATGACAATCTCGTTGCCTTGTTCGACAATTGGCTCAATGAGAGCCCGGACAGCAGCGACATCGTCTTGGAAGCTCGAGTTCGGAGGGCGAGCACCGTTGTTGGTGGCTAGAGAAGGCACCTTGACCTCGAATGATCGGGCCTGCAGGGCTTTGACAAGCTTGCGATAATGTGCGGGCGTCGACCAGGCACCGGGCACCACGACGATGGTTGGCTTTTTAGCAGACATGATCGGCGAGTGTTCAGGCTGGCAATGTCGAATATTGTATGAGCTAAAGCATACTACTTTTGCGGTTCTCAGTCTCTTAAAGCATCGTGGATCCCAATTATATTTTTTGCAGCGCGAAGTCGGTCAGCTGTATGTTCCCTCGAGTTGCTGGCGCGTAAGCCGTGGGTCCAGCCCCTGCCTGTCAGGTCATACAGTTGCTGACGGAAAGGGGGTCAGGCTATCTGATTCATCTTACGTACTGGTATGAAAATAAGCATGTAAATCTACGCGGAAGCGCCAGGCGGTCTGAGTGAGCATGCATAGAAACCCTATCCCGAAACTCTGTCGAGATAACCATGCAGACATTGTTAGATATTGTCACACTAGTTGATATGAGGAATATTGAGACTTTCACCACAACAGCCGGAGTTTACACAGCCATCATGGCATACTGGATACATGTTATACTGTATGTAGTAGGTAGACCAACAACTCTGCCATAAAGGCTCGTTCATGTAACGACCTCATTCCTACAGTGGAAGCCCTCGGCGCTTTGATCTGGGCGGAAGGGCGGGAGGATCCATTTTCGACCTGCCTATTCCAGGGATGGCAACGAGAGGGAATCTCCATAGCTTCAGGTGCCCAAGTAACCTAAGCAATGATGAGTAATCGTTAACCTCTTCTACGCATCTTTGTCGTTGTCTACGTATAAATGAGCGAGGTTGAGTTTGCAGGGTTCATCAATACGTGAAGTTGTAGCCATCTCTAACTTTCTTGTTGTCCTTACGTTGGCCCGTGTCCAAAGTGTCGGGCTCGGAGTTGACATCGAAAAGTTGCCTTGAACTATCTCTGGGAGCTAACTGATATTGTCGCAAAATAACCGTATTTACACCACCTGTAGTTACTGTAGCTTCTGAGTCATGTATCAACACTGAAAAGGCGCTATCCAACTACAGAGCATAGGTAGACAAGTGAGATCAGAAGATGCATTGGAAACTGATGTGCTTTGTTTCTTCATCAATATTTATGCACAAAGTCCGTTGTTTGAACAGGCGGACTTCCCCTAGCCAGATACATATCCCCTCAATTCAATGCTCGAGATGACATTTACTTTTGAACCCAAAGCTTCTAAAGGCAGATTCTTAATTAATATACAGATCTCCTTTATCGTTAATTTTCTATTAAAGAGAGCTTATTATCTTAGAAAGAAGTGCATTATAGCAAAATCCCTCTTTTCTCTCTTTTCCGGTGTTTCAAGAATGTCTTGCGTCATGTCGTTTCGTTGATCCTTCGGCGGTGCCTTACTAAGCTCATAGCGTACCGAAAACGCGATTTGAGACAATTGGTCCACGCCCCCTCACGTCATCTCCATGAAAATCTCCCTCGTAACAAATTCCTTGATGCGAACCTCGACTCCCCGTGCTGAACTTACCACGTATTCAATTCTTGCTGTGTGAAATCAAACACGATGACGGGAGGAATTGCTCACCTATAGGACGGTGAGGCTATAGCGGCTCAACAAGCTCCCGTTCCACCAAAGGCTAATAACCCGAGGAGGCGCAACAACAGGGCGAAGATCGAACAGCCAGACAACATGAACCTAACGCTGCCTCTCGAGGTGTTGAGATTGATTCTTGATAACGTACAGGACTGCTGATGATTCGTGATTGGCCATGCCCATGCTGATATCAAATGAATTAGGTCGAGGATGCGTCCACCATGGGCAAGGTAGCCCGAACTTGCAAGGAATTTCACTCGATTATGACGCCCCGTCTTCACAGACGTGTTGCTTACAAAGTCGAAGATGATGCCCAATTACCCCAATTTATTCGATTGATCCAGCGTTACCTCAGTGTGACACAGAATCGGAAACTGAGATCACAGTGCCGTTGTGAGGGCCAGCGGGACGGGGTTCCCTACGGGTCCGACCTGGGAGCTAATCCGCCGTGCGCGGGTTATGTGCGTGAGATGATCATTGGTCATATTTTCACAGGGAGGAAGGGCAAATATATGGTCTACCGGTATCTGGAAGAGGCGCTCAAGAGCATGCACGGGTTAGAAATCGTGGGGCTGTGGGGAATAACAAGGTACGTGATGCCATCGGGTCCGAGTTCGTCGAGGGCAAAAGCTGACTGGTTCTGCCGTACCCCAAGCGCAATGGCAAAAGACCTTGCAGGACTCCCCAACCTCAAAGCCCTTTCACTGACTGCCCAAGAGGTAAGAGTTGGGGACAACATCACTGCCTTGGCAAGCGTGAAGAATCTCCAGCACTTCAGAATACGGGCCTGGAACCCCGTCAGAGAATTTGAAGAGGCCACACGGGCAATTCTTCTCAACTCTAGGTTGACTTTGCGAAGTTTGGTCATCCTGAACCCCGGTCATGAGACCGCCGGTTACCATTTTGGGTTCCTCGATGATTGGCAGAGGGAATTTGGTTCAGGCAGCCAGACACCATATTTCCCCGCTCTGCAGTCTCTGCACCTGAGTGGCTTGAAGGGGTCCGACGAGGGCCTGAAGCGAGCTTTTGAAAACGCCTTTGATTTCATGAGTTTACGGTCACTAACCCTGGACCGAATCTATAATGGTAGAAGCGCACTCTACCGCCATCTGGCGGACCTGGCCGCTAGAACCCCTAAGGAAGACATCAAATTACGAAGCTTCCAGATGGATCATCATTCAGATGCTACCTTCGACGAACAGAAAGATGACATGGAAACGTTGTGCAGGTTTCTTGGCTCCTTTGATACCCTCACCAATCTTCACTTGGTCGAGTACAACAAGTATCCCGCTGCAGGGCATGATAAAGGCGATCTTCCTTATCCACTGCACCAGGCGATCCTCAAGCATAGGGATCTAACCAGCTTGGTTTTGCACTCTCGAGCCCCTTACGTTATGATGCTGATGGAAGCTTTTATCTCTCCAAAAGTCATCGCAACCATCATGGACAGCTTGCCTCGGTTGGAGGAATTTGAATTCGCAGCACGTTCTCTAGAGATGGTAAGAAAACACTCTACCAATATTCTTCTTCATTACATAAAAGAGGCGAGAGCTAAATAACGCAAATTGTCACAATAGGCCCAAGTAGGAGAAGCTCTAGCCCGCGCAAAGAACCTAAAGACCCTATCTGTTACGCAAATCCGTGGGCTGACCGTGCCCGAGCCCGAGGCGCTTGTGACGAAAATTGTCACGGGTGTTCTGGACAGTAGAGGCGGTGGTTCTGCTGGAGACGAACCATTTCGTTGGTACAATCACAGTAGGCTTAGGCGAATCATTACTGATCGCAAGCGCACTTTTGATATCGCCTCTGAATTTTGGGAGGTCAAGGATAGGAGAGTCAAGAAGCCTTTCAGTATCCGCGGCTTGCGGAATACGGAGCACGAGGTTTTGTGTCGAGATGTGACCGCATTGCTTGCTAAGGATTCTCCATTTGTCCCCGACTGTGACTGGGCAGATGATGTCGCCCGCGACATGATCTAGGATGGAAATGTTATCTCTGTTTAGGTATCAAGGATAAAGCAAGAGACCCTTATTGTATTCGATCAGAATTTCGCATTATCATCCATGAGTCTGAGGCTTCCATGTACCCTGATCCGTATGCCCTCAAGCTCCAGCAGCAGTATCGCGCGACAAACGACATTGCTAACCGCAAAACGCATGACAACAGGCAAAGCATCCATGAAAGAGATTGGCGTCAACGCTGAGAGTATTGCCGTTCCATACACAAACTGTACAAGTGCTGCAAGACTTGCGAGCAAGAAGAGAAGATCGCTGATCCATTTACCGCTCGATTCATCGGTTGATTCTGCCAATGAAGGTACCAACGTCAACCCGTCCTCTTTATCTTCTTGTGGTGTTCTAGCATCGGCGTACTCGACGAACTGAGCAAACGACGCGAGGTTGGGCAGGCCATGTCGCTGTCGGATAGCCCCGATGGCAAATATGGTCGGGGTGATGCCCAGCAACACCCAGACCAGCACCAGATAGACTGCGTTGCACCTGAATCCGACAACCGTTCTCGCATCAAGATATATGGCTCCTTGAATACTGTTGATCATAGCACCGATGGCGAGCGCGTACACGGCAGCAGCCGCCAGCCTTTGAAAAACGAGGGGCAGATTCCAAAGCCACCCGAAGTACATACGAGCGGCTCTCGAAGAGGGTTTATTGATAATCTCGGCGACATCGACTGAAGAGAGCAGTTGTCGAATCTGTTGCGTCGGTGCCCCGATGGACATGAGTAGCGCGAGATACGGGCGCTGCGTGGCCAGCACAGCCAGCTCAGCCATGTCGGATCCCACGTAGGCCAGGATGCTTGGAGTCAGACCCAGAAGGACCTGGGACCCGGCCAAGTTTGACTTGATCGACTCGCTCGAGTTCTCGAGAAGACAGTCCAAAGCGGCGGCACATGGCGAGGTGGTTCTCTCTCGGTTATCCTCATGGTAGTCGCTGATTTGGAGGGAGCAGTTCTGCGTGGCGACTTCGAGCCAGTGATATTCGTGTGTGGGGAACCATAATGTGAATTTCTCCCCTCGAATGGCCGACGCAACAGGTGCCCAAAGGGCAACTGATAAGAAAGTTGAGAGGAAAGTGGTGGGCATTGCAAATGTTGTTTGATGATCTTAGTGTTGGGATGATGGAAAGATGCCCTCTCGATAAACTAAGCCGGGGAAAATTGAACTCTATATACACAATGAAGAGTCGAAATGGACAACCGTAGTGTTTTCATCAATGAATGAGATGCAGACAAATGCAGGGTGTGTTTACCAGTGGACGACTGAGCTGACCGTTGTTATTCCCTCTTTGTGTCCCGGCGCTTATCTGCAATGCATGGCTGCCTTCGCTTCGAGATACTTAACCAATGAGGCGAGGAAAATAAATTAAAAAGAAGTCTTCTGTGGGAACTGGTCGCTTATTTGCCGGCCTTGACGCTGCCAATTATAGCTTCTAATGTTACTTTCCAACGAACTTCGATCAGAATCAATTTCTCATCTGATTTGACAGCTGTCCCACGTGAATCAACGTGTTATTTCGCTGAATGTTACCTAAAAATCCCTCAAGTAAGACCTGATCTACGCGAATTTACGTCTTGGTTATTCACTACCCGGGTATGTTTACCTAGGTAGTTGCAAAGAGTCATAGTTAACTCCTGACTCGAATGCAAAGTGCCTCGTCACTGATGACTCCAGGGTTCAAAAACTGTTGTACGAGAACAAAAATAAGATGATTCATGGAACCAAATCCCTTTGCGAGGGTAATAAAAATAATAGCCGCCCTGCAAGCGTATTGGTCATCTTCTGGCTCTGCTCTATTGAGTTATCGCCGAAGTTTCAATATGCGCCGTCTCCACTCGCCCCCTGCAACGTTCGTCTCTCTTTCCTCGGGCGAGCATCTGCTAAGGCCGCAAGTGCAGAAGGCTATTCTAATTGGGACATTGGATTTGGACAGATTGGGCACAAATCAGACGCAAGAGAGGGAACCAAGGCTTGGGCAGCACTACTCAAGCAGCCGGACACGGTTGAGACAACGATCATACTGGCACAGACTGGCAAGATTATTAATGGTGATCAAGCAGAATTACACAGGTCGATGTTTAGGATAGCTTGAAGTTAAAAGATTGATCCTATGGGGTATGAGAAGCAATCGAATACGAATGTGGAAGATCGTACCGTTCAGCAAAATAGAAAAGGGGGTGCGGGTGCGGCCCGGTACACTTCCCGCACACACAATCATTCTCGTCAATCCCGGCGCTTAGGCCATAACCAGTGATATTAAAGAGGTGTTTATCAGCATTCTCACTGTTGACAACGTAAGCACAAGAACTGCAACCTCTGCACAACGATCGATCACGGAAACATCCACTGCTTGGGAGAGTCTTTCCGGAATGTACACCCCGTCTAGTGATTGGGCCTGTTTCTGAGCTTGTTGCATCATGTGCAGGTTAGACAACATCTGCTTTGCACCGGCGCTGGGATATTGCTGGGGTAGTAGAAGGGACCCAGGCCGGTGTGACATCAACTGCTGATCCGACCCCAGACAAGTTCAACCGAGACTCTCTACTCAACAACGTCATTGGCCACGCCGTCACCCACACCCGACTACAACATCAGGCATCCCGCGAAATACATCTAATAGTTTCTTCACCACTTATACCACCATTGTGTCTGTTTATTCAGACATTCCATCAAGCATTCCATCGACCACATCTACGACCTCACCTAGAACCACGCCGATTAGGCCTACAACTACCCCAAGTTTTGCTTTGATAACAACGCCGGGCAGCCCTGCCACAAGCGCAATTACTCCGATACCGACAAGTGCACGAATACCCTGCAAGAGTAGGAGATCAACTCTCCAGTCTCGGAAAGAAATTCGGACCCGTGCCGAGATCTAGTCTTTAAATACTTGTGATTTTCGAACCCAAGCTGATGTATTGCTCTCCGAAAGCAATATTAGTAAGTCTGACGTTTTAACCAAACTATTGTAAAGAGATTGTACCCAGTAGGTATATGCTAGTAGAAATATTTGCAATTCATAGAATATTTAATAATAGTTTAACTCAGTCCAGGAATTGTCGCTACTGAAGACGACATTGAAAGTATATCTGAAGGGAAGTATGAGGTCGATGTTACGAATGTGAGTAGTGAATAACCAGCTGCTGAAATTCACTAGCCTTGTAGTGAGATGGATGCTTTGGAGTTGCCATGTCTCTGTAGGTCTGTGATGATGACTTTGAAAGCCGCTAAAAGGGGCCCAATTTGATTCAGCGGTTTATGGAATTGGACTCTACCTAACAGGAGTACTAATTTCGCTTGCTCCTCATCCGAGTCCTAGCTATCAACAAGTCCCCTGAGTCCGCTCAGTTGTCTTAGAGTAAGTCAATTGGTTGTCTCTGGACTTTAATACTTGTTGCAGAGTGATTGATACATTCCTACGAAGATTTTCGCAGTGTAATGCGAGTAGCATCATCGCCGCTGCTCTGCCACTCCAACTTCCAAACGCCGTCAATTCCAGATTTCACGGCGTACCAGTAATCCTTCAATCCAAAGCTATCGGTCTGGACGAAAATGTAAGGGTTGTAAACATAGAATTCATGCCAGTAGTTGGAAAGGTCGGTAGAAGGGTCTAGAAGAACAGCGGAATACCCAACCTCCGTTGATGAGGGCACGGCAAGATAGAGACCGGACCAGGTGGGAGTGGTATCGCTAGTCGCAACAGGAGTGGCTACCCACGCAGTTGCAACGGAATTGTCAACTAAAAGAGATGCGATCAGCTTTAAGAAATCATAGCTAGCCAGTCTTTAGGAGACTTACGCTCCACAGGTGCAGCCTCGCTACTGCCCAAGAGGGTATAATCACCAAGGTATAGGCTTTCTAGTTCAGTTGGTTAATATATGACTGGCTTCGTTCTGATTCAAAAACTCACTCCCGTCTGAAAACAATTTTTGTGAAACAATAGTCGAATAATCGGTTCCAATTGCTTGGAATGCATTGGTGACCGTAGAAAAGCCGGTAAGGGCAAGAGAAATGAAGGTGAAATGCCTCATGGTGGGTGATAAGTGGTCGTTTGAGGATAGTGCACTGATCTTGGGACTGGCAGTTGTCTGGACTCTGGACAAGGCTGATGACAAGCGGTTCTTGGCGCTACTTATGTGTAGATCATCGGAACTGTCCTGGTACGCTCCTCAGGCATGTTGGTGTGCTTTCCGATGTTGATTCCCTCATCGGTAAGCACCACGTATTATCTAGCCAGGGTAGCGTTTCATCTTGATGGTTGGACAGGGTTGTTATGATTTAAACGAAACTGCTAGAAGCAGGCTCAATCACAACTTACCGCTGTTTCTGTATAATACCGCCTTGTTGATGCTTATTCCCGGAAATTTGTCATCTTGGTGAGCTGTTTTTCAATCTTTTCGTCAGCGGACTGAATAAAATCTTCGTTGCCAGGGATCCTGGCTCACCATCCTTGTTGGATTCTATCAAGAAGAAAGACAGATGTTCTTCACCCAAGTTGTTACTATGGAGAGGCAATCTAGATATTGAATTAGTTTGAGCGTCGAGAACAATTTATGGGATTCACATCAGCATATAGAAGGATATGGAAGGTCTAATATGAAGCCACGCATGATATTTGCTGCAATTTTGAGTCAACCCCACCGCCCTGCATGTTGCACTTTTGACACGCAGGGATGGTCTTCCACAAATTGTACGGAATGAGGAAGGCAAATTCTCACGGTGCATACGTACTCACCGCAAACACCGCCCATTTGCCATCAACATGAGACATCAGCCAAGGAACCAGATTCTCGCCTTGTCACGGAACTCTGGTAGTGCCCATGCTGTGCCGTTGTCATAGACCTCGGCTATAGAAGAAGGGAAAGAGCAGTATTTGTGACTGAAGTGCAAAATCAATGTACGGTTATATGTTTTCAAGATGCAGAAAACTTACCACGGTGCTTTGCGTCATCTTTCTACGAAAACTAAGTGCAATGAATAACTTGGAAAAATCCGGCGGGTAACGTTCTTGATATCACATTTTCAGTCAAAGAGAGAAGGTAGATGAGAAACGGATTTGGTGGGGGGCAACAAACCTTGGAAACAAAACGCCGCAAGACAATCATCAAACACGAGTCACTCAAGAAGTGCTATTATTGAAGCTCATTGTCGATTACGGCAAGTTTCCAGGTAATACTATGGTCTACTAAAAAGTTAGAACATACATAGACAGGCTTCAAAACCAGAGCAGAGTTAGTAATTTATTATATATACATTTTAGTACTCTTGTGGGGATAGGTAAGAGATATTATATTGTTTTATATTGTACCCCCACCGTGCTTTTGCTTTTTGCGCCGGTTGTCCGTGTAATAAGCCGGACCAAGCTGCTACCGTTCCAAAAATTAACCTCGGTTGATTCATAATCTTCGTCGTTTTGCCATGCCATCTTCAGGACCTAGGTATTCATACGTCCTGTGCTTCAGTTCCGAGCTCGGACTATAGCTGAGACTGAACGGAGAAACTTCGTTCAAGAGAAGTTTGCCATAGGCCGCTGCCGTCGCTGCAGCATACTCCTGCCATTTTTCATTCTTATACGAGTCCGAATAGTCACAGATCCCTCGAATAACAAGACATGGGAATGTGTTCATGACACCTGCGGCTTCCATCTCGAAACACATCACACCGTATTTTTTCACCCATTGGTCTCGAACCTGGGCGTCTTTGATTACCGTATTACCAGAGGCAATCAGGCCATAGTGTATCTCGGGACTGTTGTTAGGTCGGGGTGTTCTACGCCTAATATGCCTCTCTCGATTAAGACAATGTTCTTGGACTTGGCACTTGGAGCATATTTCGTCGAATAACTCGTCACATTCCTGCCCGGGATGTTGATATCGTAATTTCTTTGGGCCAGGAACTCGTTGTATGATCTCTTGAAGGTACGGTTCAAGAGGATCAGAAGGGAGGTTTGGGTCTGACGAAAGGGAACTGACCGCTGTCATGAGAAACCGAGGTGGCCGTTGCAAAGCACCTGTCAACTGGAAGTCGTTATTCTCATTTGCCTTGCCGCGATCGTATTGGATTACGCCTGGAAACGTCTTGGTCGGCTTGCTTACAACCACGTCTCCTAGTCGAATGTCATTCTGCTCAGATGGTGCACCACCACCAATGCCGATTAAGAGACAGAACTGGATGCCTGGAAAACTCCGCTTCATATTTGAAGCTGACTCTGCCGCCGGATTGGTTCCATATTCGCCTTCAGGCAGGCAGGCTACGACTACCATGTGTTTCCCAATTTGCCCCAGAGAGTAGTGGTTGCTGTCCCCAAAGGAAAGATCAGGCTTGCCATTGCACTTATCAAACAGCGCCCTAACGGCTAGAGACTCCTTCGGAAGTGCGCAAAGTATCCCGACAGTATAATTCATGGGGTCTCGCAGGCCGTGTTCATAATATCCGCCCATTGAGGCAAATGAGTTTGCCATGACACTGCCATTATCATAATCGAGCTCAGCCAGGCGCCTCTTAAGTTCCGGAGTACTGCTTTCACGAGAGAGTGTTGACTTGCTGCGTTCTAGGCTGATCCCGCTATCTGCGAAAGATGAGCCTGCCTCTGATCCTTTTGATGAATGATGAGATGACAGCTTCCCGTACTCGGGGTCACCATAGTCACCCCAAACCCAGCCGAACGCAGAGTGCTGTCCGAAAATCACTGCCCCACGACCTTGAGAAGGAATTGGGACCCTTCTTGGGAGTAGTACATGAGACAATGATACCGGCACCAGTGTCTGCACTGGTTCGCAGTGATCTGGACCCAGTGATCCGACGCATCGACATGAACCGAAGAGATAGGAGGACGGCGTATGCCAAATGATCTTGTCCGTCAGCCTGACCTGGTCGTCGTTATAATGGTCGTTATTCTCCACCCATAGATCCAGGTCTGAAAGACATGCGGCAATGTAGTAGTTTTGCTTAGGCAACTCTGACCAATACTCACACATGTCTCTGCCTACCGGCTGAATGAGCTCCCCGAACCCCTTTCCAAAAAGTGTGATCACTTGCGCAGAGCGGGCGAAGTCCACCCACGCTTTGCCGCTGGCTTCAAGGTGAGATACCCGGGGATATAGCGGATCTCGGTTTGTGGCGAGGTCTTTGAAGTCCCAGCCCTCAAGATCCCCTCGTGTTCTATCTTGCATATTGACTTCACTATCCTCACTTATGTCAGATTGATGATCTATGAGTTTCTCCAAGATGTTGAAATAATGCTCTATGCGACCCTGGAGGAGCAGAAAATGGTTGTTTTCTTTGTACAACTTGAGGGCGCAATTTTCCTCGTTAATCAAGACGTCGTTTGCCGAGTCTGCGGTGTAGGGATTTGGTGACTCTTTGAGATCTTCTTTCTTAAAGATAAACGCAGACCTGAACTTGTCGCGACTGTTATGTTCCAAGGAGCTCCTGACGAGGTATAACAGCGCACTGGTGCCATTGATAAGCCATCCACGCTTATCCTGCTCGTCCCATAATAGGACAAGTTTAGTGGAAAGCCACTGAAGCTTCGGTATGTAGCCGTTGCGTGCCACATGAACCGGGGTGTCTTTTTTCCCCAAGCTGTATAATGCGTTGCTCACTATGCACCTTCCTGGAGATACAAAGAGATTTGCCAAAGCACAGCCTTGATGAGGCTTAGGAAGCCCCGAGGCGCCAATGGTATAATTGCATTGAGAAGATCCTATAATTTAATTGCTTGTCAGTCAAGATAGTGTAAGAGCTGATCTGGGCCTTGTTTACCTGGGAAGAAGCGTGCTTCGGAACACCAACCGACAACATGCCGGAAATTGGCAAGTTCCAGGCTACTAACGCGTTCGATATGAGGCAAGTTATGGTCTTTGAATGATATTCGAGTGCCATCCTCATTGTAAACAAGATGCCATAGAATGGTCTCTCCGACCTTTTGGGTTGGGACGAGCATGGTGGAGAATCCCTTGATAAATGTCATGCCTTTGAACTCGTCCACCACATTTGTGCGTGACAAACCAGCCATGATGTCTAGCGTCATCTCTACGCCGCTATTCTTCTCAGCCTTTCGTCGAATTGGATATCCTTTGACAACCACGGGGTTGAGGAACATGTTGTGCCAGCATTGACCATCCTCGAGGTTCACTGGTCTTGGGACCTCCTCCGAAAGGATTTCGATATCGAAAGTGACACTGGGACGGGATTTTGATTGTAAAGCCTGGAGCCTTGGACCACTCCCACTGACTCGGGCAATAACTGGCGTGCAGTGGAGAAGCCCGTTAGAGAGGTCGGACGCACGAAGAGAAGCCGATATCCATGCGATTTGCTCCCCGATTTCCGCTATAGAGTCTGCAACTCCAGTAACTTGAGTGGTAAACACTGAATTGTGTAATATTGCATCCAGTGTCGTTCCATCCGGGTAGGTGCCTGTTGGAAACATATTAGTCGCAGCCTGAAATTCAAAGTTCACATCGAGACTCACAATGTTGCAGGTTGTTTGGATCATTATGTAGAACGGCTTTTATCACTTTCAAGGTCAATGAGCCCGTTGTAGGCCACGTTTGACTCAGGTACTGTGAGCACGTCAAGGCTTGCGCATCATTTTCCGATCCCGTGAGTGTGATGATTCGTGAAGTAACCTGGGCCGCGTTAAGCCCATACTCTTGGCTTTGTAAAAACCCAGATGGGTCCCAGCCAACACAAAATGAAGCATTGAAGCGCTCGGAAGATGCATTCCTGCTAATCCGCTGGGATGGGCGGAGTGATGATATGATCTTGGCCCTAATGGCTTCCATGGCTCTTGGCTCTGCCGCCACCAAGCTAGACTCAACGTATAGGCGGCCGAGAAGCCACTGGAAAACCTCAGAGTTACGAATAAATTCACGATAGCTGCGAAGCCAAGCGTCATTGTCTCCTTCAGTCACGTCTTGAGATGTGTCAGTATGGGCGGATGCCTGAGATTCTAGGTCTGAGTCGTCGGATCTGATAATGGGATCCCGAGACTCATTTTCGGGCCTGATCTCAACATTACTCAGAGAGGAGAACCAGGACTTCATCAGGTCTTGGAGTGGAATTCGATCGCCTTCGCTGGGCAACGGTGTTCCGTCAGATGTGTCATCTCCTCGGTGCAGACTTTTTTCCTTAAAGTTGCTTGAGATCATCCTTATTCTCGCCGTTAGCCTCTGTCAAGAGAAGATACTGGAAGAACGGATATGGAAGAGTGTATGATTACCCTCGATATTTGTGAATGAAATACATAACATCACGATGCATTCGAGATGGTGCGTTGTATCCTACTCGTAGAGCGAAGGCTTTCAATAAATCCGGGAGAAGCGCCGAGATTCTGTCCAGTGTCTCTTCATCTGGTTGCAGTTCACGGACTCTAGCTACCAAGTCATCGACGAATTCCTCGATATAGCTTTCTTTTTTCCAAGTCGCAACACTCGAGGTATCTGAATATTCTGTTGCAGTGCCGTCGAAGCCCGCATCAGTCTCGTATTGGGCATCTACAGCATGAGACTCGATCAAGCCTTTTTGACTCCCTGTTGCTAGTTGAGAGCCATATCCTGAGTCAGTTGCCGCTTCGATGGCCCGAGCCAAGTCACCATGTCGTGCTTGGCCGATATCTGCGGAGGCAGAAGCGCCGTAATCGATCGAAAATTTGTTAACAAAATCGCCAACAGTGCTAGACCCAGGTTTTTCATCCGAGACAGGAAGCTGATGAGCGTCGATTTGTCCAGCATTCCTGTTTACCTGATTGTCCGCTGTGGTTTTGAGGAATGGGTTCCGCCAAATTGGCGGCCTCATGTCAGAAACCGTAGCTTTGGCAGGATCTGACCCTTCCCTTAACGCGTTGGACATCGTCGTAAATGCGTGCTCTGCTTCTTTCGTCCAGGGTTCAGGTGATGCAGAATTCTCAAGCCTACGCTTTTCGTTTTCGTCGCTCCCAGAAGCGTCCTCTGCACAGTTCGGACATGTCCAGTTTCTGGGGGAAATTTCGGGCTCTGGGAACATGTTCAAAAAATCCACATCGCTGTCCATGTCGAAATTCGAGCTGATTATAATATCACGGTCGCCCGAGTTGATAGTATCGCTGTTGTATGGTGGGTTGGTGGCGCAAGAATAGTGAGCTTCACAGACGGGTTAGGAAAGCAACTCGGACAAGCAAACAGACAGGACATACCATGTTCACCGCATTTTCTGCAGGACACAGAAGCCAATCCTTCCAAATCTATATCACCACCACATCCCTGCTTACAAAACATGCATATGCTTTGCCGCCCATTGGCTTGAAGTGCTCTGCTATCTTTTGCTTTCGGAGAACCAGGGAGGTAGTATCCAGGATCCCAGGGCGTCACATCACCTGTTGCTAAGGTGTCTTGGTTCTCATCTTTCGAGGCACGGTCCTGAATAAAATAAGGGGAAGATAAGGAAACTGAGGAGGTAATGTCGGGAGGTAGCTGTTCTGCAGGTTGTGGAGCAACACCAGAAAGGGGTGTTTCATCGTTTTGGGTCATATTGTAGTTGAACTTTCTTTTCAGACTGTCGGTGTCGCTGGCCGCCGATTGATACCTATACTGATCAAGGAATACCGCAAATTTATCTGACGAGGGTGGCAAGGGAATATTTGATCTAAGAGAATGTGGTTAGTTCTCTGGAGAGTATTTCGAAGGATAATCACGCACCTGATCCAGTCTCGCGTAGGTTTAGTTTGCGCATACTTGTGGTTGCCTTTTTCTTCATATCGTTCCGGGCTACCACACTTCCTCGGTCTACCCCGACGCTTCTGGTGGCAGTTCTCGATGTGGTCTAGATATTCAACCACACTAGAGGTTTCGAAAACCTTGCAAATGCAAGTACAGACGCCTTCCGATGATGCAGATTCGCACTTCCTAGACTTGATGTGGACCTTCATCTGATCCTTCCTGTAGGAGCTATAGTTGCATCTGCACCTGTAAAGATCTGAATCAGTTGCGTGGATGCTCATGTAGTGGCGTTCGAGATCCTTGGAGAGACTGAACGACTTGTCGCACTTTGTGCACTGGTATTTTCTAACCAGTGGTCTATATGCATTCAAGCCATTGGGGCGAAACTGATGATCGCCCGATCTACCCAAGGCTTTTAGTGGAGTTCGTGATGGCTGATCCTCCGCGGGATGATGGCTAGATTGAGGATGTAGCTCTCCGGAAGTAGCATGCTCGTGCACTTCCGATTGAGGTTTGGGGTCGTGGATAATGTGTTTAGCAGGTAGCGGCAAGTGAGCTGATAGTACAGAGGGATATCTTGGCATAGTTGACGGGCGTGGGAAGCCTTCATCATGAGAGCTGACGCCATTATCGACGCCTTCACCAAAGGGCAGAGGTGGCGGTGGCAGTGGCGGTGGAATGATAGGTCCCTCTGCTTGCTTCTCCAATAACCTACTTATTGGCGGGAGCACAATCCTTGAGTTCTCCGGAGAAATCGGTGGCAACCTGGCGCTGGCAGGGGGCAAGACCGGAGGCCTAGAAGGATTGTCTATCTTGACGTGCTCCTTCCGAAGTGCGGAATGGTCGTTGGCAGCAGGATTGGTTCTACCACTCTCCTGAATTGATAGAAGAGATGTCGATATATCCTTGGAGATTCCAGTAGGACCTTGCGCGCGGCTTGGCGCTGTTGACACGTCCGGAGATGGCGATGATGCGGGAGAATCAGATCTCGGATCACTATAGGAAGGTTTGTGGGTGGTCTGGCTCTGTGCGGAGTTGTATCGACGGTTGAACAGGTCGGGCTCTTGGTTCTCAGCCCTAGGTTCGTGACTAAACAAGCACCTGAAGGCGGTACAGGCACTCCCATTTGGACAGTCAATCGTGTGTAAAGGATTCCGGATGGACTCGGATGCCTCATTTGGAATGTCCTCATCTGGTGCACCGGGAAAAGCGTCGCCGTCCTTCCCCCGCTTCGAGTCTGTCTGTCTCTCCATTGCCTCCAAGAATCAATTGGCAATTAAAGAAAGGAAAAACACAGTCGGCGATCGCTCGTCTCCCGAAGAGGGGTGACTTTGGCGCAGGGGGACCGCGGATGCACAGCTGATGGCGAGCCAGCAACCAGCTGAGTGCCTTGCCAATTGATGAGTGGAATAGCTGCAGCCTTCATTCTGCCTCAAAGCACGTGCTGTTGCACTGAGAGAGGCGGTGCACCGAAACTCGGCCGCCAATTGGCCTGCATGGTGATTCATGCATGCAGGCGCTCAGCCAACAGCCTGCGAGCAAATCCTGCTTGGACTCCGCAGTGCCCAGCCAATTCCAACCGGTCAACGCATTCCCATCCTCGACAGCCCTTCTGGGGTGGTTAAAATTGCTGTGAAGGTACCTCTCTCCCACCTCCCACAGAAAATAAAATGGTGCGCGAACCGTACTGATCGCCTTCGCCACACCTGCACGTCTCACTTCTGGCAAGCCGGTCAGGACCGAACTTGGCAGACCTCATCGTGCATTGCCTTACTCAATTGTAAAGCCTGTGATACAGATGCAAATTGACTTTGTGAAAGGAATTTTATAAGATGCTGGCTGCACTGTTCATTGAGCCTGGATTTCCATTTCTGGAAGACTCGCTTAGTCTTGCAAACTTGCAACCAAACTACGTCGTTAGGGAGCTGATCATCGACATACTTCCGCCAACTGATGGCTATCCCCACAGAAGCGTCACCTTCAGCGAGGGAGAGTTGGCCGGTGATGCTGGATACTGGGCAGAGGGGCGCTTTGGAGCCAACGATGTTTCAAAACCAGCAGAATTTGGCCTTGCAGATTTTTTTTGCTAGGATACTTTGACATTCTGTTGGAAGTTAGGCGAGAGACCGAGTATTGGGCTATTATTTACGAGTGCGTAACGGATCGCATTATGTTTCGGGTCAATGGGAACGACTATCGTGTTTACGACATTAACAGAATGATTGAAGTCGGTGAGAGATGACTCTACTGACATTGATCCGGTAAGAAAGCAAGAAATGGGGAAGATGAAAGCGAGCTCTCGGCGAGGTTCTTATGATGCTTTCAGTGAATCACTAACTTAGAGAATCTGGAAATGATCCTCCTTTTCAATGGATATAGAGTTTTGACACTCTATTGATCTTTTCTATCGCTACAATACGAGACAGCGAAATCCAACGATGTGAAAGAGTTCGGGCGAGATGATATCATACATCTCCAAAATTATCACCTCTCCCCGTTACTGATAGGCCATCTGTCCTTCGATTTACAGGGAATCTATATCGTGGCTTGAGGAATCAGATTGACTCGCGAATTTTCATAATAGCATCAAGTCCTTGTCTGTCCAACTTGCTATGAAACGGTGAAATCATCTCATACAAGTTTGCTGCCATGAACGCATGGCAGTATATCTGTTTTGATATGAAAGCGAATCAAGGAAACAGTTTAGGTCAGCTCATGTAATATTCTTGACATCACACGACACGCATCGTCGGAATCGAAGGATCATTGGGTACTTTGGACTCAATGCCAACCCTTCGGCCCGAAGTTCTTGTACTGACTTACTGACGCAGATGTCAGCGTTACAGACCTTTAAGGCTTCTGGACCTTCAGGGCCTATTATAGTAAGATTTCATAATTGTAAAAGATCCAAACGCGCACTTATCTTACTCAGATCTTGTCAACTCTGTTGCCATTATTCCTATCGGTGTCCAATCCGACTTGAAATTTCGGATTGAATAGGGCTAGACGACCTCCAAGGTTGAAAGTTCAGCTTAAAATAATTAAAGATGGCAAAATCATTCGGTGGCGGCATTGGATTTGTGCCACTGACGGCGATTCAATGTAACGTCTGCTTTCCATTAACTGTGCCACATTTGCCACATTTCCTCAGTAAGAACCACTATGAAAGTATGGTGGAATGATCTTTTGAAGGAGCAACCGGAACTTTCTGAAAGGGGGTTATTGTGCAGATTTCTAGTCTTGGGCTCGGAATGGACTCTGAAACTCTCACCTGACACGTATCTTCCTGCTTCTTCCAGTAATCGAAACCATCACGCCCCTCGATCTACGGCCCATACTGGACTTTATTTTAGTTATGGTGGCCATGTGACAACTCGTCAGTCCTTTTTTTTACTGCTGATAGTGACTATGCCTGATGTAAAAAGTTATAAAGTCAAGAGCGCCCTCCTGTCTTAAACCGAACTTGTAGTAACAACGCTATTTCTCATCCACTCATTCCTTTGATTGAGAAATTGTAAGCAGCTTCGCTATTTCCACCAATCTCTAAGCCTCAACCCAGAAAGCTTCAAAATGGTTGCTATCACGAAGATTCTTCTCGCTACACTCTCTTCTAGCCTTGTCATTGCCAGGGAAGGCAAGATGACTTGGTACAACCCTGTTCGTGGTAACGCGTGAGCATAATATCTCACTACCTTTGACTAACAGGTGTATATAGGGCCTTGGTGCTTGTGGCAAGACGAATAATGGCAATGATATTATCGTCGCAATTGGGGTGCCTCACTGGCACGCAGCAAATCCCAATAAAGATGCAAACTGCCAGAAAAAGGTCACCATCCATTATGGCGGCAAGAAGGTCACGGCTCGGGTTGTTGACAAGTGTATGAGCTGTGGAAGAAACAACATCGATGTTTCCCCTGCCGTCTTCAAAAAGTTTGGCCCTCTCAGCAAGGGACACTACCAAGTTAAGTGGAACTTGCATAATTGAGCAATAGGGTTGGTTGCAGCGAAGAAGTAGCTATCCAACATGGTTCGAATCGGAATGCGGTGCAGCAGCTGATATAAGGAGGATGAGGAGCGCCTTTGATTGTGTCTCAAAGTGTGCTAATTAGATGGAAATACAATCAATAGATCTATCAGTCTTTTTTCTTCATCTTCTAGCGCTCGGTCCTAAATCTACTTCATTCTTTTGACAGCACATCAAAATCTCCTGTTCCAAGTCCCCCCAATGAATAGACAAGAATACCTACTGCATAAATACTTGTGAATACGAATTCTTGTACTGATTCAAATAGCCAAATACTCTGAATCTAGTATGTCGCACAACTACGTAAGATGGCGAGAAGTAATACCTGTGACCGTCTAAAGTCCGTCAGCAAGTGTCATCCCGAGCGAAGCGTGGCGCGCAGGCACATCCAAGACCATTCATATCGCTACACTTGTCTATCGACAACCAAAACAAACGCAAGGCGGAGATGCCGTTTTTAAAATATTATTTGGTGGCGTTATGAGCGTTTCAATTTATCTAGCGAAAATGGGTGGTTGGGCGTTGGTGTGGTCGCAAACTTTTGACATGTTACTTTAATAAGGTGCTTGTGGTGGTCCGCAAGACCCTGGCTCGTCCGCAACACTGGCCCCATCCATGGTTGCCTAGGTAGTTGCCTGGTTGTAACTGCCGGTCGCTTCACTCTTGTTAACGGTGCTGCCTACCGCATCCAAAATAGTTTATGAACTGAGGGCCAGAACAGAGCCATCAACGTCAATCTTCAGGAATTTTCAGTCCTCTCCACTAATTGCGGACTTACTTTCTCGTCGATATTAATTATATCCTCCAAAAACGCGTCTTCATTCTTTAGGTTACAGCCACAGTACCACCGCATTATGGAGATGTTCACGGCCGCGAAATCGGGTGATCTAGACGCGATCAAACGTCTTCTCCGTCAAGGAGAATCTCTCGAACAGAAAGACGTCGATGGACGGACCATCCTATACTCGGCCTGTAAACATGGCCGCTACGAAGTGGTCAACTTTCTGCTCACAGGAACAAGTGACACGGTCGCTGCCGTGAATGGATCGACAGCAACCCCCACAGCAGAGGAATGCATCGATACCCAAAGCCCTGAAGTGGCAGTTGATGCGGATAGAGATGGCGAGCCTAAACACGAGAACCACGACCTAGTCATCCGCCTAGCCAGCGACGTCGATGCTGCCATAGGTGCCCCCGACACTCCTCAACCCCTTAACCATAACGGCAGTACCCTCCTACAGGTACCGACTAAACGAGGGCAAACGCCACTATTCATTGCAGCTTACAAAAACTATCACACAATGGTGGAGCTTCTGCTCGATGCCGGTGCCGAGATCAATACAGCAAGCAATGCAGGCCAGACACCACTCCATATAGCGGCTGAGAGAGGAAAGCGCAGCACAGTGAAGCTGCTCTGCCGAAGGGGTGCGGATCTTAACACGAAAAGCAATAATGGTCAGAACGCGCTTGACTCGGCGTTGCTGAACCGCCATTTCAAGACTGCAGAGGTTCTCATCTCCGAGGGTGCTGATTTGAACAGTCAGAATGTGCTAGGTCGAACGGCGCTCTGTTTTGCCATCGACAAAGGCCTCCTTGATATGGCCAAGCTTCTGATCAACAAGGGTGCAGATATCAAGATTAGCACGCCACTGCACCAAGCTTCTGCCAAGGGATATTTGGAACTGGTCAAGGAGCTCTTGGCTGCTGATACCAAAGCAATGAGCCAGGAGAATCCAACCCCTAATGGTGAGACAGCTTTGCATGCAGCAGCAGCTGGGGGCTATTTGGATATTGTCAAGCTGCTCGTTGAGGCTGGGGCAAATTCGAAGGCGGCAATGAAAAACGGAAGAGTGCCGTTGCATTTAGCCTGTGCCGGTGGCTGGCTCGACATCGCCGAATACCTTCTTGCTGATTGCCCTGAACAATTCCATGCTGTTGACTGCAATGGCTTCACGCCGCTTCATCTCGCTTCCCAGAGTGGTAATCTTACACTGATCAGACTACTCCTCGACTATGACGCATTCACAATTGTTTCCGTCAATAAATCCGCTTCGACAGACCAAACTTCTAAGTCTCAACAGCATCCGGAATCAACTATTGTGATTGATGATGTCAACGTTCGAAATAAGATGGGCTGGACACCGCTACACTCGGCGGCGAATTCTGGCCAGCATGATGCCGTCAAACTTCTACTTGAGAACGACGCCGATCATTCGATCTCAGATATTTCGGGGTGGACCCCACTCCAGTCTGCCTCCTTCTACGGACACATTCAGGTTGTCGAGTCGCTTCTCGAACAACCTGGTTGTGAGCCTCTCAAGACGGATACTGCTGGTCGCACGGCCTTATTCATAGCTGCTTCACAGGGCCACCAGGAAATAGTTAACAAGCTACTTGCCTTAACTGTGATGAACACCGACATCCTCCTCCAGAGGGACATTTACAACTCCACTCCATTGTGTGCAGCCATGAGAAATGGATATCATAAGACCGCCGCCGAGCTCCTGAAAGCTGTCAGATTGCCATTGGATTCCAAAGATTTCAATGGAAAGACTTTGGCCTCATGGGTACGAACTTCCGCCAATCGTCAACTTAAGGACATGTTCCTTGATAGTGACTGGGATGGGGAGGTTGAGAATAACATTGCAAGCAAGGCCAGGGTAATATGTGATTCATACTGCCACGTTTGTATGAAACGTGTGACGAAGAAGTACTCCCGTTACCGGTGTGATATCTGTGCAAGTGGATTTCTAACCATCTGCAAGGGCTGCTATGATCAAGGCTCGACATGTCCTGGCTCCCACGAACTGGTGGAGGTGACGGAATGCTTGATTCACTAGCTACATAACCCAAGTATTATCTAAGTAAAACCAGTTGTCCTTTTCCAAACTCAATTGAATGCGTTTATATTTTATACAACCTCACTGACTTGTCTTATCAGCTTCGAGAGCATTGACTCCGGGGCCTTGTTTCGTTGCACTTTGTCTGATACCCGCAAATATGGGAAAACAGACGCAGACGATCATAGGAGTGATATTCGCCAGCAATGGAAAGACTTTTCCGAAGCCTACCTACCAATCGGCGTACTTGGATTCCCTAAGTACTTCTTTTGTATGGTGTCCCTTCGCTTATATTGACGGAGACATCTTCAGCATAGTGTTTTAGGCCCAAATACTAGTAGGACATGGCTCTGTCCTCCACATCATTGAGCATACTACAAAATACATGAATATAATACAGAAGATACAAAAACAATACATCAAGTCTACAGCCTCGAAGTCGGGCGCAGTAAAGAGGTTCTAGGAACACACAACAGAGTTCATGAAACGCACAGCATAGGCCGCACTCTGCCGCAGCTAGTTCAAGAGAGGCACAATTGATCTAATTATTACGCTCCATCGTGGGAGTAGTATTCATTGGTTTCATATGATGCAGAATAATAGATCAAGGATTAGGAGTACGACTACTTAGCAGAACATAAGTTTCAGGCCCTTAGTAATCGGTTTTCCATAAAAGAGAATTTAGGATTGAATGCACTTAATACTTTGACGTACTGGAGGAAGGTTACACAAACTACTAGACTTATTTACCTAACCTAAGAGAAAGAGAATAAAGTTTAATAGTAATAGAAGCTACTAGAGCTTAATAACTTAATATAATAAATATAAAAACCTTAAAAAAGAGCCTTTTATTAGCCTAAGGTTATAATTATATAGAAAGAAAAGTCTATAAACCTTTATATTAATAACTTACTTACTATTAAGATAAGTAGCTTATTAAATAGTTATTAAAGCTACCTTCTTTTACTTAACTTTTTATCTTTTATTATATTAATTTAAGTATTTTAATATACTAAGCTTAAGGTAATTAATCTAGTAAGTATTATTAGCCTTTAGCTAAAGTATTTATATTAATATATTTATAGCCTTTAATATATATATTATATTAAGTAATTAGATCTTAATACTTTCTTTAAAAAGTAAGAGAATTATATAATTTAATATTATAAAGCTAAAAATTAATATAAGTAATCTAAAGCTTATTAAATTTATAAAGGTTATTATTATCTTTAAGGTTAATTAACTTAATTAAACTAAAGTAGATAACTTATTTAAAGAGTAAGTTATAATACTATTTAATTTTAATTAAGATATTCTTAAATATATACCTTAAGATAAGCTTAATATTAATACTATCTTATTATTAAAGAGTAAGGGGTTAAAGTAATAGGTATTTCTATTACCTAAGGTTAAATTATTATAGTTATCTATAGTTACCTATAAGAATAAATAGGGTAATAGAAAGAGAGGAAGGGATTAAAGATAGTAATTATAGAAATACTATTAAGATTTTAAAATATAGTGAGGGGGACTTATTTACACTAGCTCTTAAGAAATAAGGCGAATCTTATAGCGCTTGATTGGATGCTGTGAGCAACGTACGGGTGTGAGAGTTTGAGTGGCTGACTCACACAGTCGAAGACAGCAAAAGAAGATGCCAGACCCAACATCTCAACACAATGAACACGTGAGTGAGGTACTTTGCTCTTCAGTGAATATATCTTAATTATACAGTGCTCTGTGTGGCGATAATACGTAACCGACCTTAGAGATCGCCCTAACGTCTTGCTTTATTCACAGCATTATGAAGGAAACACCAATCGTCTCTACCCATACTTAGGATATTGAGCGGAAGCTAATGTGAACCTTGAATGTCATATGGTGTTCTTTGTGATCAATTGTGATCTGCTAGAGTCCGTTTCAGAAACGAAACTCAAGCACTGGAATAACCATATACTTTACACTGAGCTTACGCCCGGGCTATACATCATATGTCATAATCATCTGAATCAATACCTCATGATTTGCCCAAGCATTGGTTCCGGTCACACTAACTGATGATATCGTGGCTGAGATTCCCACCAAGTGGTGTCCAGCCCCAAAAGTCAAAGGTTCGCCTTCGATGCTAAGAATGGAAACTTTTATCAGACGCCACCAGAGCGTAAAAGACTCCTTTAGGCTTGGTTGATAAAAGCCTTACAGCCAACTGATGTTGAGTTACTCAATACAACAATTACAACAACCCGAAACAAACCACGACCCGCTTTCAATCTATTCGCTTTGTTGTACTCTAGAACATCATGGGAAACCCAGCCAAAAAAGGTTCTCCTCCTCTTCTGCCTACTGATGGGATTCAATCAAACCAGTCTGCTATTCAGCCAGAACACCCACGACCCGATGCTTTTCAAACCCAGTTGGCATGTGTCACACTCAACCTAGAGAACTGCATCCGATTTATTCGTTTTCCGCCAGACGTCGTTAGAACCATGCAGGGAATCATCAATAGCAGCTGGCCAAAGGGGATCCAAAACATCCGCGACTACGCCGGGTCGCGCGAGCTCGCGTTGTACGGTTCCCCTTGGAAAGAAAGTTACAAGGGAAATGATGACTCTCGACAGCTTGTACTCAAGATTTTCGAGGCCCTATATGATATCGGGTGGGTGCTACATGCGGCCGCAGATTTGAGTAAAACACAGACCGCCAGAGGTTCGTTTCACACCTGACCCTAACATATGACCGTTGTTGGGAGTCTCCGAGATCCTATTCAGCTAACAGCATCGCATGAATAGACACTCTCATTTTCCACTACAGAAACCCCCCGCCGCCTCGCAGCGATTGGATCTGCATATCGCTTTACCGGTCTAACCGACTTTGGATCACACCACGTCCCCAACCAGACCTCACCGAAGCCCTATTGCAATCATTTGGGTATAAAGTGAGCAAGCATGGAGTAACACGGGAGCACCTCGAGATCAAGCTTTTTGGCTACCCTTGGGAACCGAGTGGCGAAGGCACTGTCCACATGCCGTTGATGATCCTGGAAATGCTAGAAACGCTTGAGAGATTTGGCTACTCAATGTATGCGAGCGTCAAGGATCAGATCAGTAGCGAGGGACACGATGCGGATATTTTGGTGATGCAGCGACATAAGAATTGGGCTCCAGGCATGCCAATATTCCATAGATGATTAAAGTCAAGCTGTCTCTCTGTTTACCCTGTTAGGCCTGCCTCTTTTGCCTAAAGTCTGCTGGGCCAGGGAGAATCGATCATCCACTTAAACTTCCAGATAGGATAGCCGGGGAGAGGAACAGTGCACGGGTGTTAGACTTCGAGTAGTTTGACTCACACCGTAAAAGATAGCAATAAAGAGTACGAAAGGCAAAATAAGCTCCGCTGCCGAAGGCAACAGCCATGCAGAGGGAAAACTTTGTAAACCTTCATACCAATGACTCCCTTACCGTCGGCATGAGCCGCTCGTTAGATCCCTATTTAGCCTACCCTCTTTCATCTACCTAGCTGGAGTTCTACATCATACACACACAGCTTCACACTCATCTTCTATCACACAGATCTAAGCACAAGCTCAAAGCCTTTCGGATACCAAATCAATCAGTAGTAGCCCCTTAGCCAAGGCACTTCCACTGACACGCCTGCAGCCTTCGACACCATTAGCTGTCAGCCAACGATCCAGCCAGCGCTCGGAATTTACTTCCTTCGTCCTCCATCAAAGCTCCACTCTCACCGTCCTCCACAATCTTCCCCTTTTCCATAATGACGACCCGGTCGCAACGAACGGCGGCCTGGATGCTGTGTGTGACCATTAGGATAGTATAAGCCTCAAATTCCTTCCACACGAGTTCAAGCATTTGCCTCTCCGTCTCCTTGTCAACACTAGCAGTCATCTCATCCAGCAACAAAACTCCTCCCTCCGGCAGTCCCTTCTCAGACATCTTCCTGGCTCGAACGCGACGACGGAGGATAGCACGGCCCAGGGCGAACATTTGTTTCTGGCCAGCACTCAACTCTGCGTTCTTGACCAAGGCATCCAGACCGCCCCTGTCTTGCAACACTTCAAGCAACCCAATGACAGCGAGAGCTTCCATGGCCTCTTCGCGTGAAGCATCATTCCAAGGGTCCAGGTTCGCCCTGAAGGAGCTACCTTCGGGCAGGAACACGGCGTCTTGCGATAGCGCGATGATCCTCTCACGTAAGACAGTGCGATTAATGTTCTCGAGATGTGTTCCATCAATAGACATCGAGGGACACTGTGAGCCCAGAGGGGTAAGGGGATCAATCATACGAAGAATCAGGTTGATCAGCGAAGACTTGCCGCTGCATTTATAGTGTCAGTCATATCCAAAGAAACCTCAATAGTAAAGTTCAAGCTCACCTCCCAGTCCTCCCGCACACAGCGACCTTCTCGCCTGACTTAATCTCGAGCGCGACCTCTGATAGAACCAGGGCATTAAGATCATTCGTGTAGCTCGCCGCTACGTCGGAGATGGCGATGTTTCCAGCCGCCGGCCACTCAACAGCAGGTACAGCATCTTCACCAGGCTTGTCTTCTCCCTCCGTCGTCTCGCCAAACGTCTTCAACCTATTAATTCCACCAAGTGCTATTTCCAAGCCAGTGTAAGAGTTAATCACAGCCGTCATCGAAGCCCCCAGACTCATGAGCATGACCAATCCAGCACCAACCGAACCGCCGTTGATATCTTGTAAGTTGGTAGCGAGCGATACTAAGATGATGGCGAGTATGGCGACAATTATGTTCATGACCAGAAGTAACCACTGCTGTGCCATAGCAAGCAGATAGCTTGGGCGCTGTGAGGAATTCAGAAGATCTTTATTTCGGGATATCTGGTCAGGTATCCACCCAAAAGCACGGAGGGTGGTGATTCCATCTTGAGTATCAAGGAAATGTGTACTATGTAGGAGGTTTGACGTCAGTTATAGACTTCAAGTATATAGGAAATAAGATAAGGCCGACAGCCATCGTTCATACTTGTAAAGCTACAGCCGAATTGCTTGTTTCGGAAGGAAAAACTTACAACAATGGAGACTTGGCCTCTAAGTCCAGGATACGAAGCTGCTTAGAAGTGGGCAAATACACCTTCTGTAAACCAAATAAAATCGCAATGAAAAAGGGATAGCTGATAGCCAGGTATCCGGAGGAAAGCGCCACAATAATTGCTTGACCAAGGGAGGAAGCCAAAGTATTCAAAAAGTTGTTGACCATACGTGGCAGCTGAGAATCAATGATAGTCATGTCCTGAGAGAACAAGTTCAGGATTTTCCCTGTATCTGTAGTGGTCAGGAAGCGAAGACTGGAGTGCATTGCCGTCTGAAGGACCTGCTCATGAAGATGGGTTCCAGACAGACGGACAAATGTTTGCAGGTTAATCAATCCCATTGCGAAGACGACGAACACGCCCAGAACCGCGACTAGGACAAAAATGCCAATGTAGAATGCAAAGGAATGATTTGGAATGTCCTTGACGCTGTCTGCAGACCAGATTTTGAGCCAAATTGCCGGGAAGTTGAAAAAGAGTCCTGTACTGGCAGTGACGATCAAGAAAACTATCACAAGAGGTAGGCCTATCGATGACATGTAGTGGAGATATAACGAAGTGTCTGTTTTGGATGCCGGATTTGCCGTCACGTTCACCGTAGGTGTATTCTTTGTTGTCTTCGTGGGATCCTCTTCCAAAGGAGATCCTTGTAGAAGGTCACCTGTATCTTCTTTCTTCTGTCCTAGACTCAGCACTTCATAGTTTTGCGGATAGGCAGCTTCTGTGATGAAATTCTCCGCAACGCCTTGTTTCGTCACAGTGCCATCAGACGAAAGCTCGATAATCTGGTCAGCAAGGAACATGAATTGTGTGGCTTGGGTGCAGAGCACGACAGTTGTTCGCCAAGAGCGTAGCAAGCCTTCAGGGCCGAACACTCTCCAGCAGAGTTGCTGGCTTGTTTTCTCATCTAGTCCCGTAAAAACATCATCAAGAATCAAAAGCTCTGCGTCGTGGTAAAGAGCACGGGCCAGTGAGATACGTTGCCGTTGACCGCCGCTCAGTGAGACACCCTTACTGCCAATTTTGGTCTGGTCTTTTTGGGAAAACGTCATCATGTCCTCCTCCAGCATTGTTGCTGATATCACCTCATTATATCTTTGTGAGTCAAAGGACGAGTTTCCGACAATGTTCTCCATGACAGTAGCATTCATGAGGAAAGGGCTTTGGTCACAGTACCCAATCTTGTCGGCGGCGGCATCAACCATGATCTGGCCAGTGCAAAAAGGCACTTCGCCTAGTATGCCTTTGCAGAGAGTAGATTTCCCGGAAGCAACCGTGCCAATCACAAACGTGAAGGACGACCTCTCAATGGAGACGTGGATATCTTTCAAAACAGATGTCTCAACAACCCAGCCGAAACTAGCGCCCGAAAGAATCACCGCTGCGTCTGAACTTGTCTGTTTTCTTAATGACTTTTCGTCGAGAGATGTAATTAATTGCCCTTTTGCTAGTCGGGGGTCTTGTCTGTTTGGAGTCAAAGTGAATTCATAAATCCGCCTCAGACAAGCAAAACAAGCCGAGAGAATTGGAATCACTTGGAGGACAAGCATTAGCGGCGAAGCAAGAAGCGAGAGGAATGACAAAGTCGTAAAGGCCTTGGTGCTGTCGATAACTTTCGACCCAAATGCAAAAGTTAACACCGGCGCCAGTGCCTGAGGAATGTAGGAGGTCGTGGCAGAGATTCCGACGATTCCTCGAGACTTGCCACCTTGGCGTATTTCTTCCACACGCTCCTCTTGAACCAAGTTTTGGACTGGAGAAGTCATCCCTGAAATTCTGTATTCTTTGATATGAGAGAGCGCGTAGCTGGTTACCCCGATACGTTTCTCGACGAATTTCATCCAATTTCGTTGATATTTAGTAGCGTACTTTGACAGGACGATGGAGGTCGCAAAGGCAAAGGCAACCAGTATCAACGGTGCAAGGAAAGACAACCCGATAACGCGATACAAGTGCCAGGTTGAAAGTGCAATCTGAATGACGTTTGCCCAGATTTCGTGAACAAAGCGTACTCCGGTGTATATTCGATCTACATCAGTGCTCATCAGAGTGATTGCCGCCTTGTTTTCAGACGAAGGTGCCTGCGTGGCCTTTTGGTAGATTGACGTAACAAGAAAGGCTCTCAAGAGTGACTGGGAGCGTTCCTGGTAATACCAATACAGCGAGGTTGAGATGGCAATGCCGAGATAGACCAAGATTGTTGCCCCCACTAGGCCAGCCGCATCGTGCTCTGAGCCCTTCTCGCCGTCATGGGCAAGATACTCTAGGAGACGGTTAATCAAAAAAGGCTGGCAGAATGTAAAGCCAATTAAACAAATCCGCGGAAAGACAGGTAGTAGAAGCGGCCTCGCAAGAGGTTTGGCAGCCCACATGATCACTGTCCAATTGCTCGGTTGCTTGGTTGATTGCGGGATCTGGTCCAAAGCCTTTTCGGGGAGCCCGGCCGCGATGGCTTGATCGAGGGGATATAAATCATCCAAGGACAAAACATTGCGATATCCCTTCCATAGAAGCGAGTTGAGCCAAGAGTATAATCCAAGGCTGAAGATACTGCTCGTCTCCTCTGGGCTATGAGCATCAATATCCCAAGAGAGCCAATCTGGCTGCCACTTGGAGTTGGTGCCCAAAAAGCACATCTGCATGACAACTGATGCCGTGAATAGGGCAGATATTTTCTTTGCCTGGGTTTCGGTAGCAACCGTCCAGAGAAGTTGGCATTTAGCAACGTTTGTCAGGAGAGAAACGAACAGAAACGAACAGAGCAGAGTAGATGGGCGACGCGACTTGAAATGGGCACACAGCGACAGGACCACTGCTAAGCATGCAGAGATGACGTTTAGTATACTTTGTGCTGATGAGCATTTTGACGGATCCGTGACAGTTAGCACCAGGGAGGAAATAGTGAACGCTACCCAGGCAATACCAAATATCTAAGAGGACTCGTCAACACCAAGGTAATTTGAAAGAAGCCAGAAGCCATGGCAGAATAAAGCAAGCTCCTGAAATTCATTGCAGTTTCATATTTTGGGTTGACTGCTTACCAGTTTAGATACCAAGAGCAAGGCTGGAGCGCGCACGATTGTTGGTCTGCGCAGCAGATAACCCAGTTCTATCAACGACAACACGCCGAATACACCGGCGACACCAATGCTGAGCCATGTTGCAAAGAGTGACAGGTCAAGCTCGCCTTGGCATTTCGCAAAGGCGTCTTCGAATAGCTCGCCGACGCTGTCGCTGTAGGCCATGGTGAGATGAATTATTTCGACCCCGTCTCGCTCAAGACTTCAAGTTGGCGCCCGTAGGGCCCTTCTCCAGCGAGTTTAAACATGTTTATATCCAGGTATCACGCGTTGGCTGCTTAGCAAGCAATTTCCTGGGCATGGGGGAAACTGGGTCGCAAGCTTACTGGAACCTTGTGGCATCGCTTATCGCACGAATGAAAGACGATGCCGGTATCCGTCCAGGCTACAACAGCAAAAGATCCCAGGCTACCACGAAAGAGAGATGAATCCTCACGGACCCTGACCAGTGGCAGTGACAGCAAGGGGTGATCACATACTGTATCTAACATCCAGCGCAGATTGGTGCCAGATCGAGTTTAGTGGCTCTCCTTTGTAAGAAAAGTAAACAAACCTCGCGTCGAGATAATTCCGTGTTACTTACCCTACACTCCAAACTTTGAAAATCACGTCAGCCAACAAGCAGGAGATATATAATGGTATAACTCAGACACCTGATATTGATTGAACTTGAACCTCTATCAAGCAATAAAATTGAACTTTACTCATTGCAAGTTCTAGTTCTACATATGTAACTAAATCCCTTTCGTAAACCCTCTAGCAAAACAATCATCTTGCGAACCGCGTCATGATCACAACAACCACACTCCAAGAATATTTACAAATATCACAACATTGCTATTAACGTTGACTCAAAGCTTAAAATGACCGGGCAAATTCTGTCCAAGTCATATTCTCTAACTTGAACTCACTACAAATCGAAACAAGATGGTGGTCCAGTTGTGGTCTACATTAGAGCTTGAAGGTTTCCAAGTACCACATAATCTCACGGAATTAGCTCAAGACATAGAAGGTTTGCTTTCCGTGATTCACTAGACTAGATGCTTTTATGAAAGGTTTAACTACGTTATAATAGACATCGTGCATATCTACTAGCGAGCTTGCATTCTCATAGTCCTTGTATTGTCTCGAGGTTTGGCTAAACTTTGTGCTAAGCAGACCAACGTCCCAAGAGAGACTTTCATAACTTGCTCTATTTGCCATTACACTATGGATATCAGTATGACAAAACAAGAAAGCTCAAGGAAGTACGCGACGAGATACAACCGATCGAATTCCACAGCATAAACTATTCATCTACTAGGTTGAATAGCCGATCCCTTTGAAGTTCCCCTTCATGCGCTTTTCTCTAACTCTTGTTCTATTCGCTTTCTTCAGGCTATGTGTGAGGCGAAATCCTGCTTAGGGCATTGAATTGAACAGACAACAGTTAGGAAGCGGTCTAAACATGGTTGTGTTAAACAATCGGCGTCAGAGACTCATTCATTTGCCATTTGCCCTCAGCTCAAGAAAGAGCCACGTGAGTTCCGATGATACAATTAACACGTGAAATCTTCTTGTGTGAAGGTGAATTGAAAAAGTTAACTCCAATATGCAAAACCCTGAAAATATAAAATTTATAACATACACCACACTTGACCGTCTTCAGGTCAAATCAGTCTAAACCATGCTATTTTATGATTATTGACATAAATAGACTCGCAGACTTCATGCAGGCCGTAATGTCCATTAGAACGAGAAGTTGTTAATGAGTACATCCCCAATGTTGAGGAGTCATTCTGCTTATTCGCCAAGCAACTGTGGGGGGCATTTTGCGCGCAATGCACCCGTCAGCAAAGGAAGTTTCATCTTGCTCGCGTCGCGATGAGGATTATCTCCGCTATAAAAGCGTGGAGTTTATATCCCCGATCAACTGAAAATCCCGATCCTGAGCTCGCGCTCCGTTGACGCCGCATTCGCCACCAGGATCTAAGTTATATAGTGGCAGATTGACTGGCCTTTTGCGACGAATGAATTGAGCACAATCATAATTTTTTGACTTTCATACTCAGTCAACAAAGCCTCCGATCTCTCCAATGTCTCAAAAGTTCATCATCAACATCACCGGGGCAGCCAGTGGCTTCGGCGCCCTCGCCGCCAGAGCTTTGGCCAAGCAGGGTCACACTGTGTTTGCTGGCCTGAAATCCATGGACGCAAACTTTCTGGAGGATATCCAAACATTCAACAAGGAGAACAATACTGATCTGCGGCCCTTGCACCAGGACATGCTGTCAGACTCTTCTGTTGCTGCCTCTGTTGCGGAGATGCTCTCGCAGACTGAACACATAGATGTCATCGTCCACAACTGCGGGCACATGGTGTACGGACCATTGGAGGCTTTCACCACGGAGCAGCTGGCTGAGCAGTATGATATCAATGTGCTATCTACACACCGGTTGAACCGGGCTGTGCTTCCACATATGCGTCAGAGAAAGTCTGGCCTGCTTGTGTGGGTGAGCAGTTCCAGTGTGCATGGTGCCGTGCCGGCCTTCATCGCACCCTACTTCGCGGCTAAGGCCGGAATGGATGCTTTAGCATCTTCGTTTGAGCTGGAACTGAGCCAGTGGGGTATCGAGAGCTGTATCGTTGTTCCTGGAGCGTACAGTCAGGGCACCAACCACTTTGCCACTGCCGGGAGGCCACGCGATGAACAGGTTGCGAATGAGTATCGTGGTCAGGGGGCACCGTACGAGGGCATGGAGGAAGCCATTGGAGTAGCGTATGGTGCATTTGAGCCAGCAGATGCCGACGTTAAAGACGTCGCAGAGGCAATAGTTAGTGTCATTGAATCGCCTCATGGATCTCGACCCCGGAGAATTCATATTGATCCAGCCAAGGATGGCTCGGAGATTGTGAGCCAGGTGAGGGACAGATTGAGGAAGGACAGGCTCAAAATGGCAGGATTTGAGAAATTATTCACTGTACGTCGGGATTAGTTTGAGGAGGAATACGTATTGTTGATCTAAGTATGAACACGAAACTCTGATGGTCTTCTGGCTGAACGATTTCTTATCAATGCATTGCCTCAGAGTGCCTTTTTCTGCGCCCGGAAATACGACATTGGGAAGCCTTAAGATTAGAAAAAAGAAGAACCGGTTGGACATACAATATATATCAATGAACCCTGGTCGAGGTGAGACGAAGAAGGACACAAAGAGATGATCTGAGCACAAGGATAAGAGGAAATACAAAAATCTCACCCAGATACCAATGCCGGATTCAGTTTGGTGATACTAGGTTCCCCGCAAAGTATAACATACCCCGACATGTGGCGTTGCGTGTCTAAAATAACTGTACCTCTCCTCAAATGAACAGCATGATCTTCTTCCCCCACCTTCGCCAATCGCTCCTATACTGTTTAGGTTGGTCTTGTAAAATTTGCGTCAACAAGTGATCTCGAACCACGGCAGTAGTTTTTATCTAATATTAATGGCAAATGCTGGTCTGGGGAGCATGTATGTCAGATCACCTCATCCTCATAAGAGCAGCCCCTCAGTCCATTATTTGGAAATTACCATTCAGAGGCAACCGACGGTACCAGGTTCAACTTCCCAGGCTGACCCGGAAATTCTCATCAACGCCTTCCCGAGATTTCTTCTTACCTACATATATGACGCTTCGAATCACACAGACCATGAAACCCGTGCGAGTTATGAATTACCAGTTCTTAGTAGGTAGTTCCGGCTCCCCACACACAGCCGGTAGTGGCGTGAAGATTTATCTACTCAGGTTAATAAGTTGCGATGTCAGTGGGGATTTGGCCCTCATACACCGGGCTCGGCCCGTGTGATGAGATCCTTCAAAGGATTGCAAACTACCATTCGGCCTGAAACGCATCCTACCACATTACACATTACTAGACACAACATCTAGGACAGTGCCCTGATTTTAGCTTCCACCTGGCCAGTAGCATCTTAGAATCAGGCCGGGGTACACATTAGCCGCTACCACGTCCAATATAGGCAATGCCCGCACATGGGTGCCTTGTATGATGTTTGCGAGTTTGCGACTAAATGCTTGGTGAAGGAGCAACATTTGCCGTTTATTTCGGGAGGAGGGACTTTAGTTTTGGTTTGTAGTCGCTGGTAGGCTGACACTACCCATGTAATATGCAGTTACATTTCCGAAATTAGAGCAGGTGTCATACCACATGGACAAACATGGAGCTGAGCGCGAAGTCTTCTACAGGCCGCCCAGGTGTTCTCAAAATCAGAATCAAACACTGACTTTCCTTCTTTGACTTCACCACCGGCAATTCGCTGAATCCATCAATCCCCGCGTCAAATCATAAGTCAAAATGGTGCAATTGTCGTCTCTTTGCGCATCTGCCCTCCTCTTCGTCGCTGTGGCCGCCACCAACAAGGTGACGCAGCTACCAAAAGAGCAGGCCGTGCTCGGCAGCTTTACACCACAGGGCTGCTGGAAGGATGTAGTGCTATCGAAGGACGCCATGAACAAGCAGGTCACATTCAAGGCATCCAATCTCTCATCCTCGGGCTGTGGTTCACGATGCCTCGACAACAACCAACCCGTCTTCGCAATGGCTGGCGAGAGTTGTTACTGCGCCAACAAGTATCCGAGCGAGGGCGGACTGGTCGATAATTCTCAGTGCAACTTTCCTTGCAAGGCGAACGCTACGGAGGCATGTGGCAACAAGGGCCAAACGAGGTTCTCCGTTTGGAACACCGGGATCCAAGTCGCAGTGCCATATCTTGACAAGAAGTCCAACAGTTCTAGCACGAAGAAGTCCACGAGCTCTGCCACTGGCACTCCCACGAGCAAGAAGTCTGTTAAGAAGACAACTACACCCGCTTCCAGCTCCTATGCTACGCCCACCAGCAGCGTTGAGAGCACGACAACGGAGACCGAGACTAGTACTACAGCTACTTCAGCCTCTACTGCTTCTACCGCCGCGGCTCAACCTTCTAACGCTGTTTCTAAGAACATGGCTGGAGTTGGTGTAGCTATCCTCGCCGCTGCTCTGGCCATGTAGACCCCTCATCCTGGTCAACTTGGCTCGTGTGTGCCTAGTGAGGTCCAACCTTGCGTGATCTAGGGTAGAGCCATAAACTGTGAATAGTTCAATTTTGGGTGCGACCACAATACAAGAAAGGAAATACGGCTGAAGAGTTGCCTGAACTCGATCTCAGGTGCTATCTACCCATTACGCTCGGCCCGGGAAGGCATGGGTGACGACATGAAAAGCGATACCGATGCATCCTGGCCTTTGCGTATTTGGTACACCCACCCTATCATTCTCATCATACCTCTTTTATTTATCACTATAGTTATTATTTAATTCACCTTTATTTTGATTCATCATGTAAGAGACCAATTTTCCATTCGTAGCATTAGCAATGAGGATTGTGCAAGTACTTCAATACTGCTCTTCTGGGGCAGCGCCCCGAGGAGATATCCGAACTTATTCCCCCCAATAGATGGAACTTTCTTTGAGAGAGCTTCAATATCGTCCTGGCCGGATAGTGCCGGGTGGCGCCTTTCATGGTGGATATCAATATGTCCAGAATTTTCAACTGCCCGACTCTGTTTCCAGTGTTGGCCACATAGTCGAACAGGCCCAGGTAATTGGGCGTTGTGTTTGAGGCTATGGCCCTCAAGCCTCTACGCGCAGACTTTATTCACACAGTTGCAAGCATTATTGCGACTAACGCGTTCCCAGAAAAGGCGCAGGACCTGACAGGTAGTTTATTTAATATGATCGCTCAGATTGGGAAGAGTGTTGGCACTAGACAATCGCTACTACTACAGGATGAATCTCTGCCTAGGCTGGAGGAAGCTTCGCTTTTGGAAGCTGCGTGGTGGTGTAATACTGTTACTAACTTAGCCATAGCTCTCTTGAGCCTTTGGGGACTAAAGTGATTTGGGAAATTTAGATTAAAGAGAGAATAAATCTCCCAGACCTAACCTAGGTTTATGGTTGTTACTCCCGGTCCTGATCTCATTATCATATAATAACCCTTACTTTTGAAATCAGCAGAATAATGCATGAAGAGTAGTCGCTATGACGTCCATCATTATATGGTGCTAGCACCTCGTCATATGCAGTTTTCTGAAGGTTTTATAGTTATTGGGCGATTACTCGGCCAAAAGGGTTCTTGTCTTGCTTCCATAGTTATCCTTAGCTTGAAGTGCCATCTCTTTATTACCTTTTAGCTACATTTTCGTCTAGTTACTACGCTCGTCCCCTGGCCAGGCTCATGTGGATTAGGAAATAGGATAGAGATGACGGCCCAGATGCTGTATCGTATGAAAGGTGATACTTATCCCCTGCTTCCCGTCTACGGGCAACCGCCAGAAAGGGAGTGAGACTTTCGGGTGTCTACATAATTCTCGTACGATTTATTCCTAATTCTTGATTTGTTTTGTCAATATTGATCCTGTGATTTTAGAAGATGCAGTAAACTAACCTAGCAAGATTTGCCAACAGTGGCTTGCGGAGAGGGTGCTACCGCGAGTTTTTGGCCCGTCACGTTATGCTCGGAGGAGGAGCCACCGTTGAGAGAATTTCACGATTCGGATAAATGTAAAAGGAAATTACAAACAATTTGTACCGGATAGAGACACCGAGATTCCTTGGCCATCTTGGCAAATGCAACCTTCCCTACCAAAGTACGATAGAATAAGCGCATGCGATAGACACGTCTGAATTTAAAAAAGAGGGCCTTCGTCACTTATTTGAGAACCCTAATTTTTCAATTCCATGTCTCAACGGTAACATGACAAAATAACGAAATGAATGCGTTAGCTCTACTCTCTCTTGCGTTCACCATACCGGCCGAAACTCGGCCCTCGTCGACCCAAAATACCGATAGGTCCGCAGTATTTGGAACATACAGATTCCTGAAATGCAACCCTCAAGTTGAATGGGTAAGGGTTTATTCTGGTGAATGCATCTCTATACCGATCGAGACTCGATCTGTTTTTCTGGAGAGTGTTTCCCCTAACTGCACATGTAAGTTATCCTCTTTATGCACCATGGAATGAGGTAGACATCTCTTTGAGGCTCTAGAATGCTAAGATAAGAACTCCAAGTCACTCTCTACTCCGATGGGGACTGTTTGAATGCTGAACGGACAGTTGGGCTTGAGGGGTGTGCCGATTCACCCTGGTACTGGGAGTATGCGGGACTTAACTGTGAGGAGCAAAACGAATGAGGTCAGATCCTCCTTTGAACAAAAATGCGGCAAAGGCTTCCTGCAAGCTGTTGATTCACCCATTCACTGTCATGATGCCCTCAATCGTTGAACAATGATCCAGACTAACCAACACTCAGTAGTCTTCAGCTAATGGGGAAATGGCCAATAAACCCGCAGCGACAATGGCAAGGCCAGTGTAGCAATGAAAAAGGGCAGACGAAAGGCCAATCCGCTTCGATCCCTTCAGTTGTGAGACTCAAAAATGTCAGCGGAATGGCGTTAGTGAAGTATTTCGACAATCGAGATATGATCGAACATAGGTAGCCAAATGTACTCCTGTCATACTGACCAAAAAATTTACTTGAAATATTTTAGATTTCTCTTAGCACCTTGGATCTGGATCAGTTCATCCCACTAATTAAAATTAGGGTCCTTGTGGGCTAGGTAATTAGCTGGTAATAAATAATGATATCTGTCGCGAAAAGTCGCGTCTCGCTGACACATGCAATTATGATTGATACCCCTTTTTCTTGGTCAAAAGCTTCTCTTCCAACTTCACGGACCTACGCGCATCAGCTGGTAATGGTCATTTCTACTGAAAATGAACAACCCTAACTCTTCTTCTGTACGAAGCCGCCCCCGGAATGGTACTATCGAGTGCTGCGCCTAACATTCATCGGGGGCCTCTACGGCTATCGAGATGTCAATCCAGGGGACTTTGACGAGGACATCTCCGATTTGGAAGAGCCAGACAAAGGGGACGAGAGCGAGGGATACTGCGACTGCGACAGCGACGCGTCTGAGTGTGATTGCGAACTGTCCGTTGGTGATCACGTGTCCGAGAGATCGTATACTGAGGACGACGCGGATTACTACTACGAATTAAAAGAGATGCGCGAAGAACGGAAGCGTGAGCTACGGGATAACAAAAAGGAGGATGCGAGGATGAAACAAGAGGAATACGACCACAATAAGAAAAAAATGAAAGAGGTGTACGACTTCTACAAAAAAATGAAGGAAACCATCAAGAATGGCGATGAACCGCCAATTCTCAATACCCTGGATGGGAGTTCTTTTCGCCTATTCTCCGTCGAACACGTGGATTACCGCTATGATAACGACCTCTACCCGACGAGGTACGTTGAATTTTACGACCTATCGGAATACTTAGATGGGAGCAAAGACTCGACGGACAGTGGCCCTAAACCATTGCAAGGCCACGTGTATCTTGATGAGAACACAGACTGTCACTTTGACGAGTTTTCCCCTCCTACAAAAGCCGGGCTGGAGAAAAACAAACTCACAGCAAATCAAGGCAAATTGAAATTCGAAGTGCGCTTCTTAAGCAACGACTATCTGTATTTTTCCATACCTGCGAAGTTAGTTTTTGGGCGTGAACCTATTCCTCCATCGGCTCCTAAAAAGTTCAAGTTCGCAGGGATTCGTTATACCTTGGAGATGTCGAAGCAAGAACGGGAAACTAGGCTCAAAAGGAAGCGCCCAGCTTCTTCCGATGATTGGTTTGAGGGTTACCATCCATCAGGATACCGGTAGGCAGGGCGAGATGATGAAGATGATGATTATCAATTATCAATGCCGCAAGGCATTGCTCCAGATAGACCTAAAGGCATGAGTCACGGCTGTGAGCTCTTGGCGCGAACCTTTTATTAAACCTTTGGGATGATCCTTGGTTTCTTTTTTCCTATTTTGCTTAACTGTGTCAAGGTTTAGGTTGACTTTACTTTTCCTCTTTCTTGACTTGCATAGATGCTACAGTAAATCAGCCTTCTATCATGTACATGTATTCATATTGGGAGCGGGAAAAGGTAGATTGTCAGGAGGACACAGAAGAAACGAATGGGTAAAGAGTCCGTGCCATGGTTCGAAGAAGCGACGCTATGTAAATTGGCATAGTTTATATTCTTTAATAAAGCTTCAAACATCCTCCCTATGCTTCCGCTTGCTGTAATTGCACCATCCAAAGAGATTCTCTCGCATTGTGTACCAGGCATGGAAAAGTAAGATACGAGTAGCCAGTAGACTGTGCTTGAAAGGGACACATTAGTCAATTGGTCAAATACATCGATAAGTTTCCCATATGAAGTTGCTCAATAATACTCTTTTTGACATTTCGTAAATATTTCAGCCCTCAATATAGTACGTTGTTTCCAGCCAGCAAGCTCAGATAAATTCATTCTGTTATGTCGAATCAGGATAGAAGACGCCGCTATTCAAAGTCTTCTACCATTAATAGGACAACGTACTCATACCCCAGCGGAACCATGAGTGTCACGAGTGTAAAGAGTCTCCATTCTCACTTAGTTTATTTAGGGAGGTCGTGCTAGCAACACGATCTAGGGCCTACATAGTGTGCAGCGTGTATCCTACAAAGAGCTGCCCGCTTCCAACTTGAATTTCTCTAATAAGGAAGGCCAGGTGAGAGAAAGGAAGGAGCCAATAATGATGATGATACCCAGCGGACCTCTGATGAAGAGAAAGGTGGCGAAACGACTTCCGCCCCACAGGAGTGGCCGATATATCCGATCAAGTCTCTGACATCAAACACAGACTGGGGCTATTATTCTTAGTACGGAGAACTGGCGGCCGCTCTCTGTATGAAACTCTCGTTGTCAGAGTCGAGCCACACATAAACTCACCTACTATTGAACAGGAACTTATGGTCACCTCAAACCAATCTTAGCGGCATCAGAAGAGCAACTTTCGACCGCTTATTGATAATCGCAGTGGAAAACCCGCCGACGGGAGACCGATATCAGCGCGATTAGGAGACGAATTAGGGCCAAATTTAATGTCTCTCCACCGCTGCGTCTTTATGGTCCTGCCAAACTTGTCGTCCCAATGAGTAGGCGATCAACACACATCCTCGTCCTTCATCCTATGTCATTATTACCGACCGGAAATAAAACTTTGCAGGGGAATCTGTCCAGTACTAAACCACTTTCCATGCCAGTACTTTTGCGTTTCAGATCTTGTGGAGGTTCATGCTGGTGGCCTCCCTGCAAGGCCAGCCCCGTTGAGACCACAATAACAACTGCAGGAACAGGAAACACACCCACTTGACTTGCTTGAAGTCTTCTCGGTCAGCAAGATGTAAGCACGATGAGGAGGATTGATGATTTAGAGACTGATCAACATCGGCGGCAGATGAGTTGCCGCGCGACTCCCGCGCGTCGGGAGTCGGGACACGGCGGATATATAGGGAACCAAGCGTTGGGTCGTTATTCTCACCAGTTCTCCAAGGTATTCACCTCAACCATCGCCCCTTCATCTCACAGATCACGATGGTCCCCAAATCCTCCTTCTTGGCAGCCGCCGCTGCGGTGGCTAGTCTTGCCAGTGCTAGTGAAGTCCCATGGGACACTCTCAACAGCACCGTCAGTGGCCGTCTTCAGCAAGCAATTCCCATCGAGAAGGCCTGCTTCACATCTTACAACGGCCATCCCAACACAGTAGATACAGAGGCTTGCTATGACATTCGCGCCAATTACACAAGCAATAGCCTGCGCATCGATAACCCTCAGGTTTATATGCAGCTCTCCAACCAAATATGTGTGTCCGACCCCTCGGATCAGTGCGTGCTTGACGCTACGTCGCTACCAGCCACTATGCCTTCTTCAAATAGTACCTGCAGAACGGGCAACATTCCTTCTCACTTTCTCGAGGTTAAGACGGCCGCTGATGTCTCTGCCGCATTCAATTTTGTCAAGGAAAACCAGGGCGTTCAAATCTCTGTGAAGAACAGCGGTCATGACTTTATGACCCGATCTTCTGGCAAGGGAACTCTCAACCTCTGGACGCACAAGCTGCAGGGCATGACCTATCACGACAACTTCAAGCCCAAGGGATGTGGGAAGAGCGTGGGAGCTGCAATGACCGTCATGGCCGGCGTCTCTACTGGCGATGCCTACGACTTCGCAGATGCGCACAACGCTCTAATTATGGGTCCCTATGCACCAAGTGTGCCTATTTCAGCAGGGTGGGTTACCGGAGGTGGACATAATGTCTTCGCTCCAGTCTTTGGTCTGGGTGCCGACAGAGTTGTTGAGTTCAACATCGTTACTCCGGATGGAGTTGAGCGAGTGGCTAACGAGCAACAAAACTCTGATCTTTTCTGGGCTCTTCGTGGAGGCGGAGGTGGTGCGTTTGGTGTTATTCTCAGTGCTACTCACCGCGTTGAGCCCCGAACCCCGATCGCCTACGCCGATATCCATCTCCCGAGCAACATCACTACTGACCAAGCTTTGGACTGGGTGAAGCTGCTTGCTGAGGACTCGCTTGCGTGGGGCTACGCTGGTTGGGGTGGTCATGGTATGTAACATTTCTGTGCTGCAATCTGCATGGTCTTGAATCCTAATACTAACAGAACAACTACAGTCGGTGGAACTTTCGTCACTCACTTTAACCCTCTTCCGGCCTTGACCAATGACAATGGCACCGCAGCTCGCGCCGCTTTCCAGCGTGCTACTGACTTCGCCCTTGCCTTGGGAGGCACAAGCCACGTTGCAGTTGAAGAGAGTTTCAGAACTATCTTCAACAGGGACATGGTCCCCAAGGATACCAAGATGGGCGGTAACTTCCACTTCACGACTACCCGGCTCATGCCCACCTCCATGTTTGAGTCTGCAGAGGGCATCGACACCCTGATCCAGTACATGCGCGAAGCTATTGACATGGGCTTTGACCCTCGCAGCTTCTATACCCCCGTGACCACCCCATTTGTATACCAGGCCAACGAAACCAAGAACGCTAAGCCAAAGGACTACGGTACCAGTATGACCCAGGCCTGGTACAAGGCCCTCTGGCACGTTGAGTCTAGCAAGATCATCCCCGTCGGTTCCACCTACCAAGAACGCCTAACCGCCTTGACTAACTTGACCACGCTTACCGTCAAGCTCGAGAATATTATGGGTGCCGATGGTGGTTCATACATGAACGAGGCCGACCCTTACACTCCTGATTGGAAAGAATCTTTCTACGGTCTCGATAACTATGAGAAGCTTCTCAAGATCAAGAATAAGTATGACCCTCAGGGTCTCCTCAAGTGCTGGAAGTGTGTTGGATATGACGAGGAGAAGGATATTGATCTGGAGAGGTTCGCTTGTAACAAGAAGATTCAGGCCGACATCATCAAAGGTCTGAAGGCATAACACTGTTCGTAACTTGATGGTAAAAATGACACAAAAGTATGCTTAAACTCACACCTCTTACATTTCATCTCCAGGTGATCATGTAGCAACAAGTTTAACCTAGAACGTCAAAGGCATCTCAGTATGAGATAGAAATTTTCCAATGATCTTTACTTCATTTCAATAGGTTAAGAATTCGGTAACTAGTGTACAAGAAGCAGCTGCAATTTGGTTTGTCTACTGCGCTCTGGCCGATGATGACAGACATGGGCATTAAATAACTCGGTATCCGACAGACCTCGAGCCAAACAAGACAGTTGACTCCCCCATACTTGTGTGGCGTAATCACCGAATGAATTGGTTTGCAAAATCTGCCCCCAGGCCAACACTCTCATAGTGTGCCCTTGCTTTCTCCAACTTGCTGTAGACATCCTCGATGCCTACTGGGTTACCATCAGGATCCACATAAATATAAGCGCCAGTGACATGGAACATTGTCACCATCTCTGTAACGTCGTCTGGGACCTCCAAGGTGTGGATATCACCAGGAGGCTCAAAGGCATAACCACCCTCGGTAGCCCACCATGGGTGTTCGAGATAGTGCCACCGTCCCTTGAGGACTGTAGCGTGGACAGGGCCGGCGTGTCGATGACGAGACAGGATGCCGGACTTGCGGACCCGTAGGATATTCACAAAGTACCCTTGTGAAACTGAGAAAAGAAGAGGACGAAACCAGACGTCAGGTGCTTGCGGAACCCAGAGCCTTTCGTCACAGTCGAGGTCGAAGATACCAGGCACAACTAGATCATCGGGAACAGAGGGCAGGGGCGGGCCACGGTAAGGTAAGGCAGAATCCTCACGAACTTTGGTGCTCTTTGGGTCCACCTCGCCGTTTGTATTAAAAGTCTTCGTGGGTTGAACGGCGGTCATGATCACCAATACTGAACAATGCCCCAGGTATGCCCTTTATTGATGTTCTCTGAAAACGACGAGAGTTAGGTAAGCAGAATTATATGTATTGAAGGAAGAGACTGAGATGTGAGTAGTCCAGAGCAGAAGAGAATATTCCGAGTTGCTCATTTGGAAGGATCGGTCTTAGAGCTGCGACTTAAATAGATACTACAACAGACAGAAAACCGTCTGAGTCAGGAGTCATGAAAACAACTCATCTCTTAGCACTACGAGAGTGGAGTTGCTCTCCTACGTAAGGCACGGCGTCAACGGCGGTGGTGGGCACATCGTCCGACTCTAAGCGCCAGCCAATTACATCAAGTAGAAGTCTACTTGACACAATACCCTTCAAGAAGTCTAGAACGAAAATAGAATATAGGTAGTCGGATTAAATAACTAAGGATCGCCAAACTCAGAGGGATTACTCCAATTTGGTACCTACAATGAATTATGTGGTCATGACTTGAGGGCGAAACTTTGAGTCTATCAACTAATTGCCAACTTCCAGCCTCTACGCTTAACCACATCCAACCAGTCAACTCGATCGCCAGTTTCACCTCCAGCTCGTGTTGCGTTCAAGCGCCACAGCTCGTCGAGCACGTCGAGCGCTGCCTCCACATTGCGGAAACATCGCCACCGGTTCATAGATTCAAGCTTGTTGCGAATGACCCAGATATCATCAGAATCCTCCGCATCACCGCCCGCCATGAACACGGGAAATAGCAGCGTGCACTCAGGCAGGCACCCTTCAGGTATATTCCCTACGGCTTCAACAATAGACTTGACTTGACTCTGGATCTTCGCATGTACATGCTCAGCAGCATCAGGAACATGAGCTCGTATTGTTCGATATAGATGAATCCTTGCCGCAGAGCGGTAGGTTTGCGCCAGAGAGACGAGAGGAGGGCTGAAACCCAATGAAGGACATTTCCACTCACGGAGTTCGTCTTCAATAACCTGTGCGCGTGATGAAAATGAAGCGACTGTATTAGCCAATGCATCCGGCGTAGCTTCCGGTTGCTTCGCCTCAGCCATTTCGGCATTTAGGTGGCTAGTCTTCGCAATGAGATAGAGGATGCGTTCTGCAAGGCCGAAGTATGGATCCGCAGCTGAGTCTTCTCCTGACGAGATCCAGTACTCTCCACCGAGCAGAGGTCGCGTGTTCATTGTAATGCTGGCCAAGATGTCATGGTACGCAAAGTTCTTCATAAGCCACTTTCCCTCGTACGATTGAAGTTGCTCCATTGTCTTGAGAGAAGGTGATACGGGTGACGTGATGCTAGAATCCCACTGATTCGAGATCAATAAAGCCGCTCCGCCACGCAGGTGGTGGTACCATGAGCCAGTGCCATCTGATATCACATCCAAAGAACAGAAGATGAGAGTGGCTGCCAACGCCATCTCCGTAGAGAGATCTCCATCTTCCATAGCGGCCTTGAAATTTCGGAGGGCCGACCCCCTGTGTTGGAGTGCAACATCAGTGAACGCTTGATCCCTAAGCGATAAGTGCGAGGATGACCACGCAGCCAGCGCTTTCATGAGGGCTGGAGACTCAAAAGCCATCGGGAGCAAAACTACCAGGGCTGTAAATACAATTCTGTAAAGATCTATGATGATTCGATGGACTCACCCGTCAGAAAGCAGTTGTTTTCGACGTTTGTTGTAAGCATGAACGCAAATATCTGTATATAGTATCGTAACATGGCCCGGCGGCTGGCGGCAAGTTCACTACCATTGTTTCCGAGTATCACAGACGGGTCCAATGTCCGCCATATTTTGGCATGGCTAAGCACATTGGCCAAGTGGATCGTTGCTGAAGTAGTCGCCGGCTCCAGGCCCTCAGAATTGCCAACACCATGAATACCAAGAGGAGATGTTGCCTGTGCGAGCGCAGAGGGATCGGTAGTTGAGCCACTTGCCAGCTCACGTGGTACTTCTCGACTGCAGACCAGGTTAAGCCTCGAGCAGTGGCCACAGACAGGATACGTCATGTCGCATTTTTTCTTCCTAGTTGCGGCCAGGCCGGCCCGCATGTCAGCAGACGGAAGACAGCAACATTGCATCTATTAAGCATACCTTCGACGGCATGTCAGGCATCCCAGACGTTGTCGTGTGAACGGTGTTTTCCGAGGCCTCCCCGATGCCGATTCCCGCTCTCTCACTGGGTGGGCAGGCCGCATCTCCGCAAGTAATTTCTATGAGAAGCGGTTGGCTTCTAATCCAAGACCAATATGGTGCATGTCTATTCGAAAAGATCTCGGTCCTGTTTGCGAAAAGAATTCGGCGTCAAGGGCGGAGATATAGAGACCCCAGCGAGATTCTTTCTTGGCTAAAGATGAGGAGAACTAATCTCTACTAAAGGACAGTGCGAAATAAAGAGGGCCAATACTGACTCGTTTGTCGCCCCCCCGCTGTCGAATCCAATAACGTCTGTCCTGTCACCTCCACTCACCCAGAATGCGAACTTGGCGAAGTGCCCAAGTCGTAGCCTGCCCGTTATCTCGCATGTACATCCTGATCACTTGGGGCAAACTCCCCGCTCTTGAGAGCCGCTAAGTGAGTATCTGTTGCATCTAGTGCACTAGTAGAGAGTAACAGTTTGTGCTAGGTCACGATCCCCAACTTCCTCTGGCGTCAATAGCGGCGCTCAGCTTATGGCCGTCTCCTTTAAATTAGCCACTGTATAGCTCCCATGTCTCTAATGGGCCTTCCCACTTGGCTATATCTTACAAGTCTCATGGTAGAGTGGTTTCGAAATACCTTTCATACCTCCCCGGTTGTTTCTTATCAAGCATTCGTCCGATCAAACCCCTTCATTTCCACAAAAAGAGCGCATACATTTCTCTTTGTTGTGTTAACCTTCAAGTTATTCCATCGTCATGACAGACCCTTTTGTCGCCCAGTCTCATATCCTCCACCGCGCCTTTGGGCAGAGGCCGGAAAATGTCGTCACAGCTGAGGGCATTAAGCTCGTGCTGGAGTCTGGCAAGACCATGTACGATGCTACATGCGGGCCGTCTGTGTCTGTTTTAGGCCATCACCAGCCTAAGGTTACAGAGGCCATTACTCGCCAGTTGAATCAGGTGGCCTACGTGTACTCCGGGGCTCGTTTCACTGCTGAGCCCAACGAGGAGCTTGCTTCCATGATCCTAGGAAGTCGCCCTGGAGGCCTATCCAAAGCCATATTTGTGAACTCGGGTAGCGAAGCCACGGATGCTGCGATCAAGCTGGCCACTCAATACTGGCACGAGAGGGGCCTACCCAACAAGAGCCACGTTATTGCCCGCAAACAAAGCTACCACGGCAACACCATTGGCGCGCTTAATGTTTCTGGGCATACATCCAGGCGCGAGATTTATCGTGACTGGATCTCTCAAAACGTCTCTTTCGTGGACCCTTGCTACGCCTTCCGGCTTCAGAAGGCTGGCGAGAGCTCCGACCAATACCTTCAGAGGCTCCGTGACCAACTTGAGGCCGAAATCATCCGCCTCGGGCCTCAAAATATTTCATCATTTATTGCTGAGACTGTGAGCGGAACGACGCTAGGTTGCTTGCCCGCTATTCCAGGCTACTTTAAGGCAGTGCGAGAGTTGTGTGACAAGTATGATATTCTGCTTATTTTAGATGAGGTAAGTTATATTTACCCGGATAATCTGGTATTGAATTAACCTAGCAGTATACAGATTATGTGTGGTATGGGGAAAACAGGAACCATGCATGCCTGGGAGCAAGAAGGCATTCGAGGCCCCGACATCCAAACAATTGGAAAGGCTCTCGGAGGAGGTTTTGTCCCCCTTTCTGGTGTACTCCTTCACCAGAAGATCTTTGACGCCTTAGCCGCAGGCTCCAAAGGCCTTCTCCACGGTCACACGTTCCAGGTATGGGTGCCAACGACAGATACTACTCAACCTGACATATGCTGATCAATGTTCACCATAGGCACACCCCATTGCCACGGCAGCTGCTGTGGCGGTGCAGAAGATCATTAAAGAACAAGACTTGCTGAAAAATGTAACAAAAATGGGCAGGATTCTCCAGAAAGCCTTGGAAGATATGATTCGGCCACTGCCTTTCGTTGCAGATATTCGAGGCCGCGGGCTGTTTTGGGCCGTCGAGTTCTTGGCCGACCCAGAAAAGGGTGTGGCATTTCCTAAAAACTCAAAATTCTGCAACAAAGTAGTAGATTCAGCGTTTGAGAACGGCTTGAATATTCTGGGCAACCTTGGCGTAACTGGCGATGTGCATGTGGAACACGTTATCATCGCGCCACCCTACATTGTCTCCGAGTCTGAAATCAGAGACATCGTCCAACTCCTCAAAGTTTCCATCGAGGAAGTCAGTCGCCCAACGCTTGAAGCAAGACAACAAACTTGGAGCGCATCAGTGGAGTCGAGGCTGTGATGTTACTTTGTTCAAGGGGGCAGCTGTTTCTACAAGTCCATAGATGCATCCCTGATGTGAAATATGATCAATATTATTCATTTTGGGTAGACCGTGAAGCACCTAAAGGAGAAGCCACCACCCTCGACTTTCCCCGAAACACATAGATCACACAGTCTGAGAGTACTTAGCTGCTAGTTCTGTTCCATATCCTTGTAGACAGCATCATCTCACCATGCTGCGTGATCAAATCATTGACAACATCACGGAGCAACCCAGCAGGTCTAACTAATATGGATCAAGCCTTTCCGTGCCTCGATGTCAGAGTACTTGCCGGGACCTACAGGCTCCGAACGATAGAGCAGCGCCACACAGTATCAATACACTGGCTGCTTCATGCGGGAAAACTGGCACACTGCGTGGGTCCGTTCCAACCTGCACGGCGTCAAGGGCGGAGGAAGCCTAGACAGCCAATCCGAGGATGATTTGGCGTGACATCCAAAGATAAGACTAATACAAATATGTACTAAGGCTCATTCACTCCATTCTGCACCATCCTTAGGAGCCTGACCATTGAGATCAAAAGTGGCATGAAAGGAAGTTTGCAAACAGAGAAATAGAGAGAGGTCAACTGTAGCAAAATCGTAGTAATATCCAAAGCTTAACCCTAATCCTCTCTATATGTAGGCTAAATATAGAGGAAATGTTCCCAAGGTCTAGTGTTTTGCTACCTATGTATCGACAAAGCGTAATCTTGGTCAAGTTATGTGATACCAAAGCCGGACCCTGTGCTGCTGAATTTGAAAGGGGGCTGGGCCTAGAGTGCTCCCATGATCAGTGTATTATTCCGATAATATCATCCAAAGTCCAGAACATACCAGGTTTCCAGAAAGCCCATTCGCGCCCACCGTGCATCTAGTTGTAGCAACAAGCGAGTCCAAGGTGCACAAGTTCGAAGCACCTCTAGTTGTCCACCCCGCGTTCTGTACTGGTAAGTTTGGGGTACAAGGGGACAGTTGTAGCTACCAAAAACTGGCCGCCCATGACGCCCGCCAATGAGGATCAGTGTATTTTAATACCGGATCAGACTCTTCTCGGTGAGATGGGTCTCAAAGGCTGCGGAATTCGATCTTTGCCCCAGTCTTGTATTATCGAGGTCATAATGTAGGGGGTGACTGGCTTACAAGAAGATTACTCCCCATTCTACTATTAAAGGAGAACGTCTCACCATTGCAATCTCCAGTTCTTGATCTCCAGAGTCAATCACCATCACCTCTCTTCCAAAGCATTTCCTTTTCTTCAAAACACCTTCTCAAGTACTACACACGTCAAGCTCACGTTGATCGAATGGCGTCTAAACACGAAGAAGTCCCTGAAATGGATTCCAAAGCCGACGACTTCCATGCGAGGGGTGTAATACACAAGCTCTCCGTGGATAAGATGACCCCTCATGATGAAGAGATAGGAACCAACGAACGAACTAATAGAGGCTTCAAACCGCGCCATGCCCAGATGATCGCTATCGGAGGCGCCATTGGCACATCACTATTCTTAGGAACAGCGCAGGTTCTCCGCTACGGGGGGCCGGGCTTCCTTCTCATAACTTACGGGATCCTCTGCGTCATGGTGTATGGTATCATGACAGGAATTGCCGAAGTCGCAACCTATCTACCCATTCCTGGAGGGACCATGAGCTACTATGGCAACAAATATGTGTCAAAAAGTATGGGGTTCGCCTTGGGGTGGCTATACTGGTATTCCCTGGGAATCTTGATCCCATATGAGCTGACCGCATCCGTCCTACTGATCAACTACTGGAACGAAGCAATCAGTCCAGCCGTCTGGATCTCTATCATTGGCGCAGCCATCATCGCCTTGAACTTCCTTCCCGTCAAGTTCTACGGAGAAGCTGAATTCTGGAGCGCTGGGCTGAAAATCATTCTGATCTTCATGCTGGTCATGCTTTCGGTCGTCTTATTCTTCGGAGGCGGACCGAATCACGATCCGCTCTACTTCCGATACTGGGCTCACCCAGGCCCGTTGAATTCCTTCATCGCGGAGGGAGGTCCTGGGCGATTTATAGCTTTTCTCAAGTCCTTCGTGCTTGCCTCTTTCGCATTCGTCCTGGCACCAGAGCAACTTATCGTTACCGCTGGCGAGATGCAAGCCCCGAGACATAACCTGCCCAAAGCATCTCGGCGGTATCTTTGGCGACTCGTGATACTCTTTATTCCAACTGTTATCGCAATTGGTGTCGTCTGCCCCTTTGATGAGCCCCGGCTCCAGTCATCCGGCACGGCAAAATCCCCATTCGTCATTGCTATCAAGAATGCTGGGATCCCGGTCCTCGACAGCGTCATCAATGCTCTCATTCTTTCATCGGCAATCACAGCAGGAAATGCGTTTCTCTATTCATCTTCGCGGAATCTCTATTCACTGGCCGTGGCTGGGAACGCCCCAGCAATTTTCAAACGCTGCAACTCATACGGTCTCGCCTATGTTTCGGTCGCAACAAGTGCTTCTTTCAGTCTACTGGCTTATCTTAGCCTAGGAAATCAAAGTCTCTTAGTCTTCAATTGGCTCATCAATATTACCAACACGTCTGGATACATAAGCTGGATCTGCTGTGGCATCATCTACTATAGGTACAGGGCCACCATCGCTCACCACGGAATTGTGTCGCCATACAGATCACGAATCCAGCCTTGGGGAATGCATTTCGGTGTTCTAGGTTCAGTAATCCTACTTCTCATCAATGGATTTGATGTTTTCTGGCCTCAATACTGGAGTGCAAGTGACTTCTTGACTGCGTACATCGGGATTCCAGCCTTCCTCGTCTTATACATCGGTCATCGAGCGTGTTATTGGAAAGATACTTGGGTTAGAAGGCCAGACGAAATCGATATGCACGAGGGTTTGGCAGAGTTCCTGGAGGACGAGGAGGTCCAGAAGAGAACAGGAATTGCTAGAATTCTCTTTTCGATTATCGAATAAAGATTAATCGAAACAAGAGGGGGCCCTAACCAATTATAAGCAACAAGAATAACCGCAGGTATCTCCATTGAACCAATCCATAGGCAATTTATAACCTTTCACTATGACCATTATTATCACGCTTGGAGGGAACACTTCACCAACTCAGGCTGCCAGCTCGGCGCTCTTCTCGTCCACGTGAGATTTGGCCTCATCTTCTGGAATCGGTGACAAACTCCCCTCCAACAAGGCGCTCAAGCCTATTTCCCTATTAATCTCCAACATCCTTTCCGTGTCTGCCTGTGCCGTGCCCTCAGATCCAAAGATGATGTCCTACCATGCGTTAGCACACTGGGTAGGGGAGATGATAGTAAAAGCAGATAACCAACCATCTCCTCAAGCGAAAGACGCTTAGTCTCCGGTGTAAAGAACCATATGAATGCAGCTCCCATAGAGGTCAGCAGTCCAAATATGATGTAGGTGCCGTAGGTGATTCCACTGAGCATGTCTGGCGTGACTTGTCCCACAATGAAATTATTCCTAAATTCGCAAAATTAGTCTTCGCATTGTTCTTGGGTCTTCTCAGTACCAGGGTCACTTATTCACTTACATCCAGTTACTCGATGCACCCAAGCTTACTCCATATGGTCGAGTGGACAAGGGCCACACTTCGGCGATGATGATCCAAGCACAAGGACCCCAACTGTATCCAAAGTGAACGACAAAAAGCCAAACCATGACAACGGCAGCCCATCCAGCACTTTGATGGCTGTCAAAGTGGTCGATGTTGCGTGCAAGAATGACAGCAATAATGAAGTGGCAAAGAGCCATGCCAATAGCACCGACGGTAAGAACCGGCTTACGGCCCAATCTATCGATCCAAAGCACAGCAGGAATGGTGGCGATGAACATGACTATACCGACAACACCTGTCGCGAGAAGGCTAGTTGTGTTCGACGAGAGCCCAAGCTGTGAAAAGATGGACGGGGCGTAATATAAAATCTAGTCTAAGGTCAACGGCCGTTTGGCGTTTCGATTTTCTCACCGCGCTACTTACAGCATTGATTCCAGTCCATTGTTGGAAGAACATCTGATTGTATTTCTTAGTAAAATAGGAATCTTGTGAATGGCCGGCAGATGGGATAACTCACAGTCACCGTAGCGACCACTACCCTTCGAAACATAGCCTTCGACTCGAATAAAGACTTCACAGCCGCAAATTGCAGTTTGATAGTGTTGATGGCTGTTTGCTGCTGCAAATGTGGGAACTTCTCGGCTATGCTCCTTTTTTCAAAAAGAGACTGAGCCTTTATCTCCAGGAACTCAAGCTGGATGAGTTCGTGATCTGGGGAAAGTTCACGCAGACTCGCCAGGTTCGCACGGGCTTCCTCTTCGCGATCGTGGTGGATTAGCCAACGAGGGGAGAAGGGCATCCAAATCATTCCAACGAAAAGAATTACAGCAGGGAGAATCTGAAGACAAATTGGGACGAGCCAAGCCGCGTCCTTTTGGGTCTCAACGGTTGTTCCTCCGATATAATTGCATCCACTAGTCACTTGGTAAGTTTTTCCTGAGTGTTCCAAAAGAAAAAAGGAAAGTAGGACACATACTAATCAATCCAAAAGCTAATCATGATTCCAAAGGTGATCGCAAGCTGTTGGAGAGCTACGAGGGCACCTAGATGATAATGAATATAAAGCTAAGGCATCGATAAGGTGCAACATACCTCGAACCTCGGGAGGCGCGCACTCCGAGACGTATAGTGGAACAATCATACTTAAGCCACCAACTCCAATTCCACTACAGCATGCTGGCTGTTAGTAACAGTAAATAGCTAGAATTAGATGGAGCAACTTGCGTTATGAATCGACCAGCGAGGATTGGATTAACACCGCCAGCAATCGAAGTGGCTTGGATAACAACACCAAGAATGAAGACACTGTAGGGATTGGTAAGTTATTCGAATCGAAGTCGCGGCTGCGAGTCTATCTCTTACCCCGTGACAACAAGAATACCGTATTTCCGGGACAGTACTTCAGCAAGAATGCCAGATGACAGGGCTCCGAACCATGCTCCAAGCTCGAGAATAGCCGTGAGCCATCCCTTTAGCGATGGCGTATCAATATATCCATCCGTATCTGAAGATATGATAAGTAAACTATTAAGTTCATGTTAGGGTAGGATATCTGGGCACGTACGCTTGCCGAAAGAAGGCATGGCCAGAATGCCCGAAAACATTCCTTGATTATAGCCATAAAGAACTCCTCCTATGCAAGCGAAAGCTGCAATCCGAAAAACTTTGAAGTTGGTTAGAATTGCTCGAGCACCGCTCTTACCCATAAGGGCCTGACGGCGCTCAAGGGCGGCTTCATGCGCTGTATGTGTTGGAGCACCCATCACAACGGTGTAGACGAATGACAGAGGCTATAAGTGATATAATAGTTCTCGGGCTGGATACCAAGATCTCCAACAAAGATTGAGGGAGGAGACCCCAGATTATGTATCCTAAGGAAATCTACATCACCACAATTAACTGTGCCCTTTTACCAGGGTCCTCATGTTCCTTCTGACACACTTTGTCATGCCCCTCATTCTCGCCGAAGCATCATGTGCTTTCCTATGAGGCAAGATCAGTAGTTGGGAATAATGCCAGGCGATCCCGCAGAGTTCAATCTGGGGTATTTAGGCTGAATGGTGTGAAGAAACAACCGCACGAATTACACTTGGGGAAGACGCGGCCGATCCTGCCGTGACCTGGGGTGGCCCCACACGTTTACTCAATCGTTGACCTTCTCTCACCTCTCAAAAAGCACGATGGCTTGATTATTTGTACATGCAAATCCGCTGGGGAGACTCTCCACGTCTAAAGAGCCTAAAGGGGTTTGATGATGGTGGGGTAATGCTACGCTTGATGTCGCAGGATTTGCTTCTCCAGATTCTCTAGCCCATCCTGGGAATCCCATGCTGATGGGTAAACAAAGCTCGGTCAGCTTCAACCGATATCTTCAATTCAGGGAGCGCCCGAATCCACGTTGTCAATAGGGCCGATGGCATGGTAGCATCCCTACGGGAAATTCTCCTGGGCCGAACATAGCAACACAATATTATGCACCATTGCTTCAAGAATACCATCATAAGGGTTATATTAATAGATATAGATACGTAGTTAAAGACCCCGTTGATCAAAATCAAAGCATGTGGCAGGTAGCAACCACGGCGGCTAAAACCAGGCTTGCGGCCGTGCCAAACACCCGGGTGGCACCACTGTCAGTAGTCGTTGGTGAGGTTGCACTCTGCGTGGAAGACCCGGTGGGGGTGGTCACGGCAGTCGACAAGGTGCTGGATGCAGTGTCAGACGAATCGGTCGCGGTCGCAGTTGCGGTTCCAGTGGAGGTGGAGGACGACGAAGCGGTCTTGGTCTTGGAAGAGCTGGCAGTGGAGCTTGATGACTCGGTGTCCTCGTCGGCCTTGATAAGTGTATCCCAAGAAGGCATTGTGGTGCCTGGGCACTTGGTCATGCATTCATAGATGGGCTTGTAGACAGCCTTGTAGGCCTCGATGTCCTCGGAGTCGCCCAGCTTTGTCATCTCGTCGAAGCCATCGTCATTGCACTTTCGGATACACGAGTACGCAGAGCACGGGACGGTGTCCATGTCGGAAAAGCCACGGCCAGCCAGCTCAGACTTACCCCACGCGCCAGTGCCTCCCTGCAGAGAAAAGGTGTTGCTGTACTGGAAGCCAGATGGGCCATCCTTCTTGGGGTCCGAGTTCCACTCCATAGTGGTGATCTTGAGTTTGGCATCGCTGGGCACAACATCGGCAGGGATGGTGACCTTCACCGAGGTGGTGTCGATCTTGGTGCCATTGGCGAGCAGACAGACAGGGCCGGTACCCCAACCCGGTGGAGTGGTAGCAAGATAGACATTAAAGTTGGTGAATCCGCCATCGAATGACTTGGTTCCGTCGTCGAGGTCGTTTCGGATCGTGACCTCAACCTCAGTGTCGGCTTTGACGGTTGATGCGATGCTGATTCGGTCAAACGCAAGAGCGGGAAGGGCGGTTGCGAGCACGATACCCAGTGGGCCCAAGAGAGATGGAGCGACCATTTTGAAAATTAGTGATGGTGAAAAATTAATTAGTTTAGTTATGTGGCGATTTGTTAACGAGTGACTTGGTTGAAGCGGTAAACGAGTGAAACACTGCGACTTTTGGCGTTGACGAAAACGACAGAGAAGAAGCAAGAGTGATGGAGAGGGAGAAGAAGAAAATTTCCAAGAGTCTGGGGATCGCTTGGCAAGTTATCATCGAAATTGGATGATCCTATTCTCACTTGGCATTGCAGCCTGGGCCAGAGGGGGAAATACCGGGATTAGCAAGCGAGCCACAAACTCGGGCCGACCGAGTAAGCAGCCAGCCTTGGCACTCGCTGTCATACTCTCTTGGGCAGTTGCTTGGATGTGTTAGGGCTACAAGCACGGACAATCCGGAGCGTTCCAGGCGAGATCGCGTGTGAGCCAATCATTGATCCTTGGCAAACGAAGTCTGGAGCGTCCGTCTATGGCTGGTTACTTATGAGATGAAACTCTTTCGTCTCAGAGTGCCAGGGATCGCACCAGCGAGTCCATCATCTTGTGCCAGTCTTTATTGCTAGGAGGAGTTGGGCCAGACAGGACACGTCGATAGAGGACGCCTGATACAAATGCCGATGATGCCGGAATATGAACCCACAGACTACTTAGGCCAATTAATAACTTGTCAACCAGGCCTATTATTAATCCCAGGCTAAAAATTATTAATTAATAATAACTCTTTGTATATCCTAGCTCTTTTTATATTGTCATCATTTTGCCAGTCTGATAATGGCGATTAATGTCCAAAGATCCAGAACAATACACAATCCCATCAAAAATGAATGCCAGGAATATGAAAGCAACCGAGGCCTTACCGATTTTAACCGCTGCTTTTTGTAGCCAGTGTGGAAGGGCGCTAGTGGCGTGCCGTGACAAGGTTGCTCCGTGGGTTGCGTGAGAACTTTCATCGTCTGCCCTCTCTCGCTATCTCCATAGCTACCCATCGGCAACATATTTTCCATAGTCATAAAGTAGAAGAGATCAACTCTTTGACGCATAGGGTCCTTCGAGAACAGAATATATAGAGAACGTCGTAGCAAATTAAATATACTAACAAAGACACTGATACAACATATCACCAGCGTATAATAAAAACCATAGGTCAATCTAAGTTTGGCACAATCTTTAACGGTCCATTTCAATCAGAGTCGGTTTATCAGGTCACAGATTCCATCTTTGATCTACTTGAGGAATCCAGGCTTAATTCGATACCAAAACTTCTAGCTTATGATGTGAACCAAATATATAGCTCCAGTCAAACAATCTCAATATTGAGGTAACCACCATGGCTAGGCAAACGTTTCATGGTACCAGGTCCTTGAAATTCACGTTCCGAAATGTTACAAGGGCCAAGAAACCTATATCGCGACCCAGCCTTCCGCAGAACAGCGAAACTGGGAAATCCTAAGAGGCTAAAAATGCAATCCCCTTCTCGCACACCTATTGGCCCAATCCCCAGGAAATTTTCGTTTGTCTGAAAGGCCACCATATTTCTGTCCATTGCAAGGGCCGACGATATCCAAGCTCGAGCCTTTTCACTCATCTGGGGGCTTACGGTGTGTTCGCTTAATCCAATCTGAAAGTTGGATTGGTGAACTTCCTCTAATCCGCGAGTATTTTCAAGTGTGATTCCTTTAAGGTAGCTCGGGCAAGAATCTCCCAGAAACTGCTCAACAATTTGTACAAACTCCACCAACAGGACGAAATGCCATATATCGCCGACGTAAGTCTCGCTCATGATTCCCAGTGCGAGGCGGAAGAGGGACCAGATCTGACAAAATCTCGGTCCTGGGTCTTTGAGCAGCTCCGCAATCAAGTATTTATTTTCTCCAGAGAGAAATGGGGAGAATGTCGGTCCTAATCGTGACACAACCAGGCATCGGGCGCCACTCAAGCTCAGAATCAATCCGCGAATGTTGGGGCTGTTCAATACGCGTGCCTCTTCCTCCGGAACAACCTTAGTAAACGTATCCCAAGAAGCATGGCAAACGCTTTTTGACGCTGCTCGGTAGTTCGGAACCCAAGATGGAAGACCAAAATTATCTCCAACTCCAGCTAAATACAGGAATCTGAGTACGACGCTGTTTAGCCTTTTTGATTCTTCCAATAGGAGTGACGTAAAATCCAAGTATACACTATTCACCGTCATGCGGTTGCTGTAGTCGACCTTCAACTTGCTCTTGATCTGAGGGTTCAACAGCCCAAGAATGCCATATACATGATCTTTTGGCTCCGTGGCTTCAAAGGGAAACTTTATCAGGCATTCGAACCGTTCAATCTCAAGTTTTCGGTAATCTTCGGCTGTCTTATGTAGCGTCTGGGCTCGGTACACCGTCAAGTACAACATCACGACCCTGGCAAGATGCTGGATCCGGTCTTGGCTCACATGGCCTGGGAGCCCAATTGACCGCCAGAGTCTCGTCGGGATAAAATCTGGTATTCTTTCGTTCCGTATCAGCTGCGCTCTGAGGCTTCCCAATACAAAAAGCGCGTTGAATATTTTGGCTCCGGACACGGCTGTAGACGGGCAGCTGAACACGAGGGCGGGCGCAAGGAGTTGTTCTTGCAATGTCCAAACTCGCCTCCAGTAAGGCAGCGAATTAAGAAAGAATATAGCATCCCAGACCGGGTTGCCAACTTGGTCTCCCTCTGGTCTGTTTTCGTCGATCTTCCAAAGGTATGGGTGGTTTTTGAGCCAATGTAAATCTGGGAGTATTCTCGGGTCATATTTCGCAGCTTGGAATTCTTCTGTAAACTGACACAGCATTTTCAGAGCAAAACTGGTCTTCTGGTCCTCACTACCCAGCCAGGCCAAGACCAGGTCGGGGCAGGAATATACACTTTCCATGAGCCGAACTTGGCTGCTGATCTCATCGGTGTCATTTTGGTTGATACACAGGGCATCGGCCCAAATCCTCATCGAAGAAGGATCGCTGTTTGAGTTGAAAGTCTTCCAGTGCCTTCCAAAGTGTCTCAGTGCAGCTTTGAGATTAACGGTAACCGGGATTATCATTCCGTTGACCATAATGGTCTCTCTGTTTGCAGCATCACCCCATACGTAAGACAGGGCAGAGTACCGAGGTTTTTCGAGCAAAGATACGACGCTTATCTGGCACACTACTGGTTCTTCGATAGACAAGACCTCGATGAGGCGAATTTCTTGGCGGTCGGTATTCAAAGGCTGATAGATGGAAGCTCCAGCACCTGCTCCCTGCGACGGAGTAAGTGCCATTATCGACATTCTGCGGATTCGGGTTCTGTTGTTTTCCCTTCAATGGGATGATGTTTCCTCGATCATGATCGCATGCGTGTCGTGGGATTTCTGTGTTGCGAGATTGGGCTGAACGCTAGGCTGAAACTCGTGATCAGCCACGCATCAGGCACAAAAAGAGCACAACCATGTTGCCTAGGTGCCTTCTTTCCTTTCGTCTGAGTATTTACCAGCCTGGAAACGACCCGGCAAGCCTAATTACGGAAGAGGGGGGGATAAGAGTCCTCTCTCTCTGTCTTTGCTGCGATCTCTTCCGTCTTCCAAATTGTGCTACGAGAGAATCAAATCCCCAATACCCACACACATGGCAGGACGTGCAGGCAGCCAATCTCTCGCAAAGTTGGATGCTGCATGCATGCATGCGTGTAGACAATCAAATAGACAATTAAATAACTCTCCGCAGGGGAATGGGCCTGATAGATTGTACGGGAAATGTATACTTACTCTAAGTACCGGAACAGCCTTTCGCTGTGTGCTACAATCACGAGCGTAGGAAGATCAATTCTATGACCCTAGATGATCATGGCGTCTACAGTTGGGTGGCTTCATCTCGGTTTCGCCATGTGCGGCAGATCGAAAACGAGAAGGAATAGTGAAGGTAGCGGGTTTCAGAGCAGGCCATCCATGCATTGAGTACATTATTTAGCCAAAGTCATACTACAAAAACATTAAATATTAGGTATTGCGTAATGCCCAAAACCCATACCAAAATACATTTTCACCCCATATAGCCATTCAAATCAACGTCGCAGACACTATATGCACGCTTAAGCGACAATGAAGGTGCCGAGGAGCAGGGCGCCGACCGCGACGGCCATCTTGCTGACGCCGAAGCTGGCGGCAGCGCCCTTGTCGTTGCTGCTGCTGCCAGAGGTGCTGGAGCCAGTGGCAGAGGAGGCAGTCTTTGTTCCGGTCGCAGAGGTCGAGGAGCTGCCGCCAATGACGGAGGCGGTGATGGAGGCAGGGAGATCGACCTTGCCGGAGCCGGTGGCCTTGTCGGTGCCGTTGCCGCTGCAGAAGGGGAACTGCTCGGGGACCTTGTTGCCCTTCATGCAGGACTTGAAGTCGTCGACGGTCTGGTCGACGACCAGGCAGTAGAGGCCGCAGTTGTTGTAGTAGCTGACGACGTCGGCGCCCTTGCAGCAGTCCTCCATGAAGCCAATGTATTCCTGGGTGTATGGGACGGCGCAGACGATGTCGCTGGTGTGGCCGGGAGTGTCGTAGAGGGAGGCGGCGCACTGGCTGGTGGGAGCAGCAGAGCTGCTGCTCGTGGTAGAGGAGACGGTGGAAGACATTTTGGATGGATGATCGATTGGCTGATCGACGGAGTGGCTGAATGGGACCGGGACGCGTCTGGATTATTTACGAGCGAGCGAGTGTCGATGAACGAATGGACGAGCGAAGGAAAGGGATGGGCTGGGGAGAGGAAGAAGAAGAAGAAAGCTGAACCGACGCAAAACTCTTCCAACCGGAACAAAACGACCATAGCCAAGAAACCACCCACACTGACAATGGCACCAGTGTTCCGTTGGTTTGATTGCAGTACCAGGTTCCGCGGTTCCTACTGGCCAAAACGTGCATCCAAGGCCCACGTTCCGGCAAGCATTTACCAGCTCCAACTTGCGTACGAGCGTCATTGTGATGTTGATGTCTCACAGAAGCGGTTTAGCCTGAGCACTAAATATAACCACCTCGCACTCTGAGATGAGCATCAGGAGCTCTTCCCCAGCTCCAACTAGTGGCGGAATCGAGTTGTCTCCCTGTCCATGATCGATCATATGCTTCGACGATTCCCGCTGCGGGCCTCGACATGGGAAAAAATCAATTACGATTTACCCTGGGGTCAGAGAAGATGCGTGAAGGAAGATCGAATCGACTGCCTTGATGGGCTCTTCGCATCGCATGGGCGCATGTGCATGTGAACAGAGACCCAGGCACCAGCTCATCAAGAGCTGAACCCCCTGAAAAGCTCGTATTCTTCACTCTCCAATCATATCGCCAGCTAGGTGGCTTTGTCAGCCAGTCTAACGATGGAGCCCCAGACAGCTGAATCAGACCCATTGAAATAACAACGCGAGCTACGCCACAGCCTCAGCCCTGCTCACCAACGTTAGACTGTTACCCTAGAACGATGTCCTATTTTGCCTTCATTATTTTCCTTCATTGCCTTGATGGTCTCAAAGTATGGTCTGGATAGGAAAAGCAATAGCTCCCATGATCTGAATACATAGGGCTCCGTTGAGGAGATGGGAAATAACGCGTGTTTATTACACAAGTTTCATACTGAAACATAGATATCACCGGCTTTAAATTCTTGGCGATACCAAGCTACGCATCCCGTTGTGGTGGTAACTTATGTTACTGGTGTTGGCAACTAACCATTCAACAAATTCCTATTGCCATATATTTTCTGTGTATCAAAGGAGAAGGCCATTCTGTGCGTGTTGTGTGCAATAATATGTAGAAAGAAGGGGGGAATATCCAACTCCTTGGATGTTTGTATTTCAATGTCTAAACCAGATCCATGTATTCAACCAAATTGTATATATACAGGCCAAGATATGCAAATAGGAAAGTCAACTTTTGGTTAGAAAAGAACATCAACCTCAAGCAAGCATCTCCTGCCTCCTCCTGGCAAACTCTAGCAGCGTGTTCACATCGTCGTGATGGAACCGGTCCCTGAGCTGCATGGAATGCAGATCACAGAAACGATGGTAGGGGTCCTTCTCCCCGTGCAATTCAAATTTCTTCCCGGCCGGCGTTTCTGCCAAAAGCCCCCCCTTGACACATGCCGCGCATATGCGCAACGATTTCCACCCCCACCAGCGCTTGCTCTTGCCCTGGCCCATGCCGCCCTGCTGGCAACCCGGCAGTCTGCTAAACCGCATGATGGTGCTCTCAAGGCGGCTCAGGTCACCCAAGATCAGCCCCTCTGTCAGCAGCTTTTCATGGCGCCGAAAGAAGGGGTGGTAAGCATTCATCCAGCAAGCGAATGACGACTTCTTCCCGACGTCGTTCTTCACCTTGTAGTACTTTTCACCACCCAAGGGCTTGATCTTTCCTATGAAGCATCCTTCACAGACGCCGTAGCCACGGGGGTTGTTCGGGGTGGTGTACCACTTGAGCCCCACGGTACCTTGGGCGTAGCACCGCCTGTCTGTGCCGTGGACGAGGCGCATGATCTCAGCACGATTGTATTCGATGTCTGCAGTCTCCGAGGTCTGGTTACCCTTGAGACTAGCCATGCACTGCGGTTTGATGGGCAGCCTGTCGCCCAATGTGAAAGAGCCTTCCATGTCTGTTTTATAGACATGATCGAAGTAGCAGGCTTCACAGATGTATAGGTCTCTGGACAGACTCTTGGTATACTTGTACCACCAGCCACCATCGGCATCATCACCGTTGGCATTCTTCCGCTGTTGGGAGCAGCCGGAAAATCGGATACGAATCTGCATCAGCTCTGAAAAATGGTCCCAGTCATCATTCTCAAAAAGTGCATCCACCATACGCTGAGTGTAGTGGAATGCCCCGTGGCAAATGGAGGGGCCAGGGGTGTCATCATGGGACCAGTATTTGGAGAAGCGAGTACCACCGAAATGCTTCTGGCGGCATTCCTGGCATATTCTCATGCCTGGTATGGACTGTGTCGAGAACCAGCTCACACCAGTAGTGGGAAAGGCGTCACCAGGACAATATTGGGGGACCTTCTTACGCTGCATGATTTTCAAGAAGGAGAGGAACTCATCGGCAGTGTGCACTTTGCTCCAGCGCTTGTCCATGTGTGGGATGGCGCCGAGATGGCACCTGAGCGACAAGCCGGTGCTGGGTCTGTACTTGATGAAGTCACGGCGCCACTGTTGGGTTTCGTATATGCGATCGACGTAGCACCGGCCACATATCACAAAATGCGGTGCCGAGGGGTGGATGACCCAATCTATGGGCACAGAGATTGCATCTTTGACGCAGCGCTCTGTCGGTGAGATGCCGGAAGGGTGGGTGGCTGGGAGACCGTCATTGCTGATGTCGTGGACAGGCGGTGGCGCATGGGCCTCGGCGATCTCTTGGTAGGGCGGTGGGCCGAGCTCGGTGGCTTCGTAGATGTCGGAATCTTTTGAATCATTGCTGTATTGTGCTTCTTTGGTGTCTTGCGACGATGTGGGTTCTGGCTGCTCGCTCGATTCTCTGGATGCTCTCCTCTCTCTCCTTTCTCGAGGTTCTCTGGGCTCTCTGGGCTCTCTTAGCACCCTGGACTCCCTAGGCTCTCTGAGTTCTGGATACTCCCTTGATTCTCGGGATGGTCTCCTCTCTCGGGCCTCCCGAGGCACCCTGGATTGCCTATGCTCTCTAGGTTCTGGTTGCTCCCTCGATTCCCTGGATGCTCTCCTCTCTCGAGGTTCTCTGGGTTCTCGGGGCTCCCTAGGTTCTCTGGCTTCCCTGGGTTCTCTGTGTTCCCTAGGTTCTCGATAGTCCCTATGTTCTCGGGCTTCCCTAGGTTCTCGGGCTTCCCTAGGTTCTCGGGCTTCCCTAGGCTCCCTGTGTTCCCTGCGGTCCCTTTGGACTCGTGACTCTCTGGACCCTCTCCTCTCTCGAGCCTCTCGAGGTTCCTGATTGTCTCTGATCTCTCGGGGGTCCCCGAGATCCCTGGAGTCCCTATCGAAGTCCCGGAGCTCCCTTTCGGCCTCCCTAGAATCCATAGTGGCATCCCTGGAATCTCTGGTGGCGTCCCTGGAATCTCTGGCGGCATCCCTGGAATCTGAGGTCGTGTCCCTGGCATCTCGGCTCGGGTCTCTGGCGTCTCTGCTCGGGTCTCTGCCGCCCCTGCTGCGCTCACGGGTGCTCCTGGGTCTTCGGCCAGAGGTGGTTCCCTCTCTCCAGGTTCCTTGGACGTCCCTTATGCTGGCGTTATCCCGAAAGCTGGCGTTGTCCCGGAAGCTGGTGTTGTCCCGGAAGCTGGTGTTGTCCCGGATGCTGGCGTTATCCCGGATGCTGGCGTTGTCCCGGATGCTGGCGTTGTCCAGGAAGCTGACATTGTCGTCCGCATGTCTTGGATCCCGGAATGGGTCCCTGGGATCCCTAGATTCTCTAGGCTCTCTGGACTCTCTGGTCTCTCTGGGCTCTCTGGGCTCTCCAGAATCGGGTTCTGGCTGGCGAGGGGAAGCGCGGACCTCACCGCGTGGCTTGGACTCCTTGGAGCTCAGATCGGTGAAGAGGTTGAAGAGCTGTTCCATGGCAGGCGAGGAATGGTGATGGCGATGGGGACGGGGACGCTTCCAGACGGGCTGGCAGCATCTCTCTTAGCGTAAGCGGGATGGATTGAAAAGAGGAGGAGGAGGGTCGAGAGAATGGCAAAACATTCTTCTGGATTAACGCCATGGTCCAATGCATGCCGGGGGAGTTGTACAACTGTTCAACAGTGGGTTGGCGGTGGGTTTCCCCGACGATCCAGTTGCCAATCGTGACGGCGCACCACAGGCGGGACCAGGCCAGCCGCGCCGTGATTGGCCTGCGCAGAGGAGCGGTCTGCCCTGGGGCCCACTGCAAGCTGTGCGCTGAGCAGGCATCGGGCAGCGCGCTTCTGCCCATTGGGCTCACACCCCAATCAGTGCCCGCCGATAGCAGGGAAAAGGCTTTTTCGCGTAGGGATGCACCTGCGCCGCCTGCGAACCGCAGGTTTCAGCAGCTGGTGACTCAGAGGCTGGCTGCGAGTGCGCAGTATTTCACGCGACACGCCTCGGCTTAGGCATCAGTGAGGGTGGTCACGTGCCAAATTCGCCTCAAAACGGCGGTGATTAGTCAGCTTAGCAGCTGCTTATTTGGGCTGCATCCGCCATTTTCTGCATTCCGTGCGTCAATAGCTGCCACGACTCGTATCCCCGTGGCTAAACTGCTGACTTGGGCCGCACTGCATTGAATCTCGATGGAAAAGGACTCAAATCTGACCCCGATGACTGCTCATTACGACATGTAAGCCGAGAACCTTAACATCTGGTCTTATTGCTGCTTATTCTCGCTTGACGGAACGTCGGCGGGGTGAGCAGGGATCTAGGGTAGCATCTTGTTCTTGGTATCGTCGATCTTATCGGAGCACATAGACCCTCTCGTCAACATCTAGACCTTGTACCATTTCTCCCCTCATTGCTCCGTACACATATGCGTCACCTACGACGCGGTAGAAATCCCCATCCGGCCGCAAGACTGTGCATCGTCGTGAGCCGTAGAGCACAACGACCACGTCTCCAGGTTGGGTGTCGTACGGCCCAACGCCGGAAAACCCGTTCTCAGTCGTGAGAAACGTGCGGTTGCCCAAAACTCTTCCTGCTTTTTCATAGAAAGGCCTCGTATATTCCTTGTATCTGATATGCCAGGGAATATCGGGAAGAAATCCCGCGGGCAGTGTTTCCTTTCTCAGGAATACACGGCCCCTGGCACCCACCTCGTCACGCGCAGGAGAGATGCTCACTCCAAAGGGTGTGTCTGAATCCAAGTCTAGGATGAGTGTCCGCCAAAAGGTCTCGAATGCATCTCCGTATAGGCTTGATGCATATGTTATTAGGCTGCTCACAAATTCGCCCTGACCTAGGTCCTCGACCAGCTGCCTAAAGTTGGCTGGATTGCTGCCCGGAGGGAGCTTCTCTAGGTCTCGCATCGGCCCGATGACAAATCCAATATTGCCTATTGGAGCACCTGTGACAATCATCGATTCCGTTTCCATATCGAACTGCACGTTCATATCCACTCCCTTTGATGCCTGCCAGGTCTGGTCGTCGAACAACATGACGCCCCACATGTCGAGAGCGTGGTGTTGACTGTGAACTTCAAATGCCCAGCTAGGGGCAGATGAGCAAGTGGCCCTTCTGTTCATGTTGATCTCAAGATATATCAAATTCTTGTCTCGCTCAACCAAGAATCTGACAAACTCCATCATCGTTTTGCGAAGCGGTCTTGAGTAATCGGGGAGAAACGCTTGGTCCTCACTCCGTGCCAAGCCCAGCAATGCGTAGAGCTTGTCTCGTTCATCTGTGGCCTGATAATTTCTAGTAACATAGAGGAGGAACTGGATGGTAGGCGGATCAGCTCTCGTGACGGCCCTATTGAATGCTGATATCACCTGTAGCATGTTGACTCCTGGAGGGTGGCCGCTGTTTCGGCGAAACATGGAACCTAGCGGTTCTGGCATCTCGCCTGTAGCAAAGTCGATCATTTTACCTGACTCCAAGAATAGTTGAACCAGCACACCACAAGTAAGAGCGTATTCTCTCATATCGAATCTTGAGGAGCCGCAATAGAATGTACAGGGCCATGTCTCTAAACCTCGAACGGCCAGTTCTTGGATCACCCATACTCGGCTCCAGTATGGCCGCTCGAAGAAAGCCCAAAGAGCGTCCCATGGCATTTCCGTCGTGCGGAACCCTACCCTGTCGAGACGGCCCAGCAGGTTCTCTCCCTCAGCGTGGTATATCTCGTCCAAGTCGGCATGCGTCAGAAGTCTCCCCAGGGTTTTGATAAGGTTCACAGCCTCGTCACTGTTATCGGCAGAATTTCCTGTCCACGCAATGACGCAGGATGCTTGAGAGTAAATCCTAGTCATCTTTTGTACCTGTATTGTCTTTTCATCATTGTCAGATTGGTTGATGCACAATGCGTCGACCCAAAGCGTCCGTGATCGCCTGGGCTCACGAAGGTGACGCAAAGCAGCTTGGAGGTTGGATGTAACGCTGAATCGGGCTTCTCCTAACAAGATTTGCCTCCGATCTTGTTGATCTCCCCAGAGGTAAGACAGTGCCTCATATGATGGATTATTATCTAGCGTTGAATGCACGAGTATACACCGCACTTCCTCATCTTCGAAGCCAGGCATCAACTCCAAGAGCCTCAACTCTGAACTACCTGGATCAAGAGGTGAGTAATCGTAGTCTTTTTGGCGAATTGATTTGCTCTGGTTGGGTGACTCCTGAACTGGAAAATCTGGTCGTGACATCTTGCCTGTTTCGTTATGAAAAGGCTACAGTTTTCGATCGAGTGATTATATATTGAGATGGTATCTTGGAAAAGTAATATACTTCAATGAATGAATGAAGAGAAGAGCTACTGTTGAAGCCTTCTTGAACTGAGCGGGGTTTGATTATGCAGCCACTCAGCCGCACGAGTGAATGCTTGCGCTCTTTCATGATAGGGTGGCTCAACACAGCCCATGGCACGTGAATTTTCATTACCATAAGCAGAAGAGCGCTTGGCAGTTGTTTTAATTGATCCATTTTATATTCTCAAGTATGTACAAACCCTGAAAAATACCGCCTCCCAGTAGTTGAAATGAACATTCGATGGATTAAAAGACGGCATGGTCGATTCATCTTCCTGCCTTTCATTGCAAGCTGCTATCATCTACTTGCGAACTAGTTGGGGCAAGCTGTGCAGCAAGCTGTAGCTTGGGCACAACAAAAGGTGCCCTCAACGCAGGAACAACAGCACTGAGCCAACTATCAGTTTTTGGGCATCTAATTATCATGAGGTAATCCTTACACATTCCGTCATATCTTGGCTTCTCTGCTGTCTGTATCCATCATCTTCTTCATTGCCACCACGCAGATGGAGTTGCCGTCGATCTGGTTCTTGCATCTCCATTGGCTGAAATGGAACCTAAACCAAATAAACAAATTTGATGTGTTAGCTTAAGATGATTTCCGAGAGAGCATGATTGTGTCTCTTACCGGTTGATTGGCCGTGGCCATTTTGCCTGTCGTAGAAGCCATTGCTTTGCGGGGGTCATCCAATGTTGGCGTTACTGTGATGTTTAATGTAGACATATTTGTCAGGCTCGTTTTCTCTTCTGTTTCTGAACCTTCAAGACACAAACATACAATTCTTCTTCTTCGGATGATTAGAATCTCGGGCCAGGCGACCCTCTCATGTACCATTATAGTAAAAGTACTTGGGTACGTCGCTGCACATTTAGCTCGTTTGGAGTAGGGTTACGATTGGCCCGTCTATGGAGAGGGCTGATTTCTGGGCAAGGTGTTGATAAAAACGCCATGCCAAGAACGATATAGCCCCTACAAGGCAGAATTGACGGCATCTGATAACCCGTCCGAAAACGGAAGAGGATATCTGGCGATTTACAAGGGCAATGATGAAACACAGAAAGCTGGGTCTGACTTTGTTTTAAATGATTGATGTGGCAAAGAGAACCTGAGGAAACGAGTATAAGTGCTGTCACCTGTTTACCAAACATCAATGGCCTCCTCTGCAGACAAAGACCGGTGGTTTGATCTCTATGATATTAGGAATCTTAGCGATGTATGAGCACTAAATATGTGTGAAGAAGTCCAAGAAGAGAGTGAGATCTACCATGTGGGATGAAAAGAAACAAGGGACTTGTAGCTCTTGATAGATCTGAATTAATTAAGTCTATTTGGGGGCTATCCTTCAGGAATTGTATCTAAGTATCAACATCTATATATTTAACAAACACCTAGCTTTTGACTTTACTTGCATGGGCCAGGGCATTGGTCGTGCCGGTCACTTCCAAGTTGGGTGAGTCCGATCTTAAGTCTCCTCAAATAAAATACAGTCTCCTTCTCGGCATTCTCGCTCTTTTGGTCTGTAGTCAACAAGCTCCTTCTGAACTGACTTGACCGCTATTTAGCTGTGTTTCGGGTACACTAGCCAATTTTACTGCGTTTGTTAACGGGGCGAAAAGTGGTTATTTCCCAAAGACCAAATACCTGTCTACAAATATCGTACCAAGTACTGCCAACGTGGCCAAAATATTTCAATAAAAGTATTTGTGCAGAAGCGAGTGCTAAAGTACCTATTCTAGATTTTATACATGCCCTGTAGCCCGCTAGACATGCTAAATAAGAAGGTGTGATCATAATACCCTGGTCCTCAGGTGCTTTTCTCATTCATCAATACTCTTGGCATGCCAATAATACGTATTTCATATTGGAAATTCTCAGATTAATGACAAGACAATATAATATGTATGGGCCCTGAAATAGGCATCCGCGCCCTCTTTGACGTGCAAGATCCAATGGATGGGGACTTTGGTTGCACCAGCGGTGCAAGCTTCCGGAGCTTCAGAGGCCTGCCTTTGCTGCCTGTTTTGTTTTTGAATACCTTTTATTCCCGTGATTCTAGCCATATTGATGTTCGCCCTTTGCTTCATCCTCACCCTTTAATTTCTATAAATCAACTGCAAGCTGGATACAGCGATATATATGTAATCAAGAGCTTGGTCTCATGATAATCTAATCTTACCTCCGACTCTGCTCGCGCACCTATACAAGACGATTCAAATATGAGTGGAGGATCCAATTCTCATGGCCCCATCCACCTGAGCTCATACGAAGATGGCAACGACGGAGTCGGCGCCTCGTCTGGAACCATCCCGAGGGGCAGCCAGAATACTAAGGACGTAGGCCCAGCCTCTCCATTGGCATACGCAACTGATCAGCAAGGCGAAATCCCAAAGCACGAAAAAGGCTTTCGTACTCCAGCCCACCGGAATTATGACAAGTATGGCAACGAAGCAGGCGGCCCCTCAACTCAGCTCGAGCCAGTCGTGCAAGAGCCATCGCCCGTCTCTTCTCCAACACCCGATGAGCCTTCGCAGCAGCAAGAAAACATTAATATCACAAGGGAAAATGTTCGTTCACACGGTCCAGCATACCAGAGCTACAATGAATACGGAAATGAGAAAGGCGGCCCCTCGAATCATAAGCGTCACACGACACCGCGAGATCCTGAAAGAAAACCTCACAAGCCTAGAAAACCAGATGAGAGTAAGACGAGAATATCGAAGGCTTACGGCCCGGCATATCAAAGCTACAATGAATATGGCAACGACGGGGGCAGTGCCCGGCCTCGACTCATGCCAGAGCCCAACGCCAGAGAGCAGAGTTTCGGGACTCCTCTAGTATCCCTCGTGCCTGACCAGCAACCTGGTAGAAAGAAACGAGGAACAGCTTCAGGACGACCCCCTTACGGGAGCTCCCGAGACCATGTCCGAGACCACAACGAGCGGGGCATGTCCCGACATCCTAAGCCAGCCCAAGCTCCGGCTGACGATGGGCCATCATTTGCAGACGGAAATAGCTGGGTCTATTTCAAATTGGCCCTCCATATGATAGGAATGATGGTTTCTCTTGCTTCTTTAATCTTGAGTTTTACCTTCATTCCCCATAAGCTCTACCATGGAGACTTGATAGCAATTTCATGCCCTGTTGTAAGCCAGCCCTCTCCACAAGCCTCTCCGCAATGGCATCTAACATCTTTGAATAGCCTGGAGTCGCTCTTATATTGGGGATTGGTGAGCTGGCCGTTCGAATCGTCTACGAATACAGGGAAAAGCCCCGCCGCGGCACGGCTTCCAAAGGGATCCATCCAGCTGGCCATGTCGCCGTCTGCCTAGTTCTCTGGCTAGCCAGTATCGTCGTTCTGTATTTCCTGACAACATACATCAAGGCCACCGATAATTACTGCTATGCACCGTTCGATAAAACAATATTTACGAATTATTGGTGGGGTGTGTGTCAGGGAGAATGGGACGGTCAACGGTCATCTGCAGTGGCTCTTGCTGCGTTGACGGCTACGATCTGGCTTATCTACTTTTTTCTGTTTATCTTCGCTTGCATTGACACCTCGAAAAGAAGTGAGAAAAGGGCGGGGAAAACAACAGAAAAGAGACCGACGCCGTGATTTCATCTTCAGGGGCCGTCTTCAATACACGTTGACTGCATCAAGGGTTGTATTATGACCATATGTTAGTAGGGGAAAGGCTAAATCTACTATAATTTGCACTTGTTGTTTGGTCTGTGTTTTGAAGCACGGACTGATCTTGAATTCCCGGCTGAACTTCTGAGGATCAATTTATGTTACCTTTTCTCGAGCTAGATAGTGCTCAGATTTGTGACTTTAATTTGGTGAGTATCTGCAGGTAGTGAAAGCACCTGGTGTACTCTTAATTTAATTTGCTCACTCATGACTCAATAAAGATTGTATGAGGCAATATGGAATAGCTCCGTATTCCAAAGCCCGGAGGAACACTGCCTCTCAGGGATGGAAAGGAACATGTTTCTCCTTTGTTTTGTTTTTCGATTCGACCCTTCATTTGATTCCCTTTACTTTTGTCTTTCTGAAAAGTAAGTACCAGGTTGAATAAGATACCGCGACAGCCCCGACTGCCGATACAACAAACATCCAAATGTGTGGCGAGAAAGTGACGAGTTTGTTTTCATCTAGTTCAACCAAGTTCATTCCCCAGAAGCCCTTTATGGCCAATCATATTAGCTGTGCCCAAGAGGTCGTCAAGGTTGGATACTTACGGAAACAAATGTCACAGGAAGGAAAAACAGAGTGAGGTTGGTGACAAATCTGGTCAGGTCTTTGGACTCATCACGGGCCTCTTCAAGAAGGTCCTCGTTGAGTTTTAGCTGCAAGATGTTGACTAGATTATTCGCCTGAAGAAAAAGCGAAGCAAGGTATTAGAAGATTGAACCAATAATTTGGAGAATTAGGAGTCATTTTCAGGCTACTCACCGTTTGTATCTCATTTCTCACCCTCTCAGCGAATGCATTGGCCCGTTCCTTCAAGCTTTCGAGGAAACTGCTGGAAAACTGTATACCTGCGACAACATTTTCTAGACGCATAGCGCCGTTGGTAAAACTATCGAAAGAGCGAGATTGCGTCTCGGCGCGTAGTAAAGCCATGCTGGCTGTTTTCATCGCGACACTGATGGTTTCGGTCATATGAAGCGTGTGGCGGGAGAGCTCAGCCAGCTCTTCTGGGTGATCATCCGAAATCCCACCATCTTCATGCGTAGGGTCAAGTTCCATTCTGCGCTTCACAACTCGACGGCGTGTCTGGTGGGATATTCACTTAGTTTCCTGTAGCTTTTTATGCGATTATTTTGCTCACCTTCTCAATTGTACGAATCGGCATTCTGAACTTCCAGAGCGCCATGTCAAATTGCCAGACAATGACACGAAGCATAGCGTCAAAAACGGCATATGGACTCTCTCTGATGTTACTGAGCGTATAATTTCTCAGCCCTTCAACGATCTCAGTTTTGATGTCTGCAGCATCATCATAACACACTAAAACGCAAGAAACCTTGTTGGTGAAGCGGTTTCTGGACCAGAGAACAGAGAAGGACAAGAAGGACCAGCTGAACTCGGTAGCACCTTCACCATAGTTTTCAGCCAGGAATTTGATTAAGAAGCGAGTTCCATAGCCTGCGGGAAAGACTTAGTAATGGCGAGAAATAAAGGCTCCATATGGGCACATACTATACCCATCCTGGGTCTCGGATCGCACAAGCTGCCGGCTACTGAAAAACCCATTGGAGTCCCATGCCGAAGCCGTCAAGAAGAATGGCTCAAGGTGAAGTTTATCCTTAAGCTCCTGACATAACACAGGATCGTCGAGCAAGGCTTGCCCCTGGCCCTTGCTTTTTCGAGAGATGGGTGGGAGAAAGCTTCAAGGCTTGTCAACATAATGCAATAAAATGGATGATTCGTTGGGCGGACTCACTAAATCTGAAGCTCGTCATCCTACATCTCAGTGTCAGATGAGGAGGAAAAACTGGTGTCATGTCCACATATGGCTTACCTCTACGAGCTGAGGCGATACATGATCAATAAGGTGACCGATCGTGGCGGAGTCCGACTGAGGGGAGCCTGTCCCTTGGGCCGCACTTTTTAAGCTTCAAGAAAATGAAAACAGATGAGCGCTGAGCCTAAGAACTTTACGTTCGCCTGTGTCTGGATATCAAACTTACCTGAATCGTACCCGTTCTACAGTGGCCTCTCTCACCTGCAGTTTCTCATTTACAGTAAATGGTGTGGGGAGCGGCGCGGTCGACATGGATCCGGAGAAGCTCATGATGGCGCATTCCGGGTGTCGACAAGGCTCATGGTAGGGAAGTGGGTGGGTGGGTAGTACAGAGTATCAAAAGAACCAACATTTACTTCTACGAATTCATTGATTTATTGGGGTTTTAACTGATGTTATGAACAGCGGCCGCCTCACTTGCAGGGATGGGACCTAAGCTCACAGAGCACAATTGTGTTGTGTGTTACTGGACCATTGAACGTTGGTGATCCCCTGCAAGGCGTTCTTACAGCATTGGTCGACCATTGCTCAGCCACCATGGGCACATCGTCGTTGCTCGTCCATCCAAAAGAAATGGTGTGACACGTATGCCGAATTCCTCGGCAACCTGGCCCTGTCCAAGAGTGCAAATTTCCATCATATCCATCCCTTCATGTGAACATCTCCCAGGCCTGAGCGTCTTATATAGCAAGGGCTGCAGCAAATACAGCGATCCCGCCGTTGATCATCTGTCTGTGGACGGCATTCGAGGTTGATGTAGGATTAGGTACAGTGGCGATAGTAAATCCATCGCCTGATGAGTCGGTTCCAGTGGACGTGGTTGTGGGAGGCGCTGAAGTCGGTGTAGATGTCTCACTGCTGGCTGCTGCCACTAGAGGCGTGGCGGTAAACAGGAGAGCGGCGAGTAGCGAGAATTGAACCATCCTGAATGAATCTGGATAGCTACAGAGGCGACGCAAGTATAAAATAAGGATGAAAAGAGTAGCGCAAGCTTGAAGAGATGATGCGAAATAGGATGTATGAGGTTTTTGAAGGCCACCAGTCCCCTTTCCCTTACACCGCACGATGGCACGTTTCTGTCTGAGGATTCAGCAAGCGCTGGATGGACCTACCAGAGCCCCTGGAAGGGTTGCAATCAGCGGTGCCTAACCGCTGACAGGGACCTGAGACGTCTCACATAACGCACTTTGTTTGGCTCGTGGGTTAGTGAATCTTCTTCTGGACTGCTTTGCTTCAAAATGTGTAAAATGTCAGGCCTAAAACGGTGATAATCCGGTTTAGAATCCGAAAATGAGCATTCAAGTATCCGTTTACGGGGCTTCCATTTACCCCAGATCTTATATCTTATGGGGCTTGCACTGGTGTAATTGTGTGTGTGCCGCGTCGGTGTTTCTGCTCACCAGACATATCAAGTCTCCCCCACTGTATAGCTTGACTTGATACTAATTTAGTGCCCAACCCCCCCCCCATCTGACTGAGATGTAGCAGTCTTCACGTGAAGTTATGAATAATGGATTGCGGCCTCTGATTCTGCGAATTACATGAGGCTACCCACAGGCTTAAGCCTCTCGCGGAATAATCTGGTGGCTGAGCCCTCGGCTGCTTTACCCGCCTCGGCTGTGTACGGCAGATCATCCCCAATCTAACTCCTGCAAATCTCAGCTCATCATCATCAGCATCTCGTCGCTCTACCATGCTCATTTGTGCTGGACCCAAATAGCTGACGAGCGGCCAAGTCTCGTGACACCTTTTCAAAACCGACTTATATGGGGCCTTCTCAGTCCCTTTGTTCATGGTTAGGATGAGGCGGCACGCTGGCCCTTTGGACAAGCGGAAAAAGGTGACGCGGTGCCAATCCTGCGCCAAGCGGCGGATTAAGGTTGGAAATCCAACGGTCAACTTTACATGATAGTTGCAATCTAATTCGAGAAAACAGTGTGAGGGAGGTTTCCCGTGCGAGTACTGCACTCGGACCAAGAAGCAATGCCATCCTCCTGGCTCATCTCCCCGGAGAATAGAATTTGTCATTGTCAGCAGCTCGACACAGCCTGATCATCAAATTTTAGCGTCGCCTGCTATGATCCCGAGACCAAATGACAGCCTGTATCTGGATTATTTTGCACTCTTCGTGGAAAGATGTCAGTTTACTAGGGGATTTGCCACCGTATCCTCGGATCTCCTCCCTCTTATTTCTTCTTCGAGACCTTTGAAGCATTTAACACTTGCAATTGGCGCATTGGAAGCTAGCAGGAGAGGATCCATACACACATATCGTGGGCCAGACTCCCCGCAAGTTGCGTCTTTTGGATTTTACGGGAGATCGATCGAAGCGTTCCAGAAGCAGATACAGACCAGCCAAGGGCTTGAGAGAGAGGATGTCCTTTGGACCACCCTTTTCCTCGGAATTTTCGACGTTTGTTCAAATCCCCCGGTATCGACTGGTTTTGGAAGCTGATTGATTGTAAAAGCTCATGTCCGAGAATTCCGGCGATGGTTGGGCCAACCACATGTCGTATGGCATATCACGGATTTTGCAAGCAGTGAAGCCTGCTGATGACCCATCACCACTGAGGATGACGCTTCTTGACGCATTCCAGACTCTAGAGGCCAACCGTGCTATTATATACGGGGATGGCTCATTTCTGATTGAAGAGTACTGGTCGTCGCACCTGCCGGGGCCCATTACACAGCCTGTTGGCACAATGCAGAGGATCATACAACTTATGCTTGAAGTATCTGGCTTTAGCCAAAGGTAAAATAATGCAAATTCATGGACGTCACATGAACTGATTTATTTTTGTAGATTTTTTGAGGGCATAGAGTTGATCGCGAGCGACGACAGGCCTCTCCACCCATTGATAAGCGAGCTTGCAGTTGAGGGTTGCCGTCTTCACGAGAAGCTAGAATCATGGTACAGTGAAACAGCGGCCGAGAGAGACGAGTCTGATCCATATATCAAGCTTGCATTGTCCATCTATCATGCTCTTGTCCTTTTCTTGAGCGGAAATTATGGATACTATTCATGCTGGGAGGGCCAGAGACTCCCAAGCTTAACTTTGCTCGAAGTCGAAAGCCATTCGAGTACAGTACTGAGCCTGTCCGTCTCCATCTTGGAGAATTCAAATATTCCGGGACCATTAATCTTATTCCCGCTGAGAGTCGCGGGTTTGTATTCCACGAAGGGACAACAGCGTGAAGAAATCTTGGGTTTACTTGGGCGTATCCAACGACAAGGGTTCAATGTCGCCGAAAGAATACAAGGTGATTTGCAGCAATGCTGGAATTATCAAGACTCAAATAGTTCACTGCTTCGCATGATCGAAAATAGCTCCGGGTAGTCAATTAAATTTCAGAGATGAAAACAAATCAGATTTCGTCTTTAATTTTTCCTACCAAGTGAGAAGGAGAGATGTATGCTAGTTATATTATGCTCATACTGAACCTTTCTAATCGACGCTCGAACTTAAATTTAGCTGATCCTACTCCCAAAAGTTATGAAGAAGGCTAAGTAAAAACTTCATGAGATGGTCGAATTCGAAAGAGACTGGGGTAAGATCATATATGCGTTGGTGATTTACTCAAGCCTTGAGGTCGAAGAACTCGGTGATAACACGAGTTCTCTCCACAGGAGCGAAGTAGTCATACCCAACGACAACATTGCAGGTGTTGACGAATACGGTCACAGGAATCACTCCCTGGTACATAATGTTCCACTGGGCGTATTAGTCGTTATGAATGAGATGGGCACGGAATATGCCGAGGAGCCTTACAGCGGCAACTTGACCAGCCCAAAAGGTTCTCTTCACAAGGCCGCTAAACACCGCACCAGCCTGGACCAGGATGTCTTCCTGAAAGATGGGGAAGTTCGAGTTCACATAACCCTGCCAGATGTCCGGAGTTGTAGAGTTGGCGGTATACATTCTTAGGATATTGTCGACCTGACCATCTTGAGTGACGTTTGCATAATTGAATAGCGAGGTCCCAAAGCCCTCATCGTTTGCTTGATCGACCCGAACGAAGCCTTTGGAAGGAGAGTTGACTATGTATCCGGTTGTGATGTGAGACAAGTTTTGGTTCCTGGTAGCAGTTAGGCCTGGAAGAAAGGAATTGCTTTTTCAAACAGGCTTTGCTTTGTTTGACTTGCCATTTATGTTGGACAAATTGAGTCTGAAATTCGGACTTGACCAGCGGCAGTTCTGGCTGTTTGAAATCACTCGAAAACGAAACAATGGAGGACGGAAAAGGAGCGCAGGAGTTGGCCAGGGCTGGCGAAATTGTGAGGCTTGCGGCCATAGAGAGACAGGTGGTAATCTTCATGTTGAATGTATCAATCAGAACTAGGGGGGAGAAACTCTGTATGTTATTGCAGCCAAGATAGTACATGACTTGGAACTGATATTAAGACCACATCTCTGGCAGGAAAATTCCTCTACTTATACATGTTCCCTGAAAGCTTTGCTCTCCATCAAGGCGGGTGCGTTCAAATGATCCCTCTTTAGGAATGGTGGCGAGTGAGAAGACTTCCCGAGGCTAAGTTTGTTGGTTCCGTGGAGCTGCGTTCATTTGATTCCGTTTTGAGTTAAAACCACACAGCCTAGGAAACTTGATGGTATCTTGTGGGGAGTACGCGCGGCAAATGGAGGAGGGATACGTAAGATTCACTGCTCTTACCAGGGTGGTTTACTACTATTAGATTTTATATATTAAATAAATAGAATTTAATAGTTATATTTATCCAAGTTATATATCTCTAATACTTTAGAGGGGATAATTATATAAATTACTATATATCTCTCCTTTAAGCTTAAGGCTCTTTTAATGAACGAAAGTACTCCGTAGCTGAGCACGTTATGGAACATACCGATACCTCGCACCCCATACTTTTGATGGGGACTAACTAGGCGAGTTGGGACCGGTCAGACGAGGGAGAGATACAGTCGAATTCTTTCCTTTGATAGTGAAATAAGAAAGCAAGAAAGGAACAGTATAATTTATTAGGAGACGTCAATATATTGTAGATTCTACCTCGGCCATAACCCAGCTCTGGTAGTCGCATTGCGAACGCCACTGTGCCATTTTTCCGGATCAGGCGTCCAAAGATCATCGACTTGGGGCAGACGCGGGTATTTCCTAATGTCTTCCCTGTGAACCAGCATATTCGGAGTGATACACCCTCTGAGATATTGCTGATACTCATCTGACATGAGCTGCGAAAGCTCAAAAAGGAATCGGTGTCTTTCATCCGTTGCAGTGTTTGATTCAAGCCGCATAAGCAGATGATCTACTGCTGAGAGGCCGTTGACAACAAGTTCTGGATTGGCACCCTTTTGAATCATGGAGAGGCAAAATTCCTTGACTTTCTGGCGCAACATCTGGCATCCCCAATCTTCCTGGAATCCCGTATCTCTCTTCGCCTCAGTGTATGTTTCATTCCATTTCTGGCATAGCTGATGAAGAATTGGTATCTCAAATTTGTCAACACCATACGCATTGATATTTGCTCCTGCAGTCTGAATACGGTCAATAAGAAGCCGATCAAGTACTCCATAGTTTTGTGGCCTTCCAGATCGATCAATAATATAGTCGCGGAGTAGCTTATCCTTAAGCGCTTGGTCTATGTTGCCACTCTGCAATAACTCATCGGTATATCTGCCAACGTACGTGACGTTTGGCAGCCAGCGAAGGTCGTTTGGATAGAACTGGATGAAGTGATTATTAACATCAAACTTTGCTTTGGAGTGCTTGAAAGTCCTACATTTTGCACCTTGTCTATGATGAGGTTAACAATATCCCACCATTGAGGGACATTGTTTGGGTGGTTCGGGTCCGTTGGTATCATTGGGTCGCTGGTGCGCTTGGAGTCCTCACAAAATTCCTTCAGGAGGTTTTTGGCATTGGTCATCCCTCCGCCCTGTTGGACAAGGTATTGGATTGTTTCGAAAAATTGGGGCTCGTGCATCGTTTTCAGATCCCACTTGTAGAGTAGCACTTCGACAGTCGAAAAAACATCAGTGTCGATATTACAAACTTGGCGACGAGGCATCCAAGGCCATTCGATATCCTCCTGCGCCTCACAGAGTTGTATGTCTGCGCCCATCTTTGAGAAATACTCAATACCATTGATGGGTGTCAAGCTATGTTGTACGGGCCACTGTGGTATAGCTTCGAGATATCTCGCTATTGGGGTCATTGGAAACTGGCCAAAACAAACGTGTGATGGAGATATAATAGCAGGCGCAATATGATTGATATTTGCACCATGGCGGAGACATAGATCGATCATGTCTATGTTTCCAGTTGATCCCATGCGCGAAGCCGCAGAAAATATTGGCAAGTGTTCAGGCCGACAATATCTAAAGGGGCTTGAAAGATCTTTTGTAAGTCCGTAACATTCGATCGATCCGTCAATTTGTGCCCCCCTTTGTAATAGAAGTTCGCAAATTTGGATTGATCCCCGCTTGATAGCCTGGGATAGAGGGGACGCAAGGTCTTCTTTCCCGTCGCGGACAATAAAATTTGGATCAGCTCCATTCGTGATCATACCATCGAGAATATCAACAGGAGCTCCCTGTGCAATGAATTCGACAAGATTGATGGCAAAGTCCGGTTTATCTAAAATAGGACGACAAAGCCCGGAAGCAAGCAATCTTCGAAAGAAGTCTCGAAACTCTTCTTTCAAGAGAATTCTAGACAGGGCTTTCAAAGTTCCCTTGGGGGCGCCCTCTAGATCCGCCCCGAGCTCCAGGAGCGTTTCAAAGGCACCGTGGTGGTTTTTCTGGGCTGTAATGGCCAAAGTGGATATGCAAGGACTTTGCCTCACTCCTTTCATTCGGGAGTTGTCAAAGCCCCCGACGAGGTCGACTTCTTCGATGCTGCTGGGATATATGTCTACCAAGCTGGGGCTAGCCCCTCGTGAGATCGCAGCTCGGATGACGGCTACGTCGCCGTGGTTACATGCCCACCTCATGGACAATTGACGAGTAGTAGTCGAACTAAATAGGGCGAAGTTAAGACGTTGTGACATCTTACTGCTGGTTTTCCAAAGCTTGATGAGATCTGATCTTGTCAGGCCTTGCGAAACCTCGATCAACAGCTCATTGGGCAGCGATTCCACGGGGCTGAGTGACGCCATCGTGTCGCTCGAAATTTCTGCTCTGATAGCCTTACTTATTTAAATAACTTTAAAATTGATATCAGAACTTTGGGTTCATTAGCATGGCGATTGCTAGGTATCGGGCTATAGCGTAACTCGGGGCTCCTTTAGTGTATTCAAGCGCAAGAAATAGTCAGTTAAGAAGCAAGAAACGAGAGCGGTCTCCATTCTGGATCGATAGTTGTTTATACTCCAGTGAGGGGCAAAGGAATGAGTCATTCTTTGCGGCAGTTGACCAGGTGTTCAAGTCCATGCCAAGCTCGTGTCAGCCTGACTCCCGGAATTGATTACTCAAGGGTTATAATTATTTCCTGAGCAAGTGAATTTCGCAACCTAAAAAAACATCAAATAGAAGCCAGTAAACTGAACACATTCATTTAATATGTTTGCAACAATGTTATATGATACATATATAATTAAAGGCGATGCCACTCAATACGTTATGCTGGGTGATTAGGCAACAAACGAGAGCTAACAGATGCTATAATTAAGTTAATATATAGATTAGTACCCCTTACTATATTTTAAAATCTTAATAGTATTTCTATAATTACTATCTTTAATCCCTTCCTCTCTTTCTATTACCTTACTTATTCTTATAGATAACTATAGATAACTATAGTAATCTAACCTTAAATAATAGAAATACCTATTATATTAACCTTTTACTCTTTAATATTAAGATAATATTAATATTAAGCTTATCTTAAGGTATATACTTAAGAATATCTTAATTAAAGTTATATAATATTATAATCTACTTTATAAATAGGTTATCTATCTTAGTTTAATTAAGTTAATTAACTTTAAAGATAATAATAATCTTTATAAAATTAATAAGCTTTAGATTATTTATATTAATTTTTAGCTTTATTATATTAAATTAAGTAATCTTTTTATCTTTAAGAAAAAGTATTAAAATTTAATTATTTTATATATTATATATATATTAAAGATTATAAATATATTAATATAAGTACTTTAATTAATAAATTAATAATACTTATTAAGTTAATTATTTTAAGCTTAATATATTAAAATACTTAAATTAATATAAGATAAAAGAAAGAAGCTAAGTAAAAGAAGGTAGCTTTAATAGTTATTTAATAAGCTATTTATCTTAATAATAAGTAAGTTATTAATATAAAGGTTTATAGACTTTTCTTTCTATATAATTATAATCTTAAGCTAATAAAAGGCTCTTTTTTAAGGTTTTTATATTTATTATATTAAGTTATTAAGCTCTAGTAGCTTCTATTACTATTAAACTTTATTCTCTTTCTCTTAGGTATAGATTAGCACAGTGACCACAAGTCCATTCTCAGGGTCAAAGGTATTCAATCAAGTTTTCCACCACGTCCGCGTTATCCTTGCACCCATTGTTCATGCTTTGATGCAATATGTTGCCAACCAGATCTATCTTACTACTTGCAAGATAGACACCGCTAGAATGATAAAAAATATACACTTCCATCAGAAAGGCATCGCAGCTCATATGTCCATCCAAAATCAAGTCAGATATTTAGTGTTGATAAGTTGAGACCCTTCCCCTCTTCCCCAAAAGTCTGCAAAACATCCACCAGATTAAGTTGTTTTGCTTCAGATCGAGGCGTCCGATCAAACCTGCCTGGGGTATCTGGGCTGGCTCCCCTTTCAAGAAGCATCTTTATTACTTTATCCTGGCCATTCCAAATGGCTGTAGTCAGCGGGAGATCATCATCCCTCGCACCCATGATATTAGGATCTAACCCATTATCTAGAAGGAACTGGACAGATTTGATGTTCCCAATCTTTATCACAGACGCAAGGCTACACTTCTGAGGGTCCGCTCCGTGCTTCAGAAGTAGCTCGGCCGTTTTGATGTGGTTTTGTTCCAGCGCTCGCTCGAGTGGTGTGAAGTTCCCCCCATCTCTGTCATCCACTAAGCATCCTCTCTGAAGAAGCAGTTGAGCAATGTCTGTCTGTCCTTCAAAAGCGGCCCAGGAGAGTAAATTTAATGAGCCGGACTTGTTGATAAATTCCTGTCCATACGTCAAGCTCTCCGCAATTTCGGATGCATCAATAACGCAAGGCGAGCTTATCATTGCTTCGACAGTCTTCTTGTATTCGTTAGCCAAAGCAGCAAACAGCGGATAGCGATACTGCATTCCGTAAATCTCAAGGCGAGGGAAATCTTGAAGTCTAGTGCTAACAAGGTTAGCAAGCCCTTGATGAGCTAGTATATAGAGGATATTCGTCTCGGAGTTGTATTCATCGGATCCCAGATGTCCACCTGAGTAGGACCGTGCCATAATCCATTCGCTTAGAGAAAACCGCGAAAGAAAGGTGTTTTGTGGGATAGAATTGGCCGCAACATTGGCGTGATACAGCAAATTTAAGCTGGAGTACTGGAGAAGAACATAATCCGCGTAGTTGAACTCAGGATCGTAATTGTTCTGATGAATCGCAAAGTGCTTTAAGTAATCACTACAACATTGCTTGAGCCGCTCATGTGCGGATTCCTCCCAGTTCTGTCCAAGATCAGGCCACAGCTCGAGAATTCCCTTGTCCTTCAGGAGAAAGTCTCTCACAGACTCGTGGATGAATTGGACTTTCCGCGGCGCATATTTGGTTAACTCGGCAAGCCCTTTGGAAGAGCTCACAATGTACCGTTCAATCGAGTGCAGATCGGTAATGTCAGGAATATTAGGGTCCACAAGTTTCTTCTGAGACAAACCGATCCAAAGAGCATGATAGTACTCTTCTGGGCCTAATGGGCGCTGCGGATACAGGGTCCAGAGAATACACAGAAGTAAATCTTCCATGTTGTCATTGTCGCGTAATAGCATGTCTTTGAACAAATGACTTAGGCTGCCAGGGAGCTCGGTAAGCCGTCTCTTCATCCCTAACCGGCCTCTCCTCTCTTCTGTGTTGAGAATACCAACGACCAATACAACCCAGAGGAAAACTCCTGCTGCCTTTGCCAAAATTTCACATCGTAGCTCTTCTAATGCCGGACCCTTGATTCTAAGGCGACCTTCAACGTAGTTGGCTAGATCTTCATCGTGGCCCTTTTGGTCTTCGAGTGTCAGGCGAAGAGCTCTCCGGATATCAATATAGGGATAATGTCGGCTGGAGAAACAAATTCGAAAAGACAGCCCACTAGCCACGGCATTTTCGGCCATCTCTTCGAAAAATTGAACCATGTCTAGAATGTCCAGCTCGTTGCATTCATCAAGTGCATCAATGAAGCATGTGAATGAGCGTGTGCCAAGGCGAGACACTGCCCTTTGAAAAAGCCTCTTCAATTGGTCTAAAGGCCAACCCTCGACAAGAAATGAGTCGAATTCTGAGTTGTCCAATAACTTCTGAAGATCCTGAAATCCATCCAGAAGTTGAACTATCAAGGAGCGATACATCCCCAGGATAGACTTCTCAACGTGACGGCCTCGGGCGTTGAAGAAGAATGAAGCCACAAGGGATTTGTTGTCGCCCAGGCCTTTGGATTTTGAATACAGATATTTCATTAGGGTCGATTTTCCGGCCCCTGGTTTACCACTGATCCAAAGAAATCCATTGTGCTCGCCCATTTTTGAGGGACTCAACCAAGTTTTATAGATTTGGTGGCCGAGAAACCATTCGCATGTACGCGAATGCGTACCTGCAATAGCTTCTCTACGTGAATGAAGTTGCTCAAACCGTAGAGAACTCAGTAAGCGCTGCTGATGTATCGTCCTTGAGAGATCATTATCTCCGTGGAAAAAAGGGTTAGAATAAATGCAGTCTCATTGGATTCAAGTAGATCTACCCACCATAGTGAAGAGAGTACAGGGATTTCTCTTCTTTTGGAAACACATGCAGGAGTTCTCGTGCATATGCGGCGGCGGCGGCTGCAGCATATCTCTGCCATTTTTTGTTCTTGTGCGAGTCCGAATAGTCACAAATACCCCTGATTGGGAGACATGGAAGGCTATCCATTAGGCCTGCTGCCTCCATCTCGAAGCACAGAACATTTATTTCCTGTGCGATCTTGTCTCTTTCGACACCATCTCTCACAACTTGGTTCCCTGATGCGATCCCCCCGTAATGTATCACCGGATCTTCCGTTGACCAAGTACATCGAGGCACAAGTCTGCTGCTGTCGCAGCCCTCGCAATCCGGGATAGGTTGATCATGGTTATAAGAGGCTTCGAAGAGCCAATCAGGCGAAGCTGGGAAACCATAGCTTGGATTATCCTTCATTCTTTCTCGTATGATGGCGGGTATTCGGCTGGGCCTCATTTCATGATTCGATCGCAAGGTCGAGACGACAGTCCCAAGCTGCTGCTGAGGGATTCGCGGTACTGCAGTTCGCTCGATTCTGCCACCTGTAACCAACTTTCCGAGGTCAGATTGCATAACCCTGACGCCCACCACCACATCTCCCAGACGTATATCGGCCATGCTGGGCGCTCCACCCCCAATGCCCACCATAAGCCCTGCTCGTATCGATGGAAAGGTTCGCTTCATGTTGGTAATGACGTTTGTAGCATTGACTGTCCCATATTGGTTCGTAGGGAGGCACGCGATCACGACATTGTGCCCGCTGACGGTCCCGAGAATGTAGGTATTGTCGTCAGCAGCGCATCCGGGCAGCTCATCGTGGACCTCGTCTAGCATAGCCTGACCTGCCGCCAACTCGATATGTAAGGCGCAAATCCATGCGACCGTGTAGCTGTGCCGACGGAGGGTAATCGGATCGAAGACCGCATCCCAATCGGCGGAGTTCGTCTCGGCAGGCGCAATTTTTCGACGTTTAGAAGGTGGCATTTCGGTCATCGACTCGATCGCATCGCATGACAGCAGCTTGCCTCGAATGGACTAATTGTATGGGGCCGAGGAAAAGAGGCAGGTCAAGTGCCTTTGCCGAAGCTGCTGGAGGTGTCCATCATGTTTTGGGGTGAAGGCAATTGGATGAAGTTCGCCAAGGCAATTGTACCCCGCCAATAGATTTATGCACGTGAGTATTGGTCACATGCAGTCAGAGTTGTTTCTGGGATGCTCAGCAAGACTCTGTACATAGACGAGGAACCCCTGTCCTGTCTCCACGTCACGATCAACGTCCGACAGCCCAGTTTGCCAGTCTCCCTTGAATTGAATTTAGTCAAACCTGGAGTTAATTGAATTTAGTGGCTACAGGGCTAGGTTGCAGAATAAGCGTTTATAAAGGTAGAAAAGCTCAATGCGGCTACAAGATCGAAGTTGAGCCATAATCCCGGCGACTTTCTACTGTCCATCTTACAACACTCCAGTCCTTGAAAAAAATGTCTAAAGGAATATGGCTGAATATTTGGACCATGGGGAGTAAGCGATTAGTCTCATCCATGATTGGTTTTTTCGATAGAAGGAAATAATTAAAGCCCATCAAGGCAAGATATCCCTACGTAAGACACTCTTAATTTTGTGAAACCGGCTCCTCTTCTCCAATATCGGGCGCTCCGGATGGCGATGTGGCCTTCTCGCTGTCTTCTGAACTGTATTTATCATCTTCAAACATGTCAGGCTCTCTGAAAGTCCTCTCGCCAAACTTGTATATCTTTGAAGGGTTATTCTATGGGTCAGTGGCTAGTTCAGATTCAAGATCCTTAATCTCGTCCTAGATAGCGTTGGCCAGTGCTTCATAACCGCCAGCGTGGATATCTTTCTTAAGACCATGGTAGAAATTAGCCTATTCCAGCTCACCGCAATTGTTTTTAATCGTAATTAGTTAGCGAATAAAAGAGCAAGAGGTCACAGGGTCGTTGATTGATAGGGCACTAAGAGCTTGCCGCAGCTGTTCAAGATCTTTATGGATATTTCGATCCCGGATATTTCAGTAGAGCAGTATAAAGGCATTAGCCTTAGCTTTTAATAGCTTCCTGAATAGCGTAAGCATCTAGATTGGGGCATAAAGTATGTAAATGAATAGATCCTATAGGGTATTACTATTTAAATTTTAAAGATGTATGCTAAGGCTATCTAAGTTTTAAGGTAACTTAGAATCCCTATATTGCTGAATAAGGCGACTATATGTAAAATGTTTCTTAAACTAGATGCGAGAATGTTATGTACTACACCTACATTTTTAAGCCAGCGGACGGTGATGGATGTATTCTGAATTATAGCTATAATAAATAGAGTAATTCTATTAATGTGCTGGGCGTTAATGTTAACATGTTTTGCATTAAGAAGCAGATGCAAAGTGCCTTTAATGGACATGGAACTCCCTATGCATTTTGCTTTAGAAATTATAGCCTGGTGTAGAGGCGTCTGGCCACTTGAGTCGCGGGCTGAAGTGTCTGCTCCTTTCTCTAGTAATAGTTGTATAGCCCTAAAGTGGCTATATTGAGCAGCATGGTGTAAAGCGGTGCGACCATACTTGTTTTGTTGATTGATGTGGCACCTGGTCTTGTTTGTGCGTCTGTCTGTCGAAAGCAGATGCTGCATGATTTCTACCCGATCATTCAAAGCTGCTACCATTAGCGGCGTTACATCTTGGTCATTCACATCAGCACCAGCATCAATCAGTTGCTGAACAGCATTGTAATGACCGTGGAAAGTGGCCCGATACAGCGGTGTTCTCCCTGTCGCATCGGGCATATTAACCGCATCTGTCGCTGGCATCTCCAATTCCTCAAATGCCTCTCGCACACTAGATCCCCGGATTGCTGCCTCGTGCAACGGTGTTGTCTCTGGCCCCAAATCTTGAGCATTCACGAACGACAATACCTGCTGCAGAAGTGAAAGTGCTCTCCCTGCATCGTTTTTATCGCGCAAACGCCTCAACATAACATGAGCTGAATTGCCCACGCGTCTGGGGTTTCAGGTCAGTACGCCTAAGAGGCCGCTCATTGCGTTTGAAGGAAACACATACTTTACAAGACCCTGTTTCGACAACATATTTGCCCATTCTGCCATGAGAAATGCCAATATATTAAATGATTGTTCGTTAATGAGACTCTGTTCGTGTCAGCCGCAACTATCAAGTTAAGTAACCATGGCAAATACGTAAGAGAAAGAGAATAAAGTTCAACAGCAATGGAAGCTGCCAGAGCCCGACAACTCAACACAATGAATATCATTATTATTATATACATCCCCCGTATTTTGAGGACAACTTGGGTGAGGAAGCTTCCTCTTCAAGATTATTCTTCCACCGCTGGCTTCTCTTCATAAGATTCCGAATCCTTCCTAATACTTGACCCTTTTCGAACCTTCTTATAGCTGCCTGCTGACACGAGCAGATGAGGAGGAGGGCAATGTCATGGCTAACAGCGCGCGCTTGGCCTCGCCCATGGACTTTGGAATCGCTGCGTCGTCCCTCCCCCCCATTCTTGCAATCCTCTGCTGCTCTACTGGCCACACAATCCTGGTCTCGTCTTCGAAATCCCACCAACCTCTGCCTCCCCTGCTGAATATCGCGGCCCTCTTCTTCCAGGAGGCCAGCCATCTCGTGTCGGACACTTCTTGAGTCACACCAAGGATATCTTGCGCCCTCCGGGGGGTAGAGAAGGGCACCATTGCATCAATGCGAGCTTGGTCCCACATGATATACCCCAGCTCGCGCAAGTGATGGTGATGAGGCTGATACACGAAGCCCGTGCTCAGCTCGTCGAGATGTTCCCGTTCCCAGGCATCACTTGGCCCCGAGTCGGGATCGTTGAAGAAGGGTCGCCTGATATACTCCTCCCGGTCCTCGGCCGAGAAAGCCGACAGTGGAGATGTACTTTCAACAGCCGACCTGGCCGTCAGTCTCAACGCTCTGTTGAGAAAATCAGGTCGGGCGAGAAAGTGGTCGGACGATAGCTGAGCGTATCGATCATCATACGACTCTGCAGTTGAGATAGCATGTATTTTAACCAAGCCTTGTGATAATACGCCCTGGAAGGAGATAGAGCTCAGGAACAGGGCGGGCTCGATTTTGAGGTTGCCCCATGTAATATCATGCGTGGCCACATCGTTGAAAGCTGCAAAATAGTCAGCATCTAGAACCTCCAAGAGAGGTCCCATCATCTTGCTTTAGCTGTTGCGAACTCGCCGCTGACTTACCTGGAGACGCAATTCTGAAGAGGAAATCCAGGATAGTGCCAAGTTGTTCATTCTCCCAGGGCGCGAAGCAGAGGCAGAATGCAGCTAGAGAGTCATGAGACACCAGCTGACTAGGAGATTTACGATAATAGAGATTGCAGAATATTTCAAAACGATAGAGCGCCCGCTTGATACGAGCAAGTTCGCTGGAAGTTGGAGCAGCTGGGTTGGAGGGACTGTCGTTGTTGGTCTCAACCCTGGCTAGACAGTCGTCTGCGAACCTCTGCGCTAGGCTCTCGACGCACCAATTCAGCTCTTCCAACTGTGCATATGCCCCGATGGTTGCAGATATTGGATGAACTGTGCGGCTGACAAGAAAGGTGGTGAGGAAGTCATCCGACGCTTCCGGAGAGTGGGGTGGCAGACAAGAAGAAGCAAAGGCGATGGTGACCTCTGGCAGCACGTCGTATCCCACTTGCTTAACTAGAATAGATGCTGTAATGGCTTCGGATGGTTTGAGCAAATAGGCAGAATGCAAGGCGCGGCAGGTCAGGGTGGCAGCCGCCAAAGAAGAGAAGCTGTCGAGCTCTGCGAGGATGAGCCTGCGAGGATGAGCCTGCGAAGCTCAATAGGCAGTGTATCAAAAGCCATCGCAGTCTATGGCACGAATCACGGAATGTCGCGGTCGTGGACGAGCCTCTTAAGAGTTCTATAACCGGCAGACAGACACAGATATCTGGAGAGTAGTGTGTTGTTGTAGCTTCAAAGTTGTTGCACAGGTGAGTTGAGCTGACTTCCCCGCACGTAGGACATCAAGTGGCTCGTGACTGGCACGAGCAAGGGTCGGCGGCCATTGGCTTCATCTGGCTCCTTTATTAAGTATATGGGATGCAACGCTATTCTAGTGGGAATTCCTTCATCATGCGATCTATTATTTCCCATCGCGTTCCAATCCATGATCACTCGTACCCTCGTAAAGCAATACCGCAGAAATGCCGAGAAAAAAAACATGATCACACCAATGATACATCGTTCCGACGCAGTGTCCAGTCTACCAGCAATTGAGGTCGCCGGATCAACTCCTCTTCGGAGTCCATCAAGTACTTCCAGTGAGTCCTAAATAAGTGGAAGAGCTCCTTCCATGTGTATATACGCCTATTCCTCTCCATGCTCGGCAAAAACCTACAGTGAAATACTGTTGTCATGGCCTTGACATGTGCAATCTCTTCTGGGGGCGGCGGGGGTCGGTCGCCGAAAGGGCCCCCCCTTCGTGTCTTCTTTCTGTCCCAAAACTCACTGAATTGGTCGTGATGTCGCTGGAACAACACTACATCAGCATAATGAAGAAGCCCAGAATGGTCTGGCTGAATATCCGCTTGCTGTTCTGCTACCATTCCTTTCAGATCCCAGTCGTATTTTGTATAGCGCCCAAGCTCGTTGATTGGAGTGCGGAGTCTTTGCTCAAGTTGTTGGCGATGCTTTAGCATAGGAATACGAAGCCAATCGAGCAAGGCCTCGGCCAAAGCTTCAACTCCATGTTCATCCATGAAACATCGGTTGCATAGAAGATCGTCAAGCCGTGTCATGACCGGGATATCCCAGGCCATACTCGTCCGATTGTACGCCTCGGATGCCACCACCCCGTTACCTTCATGGTACGGGTACCAATTGTGTTTCCTACTTCCAAACCTGAAATTGCGCATTTCCTGCCATCTGGTGCAGCAAGGGCATCTTATCATGTACGTCGTCCATCGCAATGCGGTGACATCCAACTTGGTCGGGCGTCGTGGGACTGGTAAGGATGAAGGTTGGCGAAGAAGAGGCGAAAGCACATCCGAGATGTCCGGGAACCATCGATCAAGACATGATTCGAAGTAGATCCAACGAGATTTTTGTATTGGCACATTCCGAGTGCCGCCTTTATAGGTACGAATTCCCGAGTTGTCGTCAACTGAGCGCTTGGGTCCGAGCTCTCCTGCACGAAACCGACACTCATTGCATTTACGCCGCCATCGCCTGTAGCCACAGTGGTCGCGCCCAGAAGACTTATTGCCCTGGCTGGACACATCGAACTCATTCTCTCCCTCCTCAATTTGCTTTGGTGACCCTGCACTTCGGTCTCGGATTTTCTCACGCAAGGAAGGGAGCCAAGAGGTCGTGAGTTTAGCAGCCGGGGAACCAAACGGTGGTTTTCGATACGCGCGTCCCAGAATGTAATGATTGTCGAAGTCTGTATGTGGGAGGAGGCTCACACAAGCTGTACATGCCCACCGATGAGCTTCCCAAACACTGAGCTCCCAAATCGGCTTGAAAGTTCCGTTTTTCGGTATGTGACACAGTGGTGTCATGCCTCCGAAGCGTTCGAAACATTCCACTTGCAACAGCCTTTCCGCCAATTCCCTTTTCCCCGGGTCGATAAGGCGACGGAAGTATCGGCAGCTTTGGCTAAGCGACACAAGGCCAACGGGGTCGAGGTTCGGGATGATCTTGTATTGAAGTTCGACGGCCAACGATTCCAACGCGCTTGGTAGTCGGTGTTCCTCTCTGCACCCCATCGTGAGCTCTGATGAATCCGTTAGCAAGCCATCTCAAGGCGATGGCGAAATATCTATGCACAGGTTTATTTACCTCCGTTTGTTGAGCCCTCCTGGGAGTTCATTTGGTGGCAGTATCAGGCAGCCTAACAGGTATTGCGGGCTCCCTTCCTCCACCTTGATGTTTTCTTTTCTTCCTGCGCTCTGCCGGCAGGGTGTTTGAATGGTGAAAGAGATGAAAGTGATGGTTGTGAGATGATGGAGGCCGCGTGTTTCTCCTCTGCTTCCTTGGTTTGTTTTGGAAGCGCACGGCAGGTTCCTTCCTTCCTCGAGGAGGAAGAGTGCCGTGATTTATCCGATTCACCTCCTCACCGGTGGCAGAAAGAGCCTTCCAACTCACTCTCTACCCTGGACTTTTGAGGGAATGAAGGGTACTGGATTTAGTAGGTACCTAGGTAAATATCTTTTGCTTCAAGGGGCGTTGGTTTACGCGAGGCTTCTAGCTTCCCGAAACAGTACTGCCATTCGCTCCTGCTGCTACCTAGGTTTAAATGCTGCTCATATCCTAGATGACGCTCTCTTGGTGAGATGATGTTCAGTTTCATTCTGAGAAATTCTAGAACTGGATTCGAAAATCATTATTTTGTGCTGTTTCTAAACGAAGCTGACACATGAGAACAGGGATTCTGGTAGCTGCACCTTCATATCCCGTACGATTCAGGAAAGGTTTGATATTCAAGCAAGCGGTGCCCCTCACCCACTGGAGTTCAAAGAGGTATCCGGTAGGATTTATGCCCATAATGAGGCTCTTCGATTTGGGAAGGCGAAGGCCTTGGTATGTCTGGATGTTCTGATGAATGATAATTTTGCTGCAACAATTGAAGTCAGAGTCCATCACTGCAATGAAGGATGCCAGAGAGTACTGTCTCGAATTAATCAGCCAACGAGTCTTTCAGCAACTAGCCCAAATATGAGCGAATCCCTTCTCCTTAAATGTCCAAATTTTACTGCGAAATTGCACACTCCACTGTATACGGCTACGCAGGCTATGAGGCGGCCTTGATGCGGTTGACTATATGGGAATACTCGCCATCCAGAACATCGACGACTCACTAGTTGATTAGAAGCACACCCATTGGAGCACAATCACCACTATGTCACTCGGAAACGGTTTCTAAATCTGGTATTGAGACTTCTTGTCTCCATCCATAAGCTGCCTGCGCGGCCGCTTCCTGGTATGCGGCCTCCCAAACTAGGAGGGCACCGTGTTTCTGACACACGGCCTTTAGAAACTCAAAGGAGAGCCTACCGAAGCTCATTAGTATGTTTGACGTCTAAATGGAGTTCGCATGCCATAGGCTCAGAGTGTTCGGTGACTCTCAGGCTGCTGAAAGGGAATCCCGTACAAATGTCTTGTGGAAAGAGATATTCTACACAAGACCGGCAAACTAGGGCCAAATGATACTGCCATCATCAAAATCAAGTCACAATAAATCCATATGGCTGATAATACTCGTCCTCTGTGTGGGTTCAATTTCCGGCCCGGCATGCGAGTCATGTAGCCTCCCTTTTGATTCCAATCTCAACTTCTTGCGACATCTCTTCTGTAATCTTGTCCTTATCAATGATCGATAAGACTCAGATAAAGGGTCTGCGCTATCATAGAGGTCCAGATATTCTATCTATTAGTCTTATCTAGTCGCCTTACTATCTCTTAGCTAGTAGCCGCCCTGACTCAGGTCTGGTGGTTTCGAGACTCTCGGTTGACTCATCTTTCAGGGTTGTGAATGGTACGATTTCAAAAAAAATTCTCAAGCGGCAATGCTACCCCTTCTATTTTCTAGAGAAGCGAACAACAGAGGCTATCATAACCAGCTTCGAGATGTTGTTCAGCTTAGTATCATACATGACCCTCGTCTGGATGAAGTTGCACTAATTTCGTCTTTGTTTCCTCTCAACATGAATTGGGTATCGATTCAAGGTCAATGTATCCAGCTACTTCCAATCAAGAGGTATGTTGAAGATGAGATTGCTCTCAACCAGCGTATCTAGCTAGCAACACTTGTGTAGAATCTCCTAAGTAGGAAGAGATTCAACAAAAATTGATACCAAGTCACGCTCACGTTTCACAAGTTCTGCAAGGCCATGACGGCCAATTGTAAATCGAGAATGGGATTTCTAGCTATTCTGAGTACCCATGGCGTTTCGCAAATCCAATTTTGTTAATATTGACTTGATCTCTGCGGACAATGACTCTTGAATCAATGCAAGACTTTTTCTCTCCTGTATTGACTTTCTTGCCACCTATCCAACTGCTTGGCTATTGACAAGATGGCGTTTATTGCAATAGCATATCGTAGGTCCACTGATCCTCAGGAACATCCTTATACTTGATAGCTGTCGGGTGCTTGGCTCTTGCAGGTAAGATCCTCCTGATGTAAAGATCACTGACTTTGACCTTTTCATACACCTTCTCCTCTCCTTCGCGTTGACAGCACTCCAGCACATCGACCTCTGCATCAACATCCATGGTGAGGAAGAAAGGGAGAGAATAACGCTCGAGGCCGGTCAAGTTTCGTACTCGGTGCACTGTAGCGGGGAAGAGCCCGTTGGTCTGTCGCTCCAAGAACTGGCCAACATTGCAGACGAGCGTCCCGGGAGTAGGCGGAGCCGGCACCCACTGTCCAGACTGGTTGAGCACCTCCAGTGCTGGAACGCTGTCTTGAAGCACGAGCGTGAGCCCTTGGAAAGACACAGTTAGTTATCTCCACGTAAGATTCAAAGAAGTATATTTGGAGGACTCACAGTCGAAGTCAGAGTGCGCTCCCAGGCCGACGTTGGTAACATCCTTGTTATCGTTGTCGACAGGTGTGGGTGGATAGTACAGCGGACGCATGCCAGTGATTGGAAATTTGAAGTACTGGTCCAGTCCGTCTTCTGGAATACCGAGCCCGAGGGCAAAAAGCTTTACCAACTTCATCGCGAGCGGAAGTACGTGATTATAGTATTGGTACAAGCCCTCGCGCCACCATGGCGCCTCAGATGGCCAGATGTTCTGGGGGCGCTTGAGGTGTGATGGCGGGGGTTGGCCGGTTCTACCAACGTAATCTTGTTCAGGCTCTAGCGGACAGTCTCCCATGGTGAAAGCCTGCTTGATATCTATCCATTCGCAAGATAGTGGTAAGTAAGAATGCTAGTCAAGAGCTTCAGGATGATAAGGACTTGTTGAGGTAGCTTGACTCACCTCCTCTAGTACGCGGGTCCAGTTTGGTCTCGCCCATAGGCTCATAACCTCTGATGGCTGGGTTCTTCTGTACATGAGCGTCCATCTTGATATCGCGCTCGAGAGCGAAGAATCGCTTCAGCAGTTTGAAGGCATCGTCAATGACGCTCTGGGGAATGCCGTGGTTGACAACGTAGAAGAAGCCAACTTCGTGGCAGGCCGTGTACATTTCCTTCGCAATGGCCTGGCGAATTTCAAGTGAGGGTGAATCGATATTCGTCAAGTCAATTGTCGGGATGGACGTAAAGGCCGTCTGGGTGCCGGTGATAGGCCTGTATGACGCCTTGGAGCCGGAGTGAAAGTAGACGAACTTGGACGGATCCTGGGGTGCGGGGTTACCACGTGTCGGCTACGGCCATAATCATTTCAAGTAGAGCTCACCTTGGTAGCATCGGGGAGGTTATGGTTGTCTAGTACGTCGGCCATCGTGGGCAGCGATGGTGGTATGCAAGATGGTGTTGAGGCTTGTGGGTTAGCGGTCCGTTGGTGTTTGACGTTGCTTTCTTTGGTGTCAACTGTGTGAAGCTAGAGGAGGAATTATCCTTGAATACGATGACTGTGATCGGAAGTTATTCCATTTCAAAGCACGAGGTGCGCTGTCGGACCGGACACCGGAGGCCGTGGAGTATCGGCTGGTCGTGCGACCCTCCCTTATCTAGCCGGTCCCAGCAGGGCGGAGACTCCTGATGGAGACTCTCCAAGGCCATGGTTCAACGCGGGGAAAACGAAATCAAATCTGATATGCCTGTCTGTATCAGTGGAGATGCTTATCCGAAAAGATACCAGAGATATGCCTATCTCCATGTCGGTTCCACCTGGGATCAATAAGTCGCCAGGCTAAATTACCAGTAGCCAGAATGGCGGTGGCAGGCATGGAAATAACACGATACCCCGTCGGTTATAGGCCAGTCGGCGTGTTGAGTTCGTGGGTACTTCTCTCTGCTATAATAGGCCGAGGGCCGCTGACCTGTCATAAAATCATCTCATACGACAAGGCTTGGTTTTCAATACGGGTTCTACACTCAAGTGTATTCATTGTCTTCGTCATGGCTAAGGCTTCAAGTTATTTGCGCCATATCTTCTCCTCGTCCTACAGTGACGAGGAGAAGCCGGGATTTTTTATCTGGCATCCGAAGGGGACCTCTTCCGCTGAGAAGAAGCTGCTCTTCAAGATTGACTTCTTCATTCTCACCTACGGATGTCTGGCTTATTTCACAAAATGGCTGGATCAGGTACGGAATCTTGCTCAATATGCAATGGCTTCTCATTACAGAGAACTTCACTAATCGCTTCTTGTTCATATAGAGCAACTTGTCAAATGCCTATGTCTCGGGCATGAAAGAAGATCTCAAAATGTTTGGCACAGAGTACAATCTGGCCATGACCTGCTTCTCTGTTGGACAAATCATTGGGCCTATTCCCGCTAATCTTCTCCTTACCTGGATTCCTCCAAGAATTCTGCTCCCTGGATTGGAATTCCTGTGGGCAATTCTCACCATTGGAACATATGCAGTCACTGATGTCCGACATGTAAGTCTACTTGAAGGTCCATTTGCAAGCAGATCCTTTACTAACACGGACCAGCTCTATCCCATCCGCTTCTTTGTTGGCTTCCTGGAGGGCAGTTGTTTCGTAGGTATCCAATATGTTCTCGGTTCCTGGTACAAGAGGACCGAGATTGGAAAACGGACAGCCATCTTTGCATGCGCCGCTTACGTCGGCACTATGATCAGCGGATATCTGCAGAGCGCCGTGCTCGCTGGTCTTAATGGGACAAATGGGTTGGCGGCCTGGCGCTGGGTGTTCATCATCGATGGCATCATCACCGTCATTGTGGCTGTTTATGGATACATCTTTTTCCCTGACACTCCGTACAACACGAAGGCCTTCTATCTCAGCGACGAGGACCGAAAGAGATGCATTGAAAGGTTGAAAGAGGACGGGAGAGAGGAAACCAACAAATTCACATGGGACTTGTTCAAGCGAACTCTCACCTCATGGCAGCTTTACGTTCTGACCGTTCTATGGATGTGAGTTCTTTCTGCTTCATGAAAAGAAAATAATCCTCTGAACCTGAAATCTAACGGTATCTTTTTTTCAACTTTAGGTTCTGGAACACAACTGTTGGCAAGGTCTCCAACACGGTCTTCCAATTGTTCTTGAAAGGCGACACCGAGCACAAGTGGAGCTTGTACGAGGTCAACAACATCCCCACGTGCATCAACGGCTTCAACATCGTCATGGTGCTGCTCCTGAACGTTTACGTGGATACTACCGGCAGGCGTATGGCAGCTGTAGCTCTGAACTTGGGCATCCTCCTCTTTGGCACCATCTGCCTGGTCATTTGGCAGATCCCTCTTGGATTACGGGTTACTTCGTACATGTTTGCCGGTCTCGACGGTCCGCTGAGTCCCATCTACTACTCGTGGGCCAACATTCTCTGCAGCGGTGACGCCCAAGTCCGAGCACTGACACTGGCCATCATGAACGCCTGCGGTGCGGCGTTGACAACGGTGATCCAGCAGTTCTTGTATCCAGTCACGGATGCACCCAAGTACGGCAAGGGATTCAAGGCCAGTCTTGGCTTTGTTATTGGAATGTGCGTGTGGGTGGTTGTCGTGCGCCTATTTGAAATGCGGGAGCTACGCAAGGACAAGGAGGTCTTGACCCCGACCGAGGGCATCGAGAGCGGCAGCGAGACCAACGTGGGAGTCATGGCGGACGAGAAGAGATAAGCATGGGGCCCCGTATCTGCCAAGCTGCGGGTACTGATATCCTTCTCATGACCCTGATAGCACCCAGATAGCACCAAGATAGTCCCAAGAGGAGGCCGGCCCGGGATCGGGGGAAGGCCCCCTCTCCTCTTATCATGCTCCACCACTTAGGTCTGTACTTAATTTGCCTAAAGTCTTGGCCCATAGCATGGTATAATAAATTGAAGCACCTAGTCCCCATACTAAGACCACTCTCACCCTGTAATATAGTGATCAGCCAACTGTTATCATCATGGCCTCGGAAACACTTGTGGCTCCCCCCCAGACCCTCCCCACGACCAACCTCCGTCTCTCCTCCGGAAATGGGCCAATCACACTCAAGATCCTCCCAACGCCCCTTCGGGATGCGTCACCATCCGAAATCCCCTTGATTGATATTGGGCCGCTGTTTAGCTCGGCTTTGGAAGACCGACAGGCCGTTGCGCGCCAGATCCATGCCGCCGCCACCCACAACGGCTTCTTCTACATCTCCAACCACAATGTCCCTTCTTCTGTTACAGACGAGGCCTACAAGACCTGTCTTGACTTTTTTCGGCAGGATGGGGAGATGAAGCTACGTGCAGACTCTAGCCAGAGTACTTACTTCAACGGATACAAGGGCCCCGGTAGCCAACGCATCAACCCCACTGAGGGCGTTGATGTCCGGGAGACCTTCTCATGGACGTACGACCCGAGATTTGATCCCGCTGTCGATGACCCAGCTGCCATCCCGGCACATGCGGCCAAGTACATCCGCTCCGAAGACTTTCCGTGGGAGGCTACAGCGAACATGCCACAGTTCAAGGCCTCTATCGTGCGCTACTTCGAAGCCTGTCTCTTGCTGGCTAGGGCACTGACTCGCGCGTTTGCCTTGTCTCTGGACCTCCCCGAGAATTACTTCGATGAAAAAGTTCGGTATCCAGACGCTGCTTTCGCCTTCAACTATTACCCTCCAATTGAGAATCCTGTCAAGGTCGGCCCTGAGCAGCAGGTGTCGATCGGGTCGCATACAGACTTTCAACTCTTCACCATCTTGTGGCAGGATACAGTTGGTGGCTTGCAGGTGTTGAATCGAGATGGCCAATGGCTTCGGGCCTCGCCCATCAGTGATACTTTCGTGGTAAATATCGGTGACTACCTGCAGCGCATCACCAACGATCGTTATGTTAGTACCGTGCATCGTGCACAGAACTGGAGTGGCCGCGAGCGTGTGAGCATGCCTTTCTTCTGGGGCTTTGGTCTTCATGAGAGTTGCGGAGTGGTTGAAAGCTGCATCGGGCCAGAGGGGAGTAAGTACGAGGAGATTGGGTGCGAGGAGTGGGTGCAAAGGCGGGTGAGAGACATGCTCACAGTGGAGGATGAAGTTACTAAGAAAGCCTAGGATGATGAAAGAATCATAGCAATAATCAACTTCGTTGATAGCTTTCAGTGAATAATGAATACTTCCAAAATTAAACTATACTTTTAAACGGAATTCTAACCTGTTCAAATAAAGTTTTATAGTCCGGATCATTTTGATGTACAAGGAAATGATCTAGGCCCATCTTATTAAAAACAAAAAAAACAAGAGATCATGATGGAGGCTTCAGACAGTAGATTGAATTTCGTAAGCTTCGATTTCCCGAAAGAAAAACGCACATTAGGTACGTTATTATCACGTCCCTACCATAGGGAAAGGGCTTGTATTGTAACGAGGCTATGGTAAGTCGATCTTTGCCTAGGTAGGTACCTGAAAGTAACAATAGGGTAACTTGGAAGAGAGCAAAGTGGTGTGGTAGGCAGAAGTAAGGGACGCACTGGGACTACGATATGCGGGCAACTTGAAATATTTCACCGGAGCAGGAGAAGCAGAATAAAGCATGAAAGGTTCTCTTCTTTTCATATCATTTGTCGTTACTCAATTGCCCTCTGTCATCAATCATCAACACCACCATGAACTCCCCAACCGCCACTCTCGACAAAAACTCCCCAGCAACAACTTTTCCTTTTTTCCCAATGTCCTTTTTCAGCGCAGTCCCTTATTTGGCGACTAGCACCGCCTTGAAATGAATCTTGCCGCTATCTAGCTTGTCCATTGCCTCTTTCATGCCCTCCGCGGTCAGTGGGAACGTCTCTACCACGGGCTTGATTCCGTGGAATGCGGCAAAGTCGAGCATCTCACGGTGAACGGCCCTGGTTGCGACAAGAGATCCCTTGACGGATATTCCATCGAGAATGAATGGCATATAAGGCATCTCCAGATTGGCAAATGAAACAGAGAGAGCGTAAATAATAGCCTTTGGCGCCAACATTGGCAGCAGGATCTCCCATTTGGGCAGTACGGATGTCGCGATGAGCAGGCGGTTGATTTTCCACTCATCGTCAAAATCCTCAGGCTTGTAGTCAGCCATGGAGATGAACTTGTGGGCGCCAAGCTTGAGGGCTTCCTCTCGCTTGCTGCTGGTTCCGGAGAGGACAACAACGCGGCATCCAAGCTTGTTGGCAAATTGGATGGAAAGGTGGCCAAGTCCCCCGACGCCCATGATCGCTACAGTGTCAGTGGGCTTGACTCCCTCGAGAGCCGTAAATGAAGTAGCTCCGCCGCACTGAAGGGGTGCTGCGTCCTCATCGGAGATGGAATCAGGGACGACGTGAAGAAACGCCTCGCTCCACACGGCGTGACTTCCAAAGCTGCCTTGATCAACGTTGTGAAAGCCATAGATGCATCGTTCACGGCAAAAGACTTCCTCTCCTTGAAGACAGAGAAGACAGTGGCCACAGCTACCAGTGACGAAGCCCCAAGCTACTCGAGTGCCCTTCTTCAAATACTTGACCTGTGGGCCAACATCTTCAACAATACCAACACCTTCATGGCCAAGGACAACATCGCGTTGTCTCTGAATTGATTATCAGCAAGGGAAGGGCATGGTCATTTACTGGGGAAGTTACTTACATGATGAAGATCAGTTCCGCAAATTCCGGAGGCGGTAATTTTCACCAGAACATTGTCGCCAACGAGCTCATCGGGCTTGGTGGTGGTGCTTTCCTTGGGATAGCCATCCTCGGAACCCTTGTAGACTTTGAAGGTAGGCATGTTGAAATGATTTTGGATGTTGCAATCTCTTCTTTGGCTTATTGAATCACAGCTTACCAAGTTCCATTTCATTTCCCCTTTTCTATCTGGCAACTGGTTCGGTATTTGTAGGCAAGCAAGCTTCCGTTCACCCATTCCCCATTGCCATACGACCGCCCGTCGGATGATAAACCATGTGTTGAAGTCGTAAAACCACACCATATCTGCATGACAAAAGGCCCAAATCCATGCCTGTGCTACAGTCCTGCCTCGGAACAATTCCCCCAGCCGAGCCATCGCTGACAGACAATTGATATTACCCACAGCCAACGGCCTGCCGTCGCAGCCAAATGCAACGTGCGCAAGGTCTGGGCCATGGTGATTGGCTTGATTGTTTAGAAGGATCTCAATCACCCCAGAATGAACACCGCCCCCTCCGTATTCGTGCACGTACCGAATCAATAAATTGTTGATATCAGAGCCGTCTGGTATTCATCCCTCCACCTTCAATATGGAGGGAGCCAGGGCTATCGGTAATCTAGCCGTAGCCGTTCTCGAATGGGTAGGTAGCTAATTAATGCATTGGAGACTGTCTTTCTTTCTTAGTCCAGGGGCGGACTCTTTTCATCGCCATGGCTGCCTTCAATGTTGGCCCTCCTCATACCATTTGATACATCACATCACCCTAGATAGAATTTGATCTGCCCAACGACCACCCAATAAACGTCGGGATCAACCTAACAATGCAGCTGTTTTGTTGGCGAATGACTAATCTCCAGAATGTCTCCCACAGGTAGGCTGACTTGCATGAAATGATGGTGGCTGTGGAAAAAAGCCACACAAGTTGCCTAACTGTGTGGCGAGGCAGCCGAATTTTCAATTTCTGATTCTCCATCATCGTTGATCTCGACTCTTCGGGCCCCCGTTGGCCCATCCCTCCCACCCTTCTCAATCGATCGCAAACAACTTCTTTTGGCCTTGCCTAGCGAGTCGACCAACAAGGACAACGAATGCACGCGTAGCCTAACCGCCATTGCTCAGCCGACATGGACATAAGGCTGCCCCTCGAAGATGGCAATCGAGCCCCCTCCCCCCTTGCGAAGCGGCAAAAGACGTCTCATTTCCCTATGAGAAATGTCCTGTCCCACGACCGTTATACTATTGCATGGATTTGCGCGCTTCCCATCGAGATGGCTGCGGCTCGGGCCATGCTAGATGAGACTCACGGCGACCTGCCACGATCCGGCAATGATACCAACTCCTACTGTCTTGGAAGCATCAAGAACCACAACGTCGTTATCGCATGTCTGCACCAGTATGGTACTGTCAACGCTGCAGATGTTGTGACAAACTTGACTCGCACCTTCTCATCCGTTCGCCGAGGGATGATGGTCGGGATTGGAGGGGGAGCGCCCAGTCAGGCAGATGTCCGCTTGGGTGATGTCGTCGTTGGGACATACACTATTCAATATGAGTCTGGAAAAGTGCTTTCGGGTGGTGCGGTGCAAAGAACTGCATTCCCCAAGTTTCCCGAACTCTCCCTCCGCAAAGCTGTTTCGAGCTTGCGAGCTGGACACGAACTACACCCCAGCCGGATTCCGCTTATTTTGCAGGAGAAGATGAAAGCCCATGTGCAATTCGGCCTCCCGAAGACGCCCGATCGTTTGTTTCAGACGGCATACAACCATGAGCCAGCAGCTGCGAGTTGTGACGACTGTGACAAGTCGCAGCTGAAGGAGCGGAGAACACGTGTATCTCTTGATCCAGTAATACACTATGGTGTCATCGCATCGGGGGACAAGGTTATGAAGGATGGCACGACTCGCGATGCAATTTCAAAAGAGCTGAATGCCATCTGTTTCGAGATGGAGGCGGCGGGGCTCATGGATATTCTCCCTTGTCTGTCCATTCGAGGGATCTGCGACTACTCCGACTCTCACAAGGCTAAGGAATGGCAAGGATACGCAGCTGCTACGGCCGCAGCATATGCAAGAGAGTTTTTGGAGGTCTTGGCTGCGGACAGTGAAGCAAAAGAGCCATCTATTGCTTCTACTTGTGGTAGGTTCAGTTGGTCGACCCCAGGAAAGACATCAGCTTATGAGATGACACAAGAACAACCTATTTCGACCGATCGTCGCAAAGAGCTGCTGGAATCACTCAATTTCCAACAGATTGATACCCGCAAGGCCACTCTTAAAAATGCCCACAAAAAAACCTGCCGGTGGTTTCTCGACCATCCGGAGTATCACGACTGGCTCGATCATGAGAAGATATTACACCATCATGGATTTCTATGGATTAGGGGCAAACCAGGAGCAGGAAAATCCATCATGATGAAGTTTCTTTATTTGCATATGAGGAAGAAAGATCGCCGCGGACGAGTCCTTACTGCATCCTTTTTTTTTGTTGCTCGAGGAGATCTGTTGGAGAGATCAGTTTCCGGCATGTATCGGTCCTTACTATTACAGCTCCTGGAGGGATTCCCTGACCTCCAAAGGCTTTTAGACGGCCCGGAGCTGATTCCCCGAAATGAGATGGGATGTCCTCCTTTGAATGTTCTCAAGGATCTATTCCGTACCGCAGTGTCTTCTGTTGCAGATCGATCTTTTACTTGCTTTATCGATGCACTAGATGAGTGTGACGAGCAGCAGGTCATGGATATGGTCGAATTCTTTGACGAACTGGCCGAACACTGCACAGAAAATGGGGTCAGGTTCCAAGTTTGTTTCTCAAGTCGGCACTACCCTTATATCGATATCAGATCGGGAATTCGCATGACATTGGAGAACCAAGAAGGCCACGCTAAGGACCTAGAAGCATACATAAAAAGTCAATTACGGATTAAGAACCCATCCCTTGTGGAAGAACTCATACCAATGTTACTCGAGAAAGCAGCCGGTGTTTTTCTTTGGGTTGCTCTTGTGGTGGATATTCTGAACGAAGAGAATAATCGTGGACGCTTGGCACTGCGGAAAAGGCTCTCAGAAGTGCCGAGCGGACTCAGCGAACTTTTTAAAGACATGTTAACAAGAAACCAAAGGGACATGGAGGAGCTACTTCTCTCTATCCTCTGGATTCTGTTCGCGCAGCGCCCACTGAGACCTACAGAGTATTATCACGCTCTGTGGTCCGGCTTATCGCCAAAGGGACTAGTAGATCCTGAAATGCCGACCATCGAAACGTCAGATGCCGATGACTGCTGTAAGCGGTGTGTTACAAGTTCTTCGAAGGGCCTAGCTGAAATCACAAAGGCAAAGCAGCCTACCGTACAGTTCATACACGAATCTGTGCGGGATTTCTTACTAAAGGATAAAGGTCTCAACGACTTGTGGCCAGACCTAGGATCAGACTTTGAGAGCCAAGGCCACGACAGGCTCAAGTCATGCTGCCATGCGTACTTTTATCATCAAACTCTCCGGGAGTATATCGATAGTCAAGGCTCCGCTGAATCGCCAATCATGCCGCAAAATATACTAAAGCGGTATCCCTTGCTGGAGTACGCCTCCCAGTCCGTTCTCTTCCATGCCAATGCTGCGGCGGATGCGGTTTCTCAAGAACGATTCCTCAATCATTTTCCCGTTTCAGACTGGAAATACACATTTAATATCTTTGAGAAACACAAGGTCCGGAAATATGATGAAGGGGTAGATATTCTATATATCCTTGCAGACAGAGATCTTCCGGCACTCATACAAACACGACTGAAAACGAATGTGAGCATTAAGATTCAAGGAGGGAGGTTTAGATCTCCACTTCTCGCTGCGATGGTACAGGGAAGCAAAGACAGCGTTGCAGCTCTATTAGGCTTGTCTTCAAGTTTCTGTGATGGAATCGATATTACAGAAGGCCTAAGGGCTGATATGGATTCAGTACGGAAACACCACACACCTTTCACTTGGGCATGTGGGAGGGGTTACCTTACCCTTGCTCGATTCATTTTCCGAAAGGGTGTTCATATGGAGAATGAGATTGAACAGAGCTCGAGGGGCCTGTTAGAAGCTTCAAAGAACGGTCATTTGGAAGTAGTGAAGTGGCTGGTCGGTCCAAGTGTTGACTTAAAGACTGACAGCTTCGAAGCGGCGCTCTCGTCGGCTGCTAAGGGAGGGCATACAGCTATGGTACAGCTATTGCTTGAGAAGGGAGCAGCTGTGGATGTGAAGGATAAATATGGCCAGACACCGCTTTCAAGTGCTGCTGGCAATGGGAATACAGATGCTGCACGGCTACTGCTCGAGAAGGGAGCAGCTGTGGATGTGAAGGATGAATTTGGCCGGACACCGCTTTCAAAGGCTGCTGGCAATGGGAATACAAATGCTGCACGGCTACTGCTCGAGAAGGGAGCAGCTGTGGATGTGAAGGATACAGCTGGCTGGACACCACTTTGGTGGGCTGCTGGCAATGGGAATACAGATGCTGCACAGCTACTACTTGAGAAAGGAGCAGCTGCGGATATAAAGGATAATGAGGGCCAGGCGCTACTTTCGAAGGTACGGCAAAGAATTGAGGAGGAAGCAGCTTTATATAAGGATAAACAGTTCATGTACTGGAGAGCGCGTTTGGCTCGGCTCGAGGATATCATGCAGCTACTCGTCGCATACGGCACTACTGATGAAAGTAGCACATCAGATGCCAAATAATTGATACATCTCCATGTCAAAGGTAGATGATAGATGCAAATTAAGCTTGTCTACTACGCATTAAGGTGACCAGCCCAAATTGAGCATCCCGCGGCACAACATCCGAACTGTGCTAACAAAACAAACAAACTTCCCCGCACCTCTTGAGTTTGGCCGACTCGTTTCGCCCGTTCCATAAACACTCATCTCATGATTTGAACAAGTGGAGGAAAGTCGGGAGAAACGGGGAAACAAACAGCGCATCTCACCATGTCTGACCCTCCTCCCACACGAAGCACGACCTACCTCCAACGCGCATACGCCCTCAGCGGAGATGCACAGGCCCAGCACTTCTATGACGAATGGGCCGACGCCTATGAGACGGACAACAACGGGCTAGGCTACGCCTCTCCCCGACGTGCCGTCGAGGCCATCATCAAGAACGTCACAGGAGATGCTCGTGATACTCAATTGAAGGTTCTTGATGCCGGTTGCGGGACCGGCCTCGTGGGCGCTTGCTTGGCCCAGTCCGCCCTTGCCGGCCAATTCGTCCTCGACGGTCTGGATCTGAGCCCCGGGATGCTGGCAGCTGCGCGCCAAAAGGGCGTGTACCGAGAATTAGAGGAGGCAAATCTCAATGAGAGGATCCGAAAACCAGATGGAAGTTATGACCTTGTGGTCTGCGTGGGGACACTGACCGTGGGACATGTTGGCCCAGATGTACTGCGCGAGTTCGCCAGGGTGGCTGCCCCCTCGGGGTTGATTGTGGCTACTGTGCACAGTGGCATATGGGAAAGCAAGGGCTACAAAGCCGAGATCGAAAAACTGAGAGATGCTGGGACAGTGCAAGTTGCGAGCACTGATGAATTTGGCCTTGTGGAGAAGGCGAGCACTGGAGGCATCATGGTCGTGTTGAGAAAGAACTAGCTTGGGTGTTTAGAATCAAATTAAATATCTATGTGTTCATTTTTTTTTAAACTAAGGCTTTGCCGAAGAAAATACAAAAGGCTATTGCGTTACAGGTCATTCATAAAAAACAAGGCATCTAACTTCGATGCTCTGACGCCCCTTGGCATCTTTGGGGGTGGCTGGATCCTCGAATGCCGTGTGCGGCGTTAGAGCAGCGAGTCCTTCCTTGCCTCCAGGCTGGCCTTGGCTTCTCGAGTCAAAACATTTGATAAACATGGCCTCGTCGGGGGTCATATCCTTCATGTAGTAGAATTTGTGCTTCTCATTTGGCTTAATAGCCCAGGTCTCGCCTAGGTCGGAAAATATGTGAGCCGTGCTATCTGCAAAGTCTTTCAGGTGCTTCATAGTTCACTGACCTCGTGCTTCATAGCCTTCTGTCGACTGGGCCTTTGTTGGGTCTGGTAGAACCTCCTTTCCTCTATCATCGTTGTCGGTAGGATCTTCTCGCCTGGGGTAGAGAAGGCCAACCTTGACCAAATCTTCGGGCGACGTGGTGCGCCAGTCTATCACGGCGAGCGGGAAGTCTGTCGCGGGGTTCTCAATTGGGCGCCAGACATTGATGATTTGATATCGTCCTTTGAGCAACTCCTCGGCATCTTCGGCGGGCAGGTGTCGCTTCACGCGCACCTCGGCTGCCCAGGGCGTCTGGTCTACATGCACCTGCTGAACAGGCTGCCGAGGCGATGACTTCTCCCGCCTTCTGATGGTATGGTCGAAGATGACGACTCTCTTTACCCCGGGAAGCTTGGCCCGCAGCAGCGCTTCGACCTCTGCATAGTAGCCTTCTCTGACCTTGGTCTCGTCTGTGAATGACTTCTCCTCCGCCGGGGCGTTGTAAACTGCGAATCCAGAGATGTCGGTGCCAAATTCCAGGTCAGAGGTACGGATGTCAGCAACTGATCGCCGCCGTTCGGTGCGTTGGAACGAGGTCACGTCAGTATCAACCTTGGACCATACTTGAGACCCGTCGCTGCGGATTGTCGCAGGGTCCAAGTAGCGGAAGAGGCCGGTAGTCATGGCTGCAACGAGATTTTAACGAGTGACCAGAGATTTATTGTAGGGTATCAATTGATGTGAGACGCGAATATGAATTGAATAGGGCTCTTCTGCGGGGAAGGGAGTGATGTTGTTTTATGCCGTCGTGGTGATTTATAAGCCGCAGCTTGTGACATTTTCAATGGGCAGTGATGATGCCACCAACAAATTAATAATCACGGTGCTACCGAGTATGAATAATCGAGCAATTTTTTCCCACGCCGCTATCCATCGATTTCAATGGAACAGCACTCTGCAATCGCATCTTCCAGATCGAGCGACCCCAGAAAAAGTCACGTTCATATGTGACTGGGGCTGGTGCAACGTCCGACCGCCGACAATCAGACAGCTTCCGTAAGCCGTCGCTCGCTTTACAATGAAATTTCCTTATCCAAACTTTATTATGACTTCATCGTGTGGATGTTCACGAAGCCCATGTAAAAGCGTCAGTCGTGAAGGGAATCGTGCTCTGCACCTCCGTTGGAGAACTACCCCATTCCTAATTACAACAGGAGCACATCCTGCTTGACATTAAGGAAACTTCACGGCTCGATAATCGCCGAAGTACAAGTTTCGGGGAAGTCGAATCGCACATAAGGGCCTGCCGAGTGGGATGTTTCCCCGGACACCCATCGGTTAGACTGAGTTGTATGCTTTCCCACAAACGCCCGATAGACACATCTCGGTGATCTATCACACCTCGTAAACCTTATTGATTTTATTAATTCCCGAGTTAAAACCTAATTATGGCAAGCTCTCATTCAGTCCCTGATTGAGCCGCAGAAAAGTTTGACCAAGGCCGCTTGAAGTCAGCCTAAAGCCAGCTGTGTATCATGGAAGTCATTCTCTTGCTACTTGTTAACTTATCCTTCTCCTAGAACAGGAAAGATTCAAGTGGCTTGTATAGTCGTATATCTATAATAGAATCCATCGCTAGGTGAAAGTGATATTGGCACTACCGTTTTGAATTGAGGAATGGATAGATGGCAAGGTAATATTCTCTGCGGGAGCTTAAATGATACCATTTTGTAAATGTATGGTATGATAGGCATTAACTACGGCTCTTCATCAAACACATTGGCGTTGATGAACCTCATGTAGCGAAACACGAAATTCACCAGCCTGGTGGCAGATGAACGAGCGACGACTGATCGTTATTGATTTTGCATGTATATCACAGACAGGCCAGGCATCGATACATCGGTGATAACATATCAAGATGATATCTATCAATTACGATGCACATGATGTTTCTTAGCAGGCAATGTCACAACATAGTTTCTAATTATGGCTACGTATCTCATTTGATATCATCAGAATGGGCCAATGGGGGGATAAGCGCTGCCTAAATCCCCCTTCCCGTAATAACATCCCACGCTCAATATGCATGTCTTTGTTTACAATTCTGTCCCTTATCAATGCCAACACTCATTGTAGAGTCGTAGCGCAGGCTTGGGCCATGAAATGCTGCCGCATACCTACATGTAGCCAGCAGGCAGCAACAGCATCAATGCACGTCTGAGTTGTTATAACGCCGACCCCCAAATCATAACAGACTTCATGGGGGTGCGATACCACCCAAACGCGTCAAAATTCACATCACGGAGCCAAAGATTGTCGAGATACCATCATACGTGTCAAATCGAGATGCCTCCCGAGCCAATATGCGAACGTCAGCCGCTTAGCGAGTGTACCCAGGGTGAGACAATATTGCACCGTTATGTGACTGACTCGCAGTGGCATTGGCGAACAAGTGCTCCACGATGTCGTCGGTGGTGATCGGCATGACACACCACTGGTAGTAATGCACCACCTATTGTATATTGACACGACGCGCTCCATCCCGCGGATCTGTTGATAGCGGCAGCTGTCGTAGAACACATGCGCTGGTTGCATGCACCTCATAGGCATTTCGTGCGTTGGGGAGGCCGGCGAGAACGTCGTGTCAGACATGCTCACGACACCGGTGCATACGGAACGCCGCCACAATGACACCTTGATGGGCTCGGGGGCCTCTAGTATACGGCCACGACAGTAGCTGAGACTGCGCGGCAACCTGCTATTGAATTACGACTAATAATTGATAGGTGGACGACGTATGACCGGACCCGTATGCGGCCCATGAAACGCCATCACTGGCCAAGGGCGACCGCGGCATTGGCGCTCGCTGGCCGCAGGATGGATGATGGATGGGTGGGTTGAGCAATGGCTGGCAAATCACCTCACAACCGACGCGGTGCGCGACAATGATGATGGCCAGTCAACGGCGGGCTGAGCTGGCCATGGCTAGAATGGTCGGTTCGATGCAATGCAGTCACTAACACCGGGGTTGCGCTCCATACAATCCCATGTCATGCCATACCATGCCATTGTCGTACTGCGTGCTCTGCCTCACTTCCCCCAACGCGAGCCAAGCGCCGAGAGCTTCTGCACACTATTCCCAATCGATGGACCGAGGGCGGCTGGCGCTGTTGGGAAAATGTTCCATTCGTCAAAGCATACGTAGTAAAAAACTCTGGGGGATCGTATGACCCCTTAGATCCTCCTCCAGCCGGTATATCGCTCGACGACAGCTCGGGGGCGGTGAAGAGGTTGGTGCTCACGCGGGCAGCAAGGATCCAACCAGGGGACATGACGAACCGTCCCCCACCTACGCTTTTGGGGGCGCCGGTCGAGATGAGACAAGGATCCGGGGAGGGGCTTGCCTGTAGTAGGTAGGGGGGAGCTCGTTCACGCAGCAGGGATGGCAGTCGTCTGTTTGCATTGAGCTTGCGCGCTAGCTCGCTGCTAACCCAACGGAACGGAGGTCATACCACCCAGAGACGAATGAGGCCATTCAGTTTGATATTTCGAAAGCTGTTGAGAGAGGGGTAGCGAAGGAGCAGATCCCAAGTGATGATGCGTGGTTAAATAGATGGCAATGCCTCGGGATGCTGGGGAGGCTGTTCTCCTCTCTCCCCTTTCTCTTCACCCGCCCAATTCCAGAATAAAAAAAGCTGAGGAATCATCATTATGTCCGCAGTCCCCAATTCCGTTCCAGAGAACAACACCACCCTTGCCGCCGCCGACTCCTCCAAGGACCAGGCCCCCGCAACCATCACCGACACCCCGCCTTTGGCGGAGACTCCTGCTCCCACCGAGGCCGCGCCCGTCAGCGAGGCCCCGGTGGAGTCTGCGGTCGTCGACGAGGCTCCGGCAACAACAGCTGCTGCTGCTGCTGCCGACGAGAAGGTCGAGGAGGTGTCCAAGGTCGAGCCCGCACCGGCCCCCGAGGTCGCTGAGCAGCCTGTTCCTGCCGTCGAGACTGCCAAAGCAGAGGAGACGCCCGAGGTAGAATCCGCCAAAGCCGAAGAGACCAAGGCAGATGCTACCCCGACCGCAGACGAGTCCGTCAAGGAGGAGGTGAGCAAGGTAGAGGAGACCCCTAAGGCAGAGGAGGCTCCCAAGCCAGAGGTCTCTGCCCAGGTGGAGGAGACCAAAGCAGAGGAGGCCCCCAAGCCCGAAGAAACTGCCAAGGTAGAGGAGACTCCAAAGGTGGAAGCGACAGAGGAATCTTCCAAGCCTGAGGAGACTCCCAAGGTCGAAGAAACTCCAGCGGCAGAGGAGACTGCCAAGGTGGAAGCGGCAGAGGAGACTCCCAAAGTAGAGGAGACTCCCAAGGTAGAGGAGACTCCCAAGGTCGAAGAGACTCCAGCGACAGAGGAAGCTCCCAAGCCTGAGGAGGCGCCCAAGGTCGAGGAGGCTCCTAAGGTAGAAGCAACACAGGAGACTCCAGCAGCACAGGAGACTCCAGCAGCAGAGGAGGCTCCAGCGATAGAGGAGACTCCCAAGCCCGAGGAGACTCCCAAGGTAGAAGCGACAGAGGAGACTCCAAAGGTGGAAGCGACGGAGGAATCTCCCAAGATCGAGGAGACCAAGCCAGAAGAGGCTCCAAAGGTGGAGGCGACAGAGGAAGCCCCCAAGCCTGAGGAGACTCCTAAGGCGGAAGCTGCAGAGGAGACTCTAGCGACAGAGGAGACTGCCAAGGTAGAAGCAACACAGGAGACTCCAGCAGCAGAGGAGACTCCAGCAGCAGAGGAGACTCCAGCAGCAGAGGAGACCCCAGCAGCAGAGGAGGCTCCAGCGACAGAGGAGACTCCCAAGCCCGAGGAGACTCCAAAGGTCGAGGAGACTCCAAAGGTCGAGGAGACTCCAGCGGCAGAGGAGACCCCAGCAGCAGAGGAGGCTCCAGCGACAGAGGAGACTCCCAAGCCCGAGGAGACTCCAAAGGTCGAGGAGACTCCAAAGGTCGAGGAGACTCCAGCGGCAGAGGAGGCTCCAAAGGAGGAGGCCAAGACAGAGGAGGCTCCTCAGGTTGCAGAGACTGTAAAGGCCGAGCCTGCATCAGCGGCCGAGGTCGATGAGAAGCCTACTCCCGTCACTGAGGAGACTGTCAAGGCAGAGGAGACAAAAGAGGAAGCGACTCCCAAGGATGAGGAGACTCTTCAAGCTGAAGCAGCCCCTGCATCAGAGGAGACACCGATCGTTGAGGAGACTGTAAAAGCAGAGGAGGCACCAGTCGTTGAGGAGACTGTGAAAGCTGAAGACGCACCCAAGCCTGAAGAAGCTTCCAAGGTTGAAGAGACCAAGGAAGAAGATACCCCCAAGGCTGAGGAGATTGCGAAGCCTGAAGAAGCTCCAGTGGCCCAGGAGGTCGCACAGAGCGAGGAGGCTGAGGCCCCGAAGGCCGAGGTGCCAGAGGTGGCCAAGGAAGAAGTGACCCCAGCACCAGAATCCAGCGCCGTTCCTGTGAAGGAAGAAGCTGCGGAAGAGGTCAAGGAGGAGATCAAGACTGATGAGGTTGCCAAAGAAGAACCCAAAGTCGAAGCATCTACCGCTGCTGTCGATGAAGTGCCTGTTCCTGAGAAGAGCAGCGAAGAGGAGGTCAAGCCTGCTCCCGAGGCGGCAGAGGCTGAAAAGCCAGTCGCCACCGAGACTCCAGATGAGACACCGGCCGTTGGAGTGACTGCCGAGCAACCAGCTGCTGAAGTTCCAGAGGTAGCAGCACCTGAGAAGGAGGCTGTTCCAGAAGCAGAGGAAACTCCAGCCGAGACTCCAGCCCCTGAAGCTCCTGCAGCTGAGGAGACGGCCACCGAGAAGGTCGAGCCTACACCTGAAGTGAGCGAAAAGAAGGAGGAGGCAGCACCCGAGCCCGAGCCGGTGGCTACAGAGGAGGTCAAGGCTTCAGAAGAGACTGCAAGTGAAGCCAAACCAGCACAGACAGAGTCGGCTGCTGTGGAGACACAAGAAATTCCTGAAACGAAAGAAGTTGCTGTCGAACAGGTTGTGGTAGCAGAGGCCCCGAAGGCTGAGGAGGAGGTCAGGCCTGAGGAGGATTCAAAACCTGAAGAGACTTCTGATAAAAAGGAAGAGCCCAAGCTGGAAGAGGTGTCTCAACCTGAGGAGGCCCCCAAGGTTGAAGCTTCGGAGGCTCCCGCAGCAGAGGAGGTGCCGAAGGCTGAAGAGAAGGTGGATGACACAACAGTACAGGCTGCAGCGCAGCCAGAGGTTCAGGATGAAGTAAAACCTGAAGAGACATCCAAACCTGAGGAGACCACAGCAGAGGAGACACCCAAGCCTGCGGAAGAGGTCAAGCCCGCAGAGGTCAAGGCTGAGGAGAAGCTGGATGACACAACAGTACAGGCTGAAGCGCAGCCAGAGGTTCAGGATGAGGTAAAACCTGAAGAGACATCCAAGCCCGCTGAGGAGGATAAGCCTGCAGAGGAGACCAAGCCTGCAGATGAGACCAAGCCTGCAGAGGAGACCAAGCCTGCAGAGGAGACCAAGCCTGCAGAGGAGGCCAAGGTTGAGGTCAAGTCGGACGACGCCGCCAAGGTCGAGGAGGACACCAAGCCTGAGGAAACATCCAAACCTGAGGAAGTCAAGCCTGAAGAAGAGTCCAAGCCTGAAGAAGTCGTCAAGGCGGAAGACTCCAAGGCGGAAGTCGCCGCAGAGGATGAGAAACCTGAAGAGGTTGGCAAGGTTGAGGAGGACTCCAAGCCTGAGAAGGCCACCAAGGTAGAGGATACTTCCAAGCCCGATGAACCACCCGTTGTGGCAGAGACCATCCAGACAGAAGCTCACCAACCTGAAAAAGTTACAGAGACTGTCGAGGTTCCTAAGCCCGTGGAAGTAACCGGCACGGTGGAGGTGCCGGCCCCGGAGCCTTCCGTCGCTGCAGCGCCAGTTGTTGACGAAAAGGTGGAAGTGGCAGAGGACACTGCCAAGGAGGTGGAAAAGACTGTCAACGGGGTTGAAGCTGCTGCTGAAGCTCCAACCCCTGCTACAGAAGCCCCTGTCATTGAAGTCCCCGCTGCGGAAGAAACAGCACCCCAGGTGGAAAGTGTAATTGCGGTGGAAGAAACAGTCGTTGTACCGGTGAAAGAGGTCGACTCCAAGGAACAAATTGTTGTAGGTGGGATTGAGCACAAAGCACCAGTTGTCGCAGTGGCGGATGTCTCAGAAGATGCGGCTGCCTCTTAAACGGCGCCATCCTACATATATTGTATGGCATGGACCATGTATTATTGCGTTTCTTATTTTCAGCTCTCAAAAATGGTGTGTACGGAAACACTTTTTGCTCACCTGTTCAATTTGCAACGTTTGATTCGTAGGTGATTTCAGACATTGATCATGCTTTTCACGTGAACAAGCCAGAAAGCGATGTTTAAATTTACATGCAGGCTAACATCCAACTCATCTCTACAAAAAGGTCATTAATATTCCTCGGCCACGTGGATAATGGGTGGAAAACTGCCAACATTCCAAACATAGGTATGATGGACTCTTCAATCTTACCCACTGTAGAAGTTCTGGGCATAATAGATGTTCCTGTTGTGAATTGTGCGTTTTTCTCCCGAGCCGCTTGCCGCCATAGTCAGAAAAGTATCTAAACAACTTTAACTAAGGGTAAAAAGCCTGCACTATGTGGCTCTCATAATTCTTTGGATAATAGCTTAAGCCGAACTTTCAGTCAGACTTAATTGCATCATATATTGCTTTTTAGCTGGGCAAATGTGGGAAAGCAAAAACCTCTCGAAAGTAAGAAAGTACGTATGCCGACAAATGTAGAAATCTAGGATTTTGTGGCTGAAGTAGCACGAGATAACGTCAGTCTTGAAAAGAGTTATCTCATGATTTAACAGTTCATCATTACACAAATTGCAAAAAGTTTACGCGTAGAAGTCTAAGCATTTGGCAAACTAAAAATTATTTTCTAACAATTATCGGATAATGTGTTCTCATTCCAACTATGTTCGCCAACCCTGTCGCCCGATAACAATTACGGAAAATGATCTAGAAGCAATTGGAACTACAGTAAACATTCATACATCCATCCATTAGTATTCGTAGCAATATATTTGTAGACAGTGACTTCATCTTCCTCCCTCTTTTCATGGGTTACTGTTGCTAATCGCCGGCTCGAGCTCTCATTTTGATCGTCGGCACATCCACGTCATACACGCCCCAGAAAAATGACCCATGTGAAATCAATTGTAGATTTCCAGCCGACGCAAGTGATAATTCTTGGGGGCGTGATGGAAGAAACGTGGAGGCAGAGGTTATGAGCCTTTACAGAGCAGCAACTTGGCCCTTGGAAATCGACAGAAAGATATAGTCGCCAGAGACATAGTCGATAAAGATAGGCCACCTCCCCGCAGGAAAAACCACCAAGCTCAGTGGAGAAGGTCGGAATTTCATTCCCGATCTAGGAAGTTAGAACCAGACTTGAACTGTGCGGGATATAATAAGATCATCACCCACGGATTCGTAATCCGGCGGGGAAAGCCATCCGATGTTTTGAATCGTATTTCATTTAAAGGCTATTCTGTATACCGGATCACAACTCTTATCTTTCAAAGCAGGCATTCAAGCTCCAAAGCTAGATATCCCAGCAACTAACTTAGGTCCAAACGTTCATTCTTTGTTACGAATTCGCGCATTGCTAGTCGTTTTCTGCTCATCTCTCATCGCGCTTTCATCATGTCGAGCGACAATCAAGATCGAGCCATGCAAAGAAAGCTGAACGTCGGAGTTGTTGGAATTGGCAGGATGGGCCAGAAGCATGCGTTGAACATCCTGCATTCAGTGCCACGAGCCACACTACTCTGCGCCTGCTCGCCAGCCGAAGCTGATCTCAGGTGGGGAAACGAGTACCTGAAGCCTTATAATGTCCGTGTGGTTGCTACCTTCGAGGAACTCATCGACACGCCTGGTTTGGATGCAGTCATTGTTGCTTCTAGCACTGAATTGCACGCCAGGCACACAACAGCGGCCCTTGACCGAAACATCCACGTGCTCTGTGAAAAGCCAGTGTGCAAAACCGTCGAAGAGGTAGGTAACTCGAGAACCTACTCCTAGAGCTCTACTTATAAGTTTCGAATAGCTCGTCCAACTAGTCAAAAGAACCGAGACCAACCCCCGAGCTAAGTTAATGGTTGGTTTTGTACGTCGCTTTGACCAGAACTATCAAGACGCACTTGAAAAAATCAAGGCCGGTGCAATCGGTCGTCCTATTATCATTAGATCTCAAGGCTGCGAAAAGTTAGACACAAGCCTGTTCTACCAACAATATTTAGAAGCTTCTGGTGGCATTTTCGTTGACAGCATCATTCACGATATTGACCTTGCGCTTCTCTTTTTCGGAGAAGACTCTACGCCCAAGTCCGTCTCCGCAGCAGGAGTCGCGGCAGTCCACACCAAAAGAGCGGAGGAGGGAGACGCCGACAACGCTGTCGGGATTTGCGAGTTCTGGGACGGCAAGATCGCCTATTTCTACAACTCTAGAACGGCAGCGCACGGCTATGATAATGCCACTGAGATTTTTGGGACAGCCGGGAAAATATCCATCAATATGGTCCCGAGAAAGAACGCCCTCGAGCTCTGTGATGGGGACGGCTTTGTCAAGGTCCAGCCCACACCTGGCTGGTACGATCGTTATGCACCGGCATTTGTAGAAGAGGCCAAGGCCTGGGTGGATGCGCTCCTAGACGAAAAGCCCATGCCGATACCTCTGGGGTCATCCTTGCGATCTCTTGAAATTGCCACTGCATTGCAGGAGAGCCTTAGAACCGGGAACAAGATCTTTTTCACGAGGGAGGGGGGCATTAGACGGGAGACAGCATCACTCTAGAGAATGGAAGAATTCAGCATCTCGCCTCAGTATTATAGTACTACTAACGAATTTCAACGATCAACAGATCAAAAAGTTTCCCTTAGATCTTGAATTTGCTTTCTACCATTCATAGTTTGTTAGATGAGTAGATGGATATGACATGAACTCAGTGATAAGAATTGCCAGAGAACCTAGATCCAATGACGTCGATACTTATAGGCCGCGCCATTCTCCTGCAAAATGAAACGCCCAGGCTTAGAATGCATGCTATCTCGAGATACTGGAAATCGTGGGGCGCTTTTGAAATGCGGCACGAATAAGCGAAGTACATCCGAAGCTGCGAAGAGAAGGCATCAACACAAAGTAATGAGATCAACATAGAGAAGGGGCCGATGAAAGGAGCTGTGTAATATCATACTATCGATGAGATTACTTGGATGTGGGAGAGCCATACTCTGGTAGGCTTACTGGTGCTCTGTATTTTTCTACTCGGATGCATCATTATCCAAGATCTGCAGGCTAAAATAACGTCGCGGTGGGGAAGGGGCCAGTTCTACTCAAGGGCCATATGCCTGCATTGGAGACGATGAGTATCAAGTAACTAGATGCGGTGGCCAGAGCTCTTGAAGTGAAGGTGCAGGAGGAAGAGTTAAGCCCCATCCCGGAATAAGCTGTCTGGTAAGCTGAGCCGCAGCATGCATGAGGCTATAAGAGCTGACCTGCATACATGATTAGCAACATAAAGAAAACCGGGGACTTGTTCTTTCCATCCTATTTTGAGAGGCCGCATCAGAATTTCTTACTTCCTCCTCCTATCCACAACCAGCTTTTGTACTCATACTTCATCTCATGAACGAGATGGCAGCTGATGCAGGGAAGCTATGCAGCACATGTCGCTCACAAAACGACATGCCATACGGCAACTTTGACTCCTTGGCGTCACAAGAACTACCCCGCTCTCATAGGATTGTGCTCGTTTTGGGCCCTCTTGGTGAGCTCCTTTCGCGCCGGCAGGAGTGCTCGTTTTGCGGCCTTGTTGTCTCGGCTATATCTCAGGCTTGGAAGCAGCATTCGCCGACACCCGTCATTCAAGGCACGCCGGTGAAATGCACAATGTACAATCGCGTGGTGGGTGTAGTGAGAGATGATGAGTCGGGGATTGAGTACCATGAGAACTTCGAGCGCAACAAATATCAGTACAGCAACTGTCGAATTGTCATCGAGTGCAAGCCATCACCACCTGGCTGTCCTTCCCAGGTTGAAATACAAGCGGTGGATACGGGCGCTGCCATTAAAGGTCTCTTCGATGATGCTGGTCTGTTCACGAAGAGGCCACAAGAGTGCATGGACAAGGTTAATTTTGCGCTTCTCAAGACGTGGCTTTCGCACTGCGAGACTTCCCATGCTGCACGCTGCTCTCCGGATGCCATTCCACATGCGAACCCCGATAAATATTTGAAGTACTTTCGGTGCATTGATGTTACAAAAAAGAAAGTCGTTGATTCGGCAGACGATCGATATGTCGCTCTCTCCTACGTCTGGGGTACAGCTCCCTTTCTTCGACTTCTCCAGAGTAACCGATCCGAATTGTATAAGGATGGTGCACTTGATGCGAGAAACAATGACGTGCCAAAGACTGTGCAAGATGCCATGCGTGTGGCTGGCCAACTTGGGCTGCGATATCTTTGGGTCGATGCTCTCTGCATCGTGCAGGACGACCTAAATGAGAAAGCAGAAGTCATCGGTGCCATGGATCTTATTTACAGTCGTGCCACACTCACCATCGTCGCAGCCTCCGGTTCCAATGCTAACTCGGGCCTGCCAGGTCTCGACTCAGGTAGTCGAGATCTCGGACCGTATCACTTCAAAAATCGCTTTCCTGAATCCGTGTATGAATTCTCCGTTGCGAGATCGAGGCCATCGGATTTACTTGGATCATCAACTTGGAGCACACGCGGATGGACATATCAAGAGAGACTCTGCTCTCATCGACTGCTCATCTTTACGGAGCAGCAGGTCCTGTATTTGTGTGGCGTATCTTCCTGGTGTGAGGATACTGTACTAGAGACAAATGATCCGCGCGTCAACTATGAAGAGCAGCCATTGTACGGCCTTAACCTACCAAATGACGAGACACTGTCGTTCATGCGTGAGGTAGAGAAAGCTCAGAGCGTCACACCATTTCAAGAATACGTCAAGATGGTGAATGAATACTCGAAGCGGGACCTGACTTATCCTGGAGACATCATAGACGCGTTTGCAGGAGGCTTGGCGAGGTTCCAGAGGAATTGCGAAGCCAAGAACATCCAGCTAAACTTTATATTCGGCCTCCCAACGACATGGTTTGAGCTTTCTTTGCTCTGGCGGCATGTTGATGGGTCTCACGCCGAACGTCGAAGCCAGAAGTGGCGGCATCCATCTGGTGTCGAGATTGCATTCCCTTCATGGTCGTGGATGGGCTGGATTGGTGGTGTTGATATACGCGCAATTGAACAGGTGTTACGTGTCGAGATTGATTGGCACTATATTGAGCCTGGAACAGGAGCGCTTTTGCGAGTGGCCAGTACCCCAAGCACTCAGCCGCCGCCCTTCTGGGTTCAGACTTCAGATGCTCCCCGAGTACTTGGAGAAAAGTGGAAGCCTAAGGGAGCTCACTCTGCCATTGAACCAGCAGACCTCGATCCTTATCGCTCAGTGGATCTGGCTGGAAAGCTGGCATGCTATACCAGTAGTTGTTTCTTGCCTCTTGCAAAGCACAAGTACCGCCGTGAGTTTCATGTCGGGAAAGAGTCTCATGTGCTAGATTTGGATCCTGAATGGGCGGAGCAGCGAGTCGGAGAATCTTTTGAGTTTATTGTTTTCGGGAGGCATATGGGAAATGACTGGGAGGATCCCGGTAAGAGGGATACGCTCTACGTTATGCTCATTGAACGACGAGACTTGGTTGCGTATCGGATCGGAGTTGGGCAAGTAGCAGAGTCCGAGTGGGTTGATGCGAATCCGACATGGCAACTCGTAGTTTTAGGTTAGCATGGAAGCTCGCACTACTGAATGAACGAAGTAGAGAATTCAGAGAGTAGGTTCGTCGAGGATTATGCAATATTCCAGGTTTCAATATCGGCTAGATCCTAAGGACTAGGTGCTTACATCACGGCTTCGGCTATTGACAGATCCCACGGTGGACCGCCAAGTAGCATCTTTGATTGTCTAGGCTGACAGAAGCTTTAGTCAAAATTAGGATCCAGTCAGAGCACCTCTCAACCGTCCGAGGGCTTCCAGCCGGCAGTGAGAAAATGCAACCGTAAAGCAATTGCCACAGCTCGCTTTGTAATAAATTATGGTGATGCCGAGCTCCTGATCCTGATTAAACTTGTAGGTACCATGCATCATTCAATATTTTAGGCCCTTTTATGCGCCAGTGATTTAAACATGTGCTTTATGTGATGTCCAAGTGGCCAGACCGTACTACTGATTGGCAGAGTGCGGTTCTCTCTCAGAAATACAATGAATCGATAACATATTCTATCTAACTTACAGTCGACAGCATAGAATCATCTACACTTCCTTAGTTGATCAAACAGAAAGCCAAGCGCTGGGTTGAGCTGAAGACCAAGACCCCACACTTCCCCCCTGCATCCGACACCAGCATTACCGAGTGTTTCAACATGATCAGCCCAGGGTTTCAGACAGCTCGTAATAAGCAAGACTAAGATTCTCGGATTGGCCAAATCCATGTCCTGTCGAAATCATCTGATATCTATGCATAGTCTAGATGGAGCGTAGCGGATTTCTCAATGGCATATAGCTAGGAAGTGTTCCCCCTTCCCACATTGATCGTCATCACGCATTCTCTCACTTTCCTTGAGCCTAGAGCCCTTTTCCTACACTCTTTTTCCAACACATTCATTCATTCATTGTAGTTGATCTACATCGTCACTCTCTGCCTTCCAAAATGGTTCAATCATTTGCCCAGAGGCTGTTGACAGCCGCCGCATTCGCCCTTCCATTGGCATCCGCGCATCTTGCCGCCTACACCGATGGAATGTACTGTCCCGAGGTGCGTCTATTGCTTCGTATGACCACTATGGTCTAAATCGCTGCTAACGGCCCGTTTAAAGAACTCCTACAAGGGCTCATTGACCAACTTCACCGACGAGAATCGGGTTGTTTTCGATCCTCTTTACAACCTTGAATTCGATAGCTGGTATATCTGCAGCCCTATGATCTTTTTCAAAGACGACTTGCAATCCAGGATTGCGGATCGGACTTCCAACTTTGGGGCTATTTCTAACATAACAATTGTCTAGGTTTCTATCCAAAGGCCGCAACTGTCATCTGGCCGAACCTAAGGGAGTCTGGGAGATTCAGGCCAACTCCCAAATCACCATTCCCTGGGCCAACTGGCAGGACTCTACAGGTTTCTACGCCGACGGAAAAGAGGAGAACGAGCGCCCCATCCCCTACTCGACCAGCAATCCCGAAGTCATCGCTCAGGGTCTCATGAGCTCGTCAAAGGGCCTGAACTCGCCCAACCTGCACGCCGCGAATAAGTCCACTGCAGCTGGAACTGCCATTGCCGTCGCCTACGTCGACAACATCTGGGCCGTCACGATGGACAACCTCGTCGTTGTCTCCATCGCCTCCGAGACTCCCTTTGAGCGCCTCGCCAACTATGAGATTCCCGATCTCGCTGCTTGCGAGTCTTGCATCTGTGTGACTGGGTTTGTTTCCCATCCAGCCCGCCGAGGCATTCCCGAATGGCATAGTCTAATATGAGTTGATAGATGGGTCCCCGATGGATACGGCCAGCAGAACATGTACATGGCCGCCCACAAATGCCGCATCGTCAACGCCAAAGGCGGCAAGACCCCCAAGATTCCCAGCAAGGTCCCCGGTGCTGGCGTCACCGGCGCTAAGCAGATGATTGCTGCCTTCCAGAAGTCCGGAAACAATGTCGAGTACAAGCAGGGAGACAAAGTTCCCACTTACTCCACTCGCATGGGTTACCTGAAGGGTACGTAGGAACTCTGTGATGTGTACCAGCGCTTATAGATGATTCCGCAATGGCTAACCAAAACCTCACTTCTACAGATGCCCAGACAGATATCTTCGGTGATGACGCGACCAATGATAGCCCTTCCTCCTCCATATCCTCGCCTTCATCCTCTTCCTCGACAGTCATCGCCCCTGCCAGCACCTTTAGCACCCAGACCCGTCTTTCAACATCAGCTACCTCCACCGCCGCTGCTCCCACAGCTACCCAAACCAGCGTCGGCTGCTCCGGTTCCAAGCGCCGCCCTTCTGTGAAGAGCCGCCGTAACTTGCAGCGCATTGCCATTCGACGCAGGGAAGAATAAATGGAGGAACAATGAACACGATCTTGAAGAGGTTCATAGCAAGAAGCATTGCTGGTGGGTCTAGAGGCCATATGGCAATAAGTGGTGGGAGACGAGTTCCTGTATTCCACCTTGAGATGATAGCTTGGCGTATTTACTTTCTAGTTTTCAGTCATTGTTTACCTTGTTCTCTGGTCTTGACTCCTCTTGCTCAATAAGTTCTCGCCGCTCAACACGACTTGAAACTCTCTTCTCTCCACTCACTTGCACTCACTTGTATGGAGATGGTCTACGGTCGTACAACGAAAAATGAAGGGATCTTAACCATAACCCACCATCTTCCTGGGAGATAGACATGCAGAGACGACCCAACAACGCAAAATCCAGCAAACCATCTGTAAGATAGATTCAGACGGCCCAGCAAAAAACAAAAACATACAACAGCCGGTATTCGCTGGTCGTCACCGACCCAACTACTAATCGGCCCCTCATCCGTTTAACTAGGCGAGAGCGGACGGGATCGCGTGCTTTCGAATGGGTATGGTCGTATGTGGCAGGTGAAGCTATCGTGAAGGCTAAATACCCTACATGACTCCACCACCAAATAACAAAAAAAAACATACAACAGCGGGTATTCGCTGGTCGTCACCGACCCAACTACTAATCCACCCCTCAGAAGCTTATCTATGGGAGAGCGGACGGGATCCCGAGCTCTCTTCTGGGTATGGTCGTATGTGGAAGACTGCCGTGTTGTTGGAGTCTAGGTAAGGGATGTTCACGAGCCTTGGCCAAGGGCCGTCTTTCTAGGTGTAGGATTTCTGCTTGTGTATACAAAGGAGCCTAACACCAGAGAGTCTCGGGTTGCATTCACTATCACTTACTTCTATCAGATAGACTTTTATGAGATAGCCAATAGGCATGAAAGTATAACCCCATGCTTCAGTGGTTGTGGAATGTTTCGGAGTAGTAGCATCAAGTCATTGTTTCGGTCCTGTCAGCTGGGCTTGAGCCTACCCTATACTTGTTCAATCGCCCAGATTGAAACAGGCTTTCACGTGGGTAAGAAGACGACCTCTATTCCGTAGTAGTATTGAGCTAAATATTGTCTAGAAGAAGCGCATTAATACAATTGCGGTTTCATAAATTATGGGATGGCGTTAAAGCATCGATTGGTCTATGTCAAATGGTCGTTTTGCTCTCGGAGCCGAAGTTCTGGAGGATGCGTAGGTGGACGAAACTATACTTCATAGGGCAGTTGAATTCCCATAAATAAAATAGCGCTCTAAATATTCACTGCGTACAGGTAAAGTCCGGGGTTGATTTTCGCTGATGCTGCCGATCCACGGTGTCATTGTCGCCGGTTTTCATGATGACTCACTCAAATCAATTGCATCAGACCGTCCGTAAATCTCGTACATGTAATGGATAAATGAAATATCTATAAAACTACATGATTTAGTCCTGACCCCTCAGCAAGCTTCACCTCTCCGCAAATTAGTCGGCGAAACCAGCCCCACGACAAATCAACCATGACTCCGTCTGTGAAGCTCACAACACACACCTCCCCGGACGTGCCGGAGGATCTGGAGCGCCTGCTGCAGGCCCATTTGCCATACTCATTCCCGCTGCTCCGCCGACTGCAGCACGCAAAGCACAAAGATGGCATGCCCCCAAACGCGCGCGCAGTCGTTGTCTCGAGCGGCGACGTCCTTGGCGGCGACCAGCTCGCCTCAGCGCGGTTCACAGCCGCGTACGTAGACTATGGCGGCGGGCCCGACACGCAGATGTGGCTCTTCTCCACGCTCGAGGAGGTGGAGAAGCCGAGTGACGCGGACAAGGCCGAGTATCGGCACCAGATCGAGGAGCTGGTGCGGGAGCTGGTCAGGCTGGGCAGGGAGTACGGCAAGCCGACGACGTATCCTGGGGCCCTGCTTCTGGGGTCGTTACATACTGCTGTGCGAAGCATCTTGATAGACCTGCGGCGCGCGGCGCCCCGCGCAACTGGATTCTACGACAAGTGGCTGTTTCAAGCAAAGGGTTTCCCGGAAAATGATGCCCCGTTGCCTGATGGGATGCGATGGGACACGGCGTCGCTGGATGACTGTAGGATTGTCATGTCCAGAACCGATATTCCCCGTGTAGCGTATGTTTGCGTTGATGGATGGCCCGTTGTCTAATTATTTTGCTGACCGAGAGCAAAGTGAGACACTGCTCCGCTTTCAGAACTTGATCATCCGGATTGAGGATGGCACGCCCATCGCCTGGGCATTTCTAGGTTCGTTCTGCTTGTAATGAACTATTCTTGCGTCGCATGACTGACCATACTGCAGGATTTGATGGCTCGCTGTGCAGTCTTCACTGCGAGGTAAGTAAACACCCGAGATGCTTTGTACCTTCACGATAATGGCATGCTCAATGTTGACATGGACAAGGAACCATACCGCCGTCGCGGCCTGGCCAAAGCGCTGGGAGCGAAGCTGATGCGCACCGGATGCGGCCCATATGCGACTGATGGATGGACATCTGCGGATGTGGCGGCGAGCAATGCCGGTAGCAGGGGGATGTGCAAGAGCTTGAACGGAGAACCGCACTGGGAGGTCTCATGGTAAGTGTCTTTTACGTCTCCAATGCTGCTGATTATCGACAATTGCTGATGGGGTGCAGGGTTTTGCTTGACATCACCGAGGACGGTCTTAAGGATTGATCACGTCTGGGATAGAATATCTATTTGACCTACACCGTAGAGAGTATAGCGTAGCTAGATTTTATGAATAGAATTGAAGAATTTGGGCTGGTGGGCCATGGCAGAAAATAACATGTTGATCTGGTGTCCTGGATGGGCGATGTGATTGAATGATGGACGCGCGGTTGACGCGGTCCCCATCGGCGAGCATGGAAAAGTCCGATTGCTATCGCGCTTGTGATAATTTCCATCTCGAGGCGGTCTGAACGGCTGCTGCACGAATGCGGTTGTGATCCGCAAACCGGTGTTACGCTTGGAATTAGCTGGGTTTTAAGGGCAGCATCGTCCGCCGCGAATGGCGTCTTTCAAGCCTGTAAGCGTCGGTTCGAGCCGTTCTCCTGTCTGAGCTGGACCAGAAGCAAATTCGGGAATCCAGACACCACCCAGAGTTGTGGCTCTGTCGCGTCTCTGTGTGACTGTGTGCTCTCGCCCCGTGCTCTGAGCACGTTCTTCATGATAAGAGCACGCACCATGTAGGATCAATCTTGTGGGAGGGAGCGACTAGGGTTTGCTTCTCCACTGCCTGGAGAAGAAGTTGAGCACGAATCGGCAGGGATTCTGATCAAGCTCATTTCCCGGAGCCGCCAGTTATACTTAAGATATGCATATCTCATGGGTGCGCCGTCTCCCCTATTCACCGAGGCCTGCCTGTTCCAGCTCTCCAGGCAGCAGAAGAGAAACTCAAGAATAGGAGAATGCGACCGTAGAATGACTCGCATTGCATGTGAACATCGGGAGAGAAACAAGCTTCTCATCAGACTAGAGGCTTCTGTTCTTCCCGCGGCGAGCTTATGCAAGCCAAGACCCACGCAGTGACCGAACCCTGGTCCGTTCGCAGTCGATTCGCTCTGAAAACAGGGAAAATCAACTGAGAGGAAGCACCAGTGAGGTCACATCGAGCCTCTCAACCCCCGCAACCGGCCTCGATTACGCACGTTCAACCCTCACCCACTCCGTCGCACCAGATGATAGGGGGAACCCGTTTAATTTTCCGATTTCTCTGCTGCAGGATGTTCATTCGCCTGGTATGATGGGCCTGTCCATCGTAGCACACGTGGGGGGATTCAATTACCCCCCATTTGAGGCAACTTGGAGGAACATTCCACGCAGCTCTTCTCTGGCTTCATCCACTCGCTCCTCGTCCTGACATTTTTCTTTCCCCTTGCTTCTGGTACTGCAGAGATAGAATGATCTGATCAGACATCGTCTGCGACAGGCACGACTATGCGGCCTTTGGGAACCTGCTGGCCACTCCTCAGTCTCTTGGTAGGGCCTTGTGTGGGAGGAGTCGCGCAACAACGTCTCACATATCTTCGCCCATTTCTGGCCCAGAAGGATCCGGCTCACATTGCGGCAAACTTTCCCGATGTCGACGACGAAATATTGTCGCCCGCGTTTACATCTCCAGACACCGTACCTGAGGGTTTCCGCCATGGAATCTCGGGGCCGACGCCTCAGAATGTTCTCGGTGAGTACCGCCAAGGGCCACATCTATCTGCCTGCTTCCAATGGGGAAAACTTACTGAGATGGCATTCTGCGCATAGACGACTGGCTGAAGACCCTGGCCGCCAGAAACGACTGGATGAGCTATCAGGAATCAGACTTGACGTCCGAAGAAGGACGGTCAATTCCCGTTGCCACCTTATCAAGCGCCTCACCACAGTCGCTATATTCAATTGATAATTCTAATCACACCAACAACTCCTCCAAGCTGCGGATCTGGCTCACCGGCGGCGTCCACGGAGACGAGCCGGGAGGCGACCAGGCCATCCTCGCCCTCCTCGGCAAACTCGATGCCAACGCCTCCTTCGCCTCCTCCCTCCTGGACAAGGCCGACCTGATGATCCTCCCTCGCACCAACCCAGACGGCGCCGCGCGCTTCCAACGCACCCTCGCCAACGGGGCCGACCCCAACCGCGACCACACCGAGCTCGCCCACCAGCAGACCATCGACATCAAGCGCCTCCAGAACAGGTTCGCGCCGCACGTCGGCGTCGACTGCCACGAGTACTACGCCAACCGCCGCCACGGGAGGCACGGCGACCTCCTCTTCGCGCAGGACGCCATGGTCTCGTCCATGAAGAACCTCAACGTCCACCCGGCCATCCGCGGCCTCTCCCAGACGCTCTTCGTCGACCGCATGGGCGCGGCCATGGACGCGAGGGGGCTGCGGTGGGGGCCGTACGTGACCCGGCCGAATGCCTCCGAGATGGCCCTCCTCGAGATGGGGACGGATGCCAAGATGGACACGCACGTCGCGCTGGGCCAGGGGGTCCAAATCCTCACGGAGACGAGGGGGACGCATCTCGGGGAGCAGCATTTCCGGCGGCGGGTCGCGACGGGGCTGGTGCTTTTGGAGACGGCGATGGAGGCGGTTGTTGAGCATGCTGGGGTGATTTACGACACGGTCGAGGCGGCGCGGGCGGAGTTTATTGAGAGCAGGGAGGATATCATTGTGACAGACCGGCATCGGATGATGGAGGCTAGCTGGACGTTTATTGATTCCGCTTCGGGGAAAATTACAGAGGTCCCTGTGCAGTTTGGCAATAGCACGCCTGTTGTAGCTGAGATCACGCGTCGCCGCCCGGAGGCATATGTTTTTGGTCCGGAATGGGCTAGCATTGCTGAGAAGCTGCGCATCGCAGGTGTCCAGGTTGATACTCTCATTTCACCGTTCCAAGGGGAGGTAGAGGCGATACACATACACGGATCAGGAGACGAGGTGGTATCACTAGAGGAGACGACGCCCCGGGTAATCGCTAATACGGAGGTAATACGGAAGGAGGTGCAGATACCCGCAGGCGGGTTTCGAGTCAGCACGAGACAGAGAATGGCAGCGCAAGCGTTTGTCAGGTTGGAGCCGGAGAGCGTGGACTCTTTCGCCGCTTTCCGGCTGCTCCCTGCGTCTCCTGGGGATGAATACCCCGTCTACAGAGTAATGTCCTAGCGAAACAGCGAGGGTGACGAGCAGCTGCTGGAACGGCCGTCCTCTATTCACAGTTGTTGAGCTAATGTTTAATGATAATGATAGTATATGAAAGAGTAATGTTCTATTCAACCGTTGATCCATCCATCAATGTATTTCCAGAATCCCAAATACACTCATGACTACCTACAGTGAATCAATCCACTCCAGGGCGAGCTTGGGCTCCATCCTCTTGCGGAAATCCGCCTCGACATACTTCTGACGGACGATACCCGAGCCATCCACCAGCAGCGTGGCGGGGACCGGCACCTCGAACGAGTCGTCCCCATTATGCTCCTTCAGGTTGATGCCATGCTCGGCATAGAACGCCCTCGCAGCCGACTGGTTGTAGATGAGCCCGAGCTTCCTCGCGACCCCGTTCCCAAGGTCGGTCAGCACGGGGAACTTGAGCTCGTTCTTCTCCGTCGTGCTGAGACTCTTGTCCGGCAGCTCGGGGGTCAAGGCTACGAGGGTCACGCCGCGGGCGGTGAACTCGTCGAGGTGGCGCTGCAGGAACTGGAGGGCGACGTTGCAGTAGGGGCACCACTGGCCGCGGTAGAAGGTGATGAGGAGGGGGCCCTTGGCGAGGAGGTCCTCGCTCGAGACCTGCTTGCCCGTGGCGTCGGTGAGGCTGAAGCTAGGGAACTTGTCGCCGATTTGCACGGCGGACTCTGGCTTGAACTTCTCGGTGAAGTCTTCGAGAGCCTTGAAGACAGGTTCAATACCCGGCATGGTAGTGACCTGGGTGGTGATGGCCTCGAGATTCTCGCTTTGACTCATTTTTGAGATGATTGGGAGGATTGCAGAGAGGAAGTAAGGAGCAAGGTATTTCTTGGTGTATGCCTTGATGCTTGTGAGTGTGTGATGATTGTGATGAGGACATGATGGAAGCTTGACCGGAGAAATCGCCATATATATACCCTTTTCAATGAAACCTTACAGATATCCTATGAATATTTACCTTCGTCATCGCTTGATGTCTGGAGGCTCCGAGCTCGTCCGAATCAAATGAGATTACCAATATCCAGGGGTGGAGCTGACAAGGGGATCTGATCCACCTTCGTGCGACGCGTCCGAGAGTTGTTGACTGGCTTTCTCCTTCCATCAACATCCACTGAGCGCGATTGATTCCCCTCGGGTTGACGGCACAGGTCAGAACCGGGGTCTATCGGACGAAATCCAGGTAGAAATCCTTTGTTACCTCGCCTGGCTCGAGAATGTCAGTCAAGTTGGAGCATCGGGACCCGGGTCCCAACCAACCTCCGGCCAAACGCATGCGGCTTGGCACCAAAAGCTGCTCCGAGTGCCGCCGTCGAAAGGTCCGCTGTAAATTCAACGACGGCAGTGACAACTGTCAGCAGTGTGTCTTGCACGATACTCGATGTGTATCACAAGATGACAGCCCAGCCCCAACCGTCGCCTCTGCTTCTGCTAGTGCGCCTCCGTCTGCCTCCGCCTCCACATCGGTCGATCTACAAGCTCGAATGGGCTCCCTGGAGGCTTCCGTCCGTGAGCTTTGTCAGACCATTAGTCAACAGGGCTTCAACAACTCTCCTCTTGCTGTTGCTGCGCTCGGTGCCCAGTCCTCTGAGCGTGAGCAGGGAATTGACGCAAACCAGGACGCTGCCCTGGACGAGGCACCGCTTGTTCAATACCTCCGCGACTCACTGGCCACGCAGGCTGATACCTCTAGTCGGAGAGACAGGGCGGCCGAGCCTTCTGAGAATCCCATCATCCGCCCCACGGAGCGACGTATCCGGGCTTTGATTCCCGTGAACTCAACCTTGGTGAACATCTTCGATTTGACACACAAATTTTGGGGTGCTTGGCCCCTCCATTGGACTCAAAATAACGAGCACAATGGCGAGTTAGAGAATGTCCATGGTCTTCCAATCTCTGTGGGAGATGCTGTTCGATTTATCGATGATTCGTTACGTTCCTCCAGTCCGAGCATCCTGGCCAAATGCCTCATCTGGTTTTGCCTCTCCCTCCAGCAGGTGCCCCCAGGATCCACGACGAGGCATGAATTCTGCCTTCCTATGCCTAAGGCTGACCTGATGGACAAGTGCCTCGATGAGATAGACGTCGCTGTGTTCCAGCGTGGCTCAACGCGCTTGGGATGCGACTTAGACTTGATCGAGGTGTACATTCTGCAGGCCGAGCTCTTCCTCAACCAGGGCCGACCTTGTAGAGCGTGGAAATCGGTTCGGCAAGGGATTGATGACGCCATGCTCCTTGGACTTCACCGCCCTCAGCAGGAGGATATTCGTTCCAAGTCGATATGGTCAGCACTCTGGCAACTGGATTGGAAGCTGTCGATGTTTTTAGGCCTGCCATTTACGGTTCCACACGACCTACTACCGCATGATGGTAGAGACGATGAGGTTCACCCCCTACTGGAGCACCGGATCATGCGAAGCGTGGCCACTCTCTGTGGTCGGATTGTCGAGCGCGACCAGCGACGGCAGCAAAAACGGCAAAAGGAGTTGTCATACCCCGATACAATCTCCATCATGGAGAGAATGGAATACGTCAGGAACTTGATACCAGAAGAATGGTGGGACTTTGAGGAGGAAAGTCAACCTCCAGTAACCCCTGCCATCGCGTTCTTGCGCATGTCCGTTCTCCTCCATTTCCATTTTGCCAACAAATTGCTTCATCTGCCCTACGTTCTACTGGGCGCGCGAGACAGAAAATACGAACACAGTCGCTGCCTCGCCCTGGAATCCGCCGAAGCCATGGTGCGGGCGTACCTCAGGCTCCGGTATCTGATGGATGACAACTTTTCCTGCGACTTTATTGACTTCCTCGCTTTTAGTGGGGGAATCGTCCTCGCTGCCAATCTCACCAAGCGAGGCCGAGAAAAACCGCCAGACGGTGAGCGTATCTGGGAGATGCTGGACGAGCTAACCACAAAACTGGGCGAAACCGCGCAGGAACTACAATGCTCAGTCGCGACACAGGCGTCCCAAGTTCTCCACAATCTGCACAGTATTTCTCACGGCGCGTATGGTGGCCCGGATTGCTACGAGATGATGATTCCCTACTTTGGGATAATGCGGATCATAGTGCCGAGGCGGCCGGGCCAGAGAGTTGATGTTGACAATCGGAGAATGGTTTCGTTAGCTTCGGATCCAAACATGATCAGCTTCAGCACGGATATGTTCTCGTTTCGCTTCCCCAGCGAGTTCCAGACGGCTGAGGAATTGGGTCAAAGTTGGGAAGATTTGGTTGCCAATCCTGTGTATGACAGTATGGGCAGGCGTATGTGAGACAAGCTGGGAAATTCTACTATGCTTTTTTTGTGTTTACTGTATTTCTTGTCCACAGCTCAAGTTGACAGCATTAAATGGATTTTCGCACTCTTCATCCGAATCTTATGTCCGATTTAACATCGGATTTTGCTAACTAAGCTCTTGAGTCTTGTCTAACCACACATCTAATACTATGACTGAAGCTTAGATTGTACTCTTCCAGTTCTTCAATTCCATTTTCTAACTTGCCTTGCAACTTGCCGCCGTCCTTGTCAGCGGCCTTGCGCCCGTTCTGATCCCGGAACCAGAGCCATGGCAGAGTGTTAGGTCGGCTGAGAGAGCCACCAGGCTCATGAGTTCAGCGTGAGTTTGACATCACGAAGCCCTTCCTTTGTTTCATACAGCGAGCAGTACAGATGAAGCTTGTTACTTTTCCCTCAAGATGGATAGACCTGCCGCTCACGCGCAAGTTGATCAAGTTCATCTCATTTGGCGTGGGATGGCTTGCTGATTCTGGCGTATCCGCCAGTCAGAGCTAAATTATAATGCCTCGGACTCACATCCTCTTAAGATAGCAAGGATTCCCCAAGAAGCAGCGATAAGCGTCAGTTCCTCCCAAGCCGAAATCTAGGCGGTGCCGTACCGGCCATCCCTCCCGAGGGATGATCACCTGTTACCTATCTACGAGTTGTGAATGGGCCGCTTATCACAACCACCTTGTGCATCGGAACCAATAAACACTGTCAAGATAGATATATGAGCAACCGATCAGGAAGGTAATACTTGATAGGAGGACTGCTTTGCTTCCCTTGGATAGTTTAACGGCGGTTGATTTTTCCGATCATCGGAGTGCTGACCCGAGTGACCCCATCCTGTTTGAGCCTTGTCTCGAAAAGTGTCGAAAACCCTTGTGAGACATGCCAAGCTCTCCTAGCTAACCACAATAGCTGGGCGGAGACGTAGCATCCGTAATTTGATGCCCTTCGTATCCGACGACCAAGAATGGGACAGGATACGATCGACCTCGACTATAAAGAGTCGGGAAGCCATCATCGTATTAGACCTTATCCCCCCATAGCATGATTTTCCATTGATTGGTCCATCACCAGTGTGAACAAACTGCCCACAATGCTGGCGCCTGCTATCTTTCGTCGGGGGTTTCTTCCAGCCCTTTTGGCTATCATTGTATGTGCTGGACATGCTGCCGCAGCCAAGGAAGTCTATATCCCCTCGTCCTGGGCTAGCACAGGCGAAGTCCCATGGACTCAGGACCGTACCAAGCAGTCGAACAACTTCATTTTGTTGTGGGGTGAGAAGTCTGGCACCAACCCAGTCTCGGCACCATCCGACTATGCCTTCGACCCTGATGATATTATTGCCCAGCTCGAGAAACTCTATTCGTTCTACGTCAATGACATGAAATTCACCCCTGAAGCCGGCCTTCTAGCACAGTATAAGATCATCGTCATCATCACCCGAACATGGAACCGCGTGGAGTTGGATGGATGGGCTACAGGTGGTAGCGCCGAAGGCAAAGTCGGCGTGATCAATGTTGCTCCTGGTGCTGCATTACCTGGTTCCTGGGGTCTTGCTCACGAACTCGGACACGTCTTCCAGAATCTTGCGTTCCTGGGCAAGTCCGGACTCGGTTTCACAGACGCATCGTCGGGAACCTTCTGGGAGGCGAGTGCCGAATATATGGCCATGCAGGTCTACCCTGATGGAGGAGCCGGTGATCTTACTCGCTTCCTGCGCACCGAGAACCTCGCCTACTCATCAAGCAGGCATCATTATGGTGCCTGGATGTGGATTCAGTATATCGTCGACAAGAACAACAGCATTGCGACCTTCAACCGCTTGTGGAATGAGGCAAAGAATACCGAGAATCCTCTGCAGACCTACGAGCGACTTGCCGGCCTCACTCACCAGCAATTCAATGAGCGGATGGGCGAGTATGGGCAGCACCAAGTGACGTACGACTACACCAACAACGCCACCTTTATGCCATTCATCGAGAGCGTGTACGGCTACGAGTTCATCAATGCATACAACGGTATCGCCGTCGATGCGGTGAATAAGAATGCCGGGCACTACGCTGTCCCAACAGCCCTCGCACCATCTGACTACGGCTACAACAAGATCAAGCTGGTGCCTAGCAGTTCTGGTGCTTTGATCAAGCTCCACTTCAAGGGCCATGAGAACAGTGCTGCGGGTTCCGGCTGGAGCTACGGCTTCGTCGGCGTGACGAACAAGACCCCTCGCTACGGACCAATCTATACCGCAGCGGACACTCAGATCGAGTTCCAAACCAAGGCCGGCGAGGAGGTTTACCTTGTTGTGGTGGGCGCGCCCTCGACTGTGCACAAGTATAGCTTCGAGAGCGGTTACACCAACCAGTATCGGTATCCATACGAGTTCGGCATCAGCGGTGCGGTACCCTCTGGTTATGAATCCGGCTACACCAAGCCAGCGGCCGTCGGTGGCAGCTGGCATAGCAACGGTGGCGGCTGGGTCAGCAGCCGAGCAACGGTTGCTTCAACCGCATATGTAGGTCCACGAGCGGCAGTGTACGGAAGCTCGACTGTTAGTGGAAATGCTCGTATCGAGGGGCTGGCCTGGGTCAATTCGGGTGCAACCATCAGTGGCAATGCCGTGGTCAAGGACAATGCTCTTATCCAGGGCGGCGCCAACCTGTCTGGCTCGATGGTTGTCGGTGGTGATGCTGAGCTGGCCATCGCCTGTTCTTCCGGCACGTACTTGAGATTTGATGGAGAACGTGGATGTGACGGAAAGGCAGGGGAAACGGATGTCAATCCCTCAATAACGTATTTTACTGATGCTCAGGTGGCTATAAGCTAGTCTCATAGGGAATTATCAATACTCCTTAAAGATTTACGCATCTGTTCTATAAATAGGAGGGCCGTCTGCACGAGCGAACCTCTGAATGGTGACATTGATTCCGCCGCCCACCATTCGGTTTTGCCTGTGTAGAAATTTGGAATAATGAGACAGCAAGTGGTATGCTTGTAATGGTTATTGACCAGATCCCTGCTCAATGAACGGCTGAAGTCTATTCTAACTCGTATAAAGACAGCGGAGTTAACCCTTGGCTTTCCCGAATCACAAAGTGTTCTTGTAATAATCTTGATTCTGAAAATAGTATATCTTGGCATCAAAATTTCTAGTGAATTAGAGTTTGTTATTGCAAAGAAAAGCTAGACACTCTATGAGTAATACTTTGCCTATGAGTACTCAAATCTAGGACTTCTATCTGTATTAGATATTCTGGGTTCGACTGGCACCGTTACCAAACTCAATAATCCCAACAGCCTATAACTGCATGGTGTGGCTTTGCTGGGCTCTCTGATCTCCCATCAGCGCCTATTATGAGAGACCTGTAGCAGCAAGCGATCCAAGGCTTCCTGATCGAGACGATCGCACACAAGCCACTCATGCACCTCTTGAAAATACGGAGGGGTTCCTTTCATGTAATTTCTAGGGTCGAATTTGAGGCCGTCTGCGGTAAAATCATGGTAGCGTTCGTTGAAGATTCTATTCTGGATCTCGGGTTCCCCATCAAACGGCATGGACGGTCTTTCTCGATCCCTAATTACTCGCAAAGCCTGCCGAGGGAGATGGCGTAAAGGGTCCCACCCCCAGCTGCTCCCAAAACGGAAGTATCGTAGGGATTGGAGTCCCTCGATGAATCGGTCAAAGATATGGTGCCATCGTGTTGAGTAGGTAACACATCGAGCTGAGATGATGGCGTTATCAACTTCAAGCTCAGGATTAAATGTCGCCGAATCTTGACTGGGATACCCGTCTTCAGCCAACCAGCTATCATATGAGAATTCAATTTTAGGTATTATAAAGCAGTGATCCAAGGATAGAGACTGAAGCGTTGCGCCGTGCGAAATGATCCAGTCGAATTCAGAGTTATGCGAGAAGGAAAAGTGACCGAGTGTCAACGACTTCAGACTAGAAAAATGTATAGACGAAAGATAGATCCTGGGCATGAATCCAAAGGGGATATCGGAGTAGAGCACTAATTCTTGAAGTCTGCCAGTCATTGGCGAGAGAACAGTCGATGGGAAGGAGTTCCAAAATTCTTGGCAGTCAAAGATCTAGCAAGTCAGCTCTCGTGGTCTCTTACATGGGTATTTCAAGATCACATGCTATACCTCGGGATCAAGGCCAACCTTGGGAGCCCAAGGCGGATGCACGACGCTGATAGAGAATCGTCGAAGTCTTCTTAGCAACGTTCGATATTCTCCAAAGTACTGGAGCTGGTCGACGAGGGCACCCTTAAAATTTCGGAACGTCAGACCATTCAGCACTCTTCCACGGCGACGACCGTGTTCTAATATAACAAGAAATCGGACAAGCACATCTTTGCGGACGGAATGGTCGTTTAGCAGCCCCCCGCGTCTGTCAGCACGCCGCAATGGCGGTCGAAGCATAAAGCAATGCTGCGTAGACAGGGAAAATCGAGAATCTCATAGAGGGTTTCGTACCACATCATATCGAAGTGCGCACCATACCAGTACCCGTCTTGTGGGTCTCGATCCTTGGTTGAAATTTCGTCGTTAGTTGTAACCAACAAGTTGGAGCAGGGTGAGCATCAGCTTACGCAGTCAGTATCACAAATATAAACGTTTAGGCTTCGCACATGATTCCCGATATCACGATGCCTAATGATGTTTCTAAAGAAGATGGAATCATATGGTCTGGGATGTACCGGTGTACGAACTTGGAGTAAGCAACGCGGATCCCAGTGCGGATACAGACAGACGGTCGAGAAGAGCTCCCTCGTTGCAAAGTAGCCGAACTTCCGGTTGACTAGCCTAATATTGGGTAAGTCGGATTTCTCGGCCTGTCCGATGATCAAAGCCAGGATTTCTGGCAGAAATTGTCGTGAGAAAGACATCGACAAGCGTAATTCTAGCGGAAGGAACCGCGGAACGTGAGGAGGGGCAGTGATTATCCGCGCTGTCAAATGAGTGCCCGACAAATAAAGCAGGCAGAACAGTTACTCTGACTGCAAGCATGCAAGCAGATCAGCTGGAGGACTGGCTGGGAAGGATAAGGCTGATGTGTGTAGCGTCAAATCGGTGCAAAAGTGCAGAGTGGAAGGTGAAGAGAGGAGCAGAGGGAGGGGAGAAGGCCAAGGAACCAGAAAATCGGTACCTTCCATTGGTGGTGATTATTTAGACAGATACTTCAAAGGCAGGTAGCGGCACGTATTTTGAATTACCTAAATCTTGCTATATGATGATTTAAGTTATTACGCGGATGCAATTCACCCAGCGCCTTCCGTGGAGGACGAATAGAGCCAGCTAAGGAGCGTCGGTGAACAACAACAGCCAAGTGCGTCCAACTTGGTTGCCGCCTTCTCCACAAGCAATGCTACCAATAAAGGTCTCCTTGGGGTACGCAACGATCGTGATTTTGTGCTGTGAGGTGATTTTGTTGTTTGTAACCGGACTTTTGTCTAGCAGGGTCCTGTCGAACTCGATTCGTCGTTGAAATGTCTTTTCTCTCTTTACGAATGCACCTTTACAGCTGATTTCCTGCAAACATAAGGGTTACGCGTTGAAATCCATGTACATGTAGGGTGGATGTGGAAGTAGGGTTGAGAACAACAAAAGGAATAATAGAAGAATGTATTCATCAGGCTAATCACTTATGCAATACTCCCACCCGCTATAAATCATGCCCGCTCTGGTAAACAAGAACCCTTCCCGTTCGGCAAAAACTCTTCGCTCATTAATCGTATCGTTCACTGTTAAAGAAGCCAAGATAAGGCCATTACAGCGCATATGCCGGCTGTGTACTTGGCTCTAACCATAGTGCCGGCAGAGCACCGTTCCTGGTCCGCCACGGCCATCCCGTCGTCGCAAATATGAAAGGTAGGTGTGGAAGTAGATGATGAACTTGGTGTAGGAGTATAAGCTACTGAAGCCGCAGTCTTCCACGCAGATGACTGTGAAGCCTCTACCGTGGTTATTGTGGCTGCATTCGTTCCGGATTGCACGTTGCAAACAGCGCTCCTTCGAGGTTTGGTAGCACGCCCTTGACGACACGTGTATGTAGAGCCAGCCCTGTATTCAAGAATGATCAGTAATTAGGAAACGGCAAAGGACAAATTTCATCTGGAAAATCCGGTCCCATTAATTAGCTTAAACGCACATCTCAACTGTCACATTACTGCTAGAACCGTCGGTGAAGGTCTGCCCAGTGAACAAAGCGCAGCTAGATGCCGCAGGGGTCGGTTGGCAGGTAAGTATGTATTCTGTGCTGCTCAGATTACGGTTTACAACGGACGCATAGAGCGTCTCCGTTGTGGCATTGGCAATATGTATGCCAGGTATCCATAGCGAGTAGGTTGTTGTAGACAGCTGGATGCTGCTGGTGCTAAGAGGCGTGGCAATGCTAGTAGTCGAAGTCATTGGAGTGTAAGAAACGAAAAAAGAGTTATCACGAGAATTTTAAAACTAACGAGGGAACGACTGGGTCGTTTACTTTTCTTATTTAACGGTCAACCGAAGGTCTAGAGCAATTGTCGTCATTGCAGACAGGGTATGGCTGTTGAGGACGATCTTTGCTGTGTCAAGCAATCTAATGATGATAAGCATAACCGGTGCTAACAAGAGAGGCAATGTCCGAGAGCTTGGCGGCTGTGTTCGCCACTTTTGCTCACGAAGTGTAGGGGTCAAAGTCCTATCGACGTCATCAGGATCAATTTTAACCGGTGATGTGGAAATTAATACGTCGAGAATCCTAAAATATGGACTGTAGACAGCATGAAACCTATTACTTCTATTCTCTGCTCAGATATTCTATGATGACTGGTCTACGGTGCCATGCGGCTATTGTTTTTCTTCCCCGACGAATTCATACTACAATCAAACCAAGCACTAGAATTTTCGGGTTAACGACCTGGAGTTTATCAAATGCTGGCGATCGGATGAATGCCAAGCAGGCCAGCCCAAGCGCCCGCGCACAGCCCCCAAGGCAGACCTGGCAGGGCGATCGATCACACATCAATTCTGAGTCCTCAGCCTCTCATCATCTTTGCATCGACCAGGCTAATCATGAAGAAAAGAACACGCAAGTGCGTCTAATGGGGAGATTTATAGACAGACAGAGCAAGTGTTTGCCTGGCCTGGCGCAGCAGAGGATGAAAGCGGTTCGGTCATCGACTTCATGAAATCAATATTGGGATTGATGGATGTCCTTGACACTGAGAGAAAACCTCGAATACGCCGACATGTCTGGCAAGGCTTGATCTATGAAGTTCCAAAATCCCCACTTGATAGATCATATGTCGCATTCACCGCCTCAGATGGGACCATTCACGGTGAATCTTAGACCGGCTTGAACAACTGGTCCTATTTAATCTATGGCTCTCACAAGCAAGGCGGTTCAATATCAATCCCCGCCATCCAAAGGCTACTCAGCCGACCATGAAGAGGGCATAAATTGGTTTTGCAGGAGATCGCCTTTCAAAGAGGGCTGTCTTCGTCTGGAAATGCTAACTATGAAAATTAGTGCAAAGAGTCTGGATAGACTTCCATTTATTACCAGAAATAAACATCTGGTCGTTGCATACGACTACACGAAGAAAGGAGACACAATGGCAATTCGTGGACGAAGCCTATGTTGACGGTATCATGGATCTTTGCTCGCATCAGGAGGAGAGATGGTAAGCAGAGAGTTGAGGGCCTTACTGCATCTGGAAACTTGCGCGAGTAATTCCCGGTTTGGGAAGTGTCTCGCAAAGTACAGTAGAGAAGCAGGGACAAGAAGGACATAGTGAATGGTTTTATACAAACCAATAATCATATATGCCATCGATATCTCTATGAGGAAAGTTCTTCCTGATTGCCACTTGGCCACCTCTTAATGTACGATGTGGTTGTAGGTGGGATTCTGCCCAATGTTACCTCCACTGTACATGTCGGGGAGCCCTGCTCTCAGCCATGCCTACTACTAGAACATTCCATTTTCAACGAACAAGCTGTGAACTCATCTCAGTTCTATGCTTCCTGGGCCAACAATAGGGGATACGAATGTCAGAAAATCTCAAGACCACACTGTATTGAAATATACTTGTTCACGCTATCAGTCCAGCGAGTAGATGGACACGTGAATGGGTTATGTTGGATTGTGGGGCAGTGAGAAACTCATTGGTCTTTTCGTCATAGCCCTCAATCCATACCCTCAAGATTCAAGCAAGAGTCAACGGATCCCAGAATCCTTTTCTTGACACCAATCAGCAACAGGGCCTCGGTGGACGCTCTAGAAAACTCTGCAAAAAGATGCCCGGCATTCCAAAGTCGCGAGGATGTCAGGTTTGCAAGCGGAGGAAAGTCAAGGTATTCTGCCCGCCACCACACAAAGCCAATATCGATTGACTGACTGATTTCTTCAAGTGTGACGAGATTTGGCCCTCATGTGGCCAGTGTACGCAAATTAAGACTGATTGCCCTGGGCCGACAAACCTAGTCAAGTTTATCAACAAGACCACTGGCGGCCCTCCCAGAGATGGGATTGCAGAGGGCACCGCTGTCAGTAGACCGAGTTCGCCAATGCTTCACATGCGCAAGGTGCGCTATTCCAATGTCAATGACGCGGGCGCGGGATACGGACGCCTTCAAATGGCCCTGCCCCGGGGCAACCCTACGACAGTGGCTGATCGTGTTGGCCACCGCCTCGCCTCGACCCTGGAGCGAGGTCCGGCAGAAGTCGTCACCACATTCATGGGTTATCTCCCCGAGATTCCGAAGCGAATAGCTGGGAGCCCTTGCTTGCGCGACTCAGTTGACTTGTTTTGTACTGCATGGGCGGGGTTTCGCTCTCAGCTTCCACGGAAACCGCTCATCGCGATGGCACAATACGGTAAGTTGTTGCGTAGTCTGCAAAAGGCGTTGACCAACGGCGAGACTCACCGAATCGAGACCCTGGCTGCCATGACGTTGCTCGAACGAACTGCGCGGTTGTTCGACCTGGGCTCTGAGAACATGGACTTTCATCTCAAAGGAATCAGACAAGTATTTGTTAAGAAGAGTCTGCCGAATCCAGATGATCAGCTGGACGTCAAGCTCACCAACGAAGTTTATGCACTGCTAGTAAGGACCTCCAAGCCATAGCTTAGCCAATGCATTACTAAGGCTCTTGTGCTAACTCAAGTCATAGCTGAGGGATTGGCCTGGGTCAAGTGAGGACATGACCATACTCACTTCTGCACAGAAGGAGGCTCTGAGCCAGTGTGCAAGTTCACAGCTTTCTAATGTGGAAAGTCGTCCGTTCTTGGAGAGTGACATCATGGTTCTATATACCTGCGCCGAGAAGTTTATCAAGCTGCTTGCCGACTTTCAGCAGGTATTCTGCAACCCGGAGAAGATAGAAATGGCCAGCTCTGTTCGCCGAGGGCTACATGAGATGAAGAACGAGGGACGACAAGCCGCTGCCGATTCACTAGCTAGGTGGATCGAAGACGGCGCCATCGAAGAGAAACTCGATCCAGCCTTTGTGGCAGGCAAGCGGTACCAGATCAGTTCTATGTATCTCATTGGTTTGTATCATGCCATGATCATGTGTCAACTGATTCCCTTGAGTGTACTGCACCACCTGGATGTCATGTGTGGTACTCTAGACAGCACCACCATAGACGAATCGAGGCAGGTTAGTGCTGAAATGTGGAAGATGATGCCAGCGATAAAGTCGCTTGAGCCAGTCATCGCTATCGCCATGATGGATGGGGCTTGCATGAGTTACGAGTTTGCGGATGAGCGGGGGAGGGAGTATGTGCTGGAAACGATTCTTGATATTGACAGTTCTGTTGGACGATATCCAAAGGAGAAGGAATCACTGCGCGGCGCGGTCATGGATAGAATACGATTGTTGACCGGGCGAAACCTGAACCAGCCTATTCAAGGCCTTGTTCTAAGTTAACCTGAAATAACGAAAGCCTTGATATTGATCAAGATGCCAGAAGATTTATTGCAGGATTTTTACTGCAGCCAACTCGGACATTCTTGCGTCAAAGCTTCTCTCGTCTTTTCAATGTCGCGACTAAGCTAAGTATGCTACGAGAGCGATCATTCAACGCTCAACTAACTAATGATTAATCGATTTCATCACCTGACTCTTCCCACTCTTCCTCCTCTTCGCCAGAGCCATCCTCGTCATCCTCTTCTGCAGTGTCATCTTCATCAGCTCCGTCCCCAAACTCAAGCTGCTCAAACTGCCTGAGATAGAAAAGCACCTCGTCATCCTCATACTCGGACATGAGGTACCTGACATGTTGTCTGTCTACATTGTTTTTCCTCATTCCATTAATCATTATTTTTAATAACTTTTTCTCACCCCCTATATCCGTTTGGCACGCAATCTCCAGTGCCGACAGCAGATTGCCTACCGGACCACACGCGTACCCCATGTCCACGAGAGGCTCGACGAAAAGCCTTAGCTTGTCTGCGTCCATTTCCAGCGGCACATTTCCGACCCCAATAGCCCGCAAGTAGGCAGCCAGCAGCGACTCCGAGTCTCCGTTGGGATACGTTACCGGAATTTCCAGTCTGGCTCCATATTGGATCATATATATGACCCATTCGGGCTTCAGCCGAGTCTCCAGCTCTTCAAAACCGTCCAGATAGTATCCGACTGGAAGGATGTCTTGAGAGTTGGGCGCTTCGGGTAGACCGAGGTCCGGGATACCGTTGAAATAGGAATCCAGGGTTTTCATGTCTTGCGCCAACCATGCCAGTTCTGTTGGCGGGAGATCATCTATGACCTTGACTGCGATTCTGTGGGCGGCCAGCTCTTTGACCACCTCAATATACATAGCGAAGGATGCACGCTCACGGTACCTCAGGAAGGCCGCGTCCAACATACTTTCAGCGGCTGGGGGTTCGGCACCCTCTGAGATCATCCATGCCGCAATGCGGAATAGGCCATGGTTTAGAGCGCGTCGAACGGGAGTCTCTCCTAGGTCGTCCACCAAATCCATGGAGGCACCGCCCTCGACCAGAACTTGGACTAGGTCTTCCATATGATTCTCCTTGATGCGGTATGGGAAGAATTTATCCCCGATCCTTTTGCTGGGTATAACTCCATATCTACTGCAGGCGGCGTGCAGCGCTGTGTTGCCTTTCTCGTCTTGGGCATCAATGTCGATTTCAGGACGTGTAGCCAGAAGTTCTCGCAACACGTCGGGCGATCCCTCCTCTATAGCAACAGTGAACAGCAAATTGAGATGCCCAAGACCTACTTGGGTAGGGGCTTCCTTGATTCTCTGGTCTTCCAAGAGCATAAAAGCTAGATCGGATCTCTTATTACCGCAGGCGTACTGCAAGGCAGTCTCGCCATCGCTGGTTACTGCTAGCGGGTCGATGTCGGGATGGTCCAAAAGCATCTGCACTACTTCTGGAAGCTCTTCTTCTATCGTGAGATCTTTTATCTCCCTTTGGTGCTCGAGAGCATAATGTAGAACTGTCTCTCCCCGGTTTGTCACTGCACCGACATCCACTCCGGGCAAGTTCAAAATCAGATCAACTATTTCTTTACCACGGACAACAGCGCGATGTAGTGGTGTTGTACCAGATTTATTGGCCTTGTACTCGAATTCTGGGCGCGACGTGAGGACCCTAGCAGTTTCAACCGCACCGCCAAGCGTCGCAAGTAGCAGAAGGTTGTTGCCATCCTCCAGCTCCATATTGGCATCCAATTCAGGCCGGTCAAGAAGCAGTTCGAGGAAGCCAAAATCGCTCTTCATCGACATAACTAGATAATGGAGGATAGTCATGCCACCTCCAGACCAAGGGAGAGAGTCTGGGACAGGCTCCGAGAGATCGAAATGGGGATACTTTAGTAGGATGGCTCTCGCCAGATCATAGCGTCCTGCCCCGACAGCACAATGGAATGCTTTGATTCTCTCCCGCCCATCTGCTTCCTCGAGTAAGTCAAATACCATGGCCTGGTCATAACCAGTTATGACAAGGTCGAGCGGCTGAAGTCTGGTGGTTCCGGAGAAGTGGCGCGCTCCCTGCTTGATGAGAGCCTTTGCATAATAGTGAGCGTTCCCCTTGACCTCGGGACGGTTCTTTTGGAAGTATAGATGTATTGGGTAACATCCCACCGCAAGACCGCAAGGGCAGCCCTGACTCGGGACGTTGAAATCGACTCCCTGGGCCATCAGATAGTCAAAAACGTTTCGGTTGTCGAGATCCATAGCGGCGAAGAGGGCTGTGAAGTGCCCATTGTTCGTGCTCCAGTCAAAGCCGTCCTCTTCCTGGTCGGGAACACCATTAGAGCTCAGATCAGCGCCATACTCGACAGCCCGTTTGATTGTTTCCAAGCGCCCATTCTGGGCCGCCCACAGGACACAGGACGCCCGGTGCGGATCACGCTTGAGGTTTCGTTTGTAGAGCCCCTCATTGAGGACTGCGTACAAGTCACGACAGGTGCGTGCAAGCGCCGCGTGGTTCCGTGCATATGATGCCGGCATAGAGTCGGAATCGCAACCCCAAGTGCAAGCCTCGGCAATCTGCTCGAGGACGCTGGTGGGGAGGTTCAGGATGTGCGCCATTTTCGTAGAGATTTATCTATCAAAGGATGATGATGGAAAGAGGGAAATCATCAGCGGCGACGCGGGGTCTGGGAAAGAAATGAGGCGCGTGGCAGGCAACCAACAACCCGATCACAACCAACAGCCAACGAATTTTTTTGACCAAGCAATTCATTCACGTTTGCTAAAAATAAGCACATGGGTCCTCTTTGCATGAGCACTAACAGTTGTTCACGCCTGATTCGTGAGTGAATTCTGAGTGCTTATGAAACCAGGGTCGAAAATTGTGTCGAAGTCGCTCTAGATTGTGTCAAAAGTAGTGAGTCGAGGGGACGCAAATGCTTGTAGATTGAATATCTGGCAGATGCCTTTTTATCATATCATATTTGATCCACGATGGTGAATCTTTTTGGATAGTCGCATGTCTTACTTTGGCTCTCTGGAAAACGTTGCCTTGTTTCCGCAGCACGAAAGTTGTAAAAGCAAGTTTCTACTTTACAAACAGGGCGAGATGTGTTGGTAGCCTTTTGTATTATGCGCCTGTGTCTTCCCCAACACGCGTATTTCAGCAGGGCTTCACTTGCTTTGAGAGTGCCTAACAAGATCTGCTTCTCATTGGTGCTTATGCAACCATTGCTGACATGAGAGGTGCAGCTGAGACAGACTTCTTCCCCGCCTTCAAGTTGGGCAGACACGGTCGCGTTTTGTCAGGCTTCCCTTCCTCTGCATCACACCCTTTTGTGTGACTCGGACAATGATATTTTGATGCCCTGGGTATATGTGAGGGGATCTCTCAGGTCAGCATTCTACCACCCCATGTTCTGAATACATTGGAACTGTGCACGTCGCCTGCGAGCCTATTATTTGTTCTCTTGATACCCAAAAACTTCTCTCGTCGAAATTCAGCAACCAAAAACTACACCTTAGGCCAACCGAAATTTGGGGCAAGAGCTTGAGAGCAAATCTGCGAAATAACCCTCTTACAAGTTTAAAACATGTCGGATAATGTCAACTTGATCGAGGAGGACCAAATGGCTACAGCCGTTAGGCAAAAGCTGAAAGCAGATGATGACGCTCGTCACAAGCTCATGACACATGGAGATTACACTGTGGGATGGGTCTGCGCGTTGCCCAAAGAGCAAACCGCCGCGACGGCCATGCTTGATGAAACACATCCCGACTTACCAAAGCCATTGAACGACTCGAATACATACACTCTGGGACGTATCGGAAAGCACGACGTTGTAATAGCCTGCCTTCCGAAAGGCCAGATTGGCACAAACTCGGCAGCAACCGTTGCCACACAAATGATAAGAACGTTTTCTTCTATTAGGATCGGTCTTATGGTCGGCATAGGAGGTGGCATTCCATCCAAAGTCAGACTCGGCGATGTAGTGGTCGGCACACCTTCAGGCCAGTTTTCTGGCGTCGTTCAATGGGACTTTGGAAAGGCCCATGAAGGCGGCACGTTCGAGAGGACCGGATCACTGAACTCTACACCTGCTTCGCTTGGGACAGCTTTGACCAAGTTGGAAACAAAACATGATTTGGAAGGGAGCAAAATACCAGAGTACCTGGATGGATTCAAACGGAAATGGCCGGATTACGCTTCGAAGCATCTCCGTTCTGACGCCCTGATAGATCCCTTCGACACGGTAAATCGTTCACATGATACTTCCAAGAGATGGCTAGCTGTATTCTCAATGATGTGGGCTAGCTTGTTGGTTATTCTTCGATATCTATCTGGCTCGCAAACGTTTCCCGTCCTGAATAACACAACTAGGCAAGTGGAAAACTCGCCACTCCCCGCTGTGGATAGAGAGCAAAGGAGACCTGGAGAGGTACGAGTGCATCATGGCCTAATTGCGTCCGGCAATCAAGTCATTAAGGATGCCATCCTCCGAGATAAACTCAACAAGGATCTTGGCGGGCATGTGTATTGTGTCGAAATGGAAGCGGCTGGGTTGATGAACAATTTTCCATGCGTTGTCATTCGAGGCATTTGTGACTACGCAGATGCACAAAAGAATAAAACCTGGCAGGAATATGCCGCACTAGTTGCAGCCGCCTTTGCCAAGGAACTTCTGGTGAACGTACAAACAAGCGAAGTGCATGGAGAGCGAACAGCGAAGGATATTATTGAGGTCAGTAAGCAGTCTCTATAGAACTTGATATTTCATTCCTGTGTATTAATATTCGAAAGCTGTAAAGGTTCTTGATGAATTGCGACACGAAGTTGTCAGCACGAGAGAAAAGATCGAAAAGAAAGAGGAACTTGATATTCTCAAATGGCTCACACCAATCAACCATAAGGCTCAGCATAGTGACATTCTCCAGAAAAAGCAGTCAGGAACTTGTCAGTGGTTCTTAAATTCTACGAAATTTAAGAACTGGATAGAGAAGGAAAAGGGCATATTATATTGCCCCGGAATCCCGGGTGCGGGGAAGACAATCCTCACAGCTGCCACCATTGAGGATCTTACTTTACGGTATCAGAACAACCAGAATGTTGGCATCGCATACATTTATTGCAACTTCCGTCGAACTGATGAACAACAGGTAGAAGACTTACTTGCAACCCTCCTAAAGCAACTATGCCAACAACGGTCGTCTCTCCCAGATAGTGTTAGACTGCTTCAAGCTGATACACTGAAAGCCAATAGAGCAAGGCCGACGTTGAATGAACTTGCAGAAACTCTTCATTTGGTCGTCTCTATGTATTCTCGGGTGTTTATTATAATTGATGCACTCGATGAATGCCAAGTCAAAGATGGCTGTCGCATAACATTTTTAAACGAGGTTTTTAAACTTCAAACAAAGACCAGAACAAATCTGTTTGCGACCTCAAGGCCAAGCCCAGAAATCGAACTCAACTTTGAAGGATGTGATTGGTGCAGGATCAGTGCGAGTGAGGCCGACATCCGTGCGTATTTGAACGGAAATATGTGGCAAATGTTAGGATTTGTCCAAAAAAGATCAGATCTAAAGGATGATATTGAGGAAGGTGTCGCAACAGCAGCACAAGGAATGTAGGTTTCTTTCTATGCTCTCATATCAGGTTCTGTTCCGCTGAGTATCTTGTAGGTTCCTTTTAGCCAGACTGTATTTCGACTCACTCAAAGACAAAACATCAGCCACGGAGATAAAAACATTACTAAGAAAGCTTCGGGAAAGAAGCCAATCGAAAGTAAATACTGATGAAAAGCTCGATCTACTAGCCCAAGCATATGATGAAGCTGTGGATAGAATCCGTATGCAACAACCTGGCTTTCAACACCTCGCAACAAAAGTTTTGTCTTGGGTCATTTTTGCAAGGCGGCAGCTTACCATTTTGGAGCTTCAACATGCCCTTGCCGTATCTGTCGGAGACAAGAAATTAGACGAAGACAATGTTAGGGATATCAAGGATATTGTTTCAGTCTGCCTTGGATTGGTAATTGTTGACGAACAAAGCGGTATTGTTCGTCTGGTTCACTACACCACCCAAGAATACTTTGAGCAAACCAAAACGCGGTTATTTCCAAATGCGGAATTCGAACTCGCGACTATCTGTGTGGCTTATATCTCGTTCAGTGTTTTTGAAGCTGGCCTCTGTGAAACAGAAGCAGAATTTCGGGATCGATTGGAATCAAACCCACCTTACAGCTATGCCGCACAAAACTGGGGCCATCATGCTCGATTCGCTGCGACATCTATCCCGGGAGTTGAGCAGTTTCTAAGCAACAGGGCTCTAGTCAAGGCCTCCAATCAAGCATTCCCTGATAATATATTGTTCAAATATCTAGGGCACAGTCAAATTTTGACAAGAAAATTGACGGCAATCCATTTTGCGGCATATTTCGGGCTTACTCCAGAGGTAGCTAGCCTACTTGAAGACAAAGGGGAGGTCGATTCGCTGGACGATTATGATCGCACACCACTTACGTATGCCTCTAAGAATGGACACGAGGCTACCGCAAAATTTCTCCTGGAGCAAGGCGCGAAAGTTGACGCACTGGATATGCACCATGAGACTCCACTTAGCTATGCCGTTGAGCGTGGGCATGAGGTTATTGTGAAGTTACTTATCGAGAAAGGAGCCGATCTTGCGGGCGGGGGCTCATACCAAATGGCACCACTATATATTGCTACTAGAGACGGGCACGAGGCTATTGCAAAGTTTCTTATCGAGAAAGGAGCCGATCTTGAGTGCAGGGACCAGCTACAAATGACGCCACTATGTATTGCTGCCGAATCCGGGTATACGGCTATTGCAAAGTTGCTTATCGAGAAGGGAGCTGATCTTGAGTGCTGCAACCAGCTACAAATGACGCCACTGTGTATTGCTACAGAGGAAAACCACGAGGCCATCGTCGAAATGCTTCTAATCAGAGGTGCCGAGTTCAAGTCTAAGTCGATTTATGGCCAAACCCTAATATCTTGGGCTGCTCAACATGGATGCGGGGGCATCTTCAAGCTGCTTCTGGATAAGGGGGCCAAGTTCGACTGCATGGATGATGATGGTGGGACAGCGTTAACGTGCGCTGCCAGGGGAGGGCAATTGATCATCACTAAACATCTATTAGCAATCCCCAATATCAATATTGACTGGAGGGATAAATTTGGGCGCACCCCACTATCCTGGGCCGCTTCTGGTGGTCATGCAGCTATCATCAAACTGCTGCTAAATAGCGGCGCCAATATTGAATCCGAGAGTAAATATGGCCGGACACCATTAACATTTGCTGCCCAATCAGGGCACCAGGACGCAGTTGAGTTGTTTCTGGAAACAGGCGATGTAAATGTCTACTCTCGAGATATCTTTGGCCGAAACCCGCTGCATTGGGCTTCGAGGGGTGGGCACGATGAAGTTATCATGAATCTGATCCTAAATGGAGGATGTGACCCCAACTCAATGGACATTTACTGCTCAACTCCGATTTCAATAGCCGCACGACACAATCATGCACATTTGATAAAGCAGCTCTTGGATACAGGAAGGATCAACGTTACTTCTCAGGATTGCTTTGGACGGACGCCACTGTGGTACGCTCGACGATATGAAAATGCTGAAGCTCAACAACTTCTACTTGAATATATCGAGAAGAATGGTACGTTAGGTCCTCAGGATGATTCAGTTGTAAAAAGATATGAAGGATTGAGATCCCCTGGACTACCAAGATACACAACATGTGATATCTGCACCATGGGTACTGAAATAGGTGGGGTTTACTACCACTGCCAAATTTGTAATGGTGACAATTTGGATATTTGTTCAGATTGCTATCAGGCCGGGGGACGTTGCTTAGGGCTTGGCCATGAGCTAATTAAGGTCGGAAAAGATTATCAATTCCAGCGGTAAGATCTCTGGACCAAGTATTGAGTTTACTATCGATAAATTGTCAATCCAATTCGGGCCCTGATGATCACAATATTTCAAACATGCTCTATACCAGTTAGCCCAGGATTTGTAGATGAATCCAGATCCGCCACAGCCGTCCTGCAACCTTGAACCAAGTAGAGTGGGCTCCTCGCAATCATTTCTCCAACCATTTAAACCAAGAGGGAACTTATAGAACGGCGGCAACGAGGCCGGCGGCAGCAACTACGGCAGCGGCCATGCCAGTCTCTCTGGCACCAATACCCTCAGAGGTGGAAGAACTGGCAGTGCCCTTAGTCTGGCTGCCCGTAACGGATGCTTCACTGCCTGAAGCGGACACACTAGCAGCGCTCGTGATAGTTGCAGAGGAGGCACCACCCGTAGCCTTGCCGGTGTTGGCCGCCACGAGAGCCTTGCCACACCCACCGACCTCCGTGAACACCCCAATCTCCGAGCAGGACGCCATTCCACTTTTGATCTCGGCCGAGTGGCTACTGTACCACTTCTGGAGTGCGGAGCCGTAACTAGCAATCTCAGAGGTAATAGAGGAGGGGAAGGTGGTAGAGCACTGAGTGCTGGCACTAAAGTTGACGAGAGTACCGAGAGCCTCAGGGGGTTCAGGGAAACCGGTCAAGAGGGGAAGTACCATTGAATTACAGGTCGAGGGGAACCTGTTGGCGGTAGTAGTCGCTGCGGTAGCAGTGGCAGCAGCGGCTGAGAGAAGGAAAGCTTTGGTGTGCATCTTGGTGCTGAGTGAAATGTTAAACAAAAGTAAGGATTATATTTTCTTGAATCAAATGGATTATGGTCGAGGTTTATAGTTTGTAATGTAACGCAGGAAAAAATCCAGCCCAGCGGAGAGGGTGGCCTTGCTTTATAGAAAATGATATGGACAGAACCCAGGCCAACAGTTCATTCTCATCCGCCAACTTACCTTCAATTTCAAACATGCATGTTTTGCGAGATGAATTTTTAGACAAGGTTGTCTCAATAGCGTTACTCGTACTCGACGAATGGCATGTCTGCTATCCTAAAAGCTGACCACCGGAGGGCGGCTGGCGGCAACCGGCTCGCTACACGCCACATTCATGGTTTCAGGGTCTTACTTGACCTTTTTCTGGCAGATTATCCAAGTGCGGGCTATCCGTAGGCGTTGTGATGCATCTATTTAGCAGGGAGCCACGTCTCATACACAATATTAGATATTTCATGGCCATATTAGACTACTCTAATCTATCTAATCTAGGAAACTCCAACTGAGAAAACCAGACAAAGAAAAGACAGACTTGGTCGTCATGATGGCTATAAAATAGTACATGTTTACTGTTCGGTGCCGCCGTTGGACTGCGTTTGCATTGAGCGGTGACCTACACCTTGAAAGCATTCCATGGCCCCGTTTCATGATCCAGGAAGGTCCTTCTCTATTCTTGATCATCCAGGGACCTGAGTTCATATTTTCCAGAATGACAAAGATGAGGTCTGCTCTGTCTAGCCTTCCGCCCCATCGTCAAGGCGATTGTTGCGAGGGCTTATCTGACAGTCTCATCTTGACTAGGGGTGCGCACTGACACGTTGGCTCGCAAAAAAGTTACCAGGTTAGATACTTTTGGAGTACGCTGTTTGGTTGCATGAACTTCATTTTCATAATGGCCCCTCCCTAATAGCTATTTCGCTCAGAGGAGTTGGAGACTTTTTCGTTGCCACCATTCTATTGTGGACTGCTGGGCTCGTCGGGATGAGCCTTGTGTCTAATCATATATACCACACAAGAAGGCACCTCGCACTAAATGCCAATTGGAGATTCTTTTGCGAGCCATTGTATGATCCCTTGGTGTGCACCAGGCTCTTCCCAAGAATAATGAGATAACTGCACAGGGAAATTGCGAGAGCTCTAAGATCTCGAAGCCTGATCGGCACTTGCTGGTTTTGAACCATAATACATTGCCTTACCTTGGTACTTAGACGGATATGAGGACAGTTAAACATAATGATACATGAGATGCTATGCCTTTATTAGAAAGAAGGAGCAAAAGGGGTCAACCCAGCACAGAAAATCATATTTAAATAGTTATATTAACCAATATCAAGGCAAACTCCGTAACAGAGCCAATTCAAGTCATAGCCATGGCCCCGTTTACCTCCATTATGCCCCCGCGTTTTACTGATCCAAGTCTGCATCCTTGATCATGCCCTTTATCATGTCAAAATATTCATCTTTGAAGTCATCCATTCCGAGAAGGCCGAGTGCCGAGCAAGCCCAGCCGTGAATCTCGGACCACAAATTGCAGGCGTACTGGAAGCCGTCGAACCCCTCGAGCATGTGCGTCCACAGCGAGGACTCGTCGTTCCGCTTGTCCTTTACGTACTGGGCCAGCTTCTTCATATCATCCTTGTCGATATCGCCCGAGAGAATGGCCTTGCCAAACGGCACAGGTGTTTGTTCGTCCTGCTTGTACTCACGCGTGTCGTAGTCGATGCCCTCGCAGGCCAAGAGGATCTTGGACACGCGCTGGATTTGCTTCTCCTCTTCCTCTTGTGCTGCCATCTCCTTGGCTTCACGCGCTGCCTTGTTGGCTTCGTAGGACGCCTTCTGCTGGGCCATCTGGTCTGGGTCCCAGTAGGTTCTCCCGTTGTCCATGTTGTAGTACGCTTTGCCTTGGAGGACTTCACGCATCGTCTCCCAGTCGCTGGCATTATGGTCCATTCCCACTGGAGAGTAACACAAACGATCAGCTATGTACCAAAGACTTGGGCTTGCGCGGGGTAAAAAAAAAACGTTCAAGAGAGGATGAAAAGGGGGAAGGGGGTGGGGGGGATCGACTCACTGCCCGTGACGAAGACGGCATTGGGTCCTCGGTTCCAACCAGCGCCGCAGGAGCTGCAAGTCTCATCCTGATACTTTTCGACAGTTCTGCCATGGCCGCTCCTAGTGGCGGCGTCAACCATGGCGGCGACGACGCTGATGTTCTGCTTGACGTGCCACCAGCCGCAGCCGCTGTAGGCGTAGCTCCGCTGGACGGCAAACTGCTTGGCCGTATCGGCTCGGAAGTACAGCGGCACGATCCACCGAAAGGCAAACTCGGTGCAGGCCTCGCCGATGTTGAGCTTCGACTCCCAACCGATAGTGTCCCAGTTTTCCTCGGCGTGCTCGATGCGCTTCCATTCACCTAAATTCCCATGGAACATATCGAGCAGGCCTTTAGTCACCCACTCAAGGTCGTCACGGCTGATGTCGTCGCCGATATCGTACTGAGCGAACTTCCAGGGCGTGAAGAGCTTGACCTGCTTGCCCATGGTGAGAGATGGAAAGGAGATGGCGGTTTACTAGAATACGATGATGGAATGATGCCGCAGAAATAAGATATCGCACGTGTATGACGAAGAGATGTAGGGAACTGTTGCGGAACACAGAAAATCCGGCATTCCCAGGGCATAGCTATGTATGTTATATGCGCTGCTTCTTCAAGTTACTTGACGCCTCACCACTGCCATATCATCGTCTGTGTGTCACTAGCCTGATTCGTGAGGAAGAGTCTCGCCTGCCAGAGCCTTTTGTCGAATCGTAGCGCTCAAAAGGCTCATGCAGTCAATAGCATTGAATCATGGAAATGCACGACCGTCGAAGAGGGAAAGATGTTCTTGGGCCTAGCTGCCACCCGCAAGCTGATGTCTCAGTTCGCGCGGAGCGCTAGCAGTCGGTAGTGCGGTAGGAAAAAGCAACGCTCCATCGGTTCGCTGGGGCCGTCCGATGATCAACGTTATTCCAGGCGACCGGCACATGAGTAGCTTTGTCCTGACTGGGTGCTGAATCCTTCACAGGACACAGCGCCTGCCCACATCAGGAGCTGATATCGACAATGACGTAGGATGAAGAGGATTTTCTAGCATGTTGTGGTTCCCTACGGAATTGATAGGCTAAGATAGCTTGTTTGGCTGATGCTAATGTATAACTAGTTTGCTCCGAAGCTGCCACGTCACATTCGTGATCCTCGGCGACGGCCAAGGATGATCATCGGACCGTTAGGCAAGACAGTATCACTTTCGGCCACATACATGGTCTAAGACGAGCTGAAGTGAGACGCGCTGGACCGGAAATGATCGAGTAAAAAGTGGGCTGTCTTTCAGCATTTCTCGTCCCCAACTTCGCTGCGTCATTACCTCCTGACTCTACAGGAGGTCTGCCCGCCTTTGCGTTTGATAGCTGGCGGATTGTCTCTAGCTGAATAGCCCGCGCCGACCTGTGTGAGCCAAGTAGCCTGAGCCAAATGACCGCCGAACTGTGCCTAGGCTACATCGCTCGAGCATCGCTGAGCTTGACCCAGCTAGGTTTCTAGCGATAGCAGAGAAGACTTTTTGGTTTGTCAGAGCCTGGAAGTATAAGAAAGCCCAAGAGTCTTTCTAGGAAGAGCTGGTTGATCAGGTTAGTCCACGTAGCTTGCGCTTATTCCTGAGTCACGCAAGTCTTCAGGCCCTGGTTGTTGGGACAGTGTAACATACTACAGCCCGATCAGCAGACCAAGCAGCTAAACAGCTCAGAATAACAGATTAAAGTCTGCAGACTGACAAGCTTTTGGACATGGAGCAGACTAACTACATAATTTGTGGCATTACACTACTAGTAATGTGTTGATACGTATTTGTTCCCACGTGTCTGCCCTGTAGCCTACGACTTTCAAGCATAATTACGACTAGCCAAGCCTCCTCCCCTGTTACTCGAGGTGTGCCGGACTAAGGCCAACGACACAGCCTTATTCCGGCTCCAAGCAGAAACAGGAACCTATGGAAATGCAATGATGCCATTATTAGTGTTTCTGGATGACAGGGGCAAATGCTATTTGTGTTTGAGCAGGGGCCGTTGTGGTGCCTCAACACGCAACATCTTAGGTGGACAGTGAAGATTACCATGAAGCTGACGATTAATCCACGATGCAACTAATAAGTTGCAATATCCTGTGTAGATTTGTCACCAGGTTCAAGTGTGCTCCCAAGCACCAAGGAGGCGTGTTGGCGAATCGGGTTTGAGATCGCACTCGGGAACCAGGGGTAGGTGGATCAAGGATCTGAGCCTCTCTGACGGGTCCCATCCTGACATGATCCCCTGGGAATCTTCACCCCAGCTCAAATAAGGCGACAAACAGCGCGGGAATCTGTCCCGAGGACACGCGTCTTGGACAGATAGGGGAGAAACCGCGCTGTAGGATGCACCTCATCACCAACCCGCAGCTATGCTGACGAGTAAACCCGGCTGTCCCCCACATCCCATTTCAGGGATCAATGCATTTCGAAGCCGACGTAAACGCTGTGGAGGCAGTGCAAGAGTTTGGCTTCGCACCGGGAGAACGAGTCCGAGTGGAATGGCAATTGGTGACAGAATTGGGGCATTTTCAGCGACACACCTCCGCATAATATTTTTCCTATTGTTAGAAAAGCTTAATTGATTGATATATAAAAGGACATTCCAGCTCCAATTCAGTACATTCATCTCATTCATCACAACGCAAGATCAAAAACCCAACAAACAGCGTTACTTATCCAAGCCGAAGAGCCGCCCACTAAAGCAACCCCTGAAGTGCCGAGTCTTTAGTTTCGCCTCTACATTCTGTTTCTCGGCAACGCAGTCATGGCAACACTTCCGAACGGGCTCATCTCTTTTGGCCCAGATGCCAACTGCACTCTTGAGCTCTGTCCCATCGAATGGAGTGTCTACACATACAGACCATCTTTAGTTGCCAACATCGCCTTGCCAATAATCTTCGGCGTCCTAGGCCTGATACATACATACCTAGGAATCAGATGGAAAAGTTGGGGGTTCATGGTGGGCATGCAGCTTGGTTCGGTCTCAGCGATCATCGGCTATGGCGGTCGAATCATGATGTATAATGACCCGTTTTCTTTCGCAGCGTTCATCATGCAGACGCGTGAGTCTATAAAAGCCCTGTTTCAGCTTTCAACCTCCTACTGCACCATACATCTACTAATACCAGTCTCGTCGTCTAGTCTGCCTCACAGTCGCCCCCGTCTTCTACACTGCATCGATATACGTCACTCTTTCCAAGACTGTCATTTTCTTCGACCCCAGCCTTTCCAGATTCAAGCCGAAACTATTCTATTGGATCTTTCTCCCTCTCGATATTCTCTGCCTTATACTACAGTCGGCAGGTGGCGCGTTGTCATCCATCCTTGATGACCCCGATGTTGGCGTTGGTGTTTCCCTGGCTGGACTTGTGTTGCAGGTTGTCGTCCTGTTCTTCTTCAGTGTCGCGTTTACCGATTACATTATCCGGTATTGGATGACTGGGCGAGCATCTGCATTTGACTGGCGTGTCAAGGCCTTCCTCTCGGGCCTGGCCATCGCTGTTATTTTGATCTTGGCACGTTCTGCTTACCGAGTGGCGGAGCTCCGTGATGGCTACCATGGGGAGATGATGAAGCACGAGATCCCTTTTATTGTTCTTGAAGGTGTTTTGATCGTTCTGTCGGGCGTGGCGCTCTTGTTCAGCCACCCTGGATTTGTCTTCAATCGACCAAAGGGCATCCCTATTAGTTCATCTTCGGAGAGTGAGATGGATATGATTCCCGTTCATCAGGATGGTCGCTCGGCCCACGGTGCGAGTCGAGTGTGACGGGACGGGGCAATCAAACGGCACGAAACAGCGCCGATTGGGCGATTCGAGGAGTCTTCTTGTTTCATTTTTCTATTTCTTCTTGTTTCTCTACCTTGCTTCCCTTTTCCCTTTATTTTTCTCATTTTTCCCTTTGTCATTTCACAGCTCCATCTAGATAGAATGTTGAAGACCGAACTACATCCAACAATAGCATAGAATTTCAATTGAATGGTTAATATTTTTCAGAATCACATATCCAACTATGAAAGCAGAAATTCTTCACAGCATGTTGTCTCGTAGCTGGCCTAAGCTCTGGTGTTAAGATACAATTAGCCTCTAGCCTTTGCCGTTTGATAAAAGAGCCCAATACTGAGTGGGAAGTTCCTAATGAGAAGACATGTTAAACGCCCGCCGATTCCCAAATACCGTGGACAATGCCTAATGACATAGAAAAGAACCCCAAGCTAGATATACCAAACCTAATGCAGGGCTGCTGGCGACGACGCTTGTTATTAGAGGGGCCTAAAGCCGATCCAACTTTGTCAAACCCAGCACCATTTTAGTCCATCTCCAGGGTGTTTCCCCTCGGTCCATGAGACATTGTCTACTATCCCTATTCGAGAGAATACTATTAATAGTTCTGCTGAAATCTAAGGCTGTTAGTTGACTTTGGCTCAAAGAGGATACATGAATCGTCTGTCGGGTTTCAGCCTCACGCTCAGATGAGTCATTTCCCGTACATAGCGTGGATGGACATGCTCTACATTGAGGGGCTACCGGTACTATTGAGCTCTTCTTAAAATGCTGCAGTAGTGCTTACCTGTTCATTTTTGCAACATATTAGGTAGATGTCCCCGCCCACAATCAGCTCCCAAATCATCTCTGCTTGTCATTCCCACCATCCTGTGCCCAGAACTGTCAAGCATGTCAAGCCCGTCTGCGCTCTTAGCATCTCGCAGCATGCGAAGTCATTCTTCCGTATGCTCTGCCATTACAAGGCCAATCACAACAGGCGAGGAGTTCGATCAAGCCTGGGAATCCCTTAACTACATCTACGACCTGCCGCTCAAGGACCTCCCACCCTATGAGTCAGCACTGCAAATCCTCTCCAAAATCGACATTTCTAAAGCACCCCCAGGTAAAGGCCTGTACGGGCTTGCCAGCGGCGCGGGGGATGTCGTCAAATTTATGAACAACCCAACGATGGTCTGGGTCCCCCAACACAAGTTCGACTACATGGCGGAAAGGTCTCTGGCAGAACGCGTCTCGACGGCGGAGCAGATGCGGCCTCATATGGCGGGACTATTTGGCTGGCTGGCCGATTACAACTGGCCCCCGTATGCTGGATGCTACAAACAGCTTTCAAGGTTCCCTGAAGCTACCGTTGGCACTATCAAGGAGATGTGTGCTGGTGACCTCAATGATGGGGAGTTGGTGGAGCATGTTTTGGACTTTGTCATGGACAAAGTGCCAAAGGGTTCGGCTTGGGAGGAGCTAGCGCCAGTTGTGCTCTCATTGCAGGAAAAATCAGCAGCAAAGATCAAAGAAGAGGATGACGAGTGGAGCGAGCTGTTGAATCGAGCTACCGAATGGCTAGAGGAATACGAGACCTGGAAGAAAGAAACAAAGGGCTGAAGTACTTATATATCATATGATGCAAAACTTGCAAAATCTAACTCACTGAACTCC